GACCGGTGCTCGTCAGGCATCCCGATTGGCAGATGTCCACCTTGATGTGGGCTGTTCCCCTTCCCCATCTCCTCTAGCCACACCCGGGTTCCCGTGGCTTCTGGCAGGCAGTCACCCCATGGTCAGGGAGATCCTGATGGGGTGCCCCTCTGTACAGAAGCCATCCCCCTCACCTGGGCTTAGGACAGCCTGCACTAGAGTGGTGGCTCAGGACAGCGGGCACAGCCACCTGTGGGTGTGGGGCAGGCGAGGAGGGTGGCATTGCATGCGGAATGTAGAGGTCCAGGCTGGGAGGCTGAGGAGCCTGCAGGCCAGTGGTCCCCTCTGACCCTTGTGGGGCAGGTGGGCTCATGCTGAGTGGACCAGCAGGGAGGGGCAGGTGATGCTGGGGGGACGGCCGGGGGGCTGGCAGGCTGTGCGATGGGCCCTGGTAGCCGTGCTTGTCTCGTGCAGGACCGACCAGCTGGGCATGTTCACGAACAAGGAGTTGGAGCAGCTGGGCCCTGTGCTGGACGGTTTCAGCCTCATGACCTACGACTACCCGTCCCCGCAGCAGTGAGTAGATTCTGGACCCTGGGTGCACGCATGCTCACCTCCATCAGGGCTGGCTCCCCACTGGCCAGCTCAGGACCACAGCTGCCAGCTGTCCCAGGGGCACAGTCCCAGCCTATTCTCCAAAGCCCAAAATTGGCCTGGCACCTTCCACTTCGGGGGCACGTGACAGATGGCAACAGACAGCCCTAGGGGAATGCTCTCCCGGTGTCCTGCCCCCCGGTTGGCCCGGGTGAAGCAGGCAGAGATGGGAATGTCCAGCAGGAAGGCACCACGGGAGGCTCGCTGGCTGCTGCCCCCTTCCCACTGTGTGCACACGCCTTTGCCCCAGTTTGGGAGGCCCACTCTGCCTAACACTGAAGCCCACTCCCCCCTCACCTTGCAGGCCTGGCCCCAATGCTCCGCTGTCCTGGGTGCGAGCCTGTGTCCAGGTCCTGGACCCCAAGTCCAAGTGGCGGAGCAAGATCCTCCTGGGGCTCAACTTCTACGGCATGGACTACTCGGCCGCCAGGGACTCCCGAGAGCCTGTCATCGGGGCCAGGTGAGCTGGGGCTCCGTCACCCAGGGCCGCCTCCGTGCTGCCCCTCCCTGAGGCCCTTGCCCCATGGGCCTGCAGGTTTGCCAGAGGCAATGGGTGGAGCAGGCGAAAGGCCTGGCAGGGTCTGACCACTTGTCAGGCGCCTGCAAGCAGAACCTCTCTGAGCCTCAGAGTTGGGGACCATGTTTTTACACCCAGTCTGGGACACCCTAGTGTTTACACTTCTGTCAGCGGGTGGGTGGACAGCCTTCACGATGTGAGTGGCATCTACTCTGGTGAGGAGGGGAGGGGAGAGGAGGGGAGGGGAGGAGAAAGGCCCTGTCTCATGGACCAGACTTCCTTCTGTGCAGCTCAGCTGATGTTGGACTCTGTTTAGCTTTAGTTTGCTTCCTTTTGGGGGAAGATACTTTTGCTGGATATAGAACTCCAGGTTATCCGCTTTTTTTTTTTCCCTGGGCTGTCACTTTGTCACCTTCTTGCTAAGTGCCCAGTGGCCACGTGTGGAGGTGCTGTCCCTCCATGTGTCGTCCCCGCATGGGGCTGCCCAGCAGCTGCATGGTGACTGGGCAGGGCCTGCATGGCCCTTCCTTCCTGCATGTGGCTTGCCTTGGGCTTCCTGGATCTGTGGGTTCTTATCAGATTTAGGAAGATTTTGGTAGTTTCTTCAGTTACTTGCCTTCCCCTCCCTTTCTCTCTGGGCCTCGAATGCCTGTATGTCCACTGGAGAGGGGCCTGAGGGAAGCAGGTGGGGGAGAGGGGTCCCAGGGCCCCGGGTTTGGCTACTGTCAGGGGAGCCGCCTGGCCCGTGCTGCAGTCAGCCTCACCTTGGCAGGAGCAGACGCTGCCGCCCAGCAGGCCTCCCCAGGGGCCGGAATGAATGACAAGCGGCTGTGACTTGAGCCTCAAGGGCAAACGGAGGTCAGCGCCCACTTAGGTCGTGCAGGGGGGACTGAGGGGCACGTGGGTGAAGAGAGCAGGCCTGTGGCAGGCAGGCAGGTCGGCTGGAGGCTTCCAGAACAGGCCGGGGTCACGTCTGCCCCGAGGGAGGGCTATGGTTTGGGTGATGCCCCAGGACGCCCCCTGCGCGCACACACACACACACACACACACTCCCAGGCTGCAGGGCCACCAGGGCCCGGAGGGCACAGCTGCCAGTCTGGAGGTCTTCGCGTGCCCAGGATGGGACCGGGGTGGGGGGGGTGGCCTGAGGGCTCACCTCGCCCACCTCGGACCCATAGCAGCTCCTCTCCACCCCATAGGCTCGGGCCACAGCCTCCGTGGCGGTGGGGAGGTCATCCTCCAGAGATGGGGCCCTGGTGCCCACTGGGGGGAGCCCCCCGAGGAGGTGGAGGGCAGACAGGCCCACAGGGGCCGGACACCCTTAGCCCGCCATAGCGCCTCCCCTGGGTCCGTGTGTCTGACCGGCATGAGGGTCAGTGTGAAGTGTGTGCAGGGCTGTGGGGTCAGGAGGGACGTCCCCTCCCACCAGGGCACCTGGAAGGCCACTGCGCCCCCACAGAGCCGTCCCAAGCTTAGGGCAGCCTGTGGGCAGGGACACGTTGATTGACAGCGACTCACTGCACAGAGGAAGGGCGCCCTGAGAGGGTCCGGCACGGCCTCCCGCCCGGTGAGCTGCCCCATGTGCACGCGGCCCCGTGGGCCTCTGGCAGGATGTCAGGCCCTCGTCGGATTCTGGGCAAGGCCCTTGGCCATGCCTCCTGCCCCCGGGCCCCCACCGCCGGCCTCCCCCTCGCCCCTCTCTCTCCTGGCACTGACCCCCACCCCCGGCCTCTCCAGGTACATCCAGACCCTGAAAGAGCACAGGCCCCGGATCGAGTGGGACAGCCAGGCCGCAGAACACTTCTTGGAGTACAAGAGGTGAGTGTCCAGGACGCGCCAGGGCTGAGGGGCTGGCTGGGCCCCTGGCCACACGCCCACCTCTGCCCTGAGGGCCCAGGGAAGGGGCCAGGAGAAGTGGGAGGCATTCGGTCCCACTGTCCTTTGCAGAAACCGAGGAGGGAAGCACATCATCTTCTACCCGAGTCTGAAGGTTTGTGGGCCGCCCGGGGGCGGGGGAGACAGCCACAGCCCAGGCCAGTGACCTGCACTCTGAGAGGCCGAGGCGGGCAGCGGGGTCTGTGTGGGGTCGGACTTCCCTCTGGGGAAAGGGCTGACCTGGGCCTGTTTCGGGGCCCGTGGGCCACGGGGCTGTGCTGGGGACGAGGCAGTGACACTTGCCTGTGTGCAGTCCGTGCAGTTGCGGCTGGAGCTGGCCCAGGAGCTGGGCGTTGGGCTGTCCATCTGGGAGCTGGGCCAGGGCCTGGACTACTTCTACGACCTGCTCTAGGCCCAGCTCTGGGCACACCTCAGCAATGGACGCACGGGCGTGGGCGTGGGCAATACAGGCCTTTCTCTGCCTCCCTGCCTTGTCTGTTGCAGTTTTTGGGCGGGGCACCAGAGGACAGTTGCCTCCAGGGTGCGGGAGTCCGCCACTCCTTGCAGCCAGTGTTCCAGGCGGGTCTGGAGGCCTCGGAGCGACAGCTCCCAGACCTGGACTCCTCGGGGCCGGCCCCCCGCGTCACCCTGGGACTCACACAGCCAACAAGCCACCAAGTCCCCATGGCAGGAGCGCCAGGCCACTGCCAAAACCTGCTCCGACGCTGGGCCTGGGTCTGGTGCCAGCGGCTGTGGTCACTGGAATGACAGCACCCTGGCCAGTCTCAGCACCTGCAGGACAGCCACTCCTGGGATCAAACTTTGGGGGCACTCAGATTGAGGAGCTGAAGGACAGCTGTCCCCTCGGGGGAGGCCCCTGCCCATGCCCAGGACTGCAGGTGTCCTGGGTGAGCAAAGCGCTGGTGGAGCCGGGCACAGGGCCGGTGCTGCAGGTTAGAGGGAGTCCGCTTGCTGTGACTTCTCACCTCACTTTGGGCATTGGCCTCTGGCGTGTAAGCAAGTCCCCTGTGAACCCCCAGGTCACAGCCTGTGCTCGTTTGGAGGACATGGGGCACTCTGCGGTCACTGTGCGGGTTGACCAAGGCCGGACCACGGAGCAGGCCAGAATGGGGTTGTGGGCAGGTGTCCGGTGCCCTGCAGCCTGAGGCTCCTGAGCAGAAAACCCGACCTGAACCCCAGCCCCAGCCCCTCACTGCCCATCAGCCTGGCCACAGGAAGCCCCCAGCCCCTCACTGCCCATTAGCCCAGCCACAGGAAGCCCCAGAGGCGCCTGGCTGGTGCTGGGCCTGGCAGCTGCTCGCTCCCACAGCCCCTTTATTTGCAAAGTCGTACAGAGAGACACTTCGGGGCCACGTTCCCTAACGGGCAGCAAGGAACCGCACTCCCCTTGTTGACATGGGGGGGAGGGTGGGGACACAGCTTGGAGGACAGATGCAGGGGAACAGAGACATGGACAGGTCGGGGCTCCTGGTGGTTCTCGGGGCCCCTGCACCACTTCCTGGAGCTCATCTAGTGGAGGTTTGGGCCTGTCCTCGCACTCAGCCCCGCCTGCTGGCTGGCAGCTCTCCCGAGCCTGTGGGTCACAGAGCCCCACTCCAGGCACCAGCCCACGGTGGGGGAGGCCACGGCCACAGGTGTGCCAGGCGTGGTGCCCAGGGGGGCGGGTCAGGGCAGTGAAAAGGGGCTGTTGCCCACGCACCTTATAGACACACCGGGCCTGCCCTGCCCCATGTGGAATGTGATGATGGGGCTCTGCCCCGAGCACCGGCCAGCAGGAGGCCCTCGCCCACCCCAGCCCTGTGCAGGGTCCAGGGAGAGCCGCTGTGCAGAGTACGTGGGCGTGGACACCGAAGGCGCCCGCTGCCCCTCCGGCACATGCTCAGGCCCAGGGGACGAGGCCGTCTCCCGGTGGGTGGATCCTTTGGCAGGGAAGCTGGGTGGCCGGCAGGGCAGCCTATGCGCAGTAGGTGTCGGCCTTCACCACCTGGCAGTACATGGTCATCGCGAAGGTCAGGCCCAAGATCTGCGGGGACACGGGGGTCGGGGGTGCTGAGCGGAGCCACCTGCGGGCACCGGCCCCTCCTTAGGATGCCCCCCACCCTTGGCATTTCAGGTCCATCACAACCACCCCTCACCCCTGCAGGCATAACCCGCCTCGCGCTGGCACGGCCAGCCCGGGCTCTTCAGGGGGCTGCATCATGGTCAGCGGCCCCGCCCCACCTGCCGGCCCCAGCACCCTGCCCCTGCCCATTCATCCGCTCTGGCTTCGAACCCAGGAACGGTGGCTGCCCTGCCCCGAGGTGACTGATAGGGCTTAGCCCCCAGGATGCAGTCACTCGGGTTCCTTGGCGCCAGGGGTCAGGGAGCAGGGCCCCCAGCTGGACCTGCCATCAGCCCACTGGGCAGGGGCTGCAAGAACAGGGCTGGGAGTGCCCAGGGTCCTCCCAGGTGTCCAGGCTGCGCCTCACCCATTCCGCTCATGCAGGGTCCCTCCACCCCCATGGACCCCATCTCTGCCTGGGGACGGGGCTCCCCGGGGGCAGGGCATTGCGGCTTCGTTCCCCGGGGCCTCAGTGCGGGAGCTGCCACCCTCCGTACCTGCACCAGCGCCGTGCACAGCCCGAAGACGCCCACGGCCAGCAGGTTCTCCTGGAGCCACATCTTCACCGTCTCATAGCAGGGCTGGAGGAAGGGGGGTGTTAGCGGGGCCGGAGGAAGGGCGGGGTTCCCAGGGCACACTGCCGTGAGGCTGGCCCTCTACCCCCAGGTCCTGGGGCCAGACCAGCAGACGGGCGGGGCGGGCGCCGGCTCACCGCCTTCCACCAGGTGCCAGGTGCGTGCAGCCCGCAGCTCTCGCTGAACTCCAGGCAGCAGGAGTCGGGCACGCGCGTGGCGTTGTAGACCTCGAACCAGTCTGTGTAGTTGGAGACACCGCAGCAGCGGAACTGCAGGAGGCACCAGTAGGTGTCGGCCTGGTGATGATGGGGCTCTGCCCATCATCACCGAGGTGGGGACCTTGCTGAGGGCCCCACCGCACACCCAGCACCCCACAGGCGGGCGCCCCACGCCCTCAGCCATGCCCCTCACGTCGGTCTGGATGATGCTCCAGGCGTTGGTGAGCCCCACGTTGCCCGGGGTGCCGTACAGGTGCAGGCCCTTCTTCAGGTCTTGCTGCGCATACCTGTCGATCTGCAGGGGCCGTGTGGTCAGCAGAGCCTCCCTTCCCTGGAGTCCCCGCAGCACCCCTGCCCTAGTTCTCCCCTCTCCACTCCTGGGCGCTGGGCACCGGATGAGTCAGACAGCAGCCGCTCAGCTGGACATAGATGGACGGGTGCACAGACTCCAGCTGGGTGTGCTCCCCCCCCAGCACTCAACCACCACATTGGCTGCGGGCCTTGAGGCTTCACTCCCCCACCCCGGCGAGGAGCAGACCGGGCCCCGCCCCCCCAGGCCTCCAGGAAGGACCGGGAAGTGCTCCCCACAGAGTGCGGTCTGCCCAGGCGGCGGGAGCCAGCTGAGGGCCACGCGCAGGCAGGCAGGCAGGCCGGGTCACACCCGGGAACACACGCGTGAGCGAGCCCGGCCTGACGTGAGCGGGCGGTCAAGGGAACAAGTGGGAGGTCACCCACAGGGAGCGGGCGTCTGAGGGGCTCGCGAAGGGGCCCCAGAAGCCGGTGGCCGAGGGGCTGACCTTGTCAGTGTAGGCGGAGAAGAGGACGGTGACGGTGACCTCCAGCAGCAGCACCAGCAGCAGCAGCACGAAGAACTGCAGGGGTGACGGGGGGCTCAGCACCCGGCCCTCCCGCCAGCCGCCCGGCCTGCAGCGACCCTGTCCTGGGTGGCCACGCCCTCCGAGTTCTCTGGGTCAGGATCACGGGCATCCCGCCTAAGTCCACCTCCGAGGCCGCGGCCAGCCCGGGAGCATCTCCACAGAAGGGCCCCAGGGCGAGGGTGGGGGGGGCAGGGGCTGGGGTCCCGAAGGGCGGTCCTGGGCAACAGGCCTGTCACGCATGTGGCCGTGGCACGTGTCCTGACTCGGGAGGCCCCTGCCTCAGAGCAGCCCACAGCCCAGAGGTGGCGCCATGAGTGGGAGCCTGCGCCCGGGCCCTCCCCGCACTGGCCCCGCCCGCACTCACGGTGAGCAGCAGGCACTTGTTCTCCTTGATGGCCCCAATGCAGCCCACGAAGCCGATGGCCATGATGAAGGTGCCGGTGACGATGAGCAGGTTGGCGGCCGACAGGGACGGGAAGGAGGAGGACAGGGTGGCGAAGTTCCCCTGTGTGGCGGCCAGCCAGATGCCCACCCCCAGGATTCCGCATCCTCCCAGCTGGCGAGGGCAGGCGGGAGGGATGGTGAGGCGGCAGCGGGGCGTCCAGGCAAGCCCGTGTGCCCCTCAAGGGCCCCTCCTTGTCTCGTCCCGACACCCCGACCCAGGCCCACACCAGGCGTGGCCACTCGGGTCGGTGGGGGGCGCTGGTCAGCGGACACCCACCATCATGAACGGGGGCCTGTTGAGGTAGCCTGGGCAGGGGTCCCAGAGCACCCCCCAACCCCACCCTCCAAGAAGCATCCCCTCCGCCCAGAACAGAGCCGCACCCCCCCCCCACCGGACCGGGCAGCCCAGGGAGCCCCACCTTCGCAGCCCCAGACGCCATAGAGGGAACCCTTCGCGCTTGCTCTTCCTGGATCCTGGCTTCCCGCTGGGTGGCCGCCCACAGCACCCACAGGGCCCCGGAGGGCAGGACGCCCGGGGCGGAGCCTGCTCCTGCCCTCGCTGCCTCCTCCCTCACCATGGCAGCTCTTACCGGATTTTGTAATTGCTCATTACAAAAACCAATTAAACAGGAAGAAGGGGGAGCGGCGAGGCGCCCAGGGCTGGCCAAGGGGCTGTGGCTCCAGCCCTCCATCAGACAATGAGCCTTGGGCTCTGGGTCGGCTCAGGGTGAAGCGGAGGCTGTGTCCCGGGGTGCAGGCAGCCCCACAATTGTTGGCAGCACTTGGGGACCGACGGCTGATGGCCAGGGAAGGCGAGGACTGGATAGTCATGGGACCCTGAGCCCCCCCCCCCCAGGGCCCAGGAGCATCCTGCCAGTCTGGGCTCGGCCCCCATGGGCTTGGCCTCAGGGAAGCCCTGGGCACAACTACCCCTCAGATGCGCCCCTGCCCACCCCAGACAGCGGGGCCAACTCCAGGGGCAGTGTTCCTTACCCAGGCCACCAAGAGCCGCATCAAGCCCAACAGCAGGCTCATACCCATCTCCCAGACAGTGAGCCGAGGTTCGGCCTCCAGTGTGACAGGGACCCACAGCTCAGGCAGCCCTGTCGAGCCCCTCCCCCACAGTCAGCCTGGCCACGGCCGGGGCGTGGGGCGTGGGGCGTGGGGGGTGGGGGCGGCAGCTGCCGCTCGTCTCCATCACTGTCTCCATCCCACACGGTGCATTAAGCCTGCCGCCAGCAGGAAACCACAATTACCGGGGGCGGTGAGCTCTGCCCAGGCTCCTCTGGCCTCTGGAGTCCCTCTGGGCAGACCCGGCTGTGCCCCTCCCAGGCAGGTGGGGGCTGCAGCGGCCGAAGGAGAGCCAGCCAGGGGCAGGAAGTGCCAGGGCCCCGTGCTTCTAGGCATCGAGCTGGTCAGCAGAGCCTGGGGGTTCCCAGAAGGGCCACCTTGTGTGACCAGCGCCTTCGGCACACGGTCCCCTGATGATACGGGACTGTGACCGGCTACGGAGCCCAGGCCAGGGGAGGCTGCCCGGATGGACACATCACCCGGTGTCTGCCCCACACACACTCAGCAGCTGGTTCCTCACACTCCGCACACCCAGGCACAGGCACGCACACACCCCCCCCAGACCATCCTCACCGCAGAGCAAGGACGGCACCGCCCAGGCGGGCAGAGTGCTGAGTAGGGAGATGTGTGTGCCCCCGGGTGTAGGTGGGCTAAAGGCAGGTCCCACCAGCAACCAGAGGGTGGCGCTGTCCTTGGTGCTGACTGCAGGCCAGGCCACGGAGAGGGAGCACGACTGGGCCACCAGTGCCATGGGCACCCTGAGCCTGGTGCCTCGGGCAGAGGAGGCAGGGGTGAACACGGGCTCATTTCATTATCCTGCCTGCCTGTCTGCCTGCCTGCACCCCACCTTACCCCCATGCCCATCGGGTCTCGTGGGATCTCCAAGGACCCCAGTGGGGAGGGGGTGTGGCTGGGGCACTGTGGGCAGGAGCAACGCCATGCAGACCCGCGGGGGCAGGGAGGGGGCACCTCTCTGGGGAGGAACTCGTACGCCAGGCATCTGGACAGAGGACAGTGACCCGCTGGGTTCGCTGGCCCCTGGCCCCTCACCAGCTCACAGCTCTGGGCCTCAGGCTGAGCCCCGGTGGGGGAGGCTGCCTCTTGGGCCGGTCCCTGACCTGGAGGCGCTGAGCTGTTATTTAAAACCAGCTGCCTGCCTGCCCGCGGCCTCCAGGCTGTGGATGGCTCTGTCGGCGGGAAACGAGAGCACGCTGCTCGGAGGGGAAGCTGCGGGGCGGCACAGGAAGAGACGGCAGGAAGGGGCCGTCCGGGGTCGGGGGCCAGGAGGGGTGGCCCCACAGCCAGCCTGGGGGGCGTTTCCTTAGTGAACACCACGAAATGCCCCGGCCTCGGCCAGAGATGGAGGAGAGACCCTGACACACGCCATCCACACGGGGACCCAGGCCCAGGCCGCGTCGTCAGCGTCACCGGCGACGATGCACGCACCCTCACAGCTCCCAACGCGCGGCCCTGTGCCCGGCCCCCGGCCCCTCCACATCAAGCACATTCACACAGAACAGGCGCCAAACCCCCCCCAGAGCCCGCGCCAACACCACGCCTGTGCTTAATAAAATTACCTGTAATTTCGGAATGTTTCTGCGTCTGCAGCTTTTAAAACATTTTGGCAGGAAAATTACAGCCTCCGAGTGCAGGAGAAAAATGGGCCCCATTACATCCAGACACAGAACATCACAGGAGGACAAACCGGCCGGCTCCCGAGGCCGGAGCACCCAGCCCTCCCCGGGCAGGCTGGCTGGACGGCAAAGCTGGGGACCCAGGGCACCACCCTGCTTACCAGTGTCCACCCGCACCTCCCCAGCCGCTTGCCCACTGCCTGGGGCACGGCGGGGCCCACTCCCCAGCTCGACGGAAACCCAGTGGGGCCATGGCAGACCCTAACCACACGACAGCCTGGGGGGATCCAGCCTCGGCCCCCGGAGCCTCCCTGCCTCTCAGCACCCTGCCCTCACCTGCCCCTGCTGCGACCCGCCTGCCCGCTGCTGCTTTCCTGGTCTCGTACTTCCCATCGGCCCGGGCACGGCTGGTGATGCCATCACCTGCAGCCCAGGGCAGGGTGGGTGCCAGCAGGCCCTGTGCTGACGGCTCAGGGTGGCAGATGGCCGGGCAGCAGGCCATGTCCTTGGAATGGGGTGGAGGGCTAGGGACCAAGCCTGTGCCCAGAAGCCCCTCCCTGGCAGCCGACACAGCCTCGGCATGGGGGCTGGCATGGCGGAGGGCACCATCTACATGCAGGTCATTCTACAAGCAGTTCAAGAGTGTCAACATCAGTCCTAACCGGTGTGGCTCAGTGGCCGGAGCGTCAGCCTGCGGACCGAAGAGTCCCAGGTTCGATTCCGGTCAAGGGCATGCACCTGGGTTGCGGGCACATCCCCAGTAGGGAGAGTGCAAGAGGCAGCTGGTCGATGTTTCTAACTCTCTAACCCTCTCCCTTCCTCTCTGTAAAAAAAAAAAAAATCAATAAAATACATTAAAAAAAGAAAAAAGAATGCCAACACCTGCCCACCGGCTGCGAGTCAGGTCTGCAGCTGCCAGGTGGGTCGGGGGGCTGAGAACGAACGCTTAGGGCGACCCTCGGAAAAGCAGGCATCTTAGGCAAGAGTCCCCTTGGGTCGCACCTCACATTCGACCCCAGGCTGCCTGCCCCACCCGGCGGCCCCAAACACCCCCCAGAGTGGGAGAGAGAAGCTGGGGCCCAGGAGGGAGGGAGGTGCAGAACGGTAGCCCTGGGCTCCTAGGCATCTGTCCTCCACTGGACCACATGCAAATGAGCATGCAAATGAGCATGCAAATGCAGCCTCCTTCGGTCCAGCCCAGGGAGGAGAGCCGCGCCCCTTGCTCCCAGCGGTGAAGGGGTTTGGCCCAGGAATTAATGAAGGAAGCGGAGTGACCTTGACTGCCTCTCCAGCAGCCTCCCGCCCAGCCTGCGGGTCCGAGGCCCCGCCGGGCATCTCCGACCTGGGCAGGTGTGACCCTGCCTCCGCCACAGCCACGCCCTGCGGCCGGGTCCCAGCCTGGGTCCGAGGCAACTGTCCCGGTCCGGGAGAGGGGCCCCTGACAGACACGGCACCTCCCGGCTCCGCAAAAGTTCTGGAAGCCGCCCCAGCCCGCTGGAGGAGAGGCAGCAGGCAGGACACCCCTCCGGTCCACAGCCCACTCTGTCCCGGCGGCATCACCCACAGCGCGCACCCTCTCCCTCCCCGGCTTCTCCGGAGACCGCACACCTCACCTCTACAGCCCCTCAAAAGCGGGTCCCTGGGGCTGGGACTGGCAGGTGGGCCCGCTTGATGGGGGCGGCGGAGGGGAGCAGAGCGGAGCACCAGCCCAGCGGCCGGGCACCTCCTGCAGGGCCCCCTCGGGAAGAGGACCCGCCCAGCTGCCAGGGTGTTGGCCCGGCCGGCCCCTCCCCGCGCGGGCACCCGCCCCACCGGGGCCCTCGCATCTCCATCCTGCCCGCTGCCCCCGCCCCGCCGGCGCCTCCTGCCCCCTGCCCCCGCCCCGCCGGCGCGGTCCCCCCGGCCCGGCTCACCCAGAAGAGCAGGTTGAAGGCGAACATGAGCAGCTTGACGGCCTGCAGGCAGCCGCGCGCCATGCCGCAGCGCTTGAGCTCTAGGAGGAAGACGAAGGACAGGTCCAGGTACAGCACCACGTACCGGGCGCCCTTGGGCGGCGGGCGCGGGGCCGCCTGGGGCCCGAACGGGCCGCCGTCGCCGTAGAGGCCGCTGCAGCGGCGGAACGGGCCGCCCGGCCGCTTGCCCTCCGGCGACGGGCTGCGCCGGTACGTGGACTCGTCGGTGCTGGAGCGGCGCATCCCGGCGCCCGAGCTCAGCGCCCCGCGCCCCCCGCCGCCGCGCGCCGCATCCCGCCGCCGCCGCCGCGCCTCCCGCCCCGGAGCCCCCGGAGCCCGGCCCCGGCCCCCGCGGTGCGGCCCGAGCCCGCTCAGACCCGCGGGTCCGGACGCCCGCCCGCCCGCCCGCCGCAGCCCGCCCCGCAGCCCCGCCCCCGGCCCGCAGCCCCGCCCCGGCCCGCAGCCCCGCCCCCGGCCCGCAGCCTCGCCCCGCCCCCCGCCCCCCGCCGACCCTCCTCCCTCCCTCCGGCCCCGCCGCCAGCCCGCCCGCCCGCCCGCCGGCCCGCCGCAGCCCGCCCCGCGCCCGGCCCGAAGCCCCGCCCCGAAGCCCCGCCCCGGTCCGCCCCCGCCGACCCTCCTCCCTCCCTCCGGCCAATCCTGCCCGCAGCCCGCCCGCCCGCCCGCCTGCCCGGCGCCCCTGCCCGCTCCCGGGGAGGATGGAGCTGGGGGGGAGGGTGGAGCTGGGGGGGAGGGGGGAGCTGGGGGGGGGAGCTGGGGGGGGGAGCTGGGGGGGAGGGTGGAGCTGGGGGGGAGGGGGGAGCTGGGGGGGAGGGTGGAGCTGGGGGGGGGAGGGTGGAACTGGGGGGAAGGGGGGTTGGAGGGGGGAGCTGGGGGGAAGGGGACGGGGAGGGGGCACAGAGAGGGGGGTGTCTATCCCAGCGGCGCTCAGCCCGGGGAAGGGCGCCCCGGCCCCCCCCCCCTCCGCCCTGCGGGGGCCTGGCGGGCGGGGACCTCCAGCCGCCCTGAGGCGCTCCATCAAATGCTGTCCGCTGGGGCCGGGGCAGCTCCGGACTGGAGCGCGGGGGGGGGGGGGGGGGGGGGGGGGCAAGCAGCGCCGAGTGGGGGGGGTGTAGACCAAGGCTTCTTGGGGTTCCCTCTCTGAACAGCCTCCCCCCCCACCCTGGGCCCGGCGAGGGCTGCACTGGGACCCAGAGCTCCTGCAGCTCAGCCTGAGCGGGGAGGGCGCCTGGGTGGCAGGGGTCCGGGGGAGAGTGCAGGGGGAGGCTGGGGGGACAGAGCTCTGATTTAAGAGTCAGGGTGAGAGAGGGCAAGCGGGGGGGGGGGGGGGGGCGTCCTGGGTGCTGCGGGGGGCAGGGGCGTCACTCTGCAAGGCAGTCTGGGAAGTTTTCAGACTTAAAGAGAGGGCCAGAGCCCTGGTTGTGTTGCTCAGTGGTTAGAGCACAGTCACTGTTCAATTCCTTCAATTACCCACCAGGGCATGTACCTCGGTTGCAGGTTCAATCCCCCACCGGACTAGGGCGCGTGTGGGAGGCAGCCAGTCGATGTGTCTCTCTCACATCCATGTTTCTCTCACCGACCTCTGACCCGGGAGGTTGCGGTTCGATCCTCAGTCAGAGTGACGCCTGGGGACCCAGAGGCAGGCCCACCCCCACCCGCCCCGCACCCCGCTCCTCTCCCAGCCAGGCTGCCTCCGCAGCGGCGGGCCACTCAGCCCTTGCTGGAGTGACCTTCACCACTGCCTTTGGAAACTCGTGGTGAGTTTGAACCCAGGGCCCAACTTCCACTTGCACCAGCCCAGGCTGGAAGTCCGAGCCGAGACCTCCACACACACTGGGCTGGACCCAAGCCAGGTCCCAGACACCCAGCGACTTACACCCCCAAGCATGCACCCACGCCCCTGGTACTGAAGATGCTGGCCAGGGGTGGGCGGGGATGGGGGCCCGGCTCCAGGGCAGGGCCTCCGAGGTCAACGGAGGGTTCCGGGGCCAGGGCTGGGCGGGGCAGTGGTGGGCAGGGCTCCCCTGGGCCCCCCTCCAAGCCTGCATCATGCTGGGGCTTAGGCATCCACATTGAGCCCAGCACCCCGGATACCCTCAGCCAGTGCTGCCTCAGCCAGTGCTGCCTCAGCGTCCCCCAAAACTCCCACCACCCCCATTGCCATCTCCCAAACCTGTGCCATCACTCCAGAAGCAGGTGAGTCTGAGCTGAAACCGGGAGACCCAACCCAGCACCAGGGTCAGTAGGGGTGTGGACACAGGTCGGGGGCTGGGATCCTTCCTGCAGCAGGTGGGACTCCAGCAGAGCACCCTGGGGAGGCAGCATCGGCTGGCACAGCCCCAGGCCCAGGCCCAGGTGAAGCCAGGAGGCAGCCAGACCTGTCCCCACGGCCCGGCCAGCAGTGACGTACCTGGGCTTGCCACGGGAGCCAGGCGGTGTCAGGGCCCTGAGGCCGGTGGGCAGGCGCGGGTCAGCGGGGCCAAGGCAGGCGGGCGGGAGCTCTGCGGAGGGAAGACGGCAGGGTGAGGCTGTACCTCGTGGGAGAGACTCAGGCCAGGGCCCCTCGGGGCTCTGCCCAAGGCTCCCGCACAAAGGCCTGGGCCGGGAAACAGCAGCCCGCCTCAGAGGTGGAGGCCCGGGCGGAGGGACAGACAGGCGATTGACTGGGTGGCCCCCGAGCCTCAGAGGGCCTGGCCGCCCACGGCCCAGCAGGGCGGCCAGCCCGGGGCGGAGGCAGCGGCAGCTCTGAGGAGCCGGAGGCCCAGCCAACACAAACAGGCCTGCGGTGGCCCCTCCTGCTGCTGCTTCAGCCACAGGGCCCAGCGCCCACCCAGCCCTGGGGGGCGGGGCACGCAGACACCAGGCTGGCACCCCTCTGCTCGCAGGACCCAGGCGGGCTGTCTCCCTGACCCAAACCAGGGCCCCAGGGGCTGGGAGACACCTGCTCCCAGGAGGGTCCCGCTGAGCGGGGGCTCCGTTCTCCTCCTGCGCCCCCCAGGCCAGCCAGAGCAAAGGGCCTGCCCCGCACTCCTCCTCCTCCTCCTCCTCCTCCACCTCTTTCTCCTCCTCCTCTTCCTCCTCCTCCTCCTCCTCCTCTGCTATTCCTCCATTGGAGGCCACGGGGAGCTAGAGGTGGAGGGGGCACAGTTAGGACCCTGGGGAGGGGTGCCAGCCCACTTACCAAGGCCCCGGAGCATCAGCTTCAGATGCCCAGTGTATGCCCACCCGCCTCCGTGAAGGCCTGCACCCCTGGACCCACCCCCCACAGGGAGCCCACATCCGGCCCAGGTACTGGGCGGCCGGCGGGCAGGGACCCTCTCAAAGGCTGTTGCCCAGCTGTGCCCAGTAGGTCATGAGGTCAGGCCCTGCCACACCACACGCACAACCCGGGCGAGTGTGGGTGCAGAGGTGGGCGCCCCGCTGACTCTGGGGAGGGGCCCACGCCTGAATGTTCATGGACCCTGCCCGCCCCACCCCTTCCCCCCACCCCCGTGCATCCAGGGTGAGCACACACCAGAGCCACTGGCCAAGCCCCAGCCCACGTCCACACGGCCACGCTCAGGCCCTCCAGCCCCACAGCTCTGGTTCCCCAAGGGGAAACTGAGGCTGTGACCCAGGGCCAGTGGGTGGGGCCTGTCTCCAGGACCACGCTCAAGGCCAGAGACTCAGCAGCGAAAACTTCAATCTTGGATTTCCCCTTCTCCCCTGCCCGCCCTCAAGTGACCCGTGCTGGCGGGAAGCACAGCTCATGAGTTCCAAACCATGTGAGCACAGCTCCCCACTCCTGCCCCCCATTACTGGGACAGGACACCCCGTACCTCACCCTCTGGTCCTCCCCAGAAGCCCGGCCATATCTGTGCTGACATTCCACAGGGGGGTTACCAAGGGCCCCCACGGACCCGGCAGGCGGGCAGAGTCCCCCACATCCCCACCAGTGCCGGGCCCCCATGGCTCCTCCTCCCCTGGCCACTCTGAAGACAGCCTGCCTGGCTCTCGCCTCAGCTTTCTCCCCAGTGCACGCTCACCGTGCACACACACACACACACACACACACGCACTCTCAGGGCCAAGGCGGGGGTGGTGTGGGTGGGGGGGCGTCAGGGCTGACCTCTGAGGCTCCCCGGGCTCCTGTGGTCCAGCCTGGGCAGAGCTGAGCTGGGAGGACTGCGAACCCCAAGTGCCCCGAGGGGCGTCTGCGCACCGGCTCTGGGGCAATGCACCCGGGCCGGGCTGGGCAGCCGCTCCACTCCCCATGGCCTCTCCTGGGAAATCAGGGAGCTGGAGGGAGGCAGCTCGGGGAGAGGATGCTGCCACCGCCCCCAAATCTGCATCCGGCTCTCAGAATTCCAGGAATGTCAACTTGGCTCCGTGCGATCCGGGCGGAGACTCGCTCCCCTCACTCCCAGTAAACAAAGGCTCCCTCCGCCGCCCGCCGGGCACTGGCGGGCAGGCCTGGCCCCTCCTCCAGGAGGCCTTCTGCCCCCACCCTCTCCCCATGGGCCACCCGCGGGCACCCCCCTGCCCTCCTGGGCTCCCTCTCACCTCCACCACTTCTGGCAGCTTCTGTGGCTGAGCCTGGGTCTGACCCCAGGCCACCGTGACTCAAGGCCCCGGAGCCTGCCCATCTGGCCAGGGACAGGATGTACGTCCAGTCGGTGGGAGGGGGGTTGAGGGGTGTCAGGGGAGGGAAGTTGCTTTGGCTCGTGGCTCTGCACGTGGCAGGATGGGGGATGGCAAGTGCCATTGGGGAAGCGGCCACGGGCCCAGGCAAAGGTGGAGGCACAAACTCCGGGGGGGGGGGGGGGGGGGCAGCAGCTCTGGCCAGCTCTACCCGGACCCAGAGGACCCTCCACCTCCCTGCCCCCCAACTCAGTCAGAGGGGACAATTAGCTGACACCTGGGACCCAACAGAAGCCCAGATGTCTGTCCCAGGCCAGCGAGCCCGCACACAGCCTGTCACAGGGGCCCCCAAGCCCAGGGCTCGCCTCCTGCAGGGAGCCTTCCCTGCACAAAGCCTACCCCAGCCCCACCTCATTTCTGGACACACATTCTCCTCCCTGTAAACCCTTCACGGCTCCTGCCCCATCACCTCTGGCTCCACCTCCTCCCCGGGCCTAGCCCAAACCTGCCTCCTGGAGCTACCCCGCAGGTAAAACCTCCCGGCCCTGCCCAGGGTTCCCTTTGCCAGGATCCATCCTGGTTCACACACTCAGGCTCACCCCTGTGAAACCCCGTGTTCTTCAAGGTTCAACCCAAAAGGCGCCTCTTCCGCGACGCCCTCCCTGACCACCCTCCCCGGCCGCTCCCGTCCTGCCGAGCGAGGTCCGCCGCCCTGAGATCGCGGGACCCGGCACAGCTGCCCGGGGCGGTGCAGACGCAGCAGCCCCTCGCCCGCTGCCCCTTCCCGGGAAGAAGGGAGGGAGGACGCGGCGAAGCGATGGACACCGCGCAGGCGGGGAGGAGCCGCCGGCCGGCGCGCCACGGACCGATAGTCCCCGCCGAGCCCCCGCCGTCGGCTTCCGGTAACTACCTGGCCGGGGCCGGGGCGGTGCGGGCGGGCGGCACCCGGGAGACCCCAGGACTCAGCCACGGACCCCCGGGCCCCGGGCAGGGGCTGCGGGCGCGGGACCCCTTTCGGGGCCGGGCCAGGGGGGCGGCGGGAAGACGCGCCCGTGGCCGCGCCCAGACCCCCGCCCGCGCCGCGGGGTCGCCCCGCCACTTGTTGCTGCGGCCCGGCTCGGGCCCCGCGCTGGGCTCGGAGTGCACGCCGGTGCCCGGGCCCGGCCGGCTCCGGCGGCTGCGGCGCCGCGGGCGGGGGACTCGGCCGCACCCCGCGGGGGGCGCTGTACCTGCGCGCCGGACCCCGCCGCGCCGCTCTCAGTCGTGCGAACACGAGAAACGCGAACCGCGCCGCCGAGGCCTTGCGGCCGCGCTCGGACGCCGTAGTCCGGGACGTACCAAAGCCCGGACGGGGGGCGCCCCCCGCTCCCGCCGCGGCCGCGGGCCCCCTGGGACCACCCCGCGCGCGCGCGCGCAGGAAGCTCGTGGCACCGGGAAGTGCAGGTCCACGGCGCCGGGGCCCGCAGGACGGGAGGGGCCGCCGGGGCCCGCAGGGCAGGAGGGGGCGGGCCTGCCTCCCCGGCACTTGGATGCGCCCGGGGGGGCGGAGACTGAGGCCTCAAAGCCGCCGGCCGCCGCACCGCCGCCGCCGCCGCCGCCGCCGCCGCCATGATCATCCCCGTCCGCTGCTTCACGTGCGGCAAGATCGTCGGCAACAAGTGGGAGGCCTACCTGGGGCTGCTGCAGGCCGAGTACACCGAGGGGTGAGGCGCCGGGCTGGGCGGCGAGGGCCTCCGGGCGGTGGGATGTGCCCGGGCCTGGGGCGGACGTGGGGCCGGGAGCAGGGATTGGGGCCGGGGCCGGGACCGGGCCTGGGGCGGAGTAGGAGTTGGGGCCGGGGGCCGGGCCGGGGCCGAGGCGGGGGCGGATGTGGGGTCGGGAGCAGGGATTGGGGCCGGGGACCGGCCTGGGGAGACGTGGGGCCGGGAGTAGGGCCGGGCCGAGACCGGGCCTGGGGCAGAGTCGGAGTTGGGGCTGGGGGCTGGCCTGGGGCGGACGTGGGGCCAGGAGTAGGAGTTGGGGCCGGGATGGGAGCTGGGGGCCGGGACCGGGCCTGGGGCGGAGTCGGAGTTGGGGCCGGGGGCCAGGCCGGGGCCGGGAGCAGGGATGGGGGCCGGGGCCGGGGCCGGGGCGGGGGCGGACGTGGGGCCAGGAGTAGAAGTTGGGGCCGGGACCGGGCCTGGGGCGGAGTCGGAGTTGGGGCCGGGGGCAGGGATGGGGCTGGGACAGGGGAGGTGGGGCAGAGGCCCAGGTCTGCCCGGCAGGGGGGCGGGCACAGGGCGGCAGGCCGGCGGCGGCACTCACAGACCCCAGGTGACCTGCTCGGGCTTTCAGGCCCAGAGCCCAGCCCCGCTCTCAGGAGAGCCCCCTCCCCCTGCAGTTTGGGAGACGGAGGGGAGTCGGGCATCAAGCCCCTGGTGGGGGGGCTCCGGGGTGTGCTCTGACCAGCCAGGCGCTCCTCCGGGGCAGGTGAGCCCTCAGCCTCCTCCCTGCCCACCTGCTCCCTGGCCTCTGCTGCGGGCCCCCCCAGGCCCTGGAGGACGGGACAGCTTCCTGAGACAGGCTGTCTGCCTACGAGGCTCTGGTTCCTGTGCTCGCCCGCAGCGCAGTCGCCACCGTGGCTGCTGCCTCTGTGCCCCAGAGCCGCCCCTTGGTCCGCTGTGCGGAGGGCCAGGTCCTGACCACATTGGCGGGGCTGGGGTGTGCCAGCGTGCCACAGGCTCTCTGTGCAGGTGTGAGGAGGACAGGAGCCCGGGATGGGCAAGGGTTTGCGCTGGACCCCCCCCCCCCCCCCCCGCGTGCCAAGCACGGGCAGGGACCTCGGCCTGGGCTCCCTTCCCACCCTGCACACGGGCCAACGGCGGGAGAATTTCCCGGAGGCCTGGGGGGCAGGGGGCCTGGGTCCCAGGGAAATTGGGGCTCTTGTTGGCTTGGGGAAAGGGCGGGGTGGCTGTCTATAGAGGGGAGCCCCCACAGCGGTGTGGGGGCCTGGGATGAACTGACCGCAGCCGCTCCCCGGCCGCAGGGACGCCCTGGACGCGCTGGGCCTGAAGCGCTACTGCTGCCGCCGCATGCTGCTGGCCCACGTGGACCTCATCGAGAAGCTGCTCAACTATGCGCCCCTGGAGAAGTGAGGGGCCGCCGCCGGGTCCGGCTGGGGAGGCCGGGAGCAGGGCCTGCCCACGGCCGCGAGCTCGTGTCTCCTGCTCTGGAAGGAACGTCCAATAAAGGTCCTGGCAGAGCCGCGTGGGGGTCCCAACGTCCGTCTGGCTTTGTGGGCCCCGCCGCCGCCCTGCGCCTGTGTTCTGCCTGGGAGGAGGGAGAGCCTTGGCGTGAATGTGGGCCCTCACTGCCTGGGAGGAGGGAGAGCCATCCCATGGCAGCCACGCAGCCTGGGTGTCTCCCTCGGGAAGGGGGTGCTCTCACAGCCGCACAGAAACAGCAGCAAGAGCGCGGACCCTGGCACCCACCCCCGTGCTGTGGGTGCTGGTCAGGCTGAGCGCAGAGCTCCCTGCCCCTCTCCCAGGATTTAGGAACCAGGCTTTCTGGGCCCAGAATAGAGTGCGGCTGTGGCCACGGCTGCCCGTGCTCAGGCCCCTCCCCCCTGCCCACGTTCCTGCCGATGGGAGGGCAGCACCTGGCCGCCTCAGCCAGCCTGAGCCCCAGCCGGTCTCGGGTGGCCCTATGAGGCCGCAGGGGGTCGGGCGGCCCGTGTCCGGTGCTACCTTTTACCCTGTGGGCCACTCGCAGAGCTGTCACCACCTGGGGAGGGGCAGGTGGGCCCTGATGCCCTGCGGCCAGCAGAACGCAGGAGCCCACTTCAGAGCCAGGGAGGCAGCCCCGAGGCCCAGACACCTATGGGGTCTGCCAGGGGTGGGCAGCCACTGGGCAGAGGGTGTGGTGGCCAAGCCCTGGCTCCCATTATAGCACATCCTGCCAGACCCCCGACCTTGCTCCTCTCCAGCCGGGTCCCAGCCCCTGTCTTCCCAGAAGGGGAGGCTCTGCCGGGCCTGTGCTCGGCTGTCCGTGCCATTGGTCCCTCGAGTCTTGTCAGACTCAGCCCATACCTGGCTGCCCTGGCCCCGGATCTGCCCGCCTGTGGTCCTGGGTGGGTGGCTCCGCCCTCCCTGCTAGATGTGGACAGACCCACCCAGTAAGAGGCACCTGAGTATCCACAAACGGTTTATTGAGCACTGCTGTGTGGCACAGGTCTGGTCTTACAGTAGTGAGTGCAGCCCCGCCCCTGCCAGGGAGGGGGACAGTGAACATGATGGGAGAGCAGCATAACAGCGGGCTCAGCAGAGTGGCGGCTGGAATGGGGGCAGTCAGCAGAGGCGCAGGGCCCTGGGGGGCACTGGGACTGGTGGACCGCACACAGCTCCCCTGCACCTGCCCTGGCATCACCCCTCCCAGCCTGCCCGCCACCATGTGGAGTGTGTGCAAGGGTCAGGGAGCACCCTAGCGTGGGCCAAACCAGCCCCTCCAACTAAGCACAGGGCCCAGGGAGACCCTTGAGGTGCCATAACCTCCCCTCCCAGGCCCCCACATAAGCAGAAATGCTGGGCCCCCCAACTGCAGGAGGGGTCCCTCAGGATGGGTATGCAGCAAAAGGCACTTGAAGCTCTCTGGGGATGGGGTTCCCCAAAGGTCACGGGATGGCACGTTGGTGGGGCACGGGCGGGGCGGGGGGGTGCCCGGGGCCCCCAGCTCCCGGCCTCAGTAGTGGCGCTCAGTAGTCATGGGGAAGGTGTAGGGGGCCGGCCGGCCGGGTCAGTATTGCTCCACCTTCAGGCTCTTGTACAGGCAGCAGGTGAAGATCATGCCGAACACCTGTGGTGAGGGGCGGGCATGAGGGCCCCGGCCGCCACCACCTAGTGTCCTGCCCCGGCCAGTGCCCGCGCCCTCCCAGGCCGCACCTGCACGCAGGCGATGCCGATGCCCACGGCACCGATGATGCGCAGGTGTTCCTGGATGAAGGTCTCCAGCTTGGTGATGCAGCCGCCCTGCGGGCAGGGGGGCGGGCGCTGAGGACGGGCAGGCCCCGCCCCCCTGCCCAGCGCCCCCACCGGGCCGGGCGCCTCCTACCTCCACCCTGTAGATGTTGGAGGCGTGCTCCCGCTGGCCGCAGTAGGGCACCACCGTCTTGCAGCAGCTGTCGGGGACCAGGCGGCCGCCCGCCTCCCCGGAGCGGACCCACTCGCTGTCCCGCCAGTCCCGGGAGTTGTTGCTGCCGCAGCAGTGGAACTGCCGGGAGAGCGCGGCTGAGCACCTGCTGCCTGCCCGCCCGCCGCCGCCCCCCCGCCCCCACCAACCTCCTGCTGCAGCTTGTCCACGGCGCTGGTCACGCCCTCGTGGCCTGGCTGGTGGTACCGCTTGGTCATGGTGTCCTTCAGGTTCTCCTTGAGCTCCGCGTTCAGCTGGGGGCGAGGTGGTGGCACGTCAGCCCCCGCCTAAGGCCCTCGGGGGGGGGGGGACTGGGAGCGGGGAGTGGAGGGGAAGGAAGGGCCAGGCTCAGGTGCAGGCTGAGGTCGGGTCAGGTGGGCCTGGGGAGGGGCGGGGCGGGAGCTCCAGATCCTAGGAACACCTGCTTTCCCATGAGCCCCACCGTGCACCCTACCCTGCGGCCAGCCCCCAGCTCCAGCCTGATGGCACAGTGGTCAGCTCTGGAGCTGGGGAGGGGGGTGTCTGTGTGTGCTCTCCCTGTGTGTGTGTGTCCCTGTGTGTGTGCATGTGCGTGGGGCCTGCCCGCGCCTCACCTGCTGGTAGTAGACGTAGGCCAGGATGCCGGCCACAATCTCCAGCAGGAAGATGATGAGCAGCAGGATGAAGTACTGCAGGGAAGGGGCAGTGAGCAGGGACACACCCCCCGCCATCCACGGGAATTCCTGGTGGCGGCTCCACGTGGCCTCCCTCGGCTCCCATGTGGTCAGAGTGAGGGCTCCAGAGAGCAGGCGAGGCTTCCCTCGCTCAGAGCTGGTGTCACCCAGGAGTCACCGGAGGGCGGGCACCCCGGGGAGCACAGCAGAGGATCCTGCAGTGTCACACTCGGCCCCTCTCCCCCAGTGCCTTCCTCCCCAGTCAGGGCCCCAGAGCCAGCCCCAGCCAGCAGCGGGGAGGCCCCCACCCAGGCCCCCCCACCCGGTGCCAGCTGTCCTGCTGACCGGGCGCAGCAGACTCTGCCGCTCCTTGAAGGTGGCACAGCAGCCCAGGAGACCGGTCACCATGACGACAACGCCGGCCAGCACCAGGATGTAGGCCGAGGCCAGGTAGGTGTTAGAGGCCAGCAGGCTGATGTAGTCACTCTTCAGGGCCAGCGTCCACACGCCCACGGCCATGACGGCCAGACCGGCCAGCTGCGGGCGCACCGGTCCGTCACCACGGGAGCCCAGGACCGGGGCTCCTCCCAGCCCAGACTAGCCCCCCCAGCTGAGCAGGGAGTCCCCGAGGTGCCATGGCCCCGAGGGCCTGGAGGCGGGGCCGGGCCTCACCCAGAAGCAGCAGTTGAAGGTGAAGAGCAGGTACTTGAGGCAAACGGTGCCGCACGTGGCCTTCTCGTTGAACTCGCCCATCCTGGGGCGGGGAGGCGGGGAGGCGGTCAGAGAGCCCTCACCGCCAGGACTGACCGGAGGACACCAGACACCAGCGGGGCACAGGGAGGGATGCCCATGCCCAAGCAACCACTGACCTGGGACCCGGGGCACTTCGTCGGAGGGCAGGGCAGGGGTCCCCATCCCATGGCAACCAGGCCGATGCCTGCTGCCCACAGCCCTCCAAAGCGGGGGGGCCTGGCTCCCCTGACCAGAGCCCCGGGCACTGGGGGCCCAGAGGACCCCCAACCGCCACGGGCTGACTCCCCCCCACTGGCAGCCGGGGCGGGAAGCCCCAGCAGGCACCTGTGGTGAGCTCATGCAGGCCCCGCCCACCCCCCACCCCAGCATTCCCCAGGCCCCACATCACCGGCTGGCTGGAACCTACCTACAGCTGCGAGAGGCATGGAGGCCACTCAGACAGACTGGCCTACCCCTTACTTGCCTCGTGGCCCCAGGAAAGCCCCTCAGCCTCTGTTAAAGGCCAGATGCTCCTTCCTTCCTTCCTCCAGAAAGTGGGCGCTGTGGCCCTGGCCAGTTTGCTCAGTGGTTAGACCGTCAGCCCATGGACCAAAGGGTCTCGGGTTTGATTCCCAGACAAGGGCACCTCCCTCTGCTGTGGATTCCCCAGCCTCTGTAGGAGCATGTGCCGGAGGCAACCAGTCAATCTGTTTGTTTCTCTCTCCCCTCCTCCCTCCCTCCCACTCTCTCTGGAAATCATTAGGGGGAATGTCCTCAGGTGAGGATTCAAAAAAAGAAGAAAAAAGTGGGCACTGCGGAGGGTCCAGGCAGGCAGAGCGGGCAGACACCCCCTCTCCCCACACCTCGGGGTTCCTCGCTGCTGGAAAGGGGACAGCACGCTAACCCCTGTGAGAAGCGCAGCTACAGGCTGTCCCGCTCAGAGGCACCCCAGCCAGGAACAGCAAGCTGGCCCTGCTGCGAGGTGGCGCCACAGGACGGACGGACAGACAGCAGGGAGGGCTGTGGCACAGACAGTGCCTGAGGCCACCTTTCTAGACACAGCAACACCCACAGCTGGACTCACCCGCCCGCCCGGCGCTCACCTGGCTGGCAGGAATGCTGCTCCGAAGGCAGGTGGACCGTTCCGGGAGGGCCGCTAGAAGGGCGGCACAGATCAGAGGGGCCCCTGCGCGCGGCTGGCTGCCCAGGCGGGGGCTTCCAGAGCCGGCACATGTCACTCCGGGCAGCAGCCAGGGAGCGGCCAGTATTTTGGTCTGAGCCAGGGAGGGGCAGGGCAGAGGACATTTCTGGACACTGCGATCCTCCTAGGAACCTGGCCTCCTCCCAGCACCCCACCCCAGGCCATGGCGCCAGACCTGCCCGGCCCCTTCCCCCCAGCAGCAGGGCGCAGCCTGCGGAGCCCCACGCGCGGCAGACGGGCCCCTGGGCCTGCTCGGAGGTCCCAGGCCTCCGCGGGAGGCTGACTCCGGACACAGCCCAGCCCCCGGCCCACACCGGCCACCCGCGGGGAGGGGCCCTTCTTTCCGGGAGAGGCTAGCGGATGTGGATCCCCAGGGAAAGGGCGGCCAGAAATAGTTCCTGCGGCCGGGAACAGAGCGGCCCCTCCCCAGTCCCGGCACCTCAGAGGCCCGCGCAACCAGGGGGGGACCCGGGAAGGGCTCCAGCCGGGCCCTGGGAGGAATCCCGCGTCACCGCGATGAGGTCACCGCCGCCGCCGCCCACCCACTGGCACCGGGAGGTGGGCGGGCCCGCGGCGGAGGGAAGGGAACCGGCGGCCAGGAACAGCGAGTGCGATGCTCAGGTGGGGCCCCGGGCCCGAAGGGGCCGCCGCCAGGCCGCTCGGGAGACGCGGGAGGCGTCCCGCCCTCGCCCTGCGCCCCCTCCGCCCGCACAGCCGCCCGGTGACCGGCTGCCCTCCGGAAAGGGCCCCGAGGCTGCGGCCGGGCCTCCGAGCCGCGCCACGGCGGACTTGGGACTCGGCCCCTCCCGGCGGGCCCGGCCAGGCGGCGCACTCACCGGACGCGTCCGAGTCGGGCGGGATAGAGGCTGGGAGCGCGGAGAATGCGCGGCCGCTGGCGGCCTGCGGGGGAGGTGCACCGCGCGCCTACGGCCCGCCCCGGCCCGCAGGCCCCGCCCACACCGCCAGACCCCGCCCCGGCCCGCAGGCCCCGCCCACACCGCCAAACCCCGCCCCGACCCGCAGGCCCCGCCCGTACCGCCAAACCCCCGCCCCGGCCCGCAGGCCCCGCCCATACCGCCAAACCCCGCCCCGTCCCGCAGGCCCCGCCCGTACCGCCAAACCCCGCCCCGACCCGCAGGCCCCACCCATACCGCCAAACCCCGCCCCGGCCCGCAGGCCCCGCCCATGCCGCCAAACCCCGCCCCGGCCCGCAGGCCCCGCCCATACCGCCAAATCCCGCCCCTCTGGCCCCGCCCACGCCGGCAAGACCCGCCCATTCCGGCAAGTCCCGCCCCGGCCCGCAAACCCGCCCCATTTAGGAGAACGCGCCCGCGGCCGACAACCGGCCTCCGGCCCACAGGCCTGACCGCACGCTCTGCGCGGCCGCGCGGACGGACGGGCGGGCGGGATACCGGCCGGTGCAGGCGCCTGGAGAGGGCTATGGAAACCCTGCGAGCGGCAGCCCGGGGGCCTCCACAGCCTGGCCAGGGCCCAGACCCTCAGGAGACGGAGGAACTGAGCTAGGGGCGGGGAGGTGGGGGAGGCAGCCGGACCAGCCAAGGCCTGGACCCTGCCCGAGACCCTGCTGTCCTCCAGGCCCAGTTCTTTCTCTGCTCCCGATCCAGGTTCCACCCAGAGGCCACAGGGGTGAGTGAGCAGGACGGATGGCCTGGTGTTCGGAGGCCGAGGGTCCCTGTGAGACACTCCAGTCTGGAGGGCTGCTACCTGGCAGTGGTGGGAAGGCTTGAAAAAGTCTTGCAGACCCACTAGACTGGTGTCTGAGTTGGGGTGGGGAGTGTGAGAAGGGAAGACTCCCAAGCCAGGTGGGGTCTGAGTCCCCACAGTCAGTTGGGGCAGCTCTGCAGGGTCAGTGGGCAGCACTCCCCCCACCTGCCCTGGGCCTGGGACTTCAAGCGCTTATGGGCTGTGAGGGCCTGGGGTCTGACGAGAGGCAGGGACGCCTGCGGACACAGACAAGGACCCACAGCCCCAGCTCAGCTCGGAGGGTGTGGGTCTGGGCACACTTGGACGGACAGGCCATGTCTGTGGCTCCACCCCACACACAGGAGGGCCAGGAGGCTGCAGGGTGGTTGGTAGTGTTTATTTGGAGGAGGGGCTTTCTGCCGGACAGAGATGGCTTGATGGGGGAAGGGAACAGGGTGAGGACCAGAGGGGCCACAGGGGAGCCTGGTCCCCCCGCTCCCCATTAGTTCCTTCATGTCTGCAGGCAGGCCGGCCGGGCAGCCCACTGGGTAGAACCCACGTCCTGGCCGAGCAGCCCGGCCGCGGTGAGTCACTTTCGGAGGGCAGTTCTTCAGGAACGCCGGTCACCGGGCACTGGGGAGGGGGCCTGAGCCACACCTGGGGGGTCGAGCCCAGTTGCTGCAGCAGCAGCAGCAGCAGCAGCAGGTGGGTCTCGGCAGGCAGGCAGAGGCCAGCGCCGTCCTGGGGCCGCTGCCCAGCTGCTTGGCCTCGCAGGCGTCCCTCTCGTCTCGCAGCCGCGTGTTCAGCTCCCTGGGGAGGGAGTCCAGGGGCTCTGAGAGGCCTCAGGAGGCAGGAGTTTGGGGCGGGCAGTGTGGGCCTGGCCTCTCCCTCAGACCAGGCAGGGGCTGCAGCGTGAGGGAGGGAGGGCAGACACCAGGAAGGCCTTCCTGGCCGTAAGCCGGGCAGTGGGCAGGGGTGTTGGGGAGCTGCACTGAGCCCCTTCCCTCCACGGCTGAGCCAGACCGAACCTGAGGAGCGCCAGCTGCCGCACGAGGCTGAGCTTCTCCTTCTGCATGTTCCTGGAGACGGCGACCACGTCCCTGCGGGCGGGAGGCGGCGGCCTGGGTGGAGGGGGACTCCTGGGGCGCTCCACGCCCCCCTAGGGGACCCTGACCCACGCGCACCCTGGCGGAGTGGCCCAGACCTGAGCCCCAAGCGCGACCCCCCCGCCCCCGCTTCGACGCGCCCACCCCCTGTTTGGGACCCGCAGCTGAGGCCGCCCCAGCCCCTGGCACCGTAAGGTCCGCTCCTGGCGGCCCAGCGCTTCGCCCTCCAGCCGGCCGAGCTGCTCCTGCGCCGCCTCCAGCTGCGCCCGCAGCGCCTCGTTGGCCAGCCACAGCTGCGCGTTCTGCGCCTGCGCCTCCAGCTGCTCCGCGGCCCGGCTCTGCAGCTGCTGCTCCAGCTGGGGGCGGGGGACACTAGAGAGGAGCCCCTGTGCCTCCGGCTCCCAGCCATTCCGGAGTGCGGGCACGAAGGCCCAGGGACCTCAAGGAGGGGGCGTGGGAAGGTGGGAGGGGGCTCGGGCCGGCGGCCGCTCACCTCCCGCTGCCGCAGGCCCGCGCGCTCCAGCTCCTGCTCGCGGCTCTGCAGCTCCAGCTCCAGGCGGCCTCTCCGCTCCTCCCGGGGAAGGTCCTGGGACGCGCCGGGGGCTCCTGAGCCTCCGCGAACCGCGAAGGGGCAGGGGCCGGGGGTGGGCCCCGCTCCCAGGAGGCGTGGCCAGGGCGGCGCGCGGGTCTGGGATTGGGCGGGGCGGCGGCGGGCGGGGCCGCGGGCCTACCTGGCTCCGCAGGCGCTGGCGCTGCTGCCGGAGCTGCTGCTCGGTCTCCTCGTACAGACACCGCACCTCCCTCTCGTGCTCGCTCTCCCGCCTTGGGGTGCGGGTGGGGTGGGATGGGGATGGGTGGGGGCCGGGTGAGACAGCTGCACGGAGCTGCCCGTCCTGCAGCCCCGCCCGCCCCGCCCCAGCCCTCACCGCCGCAGCGCCAGCTCCAGGCCGGCTCGCTCCCGGGCCGCCTCCTCCAGGCAGGCGGACGCGCCCATCAGGACCTCCTCCAAGTGTCCCAGCAGCTCGGGGCGCTCGCGCTGCAGCCGGGTCCAGAGCAGCCGCACCGCCCGCTGCCTGGAAGGGCGGGCAGGGGCTGAAGCCACCGTAGGGGGCTCCGCGCCCGCCCCCAGATGACCTCGGCAGCCCCGGACCAGCCAGGCGCAGGGGCCGCCTTCAGGGCCTCCCTCCTGCGGGTGACTTCGCCCCTGGGGGCCTGCGTGTGCGCCGCGGGCTGGGCAGCGAGGGGTCCTGTGCAGGCGGGGGTAGCAGCCCGAGGCCCTGTGACCGGCGCCGCCCCTCCCGCGGCCCTGACCGCTGCCTCCTGAAATGCAAATTCTGCGGGAAATCACGCCCGCCCGCCCAGGTGCTGGCAGCTGAGGGGAACCGCGGGACCGTGCCCGGAGCAGGCAGCAGGCAGCAGGCAGACCGGGAGCTGGGGCAGGGCCAGCGCAGACTCACTCGCTCAGGACCCGGGCCACCCCCAGCTGCTCCAGCGCCGAGAGGAACCTCTCCTCTTCCTCCTCCTCCTCTTCCAGGGAGCCCCCGGGGCCTGGCCCCTCAGACCAGCCCGACTCAAAGGTCTCCTCCGCAGCCCCAGAGGGCTGTGTGCCCTGGGCCGGCTCTGCCCCCACAAACCTCCCTGTGGGCATGGGAGAGAGATCGCCGGGAGGTGGGTTACCTCCGTGCTCGGCCACCACTGCCCCCACGCGCACACACACACATCCTGCCCTTTCTATGGGCCCGGCTTCCTGTTTTCCTTCCTTATTCTGGGTGGATTCTTAGCCTGGGAGCAGACGGGCCAGAATGGACAGCTGGCTCCCAGCCCACCTGGGTTGGGCGCAGCGGGGGGGAGAGGGGTGCAGGAGGGACCGGGCACCCAGGCCTCCGCAGCGGGGGCTTTCTGGGGGCCTTCCCTCGCTGCCTGTGTGTGTGCAGAGCCCCCCTTGGGTGGGGCTCAGGCTGGGGGCAGGGCAGGCTCACCCAGGCCGAGGCAGAACTCCCGGGCGGTGAGGAAGCCCGCGCCGGCCTGGTCCAGGCTTTCGAACACAGCCTCCAGCTGCTCGGGCGTGAGGAGCAGGTCGCTGTGCAGGCCCTGGCGGACAGACGGGCCGGCTGAGTGGCGGAGGCCAGCCCCTGGGCAGCCCCTCGGGACGGGGACTCACCTGCAGGTCGTGGCAGGTGATGAAGCCCTTGGCCTCCTTGTCACACAGCAGGAACAGCTCCTGGGCCTGCGCCAGCATGGAGGCCCAGGGCCCCGCGGAGCCTGCCTCCGGCTCCCCCTCCTCCGCCTCCTCCAGGGCCTCCCCAGGGCTGGCCATGGGAGCGGGGTCTTGGCTGTGGGGTGCTGTAAAGCCAAGGAGAGTCAGGGGCAGAGCAGAGCTCCTAAGAAAAAAGGGGGGGTGGCTCGCACAGGAGGGGGGGCAGAGGGAAGGTAAAGGCCTAAAGGTCAGTGGCTGAGGGCTGAGCGGGGGCCATTGGGACACAGGGTTGGGCAGAGGACGGTGGGAGGAGGCCTGGCCTAGGTCCAGGGGAGAGGGGCAGCGGGAGGGTCTGCTGGCTTGAGACTCTGAGGGCTTGGGGTGTAAGGGCCGGTGGTGCAGGACTGAGGGAGCTAGAGCCTCGGGCTCAGGAGGGGGTCGCCCTGAAGAGAGCTGGCTGGGAGAGGGGCAGTCTGGGGGGGGGGTCCATGGAGGGCCTTGGGATGACAGCTGAGGGCACGGGGCTGGGGTGAGGGGTGGCCGGGGACAGGAGCCGGACTGAGGGGATGACTGGGAGGAGCACTCAGCCAGCCCCACCTGGGCCCAGGCCCGCCCTCACCAGCTGGCAGGTGGATCGCCCCGCCCTCTCGCCCAGCCCCGCCCACCGCGGCCCCGGCTCCCTGGGTGCGGGTGCGGGTGCGGGTGCGGGTGCAGGGCCCGGCGGACAGGGTGCCCTCCATGGCTGCGGTCAGGGTTCCTAGGTGCCAGGCTGACAGACTCCCCGCACAGGCTCGCCCCCTCCCAACCTGCGCCCCCCCCCCCCCACACACACACACAAAGGGCGCCGCGCCCTTCATCCCGATCCGGGTGCCACCGGCCACCTGTCTTCCCGGCCGCCCCGGGCGCGCGTTTTCCGGCCCCGACCCCCGTGGGCCGCCCGCACCGGCTCTGAGCGGTCGGAGCGTGTCCTTCCCGGGTCAGAGCGGGGCCCCGCCCTGTCCGGGGGGCTGCGCGGGCCCGGGTCCGAAGGCCGGTCTGCGGGAGCGGGACGGGGCGCACCGGCCAGGCACCCCACCGCGCCCCGCGCCCCGGCCCCCGGGCTCCGGCCGGAGGGCCATCCCGGCGGAAGCTGCGTTCGGCCGGACGCGGGAGCGGGAAGGAAGGGCCGCAGCGCCCCGCCCCGTGGGGGCCCCGGAGCCCCCGCCGCCCGGGGGTGGGCGCACCCTGCGGGCCTCGGAGCGGCGGACCCGCGAGGCGCCTACCTGCGCGCTGGCCGCCGCCGCACCTGCCGCCTGGCTCCCCTCCCGGAAGGCGGGCGCGGGCGCCGCTCCTGCCGCTCGGAGGCTCCGGGACCCCGGCGTGGGCCGGCCCGGGCGGGCGGGCGGGGCGCCACTGCTGTCGCCTGTCCCCGCCTCTCGCCGCGCTCCCCACCCGCCCGCGACCTGGATCCATCCCGCAGAGCCCCGGGCGGTGGGGCGAGGCGACCGGCTCCGGGGCCGCCCTGTGCGGCCAGGTGAGCAGGGCAGGGGCTGAGGACCGGACTTAAGGGGCTCAAAGTGCAGGAACCGCGGCGGGAAGTACAGGGACACCTCCAGCCCCGACCGTGTCCCCGAGGGAGGGTGCGCTCCCGGTGTTCCCACTGCGTTCCTAGCCACACACCTGGCGTCCTAGAAAGTGAAGGTAAATGCACAGACAGACGCCGGGATGAGGGTGAGAGGCGTGAGGGCTGAGGGTGAGAGGTGTGAGGGCTGAGGGTGAGGGTGAGCCAGGGGTGGGAGAGGGGTGAGCCCTCGCCGCCGGGGGGAGAGAAAGTCCACCTCTTCCTGGCCTCCCCGCCCGCACCAACCTGGAGGCCTGGCCTCGGTGGCCGCCTCTGCTTCTCCAAGGCCCGATCCTGCCTAACGAGAACAGGTTGGGTGGAGAGGCCGGGACCTTGGGAGTGAGGGGGGCGGCCCTGGCACAGGGAGCCGGGGACCTGCCCAGCCGGCTCGCCCAGTCCCGCAGCCCTCTCCTCCGTTATTGTTGGCCGGGGGCTGCGCTGCCACAGCCGGCCGCACAGCCAGCCAGCCGTGGGGGAGCAGGTGGGGCCAAACCGCAGGCCTGAGGGCTCTTTCCCAGCACCCTCCACCCCTGGCTCCCGGTCAGCAGGGGGGCTGCCCAGAGCCGAGGGGACTCAGGAAACCATGTCTCCCAGACCGAGGCGGGCCCTGTCCCAGGCGCCTCGTGTATTGGCAGAAGGCTGGGCCCGGGGGAGGAGGGGTCCAGGGAGCGAACGTGTGCACCTGGCCAGCACGGCCGGCACACAAAGCCCAGCGTGGAGCAGGCCCCGCACCCGCTCCCGGGGAACCTCGCCCTGCGAGGCCCAGAGGGCAGCGCCCCCTTGTCACCCTCCCCCTCACCACTGAGCGGAGGTGCGACACCACCTTTTGTAAACACGTCTTTTTTATTCAGTGAGGATCTTGGTCTCAAATACTCCCACTGCCCTGGGGAAGCTGTGCCGGTCAGCCTGCAGGCCTCGGGCCAGGGGGCAGGTGTGTGAGGAGGGGCTGCAGCCAGGAGGCCCTCAGCGCCTGAGGGGCGGCCCCAGGCCCCATGCTGGCCTCCAGCAGCCGGGACCCTGGCAGCCGGGAAGGAGGCTGTACCCACGTGGGGCAGCTGGAGGGGTCACACACACGGAGGACGCAGGGGCTGAGCTGTGGCCTTTATTACGTCTGCTTCGGCAAAAATAAATAAGTCTTCACACATCTTCAGCATCTCCAGTGAAACGCGAGGAGGAGCAGGTGCAAAGTTCGAGGGAGTGATTCTGCCCGGACCCCGGCCCTGCCCTGCCCTGGGCAGGCCTGGGAGTGGGTGTTAAGGCACAGGTGGGAGCCTCTGTGGCTGGGGTGCTGCACGCCCCGCCTCCTCAGTGGGGCAAGTGAGTGGTTTGTGGAGGAGCTGACAGCCAAGTCCCTCTCCCAGCGGGAGCCCCTTCTCCTCCCTCAGGCATGGAGGGAGGGGGGAGGGTCTCAGTGACCCCAGGGCCCCGCCTCATGGGGCAGGGAAGCTGGAGGGCCTGGCCCTCAGCACTGGGACCCCGGGGTGGGGTGGGGTGGGGGGCTGGGAGGGCGGGAGTGAGGGCTCTCAGCAAGGGGGCGGGTGCTGCGGGGGCGCGGGGCTGGGGCAGGAGGGGGTGGGGGTGCGCATGCGCAGGGCGTCGGGCGGGAAGGCCACGTTGGTGCAGAAGAGGCCCAGCAGCAGCTGGCGCTGGCACTCCTCCCACTTGGCCAGCGTGTCCACCAGGGAGAGGTTGCTGCGCATCCAGCCGGGCAGCGCCTCACAGTAGGCGGCGTAGGACAGCGGCACGGAGGGCAGCGACTGGACGCGGCGCAGCTCCGCCTGCTCCGCCAGCCTGCGGGGGGCGGGGGGCGGGGGCTTTAGTGGGGAGCGCTAAGGTGGGGCTGTGGCCCCCCCAGCACAGCAGCCAGGGCCTTACCCGGTCGGCAGGCGGCTGCCCAACTTCCTCTTGGCACGCATCACCAGGTACTGGCAGATGCTGCCCGTCTGCTCCTTCATCCACCGGAAGTCCTCGGGCACGTCGGGCAGCCACTCCAGCAAGCTGGCGGCGGGAGGCACGGCCTCGGTCAGGGCCGGTGCCCGGCCCACCCCCGCCTTTGGCCCTGACATCTCCATCCTCCCCCGCCAGCTGCCTCTTCCCGGGGGGACCCCACTCAGAAGGGCTCGCCTGCTGCCCGCCGGCCGTACCGGATGGTGAAGGACACGGCGCTCTCCAGGGGCAGCGTGTAAGGCGTCATCATGGCCGTGGCCAGACGCACGGGCAGCATGTTGGAGAGGGTGGTCAGCAGGTCTTTGGGCTCCATGCAGGCCTCCAGCAGGGCTGGGGGAGCAGGAGGAGGCTGACACCAGTGGGGGAGGCGGGGCCAGCTCTGCTCTGCTCCCCAGCCTCCCCATGGCCCTCCACCCTCACTGATAGTGCCCCCCATGCACCTTCATTGAGCCCGGCTCCCCACGTGCCCTCACTGAGCCACGTGCCCCCCACACCCTCACTGAGCCACGTGCCCCCCACACCCTCACTGAGCCCGTCCCCCACGCCCTCACTGAGTCTGCTCCCCACGCCCTCACTGATCTGTGCCCCCCATGCACCTTCATTGAGCCCGCCCCGCCACGCCCTCACTGAGCCCGCCCCCCACGGCCTCACTGAGTTTGCCCCCCACACCCTCACTGAGCCCGCCCCTGACGCCCTCACTGGTCTGTGCCCCCCACGCCCTCACTGAGCCGTGTGCCCCCCACGCCCTCACTGAGCCCGCCCCTGACGCCCTCACTGGTCTGTGCCCCCCACGCACCCTCGTTGAGCCGTGCGGGCAGGTGGTCCAGGATGTGGTCCTCCACCAGAGCCCTCTCCACTGCCAGCACCGCTTTCTCCCGGTCCTCCTCCTGGCGGGCAGGGGGCTGGGCAGGGGGCAGTGCCAGCAAGGGATTGGGCCTGTCCAGGAGGCCTGGGAGGGGAGGCCAGAGTGTCAGCTCAGCGGAGGGCCCATGGCGCCGCCCCCCCCCCCCCACCTGGCCGGCCCACACACCATTCCTCCGCAGGAAGCGCAGGCCGTCCCTGTAGCCCTGCTTGCACATCTCCCGCAGCACCTGGGGGCAGGGGTGGAGCAGGGGGTCAGACGCACCAGGCCTGGCCCTGGTCCCTGCAAACCCCTCGCCCCCCCCACCCCCAGCAAAGGGACCCGGGACCCAGGACAAGATGAGGCCAGAGAGGCTGCCCCAGTGCAGAGGCCGGGTGGGCCACAGGCTCCTTCCCAGCCTCAGAGGTTGTCCGGACCCCCTGCCGTCACACAGGCGCCGCCAGAGGGCAGCTTCCTCCCCTGGGACCAGGATGGGGACCAGGACAAGAACCAGGACCAGGACCGGGACCAGAACCGGAACCGAGACCAGAACCAGGACCGGGACCAGAACCAGGACCAGGACGGGGACCAGAACCGGGACGGGGACCAGGACGGGGACCAGGACAAGAACCAGAACTGAGACGGGGACCAGGACAGGGACCAGGACCAGGATGGGGACCAGGACCGGGACCAGAACCAGGACCGGGACCAGAACCGGGACCAGGACCGGGACGGGGACCAGGACTAGGACCGGGACCAGAACCAGGACCAGGACGGGGACCAGAACCGGGACGGGGACCAGGACAGGGACCAGGATCAGGACGGGGACCAGGACAAGAACCAGAACTGAGACGGGGACCAGGACTAGTACCGGGACCAGAACCAGGACCAGGACGGGGACCAGAACCGGGACGGGGACCAGGACAGGGACCAGGATCAGGATGGGGACCAGGACGGGGACCAGGACAAGAACCAGAACTGAGACGGGGACCAGGACAGGGACCAGGACCAGGATGGGGACCAAGACCGGGACCAGAACCAGGACCGGGACCAGAACCGGGACCAGGACCGGGACGGGGACCAGGACTAGGACCGGGACCAGAACCAGGACCAGGACGGGGACCAGAACCGGGACGGGGACCAGGACAGGGACCAGGATCAGGACGGGGACCAGGACAAGAACCAGAACTGAGACGGGGACCAGGACTAGTACCGGGACCAGAACCAGGACCAGGACGGGGACCAGAACCGGGACGGGGACCAGGACAGGGACCAGGATCAGGATGGGGACCAGGACGGGGACCAGGACAAGAACCAGAACTGAGACGGGGACCAGGACAGGGACCAGGACCAGGATGGGGACCAAGACCGGGACCAGAACCAGGACCAGGACCGGGACCAGAACCGGGGACCAGGACCGGGACGGGGACCAGGACTAGGACCGGGACCAGAACCAGGACCGGGACGGGTGAGGAGTCGGAGGTGAGGGCTCACCATGGGCTCGGGCGGGAACAGGGCCTTGGACAGGCGGTAGAGGTTTCGCAGGTTGAACTGGATGCTGGTGTTGGTCACCCGCAGCTCGTGGATGTTGGTGGAGCTGTCCTGCGGGCAGATGTCGCTCTCGCCCGAGAAGGGGGACACGGTGATGGTGTTCTTGAGCTCATAGAGCGGCAGGTTGTCCGAGATGCCACCGTCCACGTAGCGCTGAGGTGGGAGGGACACGGGTCACACGGCGGGGCCTGCAGAGAGGCGGGCTGCCCCGGGCCCCACCCCTGTGGCTGTTTCGTTTGAGCCTTCACCCACTAGGCACTGGCCCGGCCGCCTGGGCGCTGAGAAACAGCCAGACATGGGCGGGGGGAGCTACAGGAAGCGCGCTGGCCTGGCTCTGGCGCTTGGGTAACTCCGGGGAAGTGAGGCAACAGCAGTGGCGGGAGTGAGGGGCTGGGGGACACGGATGGCTCCTCCCCACCCCGCCCTCGGCCCACGGGTGCCTCCCATCACCGCGCGCTTACCACGCCCTGGAGGATGGGCGGGATGAGGCCGCAGTACACGGGGATGAAGGTGCTGCACACGTTGGCCTGTGGAGGGACAGCGGGCGGTGAGCCGGGCCCCGGGGTCCGGCCGCGCCCCGGGTGACCCCTGCAGGGCCCACCTGGATGAGCTCGTCCTTGGAGCTGAAGTTGTAGATGATGACGTTCTCGCCGTCCGAGACGCGGGTCAGCGAGATGCCCAGGCGCCCGCTGGCGCGCTCATGGCAGTCGGCGGGCAGGGTTTTCATCAGGCAGCTGCGGATGGTCTTCACCAGGTTGAAGGAGGGGTGCAGCGGGCCCAGGAAGCGCTTCCGGGCCTCCTTAGACACCTCGATGATGTTGGCACCGGCCTCGCCTGGGGGCAGCAGAGCCAAGGGTCAGGGGCCAGGACGCCTGGACTTAGCACCTCCCGATGGCTCCAGGCCCAGCGTTCAGGGCACAGCAGGGGTCTGGCCACAATTGGGCCTTTTGCCAGCTGCCCCCAAAGAGAGAGGCAGGCCATACCCCCTCCCCCGGGAGGACAGACGCTGGGGCTGCCAACTGGGGCTGGGCCTGCTCTCTGCCCTCTGCCTGGTGTTTCCCAACAGCCTGCCCTGTCCATGAGTCACCAGGCCTGGCGCGTGTGGCACTCAGCCTGGGAGCAGGCGGAGAGGCTCAACTCTACTCAGCTTCAGCCTTCACCCACTTGGCCAGATCCAGACCCGCCAAACCCAGCACAGCCCATTCCCCCACGGTGTAAATAGTGGGGTCCCCCCGCCCCAGGAAAGCACAGTTGTGTCCCACTGCAGCCAGGAGCAAGCAGCCCCCGAGCACTCTCCTTGGGGCCGAGGGGGCCAGCCTAGGATAAGGCTGGGGGTGGGGGCCGGGAGTGTGGGAGCAGAGGGCCCTGTGAGGAGCTGAGGCCCAGGCCCTCTGCCAGGACCACACCCAGGGCAGAGGGAGCAGTGTGGGCGGCCCCTGCCACCTGGGGGCCCCAGCTCCCCGGACCACAAGTGAGAAGAGGCTTCCCGCCCTGACCAGTGGCTCAACTGGCTGAGTGTTGGTCTGCAACCAAAAGGTTGCCGGTTCAATTCCTGGTCAGGGCACATATCTAGGTTTTTGGTTCATTCCCTGGTAGAGACACATCCAGGAGGCAATCAATTGATGTTTCTCTCACATCAATGTTGCTCTCTCTCTCTCCTTTTCTCTCTAAAATGAATAAAATCATGTCTCTGGGCCCTGGCCGATTTGGCTCAGGATAGATCCATGGCCTGCGGACTGAAGAGTCCCAGGTTTAATCCGGTCAAGGACACATGCCCAGTTGCCAGCTCATTCCCCAGAGGGAAGCGTGCAGGAGGCGGCTGATGGATGATTCCTCCTCATCATTGATGTTTCTATCTCTCTTTTCCTCTCTGAAATCAATAAAGATATAATTTCAAAAAACACATATCCTTGGGTAAGGGTTTAAAAAAACACACATAGATTATGGTTGATAATCTCTCATTATATTAAAAAAAGAAAAAGATGCCCTAGCCCAGTGGTTGGCAAACTGAGCCCCTTGAGTGTGGCTCTTCCACAAAAAACCAAACCGGTTTGGCTCAGTGGTGGAGCGTCGGTCTGCGGACTGAAAGGTCCCAGGTTCGATTCCCGTCAAGGGCATGCATGTTGGTTGCGGGCACATCCCTGGTAGGGGGTATGCAAGAGGCAGCTGGTTGATGTTTCTCTCTCATCGACGTTTCTAGCTCTCTATCTCTCCCTTCCTCTCTGTAAAAAAATCAATAAAATATATTTTTAAAAAATACCACGTGAGGGCTCCTATGCACAGCATGATTGAAACTTCGGTTTTTGGCTCTCAAAAGAAATTTCAATCGTTGTACTCTGTTGACTAATGAATTTGCCGACCACTGCCCTAGCCAGTTTGAAGCAAATAGAGCTTCAGACTATGGACCTATGGACGGAAGGGTCCTGGGTTCGATTCCGGTCAAGGGCATGTACCTTGGTTGTAGGCTCCTCCCTGGTTGGGGCACATGCAGGAGGCAGCCAATCGATGTGTCTCTCACATCAATGTTTCTCTCTGTCTTTCCCTCTCTCTTTTCCATTCTCCCTAAAATCAATGAGGAAATATCCTCCGGTGAGGATTAACAAAAAAGGAAGAGAGAAAAAAGAAAAGAAAGTGGCCTTTTGAAAGTGGGGTGTGGGAGGAGTCATGTCCTCAATTGGCTACCAGGGACCTGGTGTCTCTCTTTTTTTTTCCAGAGAGCAAGGGAGAATGAGAGACAGAAACATCAATGATAAGAGAGAGTCAGTGGGGACTGAGAACTCTGGTCTGAGGGCCTCCTGAGAGGGGGGTCAGGGCCCCAGCGGGGGATCCCCTTCCCAGGAGTACAGAGGCGTGCTCCCACCCCACCCACTCAGGGCAGAGGTCACGGGCAGGGAGGAGGCCGGGGAGAGCCCTGCACAGGCTCCTGCCGGGCGGGGCACCGATGACCACTGGGTCACCTTGCTGCCCAGGGCGGCGGGGCTGGGCAGCTCTCCCAGGGCTCCTGGAGGAATCGGTAAACACCCGGGCCCCGCCGGAAGTGTGGGTGAGTGGAGGCGTCCTTCCCGGCACGCTCAGCCCTCAGCCCGCCCCACCGCGGGGCGGAGCGCCCGGACACTCCAGCCACCCCACGGAAGGGGCCCACAGCGGGGACCCAGGCCCCCATGGGCGGTGGAAGGACCCGTCTGGCTCCTGCTCCAGGGGCCCAGCCCTCGGAGGGCGTCAGGCCTCACCCCGTGCCCGGGGGCCCTGGCAGCCTGCGGGGTGACAGAGCCTCAGGACACGGTGACCGCTAGCACCTGGGCCCCGCACCCGGCGGCCAGGGCGAGGGGGCAGCGCGGGCCCGCCCTCCCCGCAGGCCCCGCCCACGAGCCAATCTCCTCCAATGACAGCCTCGGCGGCACCTGCCCGCCCCGCGTCACCGCCCGGCGCCCCAGGAGCGCCCGGACCCGGCGGCCCGGGGCAAAACAAGCCAGGCCCGCCCCCGCCCCCGCGGCCCCGGCCCCGCTCACCCAGGCAGGCCCCGGTGACCAGCGCCGTGGCCGTGAGCGCCCCGGCCGAGGCGCCGTAGATGTGCGTGGCGTTGGCCACCAGGAAGGGCGCATGCTCGCGGAGGCAGGAGGCCACGCCGATGTGGTAGACGCCGAGGAAGCCGCAGCCCGCGAACGAGATGTTCCACGTCGTCTCCCGGGGCGACGCCGCGTCCTTGGGGAACATGGCGGCGGCCCGCCGGCCGGGGCTCCGGAGGCCGGCCTTGCGGTCCGCTCGCCGGTAGCTCGGGGAGCTCGCTCGCTCGCTCGCAGTCGCTCCGGTTCAGGGTCTCCGCCGAGGAGGCGGCGACGCTGCGCGAGGAGGCGGCGGAGACGGTGTTTTTAGAGGTTGGTGGGCGGGGCCGGCGCGGGGCGGGGCCGGCGCGCGCGGACCAATCAGGGCGCGCGGGGAAAGACCGCGCCCTCGGGGGCCCTGGAGCCCCGCCCCGCCCGGAAGCCCCGCCCCCCTCCGCCGCGGACGGGTCCTCTGGGCCCGGAGCTGCCCACAGGCCCCGGCCCACCGCCCCCTCCCCGTCCGCCATCGTGGGCGGCGGAGGGGACCCAGAGGCCGCCCGAGTCTTCGGGCCTGGGAGCGTCGTGGATGTCGGGACAGCCGCGGAAGGAGGGCCCTGGTGTTTGGGCAGCGCCCTCCGCCACCTCATGGTCTGTCTTGACAGCCTAGTGACCCGTCAGCACCCATGACTCACCCCGGTCGGACCCATAAGCTTCCGGGGCCGGACACTCACACAACCTGAAAGCTCCCACAAGCGCGGGGACCACCCCTGAGGCCCTCACCCCAGCCCACCCCCTCCCCACAGCCCTCCACACTTGGGCACAGCCTGGGTTCTACCCGCTCCTCAGGCCGGGCCTGCGGTCTACTTGGGTATGACTGGGCCCTCCCCGCCCCTGCAGGTGGAGCAGGGGGTGATGTCAGCTCCCTCCAGTTCTGCCTTTTTCTCCTGGACTGCCGGTGCCACAGGCCCAGCCTGGTTGGGATGACCTTAACCCGGGGCTGGTCCACCTGGGGTGGTGGGGAGGCAGGGTGCCCAGATGGTGCCAGGGAGCAGCCCCCACCAGCCCAGGGTCAGGCCCGGAAGCCAAAGTAGGGCAGGGCGTGTGGATAGTTAACTCGAAAGGGCACAGGCTAGCTGACCGCATGTGCCCAGGCCCTGGGTGGGATGGGGATTGAGAGGGGAGCCGGTTTGGGCACCCGGAGAGGGAGAAGCAGCGGATCTCGCCAAATGAATCTTAGAAAGACTTGCCCTCTCTCCCATCCCCCAAGGCCTGGGATGCAGGTACAGCGCCAAGGGTGTGGCCCCATCAGGATGGCCAGCGCCTCTGGTGACTGAGTCCTTGGGGAGGCTGCTGGAGGCCACAGGGAGCAAAGAGCGGGCACAGTGGGGATAAGGCCAGCCTGGGAAGTTCAGGGGTTCACCAGGGTGGTCAAGAGGGAAGCTGGGCCTGGCCAGTGTGGCTCAGTGGTTGAGCATCAACCTATGAACCAGGAGATCAAGGTTCAATTCCTGCTCAGGGTTACATGCCCAGGTTTCAGGCTCAATCCCCAGGGTGGGGTGTGCAATAGGCAGCCGATGGATGATTCTCTCATTGATGTTTCTCTCTCTCTTCCTCTCCCTCTTTTTGATATCAATAAAAACGTATTTTTTAAAAAGGGGGCGAGGGGAGGTGGGCAGTGCAGGCTGAGCCAGGGGCTGAAGTCCCTCCCTCAACCTGCTCCAAGGAGAGGCTGGGGTCCGAGCCCTGCCTGCTTTATTGGGACCATAGGGTCGTGGGGGGTGGCGCTGCCCCAGTGCAGAGACCTCTGTCCCCATTTCCACACCAGAGTTGAACTGTTTTGGGTACAGATCCCTCCCTTTGGGCCTCTGGGATGTCAGCTCTGGAGCCAGGAACAGGACGGCCCTTCCTGGAATCCTGGCTGGGTGGAGGAACCCCTGGTGTCTGGTGTGCATGGCCACGCCAGCGGTGTCAGCGCCTCCCCCACCGTGTCCTCTGGCCCACAGGGCCCCTCTCAGGGCTGGAGCATAGCCTGCGAGCTCTGCCCTGGACCCTGCGCCCACTTCTCTGCTGGGCCTCCTGCCCCCATGCAGCTTGCCCCACAGCTGGTGCCGCTGGGACCACTGCAGTTGTCTGACTTCTCCCGGCCCATGTCCCACCCACCAGAAACCTGGCTTCTACATCCTCCCTTCTGAGAAGGCCCTGGGCCAGCGGTTCCCAATGTGGGGCACATGCCCCACAGGGGGCAATTGGCTTTAAAAAGGGGGGCAACTCCAGGATGAGGTATTAAGTCAGTTTCCAGCATTTCTTATGGTTCCAGGAGCCTCATATACGTTTATGTATTTCAGTTCTCCGTTGTGGTTTGAAACTATCTTCTCCTATTCATATTTTTAACAATTTCTTCCTCAGGACTTCCAACTGTCTTTTTTTCCTCTTTCCTGGATACCATGTTCTTTGGAGGCTTGTTTAGATCAAGTTCATGGCCTTTTAAGCTTCCAAAAAGTGAATGCTCACTTCTTGAATAATTGTCAGAGGGGGCATCAGGATTTGAGATGCTTAGGTGGGGCATGACCAGAAGGCTGGGGACCTCTGCCCCAGGCCCCTCCTCTGGCCTTCCTCCCTTCACGCCTCCTTGCTCGTCCTGCCCTGGAGCCTCCGCAGGTCTTGGCTCCCTGCCTGAGGGAGGCCTGTTCCCACTGCTTTTCCCATAGAACTAGCCCACAGGGGAAGGCTCTTCACACGAGTTGCACACCTCAGTCAGCTCCTGAGCCAGGATCTCGGAGTGGTGTCTGAGGGACCATGGTAGGCACACCCCAAAAGACTGAGCAGACTGCCAGGTGAACTGTACCCACAAGCACTTCCCATTTACCCAGCAGAGCAGGTGGTGGACTGAATCCCCTGCCTGCAGAACCCAGGGGCCACCCAGGCCTCTGCCCACCCCAGAGCAATGGAGACCACTGTTGCTTTTTAAGAAATCTATTTATTGATTTGAGAGAAGGGGATGGAAGAGAAGCATGGATGTGCTGTTCCCAATGTGCTCACTGGCAATTCTCGTGTGCCCAGCCGGGAGATCAAACCCGCCACCTCCGTGTGCCAGGACAATGTGCTAACCAATGGAGCTGCCGGCCAGGGCTGCCCAGTGTGGCTTCTGGAGTCTTCCTGGGGTAAACCCCTCAGGAGCCAGGACCACTCAAGGAGGCTGGTGTCTCTTCCTGAGCCCGTCATGGCTTGGCAGCATCCAAGACCCACGGGAAGCGTCCCCGCCCCACCAGCTCTTGGGCCCGCAGCCTCCTCCCTGGCCGTCCCACAGCTGCCTCGCAAAGGCCGGCTCTAACAAATGGTCACAAGCCCTTCAGATATGTGTAAAAAGGATTTTATTTGCAGGGGAAGGAGACTAATCAAACAAGCCGAATCCCATGTCGTCATCCGACTCCTCGGACTCCTCCTTCTTCTCATCTTTCTTCTCCTCGGCTGTGGGGAAAAGGCCAGTGAGTACGGGCCAGGCCACCAGACTCTCCAGCATACCTGCAGTGTCCGCTGTCTGAGCCCCCACTTACCTGCAGCCGGGGCAGAACCAGCAGCAGGAGCTGCAGACCCCGGGGCGGCGGACACCGCCACAGCCCCTCCAGCAGGGACGCTGGCCAGCTTGCCAATACCTAGGAACCAGAGAAGGGAGTGAGCAGAACAGCCGCTCAGACTGAAGCTTCCCCCCCAAGAGGCTCCCATCTGGGAACTGGGCTTCCAGGAACTGGCCCACAAGAAGCTGGGCTGTAACCCCCACCTGGGGTCAGGTTGGACAAACATGTTTATGACCAGGCAGGGACCTAGCCTGCTGCCCAGTGTCCAGATCTGCGTTCCCAGCAGTGAGCTCAGAGGAGGCTTTTGGCTGAGCTGGCTCTTGTCCTGGCCAGTCACATGTCCAGGGACAGGAATGGCTGCCCCAGCGGCGCAATTTCCAAACAAGTCCCATCACCTCCACCCTGATGTCACCAGAAAGCCATCCACCACCCCGCAAAGGGAGCCTGGGGCCTGTGGTCACCGCAGACACCAACCCCTGACAGAGGGCACGTGCAGAGACCTGTTTACTTCTCCAAATAACCTGGCAGGTAGCCAGGCTCAGGAGCAGCACTGGCGCCCCCTAGCGTCCTCTCTCAGAATGTCTAGAAGTGCCCCTGGCGTGAGCCCGCGGAAGCCGTGCTCACTCCTCCTCGGGGCGAGGCTTCTAGGCTGCTCTGGTCCACAAGCGAAACCTGGAAGGCCACGGGCGGCCAACAGGAATTAGGATGGACCTCGGGAACCACAGCCGCTGCACAAGCTCACCCTGGGCGATGACATCCTCAATGTTCTTCCCGTTCAGCTCGCTGATCACCTGGAGGAGGAAACCGTGGCCAGCAGTTACCAATACCCGACCTGCACCCCTCCTGAAACCAGGCCCACTAATTACCACGCACACGTGGGTTCTCCCCACCGAGACAGCTCCAAATGGGAGCTCACACCTCTAAATTACTGCCGGAAAACAGATGCAAAAATATCTTAATTTGCACCCATTATATGTCAAAAGTAACATTTTCGTTAATTTGTGTGAAAAAGAAAGGCTCTCAAATACATCCCCCTTTCCATTTCTTAGATACGGCAGTTACTACGGAATTTTAAATCACACGAGACTTCCCCTGTGCTTCTACTAAACCATGCCGGTCTTGTTTTCTTGGGGCTGTATCAAGGCCTCCAAACCACACTTTCCCCCCCCAAAAAAAAACACTCGGACCGGGAACCCGTTGTGCAGAGTGTGCTTCGGCCGGGCTCGGCGGGCGGCTGGCTACCTTGTTGAGCCGGTCGTCGTCCGCCTCGATGCCCACACTGTCCAGGATCTTCTTGATGTCCTTGGCGCTGGGGGAGGCATTGCCCCCGAGGGCGGCCAGCAGGTAGGAGGCGACGTAACGCATCCTGAGCGACGGAAAACCGAGGCGTTACCGTGAGGCCTCCCGTCCCCACCCCGGCCCGAGCGCGGCCGCGCGTGGCCCGGCCTGGGGACCCCACCGAGGCCGCCCCGCGCCCTGCCCGCCCCCGAAGGCCCCCGCCCGGCCAACGGCCCAGTTGGGTCGCTCCACTCACTCGGCGGCGGCGGAGGGGCCTCGCGCGTGCGACCTCGGGCGGCGTCAGGCAGGGAAAGGAAGACGCACGCGCGGGGGGCGGGGGTAACCCGCTACCCAGAAGCCTCCGGGAGCTACCCTCCTTGCACCAGGCGCCTGCGAATGACGTCACAAGGCGCTCGGCCAATGAGGACGCTGGGGAAGTCATCTTCCGGTCCGGTCCGGCAGCCGCCCCAGCAAAGGCGAAAGGCAATTCCGAGGCCGCCTTCTTACCCAGTGTGGGGCGAACGTCCCCCGAAGCCCCTGCGGCGGCGGGACGAAGCCGGGCGCGAGCCCGAGTGCAGCCTCTCTCTTCAGGGCTCCCGGCACGCCACGCGGGGCCTACACACTCCCAACATGCAGCGCGGCCGCCTCGCCCCTGACGCCTTCCTTTGCGACAGCGGCCAACGCAGCCAGTAACTACAAGTCCCATCGTCCAAGGCGGCCGGAAGTGTGAGTGCGCTACTTCCTGCGAGAGCGACACGTGGGTCCTACTGCGCAGGTTCGGCCGGGGCGCTTCCGGCTCTGGCGGCGCCGGGCAGCGGGTCGGAGGCTGGCGTCCGGTGGGGTGGAGCTCCGGTCCTGCCTGGCCCAGCGAGGTGGGCGAACTTCCTCCAGGGAAGGTTAATGGCCTTGATGTCGCGGAGCCGAGCTGTCTGGGCCCCGTGGCTGCTCCTCTGCGCTGCTCTGTATCGGCTCCAACCTGACATCGGCACGCGCCACCCATTCATTGCTCCAAGTCGGACTCCGCTGCGGCCTGCGTCCTGGGCGGGAATAGACCCAGCCGGCTCCCGCAAAACTTAGGTTCTGGCGCGAGGACGCGCGGAGTAAATAAACAAGAGGTCCCTGGCGGAGATAGACCCTGAAAGGATGATGCAGGGATATGGAGCCGAAAGATGAGAAGGAGCCGGCCTTGCTAAGTCCCGGGGGGTGGGGGGGGCGGCACCGGGCCATGGGGTCAGAGGCGAAGGCCGGGCGGAGCTGGGTCCCCAGGCGGCAGCCAGCCCATAGCGGCCCAGCAGAGCCAGCCTCGGGTGTAGCGCATCAGACGCCGTTGTGTTAACGCAAACCACCCGGTCGCCCTGAAGCATCCATCTTATATAGAAACTGCTGTTGGACATGCTGACCCTGCCGTCTGGCTGCTGTGGATGCGTGCTTGCTTAAACAGTGAGGAAAGTAAGAGTACTCCCACTTCAGAGGCCATTAACCTTCCCCGGAGGAAGTTGTCAGTGCTGGCGCCAGGCCAAGTCTTTGGTTGAGGTCTCAAGGCCCCAGCACACAGGGGCTCCTTAAAAACTTGCAAAGGGGGCCGGAAACAGCCCGTATTTGGGAGACAAAGAAGGTAAAACATAAATAGGGAAAGTCCTTCCATGTTGGGGCCCAGAATTTGAGAGATGTTTTCCTCTGGACCCATGAATAATAAATGTAACTCTTTGCCCTGACCGGTTTGGTTCAGAGGAAAGAGGATGGGCCTTCGATTCAAGGGTCCCAGGTTCGTTTCCCATCAGGGCAAGGAACCGGTCAGGAACCTCGGTTGCAGGCACATCCCCAGTAGGAGGTGTGCAGGAGGCAGCTCATCGACGTTTCTAACTCTATCCCTCTCCCTTCTTCCCTGTGAAAAATCAATAAAAGTATATATTTTTTTTTTTTTTTTTTTTATATTTTATTGATTTTGTACAGAGAGGAAGGGAGAGAGATAGAGAGCTAGAAACATCGATGAGAGAGAGTCATCGATCAGCTGCCTCTTGCACACCCCCTACTGGGGATATGCCCGCAACCAAGGTACATGCCCTTGACTGGAATCGAACCCGGGTCCCTTCAGTCCCCAAGCCGACGCTCTATCCATTGAGCCAAACCGGTCTCGGCAAAAGTATATATTTTTTAAATAAATGTAACTCCCTCTCTCTAAGTACTGCTTAGTTCTCTGGTTTTCTGTAACGGCCCTAGGCATGGTCATAACCGGAGGTCAGGCACAGACACTTTCTTGCTCAAGGTCACACAATTGGGGGTCAAGTGGGGAGACCAACATCAATGATGAGGGAGAATCACTGATTGGCTGCCTCCTGCACATCCCACGCTGGGGACCAAGCTGGCACGTGCCCTGACCAACAATGGAACCGTGACCTCCTGGTTCACAGGTCGATGCCCAACCACTGAGCCACTCTAGTGGGGCTGATTGATGAACGTAAGTGGAAAATAAAACATAAAATTTACCATTTTAATGAGACAATTCGGTGGAACTTAGTACATTCACATCGTTGTAAAACCACCATCATCTCCAGAACGTTCTCATTTTCCCAAACTCCCCGACTCCGGTGGCTCATTATTTCACTCGCTGTCTCTGGACCTGATTCCTGTGAGTGTAACCCCCTGTATTGGTCCCTCTGTGTCAGTCCCATTTCACTCAACAGAATACCCGCAAGGTTTACCGCGTCCTAGCGTGAGTCCGAACGTCCTTCCTTTTTAGGGCCACACATTCGTGTAATTGTTTTTAAAAAGGCTTCTCTGGCAGCTTCTGCCCATCCTGGTGGGGATGGTGGTGGCTGGGGCGTGAAGAGAGGGTGCACGGTCTGGTGAGGCAGGCCGGGCCCAGCTGGATGTGCTCATCTGTCCCTCTACAGGGCACCCACTCATGGGTGAGCGCGCAGGCGGGAGGCTTTCTGGTTTGAGGGTCTGGGCCGGGCAGGCGCTCACCAGCTCTGGCCTCTCGGGGCCTCCTTGTCCTCCCTCCTGGGACGCAGACGCGTGGAAGGAGGCGGCCCGGGGGCGGGGGGGAAGCCGGGTGGGCCCCTGTCCGGAGCGATCACCGTGGGGCAGGGTGACGGGAGCTGAGGAAGGACAGGCACCCAGAGCAAGGGGTATGGGTGAGGGTGCGGGTGGGGTGGCTCTGAGGCCGCCGGTGCGGTCCGTCCCCAGGCCCGTCCGCCTGGGCGGCCAGTGTATACACCGGGAGGGGACGCACAGCCCAGCGGGAGCCGGGCGAGGCCTCTGGGACGGCGGGTTTCGTGGCGCGCGGCGCGCACCGCCGGACGGACCGGGAAGCGGCGCTGGAGACGCGGGGCGGCGGCAGCAGATGGGCCGGCGTCCCCGTCTCCAGGGCAGCGGCCGCGGACCCCGGGGCGGGGCCGGAGGGGGCGGCGCCCGGAGGCCCAGCCCGCCCGCCCGGAAACGCGCCGGCGGGAGCCCGGGCGCGCGGAGCGCACGGAGCCGGCGGGAGGGAACGCAGGTACGCGCGGCGGGAACGGGGCCGGAACGGCGGGCGGGAGAGTCTGCGCTCCCCGGGCCGGGGCCCGCCCCGAGGCCGCCTGAGTCCCGAGGGCGCCCCGCACCGGCCCCGCTGCCTCCCGGGGTGTGAACCGGACGGGGCCGGAGGACTCCTCCGGGGGCCAGGGAGCGGGGTGCCATGCAGGGCGCACCCCAGTCCCCTCTCTCACATTCGCTTCTCTGACACACTTGGGCACCATCCATTGATCGCCCGTGGCCCGGGACACCGCCCCCACGTGGTAGATGGCGGTCCTGACCTGTCAAAGCGGTTGAGTGAAGGCGGGAGGTGGGGCTGGACCCAGGAGCCTCATGTGGGACCGGGGCGGAGGTTGGGGGGAGGACAGCCAGGATGACCTGACAGCTCTGGAGTCCCAGAAACTCCCACCGCCCTCCTCCCCGCAAGCCGGTTCCCAGGCGCCCCGCACACAGGTCACCCCGCTTGCTGCCCTCTGGCCCTGGGCTGCCATTCTCCAGCCCCGAGACCCCTGAGCTCTGTGCGGCCTGGGCCTGGGCTCTAGGAGCTGGAGTGTTAACAACCCAGAGTCCCCAGGCCTCTGACCGGGAGGAGGGTCCATCCCCACTCCCCCTCTCCTCTCCCGACTCCGCAGCCCCGGGCCCTGCCTGAGCAGGCCTGCCTGGCAAGCTGGGACATGTCCGGCCCCTGGGGCCTGCCTGTGGGCGATGGTTGCTGCGGAGGAGGAGCCCGAGCGCCGGGCGGCGGCTGCAGAGGATGCTGCAGACGAGGACGCGGACGCGGGTCCAGGAGCATCCCTTCTCCCGGCTGGGAACCGCCTGAGCTTGGACCTGCACCCCGGGGGCTGCCGCCGGCTGCTGCGCCTGTGTGCCCGGCACGCCCCTCCGCTGCTGTGGGTGGAGTTCCTGCAGCTTAGTGGCCACGAGGACCCCCGGCTGCTGGGGGCCGCCCTGGCTCAGGTGCCGCGGAGCCTGCCGCAGCTCCGCTCCCTGGTCCTCAGAGGTGAGCCCGCCTGGTGCCGGCCCCCTTGCCCCCCATTTCTAGCTCCTGACTCTGCTCCTCGTCCTCAAGGGCAAACCCCGCTCCCGGCCCCATCCCCGTTCTCCGTACACCACACCCAGCCCTCTTCTCCCACGTGACACGGGCAGCTGCCCGGTGGTGGTCCCCGGCAGACCGCAGGGTGGTCTTGGTGCTGGCTCCCTCCCGGCTGAGAGGAGCCTTCGGTCCCGGCCCCTGCCCCCCTCCACCTGCTGGTGTGTCTCCATACCTCCATCGGTCTGTCCGGTGTGGCTGGGTAGACCTGGAGGCCCCAGCCCCACTGCCTGCAGCTCCCCCCCTGGCTAAGCTGGGACCTGGGACCAAGGGCCACCCCGCCTTTTGCCCCCCAGGTGGGCAACACTGGGATGCACTGGGCGCCTGCCGGCGGGGCTCTCTGACCACGCTGCCCGCCAGCCTGAGTGGCCTGACCCGCTTGGCCCACCTGGACCTGAGCTTTAACAGCCTGGAGACGCTGCCCGCCTGCATCCCGCGCCTGGGCCGTCTGGCCGCCCTCCTGCTCTCCCACAACTGCCTCTCCGAGCTGCCCGAGGCCCTGGGGGCCCTCTCCGCCCTCACCTTCCTGTCCGTGACCCACAACTGCCTGCGGGCGCTGCCCGAGGCGCTGGGAGCCCTGTCTGTCCTGCAGCGCCTGGACCTTTCCGAGAACCGCCTGGACACTCTGCCCCCCGAGGTCGGAGGCCTGAGCAGCCTCCAGGAGCTCAATCTGGCCTCCAACCGGCTGCGGAGCCTCCCGGCCTCCCTGGGTGAGTCCCGCCTGGCCTCCTGGGCTCTCAGGACTGCAGGATGTTCCCCCGCCACTGCCTGGCCTCCACTCACCAGCCCCTCTCACCCTCCTGGGGCCGGGACCCTGCACTCACAGCCTGGCCTGGTGCTCGGGGCGGGGGGGTGGGGGGCAGGCGGAGAGGTCCTCCTTGGCCCTAAGCAGCGCCTGCCCACAGTGGGGCTGCGTTCCTTGCAGATCCTCGTCCTGCACAGCAACCTCCTGGTCTCCGTGCCCGCTGGCCTGGCCCGCCTCCCGCTGCTCGCCCGGCTGGACCTGAGGGACAACCAGCTCCGGGAAGTGCCCCCCGAGCTGCTGGACGCCCCCTTTGTGCGCCTGCAGGGGAACCCCCTGGGCGAGGCCCTGCCAGCCCCCCCCAGCCCCCCAGGTAGACTCGTTACTGGGGAGGGCAGACTGCAGACGGGACGCAGGCCGACCCCATCCTCACGGCTGTCCTCCCGCAGGGTCTCCTGCCGCCCCGGGAATGCCCCGGCTGCTCCTGACCTCAGAGCTGGACAGGTGTGTGAGGGGAGGGTGGGCCAGAGGAGCGGTCGGACCCCTTACCCGTGCTCCGGGTCTCCCAGACGCCCCCGGGGGCCAGGCTCAGACCTGAGGCCCCTCGGGGTCTGACCTGATGCTGCCCTGCCCTCACCCAGCTTCCTGGTGACCCCCCAAGGCTGCTCTGTGACCCTGGCCTGCGGGGTCCGCCTGCAGTTTCCCGCCGGGGCCACTGCCACCTCGGTCACCATCCGCTACCGCCTGTGGCTGCCGGAGCCTCGCCTCGTGCCCCTGGGCCCCCATGACTCGCTGCTCAGCGGCGTCCTGGAGCTGCAGCCCCATGGGCTGGCCTTCCAGCAGGCACGGCTGGGGGGGAGGGAGGGCTGGGGGGCAGCTGGGGGGGAACAGGGGGGGGAACCAGGGGGCCTGGGGGCAGGTGGGGTGGCCAGGGAATGCGCAGCCCGGCCAGAGGGGCTGGGGGCAGGTGGGGCGGCGGCGCAGAGGAGGTGTCAGAGCGGATGGCAGGGGGACAGCCAGATGTGACTTCCTGCCCGGCAGGAGGTGGGCCTGTGGCTGCTCTTTGTGCCCCCACGGGCCCGGCGCTGCCGGGAGGTGGTGGTGCGGACCCTGAGCGGTGACAGCTGGAGGGACCTGGAGACCCGCCTGGAGGAGGAGGCATCGAAGGTGAGGCTGCCCGGGCCCCGGGAGAAGCACAGGGGTGTGTGTGTGTGTCTCCAGGACCTGACTCCCCTCTGACCTGTTCCCTCTGACCCCATCCCGTGCCCAGCGGCTCTGGGCTCACTGCCAGGTACCCCACTTCTCGTGGTTCCTTGTGGTTTCACGCCCCGTGTCCAACGCCTGCCTGGTGCCACCAGAGGGGGCCTTGCTGTGGTCCTCCGGGCACCCGGGGGTCAAGGTCACGTTCCCCCCTGGGGCCACGGAGGAGCCTCGTCAAGTCCGGATGCAGGTACAGCTGGGGCCGCCCCGGGGGTGGCCGGTGCCCCCGCACCGGGGCTCAGGCTGCTGTGTGCCAGGTGGTGCGCATGGCGGGCAGAGAGCTGCAGGCGCTGCTGGGGGAGCCCCAGGCGGCCGTGAGCCCCCTGCTGTGCCTCTCCCAGAGCGGCCCCCCCGGCTTCCTGCGGCCCGTCACCGTGCAGCTGCCGCTGCCGCCCGGGGTCACAGGTGAGCCCCCCCCGCCCGGGGTCACAGGGGAGAGCCCCCCCGCCCGGGGTCACAGGGGAGAGCCCCCCCGCCTGGGGTCACAGGGGAGAGCCCCCCCGCCCGGGGTCACAGGGGAGAGCCCCCCCCACCCGGGGTCACAGGTGAGAGCCCCCCCCGCCCGGGGTCACAGGGGAGAGAGGACCCCGCCCGGGGTCACAGGGGACAGCCCCCCCCGCTCTGGGTCACAGGGGAGAGAGCCCCCCCGCCCGGGGTCACAGGGGAGAGAGCCCCCCCCCACCTGGGGTCACAGGGGAGAGAGCCCCCCACCCGGGGTCACAGGGGAGAGCCCCCCCACCCCACGCCTGGGGTCACAGGTGAGTCCTCCCACCCCACGCCCTGGGTCACAGGGGAGAGACCCCCCCCACCCCCACCCGGGGTCACAGGGGAGAGACCCCCTCACCCCCGCCCGGGGTCACAGGTGAGAGCCCGCCCGCCCGGGGTCACAGGGGAGAGAGACCCCCCCGCCCGGAGTCACAGGGGAGAGCCCCCCCACGCCCAGGGTCACAGGGGAGAGAGACCCCCCCACCCGGGGTCACAGGGGAGAGAGACCCCCCCGCTTGGGGTCACAGGGGAGAGAGACCCCCCCGCTTGGGGTCGCAGGGGAGAGCCCCCCCCACCCCCACCCGGGGTCACAGAGGAGAGACCCCCTCACCCCCGCCCGGGGTCACAGGGGAGAGACCCCCTCACCCCCGCCCGGGGTCACAGGTGAGAGCCCCCCCGCCCGGGGTCACAGGGGAGAGAGACCCCCCCCGCCCGGGGTCACAGGGGAGAGAGACCCCCCCACTTGGGGTCGCAGGGGAGAGCCCCCCCCCCCGGGGTCACAGGGGAGAGAGGCAGTCGGAGGGGAGGCCTGGGAGCTCAGCCCGGGCCCCTCCCCGCCGCAGGCCTGAGTGTGGACCGCGCCCGCCTGCACCTGCTGTACCGGGCGCCCCCGGCCACCACCTGGGACGACATCACGGCGCAGGTGGCCCTGGAGCTCACCCACCTGTACGCGCGCTTCCAGGTCACACACTTCTCCTGGTCAGTGCCCGGGCCCGTGCCCCCAGCCCCGTGCCCCAGCCCCCGTGCCCCCCGCCCCCAGCCCCCGTGCCCCCAGGCCCCGTGCCCCCAGCCCCTGTGCCCCCGGGCTTCCGCCCCGGCCCCGTGCCCCCAGGCCCGTGCCCCTGCCCCTGTGTCCCCGGCCCCCGTGCCCCGGCCCCGTGCCCCCGGCCCCCGTGCCCCCGGCCCCGGCCCCCGTGCCCCCCGGCCCCGTGCCCCCGGCCCCGTGCCCCCGCCCCTCTGCACCGCAGCCCGCTCGCCCCCGCCCAGGTACTGGCTCTGGTACACCACCAAGTCCTGCGTGGGCGGCCTGGCGCGGAAGGCCTGGGAGCGGCTGCGGCTGCACCGCGTCAACCTCATCGCCCTGCAGCGGCGCCGGGACCCCGAGCAGGTCCTGCTGCAGTGCCTGCCCCGCAGCAAGGTGGGCCGGGGAGGAGGGGTGGGGCCGGGCTGGGGGCCAGGGATGAGGGGGTGGGGGTCGGGGATGAGGGTGGGGCCGGGGCTGGGGGGCGGGGACGAGGGGTGGGGCCGGGCTGGGGGGCGGGGACGAGGGGTGGGGGCGGGGACGAGGGGGGGCCGGGCTGGGGGCGGGGACGAGGGGTGGGGCCGGGCTGGGGGCCGGGTATGAGGGGGTGGGGGTCGGGGATGAGAGGGTGGGGGTCGGGGATGAGGGTGGGGCCGGAGCTGGGGGGCGGGGACGAGGGGTGGGGCCGGGCTGGGGGGCGGGGACGAGGGGGTGGGGGCGGGCTGGGGGCGGGGACGACGGGTGGGGCCGGGCTGGGGGCGGGGACGAGGGGGGGGCCGGGCTGGGGGGCCGGGGATGAGGGGGTGGGGGCCGGGGCTGAGGGGTGGGGGCGGGGGATGAGGGTAGGGCCGGGGCTGGGGGACTGGGGATGGGGGGGGGGGCCGGGCTGGGGGGCCGGGGATGAGGGGGGGGGCCGGGGATGAGGGGGTGGGGGCCGGGGCTGAGGGACTGGGGATGGGGGGGGGGGGCCGGGCTGGGGGGCCGGGGATGAGGGGGGGGGGGCCGGGGCTGAGGGGTGGGGGCGGGGGATGAGGGTGGGGCCGGGGCTGGGGGGCCGGGGATGAGGGGGCCGGGGACGAGGGTGGGCCCGGTGCGCTCTGAGCCGTGGGTGCCCCAGGTGGACGCCGCGCTGCGGCGGCTGCTGGAGCGGTACCGCGGCCCGGAGCCCTCGGACACCGTGGAGATGTTCGAAGGCGAGAAGTTCTTCGCCGCCTTTGAGAGAGGCATCGACGTGGATGCGGGTAGGCCCTGCGCTGGGTGGGCCGGTGGCCAGCCTCCCCGCTCGGCCCCCACCGCCCCGCCCCGCAGACCCCCGCTGACCCCCGCTGACCTCTGCCTCCCCACTGACCCCCCGCCCCCGCAGAACCCCGCTGACCCCCGCTGACCTCTGCCTCCCCCACTGACCCCCCGCCCCCGCTGACCCCGCTGACCCCCGCCCCCGCTCGGCCCCCACCGCCCCGCCCCGCAGACCCCCGCTGACCTCTGCCTCCCCACTGACCCCCCGCCCCCGCAGACCCCCGCTGACCCCCCGCCCCCCCACCCCACCCCCCGCTGACCCCCCGCCCCGCAGACCGCCCGGACTGCGTGCAGGGCCGCGTGTGCTTCGTGTTCTACTCGCACCTGAAGAACCTGAAGGAGGTGTATGTGACCACCGCCCTGGACCGGCAGGCCCAGGCCGTGAAGGGCCAGGTGGGCTGACGGGTGGGGCCCCCGGCTGCCTGCCCGGGCCGAGGCCGGGCACTGACCCTGCTCCCGCCCCAGGTGTCCTTCTACCGGGGAGCCGTGCCCGAGGACGTGCCCGCGGAGGCGGAGGCCGCCCGGCAGAGGAAGGCCCCGGACGCCCAGTGGATGGCCACTCTGCCCATCAAGCTGCCGGTGTGGCCGGGTGGGGAGGGGAAGGAGAGGGGAAGGGGCGGGTGGGCCTGGGGCTGGAGCCAGGGCTCACTGCGCCCACTCCTCCCCCCAGAGGCTGCGGAGGTCCGAGGGCCCGGGCCCGGGGCCGGGAGCCAGCCTCTCCCTGGCACCTCTGAACCTGGGCGACGCTGAGACCGGCTTCCTGACTCAGAGCAACTTGCTGAGTCTGGCCGGGCGCCTGGGCCCCGACTGGCCGGCTGTGGCCCTGCACCTGGGCCTGTCCTACCGGGAGCTGCAGCGCATCCGGCATGAGTTCCGGTGGGCGCCTCCGCTGCCGCCGAGGGCCTGGGCCCCTGCGGGGGAGAGTGGGGGGCTCTGAGGCTGCTGAAGGGCCTTTGGAAGGGGGGGTGTTAGGGTAAACAGACACTGAAAGGGGTGGGCTGCCAGGGTGCAGGAGGCCCGCCCAGGGGGAGGCCGGCCCGGGGGGGGGGGGGGTGGCAGTCCTGGGGGCCCTCCGTCACGGAGCCCCTTCTCCTCAGGGACGACCTGGACGCCCAGATCCGTCACATGCTGTTCTCGTGGGCGGAGCGCCGGGCGGGGCAGCCGGGGGCGGTGGGCAGCCTGGTGCAGGCGCTGGAGCGGAGTGAGCGGCGGGACGTGGCGGACGAGGTGCGGGCCATCTTGGAGCTCGGCCGGCACAAGTACCAGGACGGCATCCGCCGCACCGGCCTGGCCCCCAGGGACCTCGCCCCGCCGGGGCCTGCGGCCTCACCGTCCCCGGAGCCTGCCCAGGCCTAGGCTGACCCTGCCGCCTCCGCGTGGCGGAGCTGTGGCCGGGCTCGGAGGTCCTGGCTCCAAGCCTCCCCCGGGTGCGGGGACAGTGACCTCGTGTCCAACAAACACGCTTGTCTGGCTGCTGTCTGAGAGCTGGGTCTGTTTGTTGGGTGGAGATCAGAGGCCGGGCCGCCGCTGGGGGACGGGGTGGGAGCGGGGGGGGGGGGGGCCCTCCGGTGACCTTGGTCCTGCCCCTGGCGCGTGCCCAGCACCTCCCGTGGGTCCTGATCATCCCGGGAGGGAGCGGAGCTGCGGCTACGAAGTGACGTCGGCAGCATCTTGGACACAAAGTCACCGTGTGCGGGCTGTGCCCCCGCCCCCACAGCCCTGAGCCCTGCGGTCCCGCCGCTCCTCCCGCAGGACAGGCGCCCATTCCCAGCGCTGGGCCGCTGGCGGGCCCCGCTCCCCTCCCGCCCACGCAGGGCCCGGCAGGGGCCGCGGGGCGCCGGGCGCAGGGGCCGCGCCGGCCGCCAGGGGGCGCCGGAGCCCCGTGCCGCGCGGGGGCGGAGCCGGCGGACGCACTCCCGCGGCGGCGCAGGCGGCGGGAGGCGAGCGGCGCGGCGGAGCGCGGTGAGTCCCGGCGCCCCGGGCGGAGCCGCGCGGGCGGCCGGCTGCGGGGCGGGGGCCGCCGGGGCGGTGGCAGCCGGCGCGGCGAGGCGGCCGGGGCCCGGCCGCGATGCTCGGGGCCCGCCGCCGGGGGTGGGAGGCCGTGCTCGGCCCCGAGCGGGACGGGCGCGCTCCCCGCGCACACGTGTCCCCGCGGGGCGCTCGCCGGGGGCCGGGCCGGGGGGGGCGCTCGGGGGACGCGCCGGGCGTGTGCGGACACGTGCGCGCTGCAGCCGCCATCGCCCAGCGGAGTTCCGACCGGTCCAACGGGACGGGGTGAGCGGGTCCCGCCGCCTCCTCTGGCCGCGGGGGGGCGCCGCTCTCGCCGGCGGAACAGAAGGCGAGGGGGCGGGCAGGTGAGATGGGACCGGGGCGGGGGCAGCTCCAGACTCGGACCCTCAGCCCGTCGCCTTCAGGGGCGGGGGGGGGGGCAGCCGCGTCATTTGTGGGCGTTTCCCCGGGCGCCGGGAGCGGCAGGCCTGCTGGCTGCCCTGAGCTGGGGGCACAGAGGGGTCACGGCTGCCGTGCCAGCCCCGGGCCTCCAGTTGGAATCCTGAGCTTGGCTGGGGCTGCCCAGTTTCTATGGCAACATGGGGTCCAGCGCAGGGCCCTCCACGGAGTGAGGACAGAAAAGGGGGTTCGGGGTCCGAGGATCCCTCTCCAGTTCTCCCCAGACAGAGCCCGCCCCCGCAATGCTGTCTGGGTCCTGCCGCCCCCGCAGCGTGGGGGGGGGTAAGGGGGACCCCAGGGCCGTCGTCTTGGGCTTGGGGTCCCTGGCTTCTGGGCCTGCCTCTCCCCGCTTGGACAGTCCGTCTGGATCGCGGGATCCCCATCATCCGGTGCCCTAACCGCGGTGATGCCCAGGGGGCAGGGCTCCCTCAGAGGGCGGGGCTCGGCTGGGCCCGGGGGTGCGGCCCGTCCGGGGCCGGAAGGAGCTAGCTGGGACCCATGTACCTGGGGGGGGGGGGGTCAGGTTGAAGTTCAGAGGGCAGGCTCTTCACGTGCTGGGCCGGGGAGCAGTCCCGGCAGAGCCCTGGGTGTGGGCTGGCGCCGGGGGAGGGGACCTGGCCGGGCAGAGGCCCTGGGAGTGCCCGTTCTCGTGGCCTCTGGACCTGCCAGGTGAGCGGCCCGTGGGTGCCAGTCCGTGGCCCCTGAGACCTGGCCTCTGGTGGACCGGAGCCTCTCCCGGGCCCAGGCTCGGTCTCCCTGACATGCACTGCCCCCGTGGACACGCAGGTCCTGCCGCCCATCTCCCCCCACGGACCCCATTTCCCGCGAGGCCATGGGGTCTGGGCACAGCCCCGTCCTCAACGCCGGGCTCCAGGCAGAGCCAGCCTGCGGCCTGCAGGCGGACCCACGGGGCACCGGGCGAGGTGGCCAGGGCTGGCATCCTTGGGGCCGGGGGCCTGGCCTGACCTGGTCAGTCTGGGGCAGACCCACTGCCCTGTGGCTGCGGCTGCGGCCGCCTGGCCTCCAGAGCTGTCACACCCCTTCCCCTCCCGGCGGCTGCAGGCAGCCTCACGCCCGAGTGAAAGAGAAAGTCCCCCGCCCCTCCCGCCCCTCCCGCCCCTCCCCGCCCGGAGACCAATCGCGGCCGCGGCACCTCCTCCCTCGCCCTCGGCTCGCTCGGCGGCTGAGCCTCAGAGGAGAGCGCTGCCCCCGGTGAGCGGACGGGAGGCGGGCGGGGGCGGCGGCGGGGGGCGGAGGGCCGCGGCGGGCAGGGCACCTGGCCTGGGAGGCCGAGGTGAAGGTCGCCAGCCCTCCGAGGGACCCCGGCGAGAGCCAGCTGGCAGCGGAGGCAGCTCTGCGGTGACAGCTCGGGCGCTGGCTGTGCCCCGGGGAGGCCGGGGCTGGCGCTGGCTCCCGAGTCCGTCCCTGGTGAGGGGGCCGGTTGCCATCCACTCCCAGCTGCCCCCCCTTTGCCACACACCCTGGCCAGGTTCTGGGGTGTGTGTCTGGGAATGAAATTCCCGGGGGGGAGGAGGGGACAGGGCTTGGTGTGGGTGAGGATGGTGCTTCCCCAGGAAGGAGGTCTGAGGGTCCAGCATGGGGGGGTGTCCTGGGGGAGACCCCAGCCCCTTTCTCTGCTCACGGATGGGGGGCCGCAGCCCCCTGCGGGTGGAGGGGGCTGACCCGGCTGGAACCTGTCCCCTTCCTTCCAGCCTCTGCCGCCGCCGCCCCCCCACCGGCGCTGGCCCTTTAAAAACGGCGCTCCGTGCGCACGTGAGCGCGACCGTGAGGAGGTGCCGGCAGGACCGCCGTGGGGGGCTGAGGGGAGTCTGCATGTGGGCACCTCCCCAGGCTGCACCCCCACACCTCGGTGCCCGGCCCGGGTGGTGGTGGGAGGCACCTGGTGCCCCTGGTGAGGCGTGGGGGGAGGGGGGTGCCTGGGTGGCCAGTCCCACCCCTGACTCCAGCCCCGGCTTCCGTCCAGGCCAGAGGGGGTTTGCGATCCCCGATTCCCAGCCAGTGGGTCCCTCCTGCCACCCCTCCGCCCTCCACCACCGACTCCGCCTGCACCTGGTGCCACCCGCCCGCCGGTTAAATGGCTGATAAGCAGATCAGGTGGGGACGCTCCCGCCGGCCCGCCCTCCCCTGCCCTCTGCACTCTGCCCCCTGCCCCCTGTCCTCCCTGTCCTCCCCTGCCCCTGCCCTGTGCCCCCTGCCTCCTGCCCCCATGCCCCTGCCCTGTGCCCCGTGCCCCAGGAGGCCGCAGGCCTGACCTTCCCTCTCCCACAGTCTCCCCGCCAAGCTCATCAATGGGGGCATCGCCGGGCTGATCGGGGTCACCTGCGTGTTCCCCATCGACCTGGCCAAGACGCGGCTGCAGAACCAGCAGAACGGCCAGCGCATGTACACCAGCATGTGAGCGCCTGGGGCGGGCTGGGGGGGTGCGGACTCCCGGGCTCCACTCCTGGGCCCCCCCACCGTAACCAGAGGGGGCGCTGAAGAGAGGGCAGGCCGGGGGGCTGCTGCCTGCCCACGGCTTTAGCTCACCGTCCGGTCCCTCGGCTGCAGGTCCGACTGCCTCATCAAGACCATCCGCTCCGAGGGCTACTTCGGCATGTACCGCGGTGAGGCTCCGGTGGGGAGGGGGGTGGGAGTGAGGGGCAGGCAGCAGGCCTGGGCTGTGTGGACGGGACTGTCCTCTGGGGGCCATCCACTGGCCCTGGTGCTGGACCCGGGGCGTTGGGTGACAGGTGAAATCGGGAGGGGGCCGTTCTCAGCATCCACCCTTCCCGTCACTTCACCCCACGCAGTGCCAGCGCCTGGCACGGCAGGACGCGCGTGTCTACCCCTGGCTACAGCTTCTTTCCTGCCGCCTCCTAAAAATACATGTTTTTATTGATTTCAAAGAGGAAGGGGGAGAGAGACATCAGTGGTGAGAGAGCATCATGGACCGGCTGCCTCCTGCACGCTCCACATGGGATGGAGCCTGCATCCTGAGCACGTGCCCCGGCCACAATCAAACTGTGATGCTCAGCCACTGAGCCACGCCAGCTGGGCATCCCTGCCTTCTGAGAGCCAGGGCCTTGTCTGTGCTGGGAAAGGGGGTGGGGGTGGGGGTGGCGGGAGGAGAAGTCCTGCAAAGCAGCTTAAACAATCCCTGAGCCTGGGTTTCCCAGGCTGTGCAGCCCTGAGCCCTGCCTCAGGGCTGGATTCAGCCTCATCCATATGCCCTCTCACCCAGTGCCCTCGCCAGAGGGAGCCCTGTCCCCCAGGAGGGTTTTCTCGGGGCGCCCACCTGGCCGGACCGGGAGGTGATTTGGGGGAGAGCGAGCAGATTGCCTGGAGGAGGCAGCACTGCCCGGTCCCCGCCCGGCCTGGCACCAATGTGGGTGAGAGGGCAGGAGGCGGCGGCCAGGGATTGACTGGGGTAGGGCTCTGCCAACTGGGAAGCGAGTGCTGGCCGGAGCCTCCCCTACACGTTGTGCCCACAGGAGCCGCCGTGAACTTGACCCTTGTCACCCCCGAGAAGGCGATTAAGCTGGCAGCCAATGACTTCTTCCGACATCACCTCTCCAAGGACGGGTGAGGGCGTGCCTCCGGCCCAGGACAGGCGTGCAGGCCCCCGCCGCTCCTGCTCCTCCTGCCCCGTCCTCCTCGTCCTCGCCCCCTCCCCGCTCCCCCGCAAAGCGGGGCGTGAGGCAGGCACCGAGTCTGCTGCTCCAGCCCCCGTGGTCCTTGGCCCTGGGCCACGGCCTGCTCCCCGTAGCCGGGATTTGTGGGCGCTGACCAGCTTTCCTCTGTCCCCAGAGGCTGGGCCCTTGGGGCACGTGAGACCCCCGCCCCCCTTCTCCATCTGTCTCTGCCAGAGGAGGGCCCCTCCCTCCCCGGTTCCTGCCGCGGGGCCATCTGTTTGCAGGCTTGGTGCCCAGGCTGGAGGGGTGTCTGAAGCTGGGGTGCTGTGCCCCCACAGGGCTGCGTCTGCCTCCACTGCTCCTGCCCGCTTCCCACCCAGGCGCAGGCAGGGCCCCCGACTGTCCGTGACCCCCGCTCCCCCTCTGCAGGCAGAAGCTGACCCTGCTGCGGGAGATGCTGGCCGGCTGCGGGGCCGGCACCTGCCAGGTCATCGTGACCACCCCCATGGAGATGCTCAAGATCCAGCTCCAGGACGCCGGCCGCATCGGTGAGTGGCCGGGACTGGGGACCAGCCCCAGGGGGGGCAGCGCCGGGCCGGCCCCTGCCCTCGCCTGGAGCGAGAGCCAGCCCCCTCCCTTCCTCTCTCCCCAGCCGCCCAGAAGAAGATCCTGGCCGCCCAGGCCCAGCTCTCCACACCGGGGGGGGCCCAGCCCTCCGCGGAGGCCCCCGCCGCCCCCCGGCCCACGGCCACCCAGCTCACCCGCGACCTGCTCCGGAGCCGCGGCATTGCCGGCCTCTACAAGGGACTGGGGGCCACGCTGCTCAGGTGGGGAGGCGGAGGGCGGAGGGCGGAGGGCGGGAAGGGTGGGGAGGGTGGGAAGGGCGGGAGGAGGGAGGGGGGAGAGGGGTCTGCCCACCCCGCATCTCCAGTCACCGCCCCCCCCCCCCCACACACACACAGGGACGTCCCCTTCTCCATCGTCTACTTCCCCCTCTTTGCCAACCTGAACCAGCTGGGCCAGTCGGCCTCCGAGGAGAAGTCCCCCTTCTACGTGTCCTTCCTGGCCGGCTGCGTGGCTGGGAGCACCGCCGCCGTGGCTGTCAACCCTTGTGATGGTCAGTGGGGCCCTGGGCCTCCCTCGGCTGGGGTGGGGATAAGGGTGGGGTAGGGGTGGGGTGGAGGGGGGGGTGAGGGGGGGGGTGAGCAGCCCCTGACCTGGCCCTCCCCGCAGTGGTGAAGACTCGCCTGCAGTCCCTCCAGCGCGGGGTCAACGAAGACACCTATTCCGGCTTCCTGGACTGCGCCAGGTGGGCGAGGCCCCGGGCGGGGGGGTGGGGTGCAGGGCAGGCTGGCCCGGCTCTGACCCCCCTTCTCCACAGGAAGATCCTGCGGAATGAGGGCCCCTCCGCCTTTCTGAAGGGGGCCTACTGCCGCGCCCTGGTCATCGCCCCACTGTTTGGCATTGCCCAGGTGGTCTACTTCCTGGGCATCGGGGAGACGCTGCTGGGGCTGCTGCAGAGCCCCCAGCCCTGAGCTGCCCCCCCCCCCCCCGCAGGACTAGAGGGGCCTGGGTCTCTGCGCCCCTCCCTGCGTGGAGGGGTAGGAGGAGGGGTGCAGGGTGCACACCCACAGACTGAGGGGTCCTGCCTGCAATCACTGGGATCAAGGTGTTATTTATGTAGAAGTCACAGGAATCGTCACATTCCCGGAGCCAGCCCTGCCCCCTCCGCCCGGGCCTGGGCACCCCTGGGACAGAGCTGGTCTCAGCTGGGGGCTCCCAGGTGAGGGCTGGGCGGGGGACCCTCCCCTCCAGGCTACCGGCCCCGCCCCGAGGCGCAGCCCCTGGTCCCCAAAGGGGAGGCTGCACAAACCTATTTATTAACTTGCTGAGCACAAGTGGCTCTGTCCAGCCCTCTGTTCGTCCATCGGTCCAGCCTCCCCACTGCTGCTCTCGCCTCGGCCAGCCTTGCAGGAGAATCGGGGTCCCCTGCCCCCCATATTGAGCCAGGAATCCCAGGCAGGCGGGGCGGGGGGTTCACACTGAATCCTGACTCCCAGGGAAACCCCACCCCTCACTGTGGGCCCCTCTGCCCCATCCCAGACGGAGCCCAGAGTGTGTAAGGTCTGTGTGCATATGGGAGAGTCGCTGCCCTTCCCACATGGCCAGGCAGTGCACACGTGTGTGTGCGTGTACGTGTGTGTGTGCTGTGTAAACCTATGCCCCCGCTGACCCTGTCCAGAGTTGTTTGTCCAGTCCAGCTCCTCTGGCTGCACCTGCAGCTGACCCCTCTCCTGAGACCTGCACCCAGGGTCTGACCTTGGCCAGTGGGAAGGGCAAGCAGACCAGTATGGAGCTGGGAGCACCTGCTGTGTGCAGCGGCGGGGAGCTGCCCTCCTGGCCGCCCTGCTCTCGGGCCTCTGATAAGGCCCGCCCGCCCCCTCCAGCCCCTTCCGCCCACCGCCCAGCCCACCCCCGTTGTGAATGGAGGCAGGCACCCCCTGCTGCCTGGCCGGGCGATCGTGCTGGTGCTGTGTCCCCGCCACCCAGGCCCTCTGAGGAGGCCCCTTCCCAGCGACACTACCTGGGGCCGAGGCCTGGCCCCGTTCACGGTTGTACCCCTCACATCTGTTGTCCTTGGAAGCTGCTGCTGCTGCTGACAGATTTATATTTTTTTTCTTTTGAGGAGTTTCAAGAAGTGACTTTTTGTGTCTTGTCATGTAAGGAGATAAATAAATATTCTAAGTAGATGCCTCCTCTCTGAGTCTCTGTTAGGGGCTGTGGGGGGGGGGGGGGCGGAAGCCCCCTCATGACTGACCCCCTGCAGGGAGAGGGTGAGGGTGAGGTGGGGTTTGGGGTGCGGGAGGCCAGCCTGAGACCCTCGCAGCCTGATCCTAACCCGCTCTTGGGATTAACAGCCAGACCAGGCAGGCGTGGATCAGTGGTTAGCGTCCACCCATGAGGTTGGATTGGTTGGGGCCCGTGTTGTGGGCTGGATCCCCGGTGTGGGGCGTGTAGGCGGCAGCCAATAGTAATTCTCTCTCATCATTGTTCCCCCCGCTCTCTCCCTCTCTGCAGTCAATAAAAATACATTTTGGGGAAAAACGGAGCGGGGGTGGGGCTCTGAGTGCCCGGTGGTCAGGGGCGTCCGCAGTGGAAGGCGACGGGGCGGGGCCTGAGCGGATGCGGCCCCGCCCCCTCCGTGCGCAGGAGCAGTGCATTGTGGGAAACTCCTGGTCCTCTCCGCCGCAGCTGCTGCTGCTCTCCAACCCGCAGCCGGCAGCCGGCAGCCAGGCCAGGTGGGAGCTCCCGGAGCGGCCGGGTGAGGCGCGGGCTCCGCGGCGCGGGCCGGGGGATGGGGGAGCATGGGGGCGCCCAGCTGGAGGCGGTTCCCTGCCCTGAAGGTCATCCCTCTCCCGGGTCAAGGAGCCCCGGGGAGGGCGGGGGAGGGGCCGCCAGTGACGTCAGTGAGAGCCAGGGCCGTGGGGGAAGCAGACCACCGCCCTTCGCAAACGTGACTCCCGGCAGCGGGGGGCGGTGGGGGCGCCTCCAGCACGGCGGCCGGCGGGGTGAGGGCTGGGGGGCCTCTCCCTGGGACACCCCATCATGCTGTGACCTTCAGGCGACCTTCCGTGTGGTTAGTGCCCCTGGGTGGGTGTGGAGCCCGGGGTGGGGGCGGGGGGTTCGCATCCTCCCAGGGCAGAGGCAGACAGGCAGGGGCAGGGTCTTCGGGGAGGGCCGGCTGAGGCCCAGGGGCCAGGCGCCCAGCCCCCTTCCCTGCCCCGGGCATCCAGGTGGGGCCAGCCTGTCCTACAGCCCACACCCCCTCCCTCCTCCCCCACTGCGGAGGCTGATGGACAGGGTGTGTGCCCACGCTGGACCACCTCATCCCTTCTGCCCCCTCCCCGGAGGCAGGGGCAGCCTGGGCCCAGGAAGGACACCCTGTCCTTGAGGTGGAGCTGGGGAGGCAATGCTGGGTGGGCACAGGGCAGGGGCCACCCTGCCCTCCTGGCTCCGGCCTCCTGGACAACGAGGGTTTGCACCCAGAACTGTGGCCTCGGGCCACTCCCACCCTGTAGGCCCAGAGACCTGTGCCCGGCTCTCCCTGCCCTGCCCTCCGCCTGGACCCGTCCCCCTGAGAAGGGTACGTGGTCAGTGCTGCCCAAACCCATCTGCTGCCCCTCCCCTGGCCACACACCCTCTCAGGGCTGGTGACTCTCGCTCCCTGCCAGGGCCTCCCTGCCCTAGGCCAGCGTCATGGCCACAGCTTGAGTTCCGGGAAGACCATTTTATAGACGAGGAAACCTGGGCTCACTCCCCCCCCCTCAGCCTGTGCGGGGCCCACAGTCCAGCCTGGGGGGGCGGGGAGCCTCAGGGTGTGGCCGGGGATAGGCGGGGGCTGGGCCCCGGAAGAGGAGGATTCTGAGCTGGGGCTTTCGGGGGTCCAGAGGACTGAGCGGTGTCGCTACGGGGACAAGGCGGTGGGGACTGGACAGGATGGGCGTCCTTGTGTCTCCCCCCTCCAGGCCCACGTAATGCCCAAGGGTGAGCTGTCCTGAGCAGCCGTGGTCCCGCCACCTGTCCATCCGCAACCCCACGGCATCATGGAGTCCAAAGGGAAGGCAGCCAACAGCCCCAAGCCCGATGCCAAGGGGCCCCAGGCCGGGGCAGAGGTCCGAGGCCCTCCAGTGGTGGACGGGAAAGCCCCCTCGGCCAAGCCTGGGAAGAAGGAGGTCCAGGCGGAGAAGCAGGATCCGCCCGTGGCCCCCGCCCCGCCGCCAGCCAAGAAGACACCGGCCAAAGTGGACCCCGCCCTCCTGCACAACCACAGCAACCTGAAGCCGGCCGCCCCCGCCGCCCCGGCCCCCGCCGCCCCGGCCCCCGCCGCCCCTGAGCCCAAGGGCCCTGGCGACGGGGCCGAGGGGGACCAGGTCCCCAGTGGGGGCCGTGGAGGCCAAGGCCCCTGCTCCTTCGAGAACTTGACGCCCCTGCTGCTGGCCGGGGGTGCGGCCATGGCCGCCGTGGCCCTGATTCTCGGGGTGGTGTTCCTGGCACGGAAAAAGTGACGCGTTGCCCGGCGGCGCCCGCGCCCCGAGCGGACCAACTGCGGGATGTGCATGCCAACTCATAGCTGTGTACCCATAGCCCATAGGCGACATATACACACACGCCCGACACGGGGAGACACGGACAGGCTGCCCGGGCAGTGGGGCTCGCCCCCTTAGCTGGTCCCTAGCGTGTCTCCCTCCCCCTCCCCCAGGCAGGGACCGGCTCCTGGGCCTGAGCAGCGCAGGGTGGAGCCGTGGCCTCGGGCAGAGGGCTCGGGCCGGGCACATGGGGCGGTGGGTGGGGTGGAGCCTGAGCAGGGCCAGCTTGTCCCAAGGGGCCCCGGGTCCTGGGGGTTTCCTGGCCACTTCCTGAAGAGCCCCAGGCCGGAGGAGACCAAGGCTCAGGGCCCAGGCCGGGCTCTGACCTGGGCCGGCCGCGTGGACATTAAAGGTGTGGCTGTCTCACCTGCCCTCCTCTGCTCTCTGCTTGCAGCCGGCGGAGTGGGGTCTGCGAGCTGAGCCACTCCAGGGCTGACCCCAGGCTTCCTGCCACCTCTGCCTGCTGCCCTCCCCGAGCTGGGGAGACGGTGCAAGGCCCGTCTCCAGAGGGGTCACCTCACTTCCTGCCCCGAGCCCTCTCCCCCTCCTGTGGCAACTGTCCGGGGGGGGGCAGCTAGGTAGGAATAGGCAGGGAGGAGGGTATCAAGAACCTGCCCCGCAGCTGTGTCTGCCGATCCCCCAAAGATGCCCCGGAGAGGCCCCTCCTGCCTTACCCAGCGTCCTTTGAGTCGAACAAGCGTATAAATGCAATAACAGGTAGAGTAGAACCACGTGGTGGGTGACCATCACCACACCCACTGCCCCATGTGCCCGCAGGGGGCCGTGCTGGGCAGCCCCTCTCCTGCCCATGGAGTCCCGGCATGGCCACGGCACGGTGGCACGGGCGGGCTCTGGAGGGCAGTGGTGGGCACCGTGGAACCCAGACTGCCCGTCCATGGCCGGCCGGCCGCTGGAACGCCGGGCCCGATGCAGCTGGGCCTACAATAAACTTGTCTCTCGGCTGGGCTGGCGTCTCACCTGCATGAGGCTGGGAGAGCCGGGGTCCCACACCCACACCCACACCCACACCACCTGGCGCTCCCCTGCCACCACCCCGCCTGGCTGGCTCTGCCCCACCTCCAGCTGCCCTGGCCGCACTGCTTGGGGCGGCACGGGGCTTGGGGTGGGGAGGGGGGCCTTGTCCCACAGGTGGGCCTCCAGCCAGGGGGGCCCTTTTTCTGCGTACACCCCCTCTCTGCAGGGAGCACCCCATCCTGGGAGGGCACAGGGGAGACTGTGGGGTGGGCGTTCCTTTCTTCACCTCCCACCCACAGCTCCGGTGCCCACCTGGCTTGGCCTGCCGGGACCCCAGCTGCAGGCGGCTGGCTGGCTGGGCATGGGCAGGGGAGAAGGCCCCCTGGGCACTGCCTTCTCTAAGGTCACGGGCGCATCTTCACGCTGGTCCCCCTGTGCCCACCGCCGAGGGGCAGACCCTGTGGAGCGCCCTGCCTCAGGCCCAGACACCAGACACGTTCCTGCGAGCGTCCGAACAGACCCGGCGCCCGGCCCAGGCCGCCCACAGGCTGCCTCCTGCTGACCTTGCTGGGCTCCCCACTCCGCTATCCTGGCCGTGGCCCGACATCACACGTCCCCTAGGTTCCTGTCCCCCTGCCCCTAAGCACCAGGGGCCACTCCGCCGGGCCACCCCCTCTCCCGTTCTCTCCTCTGTGACTGGAACCGTCAAAACAAACAGCCAACTCACCCTCCTGACACTTAGGGGGCCAGGAGGGAGGAGGCCCGAGCCGGAGGAGGCCAGGCAGCGAAGGCTGGGCTCAGGGTCTGGCCTGGCCGGTGCTTGGATGCTGTGACGTTGCACCGCGAGGCGCCCCCTGGCTATGGGTTCCCTGTGGGTGTGGATGGAGTTTCCGTGTTTTTCCACCTACAGACAGGGGCAGCGGGTGCCTTGGGCTGCCCTCTGGGCCTGGTGCTGCGTGGTGTGCGCTGCCGGTTCTGAACGTAAGCTTCACAGAACCTGCACCTGCGGTTCCCCCAGCCTCCCAGGTGCACAGCCCCGGCAGGGAGTGCGTTCACACCACCGCACCGTCCCCAGCGTCTCCCGAACGCTCTCTCAAACATATTTGTGTTGAGGTCAGGGAGGCAGGGTGAGGGAGAGGGCGACCGCCACCATGAGCAGAGAGAAGCCTGGGTCGGTGATGTGCCCCGTCCCTCCTGTGCAGTGTGGGGACCGAGCCTGCAGCCTGGGCAGGCGCCCTGACCAGGATGGAACCCTGATCTCAGGGTTCACAGGTCGATGTTCAGCCCCTGAGCCACGCCGGCTGGGGCTCAGGACTCCCTTCATTTTACCGAACTGACCCTCTTCCCCAAACGCCCGCCCCCGCCACACACCGTCCTGCCTCCTGCCGCTGCAGCTCTGACCCTCCAGGATGCAGCCTCCGCCCCCCGGGATGGCCTCAGGGTGGCCCCACGTCCCGGCAGGTGGGGGTTCGCTCCCCTTCTGAGGCTGCGCAGCCCTGAGTGGGGGTGGCTGCTCTGTGTCCACCCCCATCCACGGACATTCGGGCTGCCCCACCTTCCCACGCATGACTGTGCTGTGGCCACGGCGCTCAGGACCCTGCTCCACGTGACATGCCTGCTGGTGGGCCTGGGTGAAACAGCGTGTGCCGATGCCGCTGTCTCCTGCTGGGGATCAGCCACACAACACCTGCCCGGTGCTGGAGCAGCGAGCTCCCGGCTTCTCCTCTGACGTTTGCTCAGCTGCCCAGTCCTGGGAGCAGGTGTGAGGTCAGGGGGCCGAGTGGTCGGGGGGACCGAGCCCGCAACCCGGGCATGTGCCCTGACCGGGAATCACACCAGCGACCTCTTGGTTCCTGGGCCAACACTCAGCCACTGAGCCCGCCGGCCGGCACCACAGAACTGCGTTAGGGTCTAAACCGAAGACCAGGCACCAAAGGACTCAGGGGAACAGGACTCAGGGGCAGCAGCACCCCCCACCCCCCGATCCCACCCAGGCTCCAGGTGGACCGGAGACTCCGTCCCAGCCTTTGCATTCTGAGCACCAGCCCCCCGCCCCTCGTGCCACGGGGGGCACCCCGGGCACAGATGGCCGGAACAAGGAAGAGAGGGCGCACGTGTAGGGGCCACTTTGTTTCCTCTCTAGCGACCCCCCCCCCCCGGAGGGTGCAGCTCCTTTGGGGACCCACCATGAATGCATTCGTGGCCAATGCCTCCAGAACCCACCTGCCCCGGATCTGGGCCTGGGCTGGGGGTGGTTTCAGAACCTCTCTTCCTGCATCGGGACAGGAGGGGTGACTCCCCACTGCGGACCCTCACCCTGGCTTCCTGGGCCTTCAGCCGGCCCCCACCTCACCACTCGGCCCCCCGACCTCACACCTGCTCCCAGGCCTGGGCAGATAGAGGCTCCCTGCCTCGCAGTGACCGGCGTGGCACATCTGGGCATCTCCGTGGCACAGGCGTGCTCCCGAAAGGAGGGATTCCCCAAGGAAGGGAGCAGGAGGCCCGGCAGCACCCAGAAGCCACAGGGGCTGAGGCTTCACCGCTGGCCCACCTGGAGCTGTGGCCTAAACACGCCAGCTGGACGGGTCACATGCGGAGATATAGACCGAAGGTGATGCCCACAGGGGGCCTGGCCTCGGCGTCCGCTCCCCCTGCTCAGGCCTGTGAGCCGGCAGGCACGCTGCCGCCCCGGTGCACAGAGGGGCCCGCCGTGCGCACAGGGGCACGCACACACTGGCCTCCAGGCGCTGCCGCCGCCCGGCTTCCTCCTCCGCCCGCTTCCGTGGGGACAGAAAGGACTTAACGAGTCTCGTGGCAGGAAGAGCTTCCCCACCAGGAGCACCTGCACCTGCGCCTCAGCCGCTCAGGGCCCGGGCGTGCAGGTGGGGCTGGGCCAGCAGGGGGCCCCCTCCCCCGTGGTCTCCCTCTGGCTCCTGGGTCTGACACCCATGGATTTGCAAGGTGGATGGGACCCTTCCCTAGAGCCAGAAAGCCTGTGGTCTGACCTCGGGCCTGCTGGCCTCCATCTCACCTCCTGCACCCCCACCCCCACCCCCACCCCAGGCATCAGGTTCCCCTGTCCCATCCCACACCCTGCCAGCGCCAGGAGCCTCAGCTCCTCCTCCACCGCCCGCGGGAGGGCCCTGAGGAGGTGAGGGCAAGGTGCCGCTGACTGTGCCCGAGGCAGCACGGGCTGGGCTGGGCAGAGGGCAGAGCCAGTCTGTGAGGCAGCAGGGACCTTGGCCTGGACTCGAGCAGTTCCCGCTGTGACAAAGGGGTGCCCAGTCAGCAGAGGCTGGAAGGACCTGAGGGCACCTGCTGCCTTCCCTGCACACTGGCAGCAGGAGGTCCTGTAGGGGGACCGAGGGGCCCAGGGGCAGGGCCACACTCTCTCTTTTTTGAAAATATATTTTTATTGGTTTCAGAGAGGAAGGGAGAGGGAGAAATGATGATGAGAGGAAATCATTGATCGGCTGCCTCCTGCACGCCCCACACTGGGGATGGAGCCTGCAACACGGGCATGTGGCCTGGCCAGGAACGGAACCGTAACCTTCCGTTCATAGGTTGATGCTCAACCCCCGAGCCACATTGGTCGGGCTGGGCCAGCCTTTTATTGATTTTTTATTTTTATTTTATCTTTTAAAAATATTTTATTGGTTTTTTATTTTTATTTTCTTTTAAAAAATATTTTATTTATTATTTATTTATTGATTGATTTTTTAATTGATTTTTTTAGAGAGAAAGGGAGAGGGATAGAGTTAAAAACATCGATGAGAGAGAAACATTGATCGGCTGCCTCCCGCACACCTCCCACTGGGGATGTGCCCACAACCAAGGCACATGCCTGCACTTGACCGGAATCGAATCTGGGACCTTTCAGTCCACAGGCCGACACTCTTATCTACTGAGCCAAACCGGTCTCAGCTGGGCCACCCTCTTAACCCAGCTTGGGTCCTCCCCAGGCCTCCCTCCCCTCCAGCCAGGCCTCAGAGTACCCGCCATCCACTGAAGGCCCACGTGTCCACCCCCACCCACTGCCCCGGACACCCTGATAAAACTGCCTCCAATGCAACGTGGCCCCACGGCACTTTGACTTTGCTCACTAACTCAGCACCCCATCTCAGGCAGTGACACCCCACCTTCCAGGGGCGTGGCTGAACCCCAGGAATGTGGATACTCCGTCTTCCCCAACCATCCTATGGGGCAGACCCCACCACCGGGCCCCACCTGCAGACCCTCCCTGCTCATGGACCCCTCTGCTCGGAGCTTCAAGCCCTGGCCCCCTAGGACGGGCACCCACCGCCTCTCTCCCTCCCCTCGCCGCCCCGCCCTCCCCACCCTCTGAACCGCTGTGCGGGCTCCTTCCTGACCCCACGTCCCTGCCCCCGCCCAGGACAGGAGCCCTCTGGCCGGCGCTCCGCCCCGCCCCGCCCCCAGGGCTGCTGGGCTCTCGGGGATCGCGAGTTCGGTGCCCGATCCTCAGGGAGGGACCCTGGGCCGGGCAGGCGGCTTCTCTCCCGGTTCCCATTCCGCCCGCCCGCGCAAGGGGAGAGAGAGAAACCAGGCCGCGCAGGGGTCCGGGCCTGCCGCCGAGCTCGGGGCTCCCCGCGGGCCGCAGGGGCCGCCGAGCTGGGGCGTCGGGGAGGACCCGGGGCGCAGCGGCGGGAGGCGGGAGGCCGGAGACGCGCTGGAGGACGGCGCGTGCGCACAGCGCCGCCCCAGGCCCCGCCCCCAGGCCTCGGCGGCACGTGACCAGCGCGTCCCCGGCCAGGTGCGCGCGCAGGCAGGGCCCGCGCACGCGCAGACCGCGCCGTCTGCGGCGGAGACCATGGCGTCCGAGCGGCTCCCGAGCCGGCCCACCTGCCTCCTCGTGGCCAGCGGCGCCGCCGAGGGTGAGGCTTGCGCGGAGGGAGGGCGGCGGGTGCCGGGGAGCCGCGGGAGGGCGAGGCAAACACGCCGGCCGCGTCCAGCGGGCCCAGCAGGCAGCGCCCTCGGCCCGCCCGGGGCGGGGGCAGTGGGTGTCCCCGGACGTGGCCTCCGACAGGCCGGGCGCCGGACAGCCGTGGCCTTGGGAGCGTGGCCTCCCGACGGGTGGTCACGAGCCTGCGGGGCTCGATGCCCGCACTGCCCGGCGCCCCGGCCTCGCCGAGGAGGAGGCGGCTGGAGCGGGACCCCGGGCCGGGGGCTGAGGACCCGGCCCTGCCCCGCGGGAGGCGCCAGAGGGGCCGTGGGGCTCCCGGGGCCGTGGTGCAGCCCCTCCCTCAGGGCCTGGGCTGCAGGGCCGGCGGGAAGAAATGAGCAGATCCGGGCCCTGGTCCTCCCCGGTGTGTCCCTGGCACACGGAGGTGGTGGAGGACCGGGGCTGGGACGGGGTAACTTGTGTGGTTGCTGGGTCCTCAAGGAGCGAGCACCGCGGGTCACGGGCCACAGTGCGCCGAGCCCCAGGGGCCCTGAGTGGCGTGAGCCTAGAACGAGGGCCGAAGCCAGGGTCCTACCCCCACCCCCGTGGGGAGTTCAAGGGCCGGAGCAGCCATTGAGGGGGTTCAGCCCTGGGAGACAGGTTGGAGCGGGATGAGGGGGAGGGGTCGCTCCAGCTTGGCTGTGCCAGGCGGAGGGGATGCTGAGAACATGGGCGGGGGCACAGCTCTGAAAGGACCAGTGGCCCCGATTAGTCCCCCCTAGGGACCTGGGGTGAAGGTGGTGGGGGTCGGAGGTGGAGGTGGGAGAGCAAGGGTTTGAGGAACTGGGAAGGCGGCCGGGGAGGCGGGGAGGGGTGATTTGGAAAGACTTTTTGCTCAATGTGTGGACTTCCTACAGTGAACATGTACTAACTCATAAGCGTGAATAAAGGTGAAGCTGAGGTGTAGGGATTGGGTCCCAGGGTTAAAACAGGGGCGGAAGGATGCGGGTCACGCCCTTTAGAGGTGGATGTTCCTGGTGGGGCCGCAGCCAGGAGCTTCCAGACTGGGCGTGGGCAGGAGCTCCTGTGAGGACAGGGCTGGGACCCTGCCCTGGCCCAGGCGGAGGGTGCACCCACCTTCCTGTGAAGGAGCCCTAGCCCCAGCTCCTGGGCAGGAGCCCTGCCCTCTGGTGGGGTGGGGGCTCAGCCGCTCCCTCCCTGGCTAACTTAGGTCCGTGGTCAGCAAACTCATCCGTCACCAGAGCCAAATATCAACAGCACGATTGAAATTTCTTTTGAGAGCCAAGTTTTTTAAAGACTTCTTCTAACGCCACTTCACAATAGACGCCCAGGCGGTGGTATTTTGTGGAAGAGCCACACTCAAGGGGCCAGAGAGCCGCATGTGGCTCGGGAGCCGCAGATTGCCGACCAGTGACTTAGGGGTAAACCAGGCCCTGCTGGTTGAGTGAGCAGGTGAGCCGAGTGTAAGGGAACCGCTCACTCGGCTGTGCTTTCTGGAAAGGCCTCCAGGGCCAGACTGGGGGCGAGCCCAGGGAGATGAGGGGCTGTGCCTCGGGGGTCCTGGGCCAGGGCAGGGGTGGCTGGGCAGGGGGGCTGCCGGGCCCAGCACTCAGCCATGTGTCCTTCTTGCAGGGGTGTCAGCCCAGTCCTTCCTCCACTGTTTCACACTGGCCAGCGCTGCCTTCAACCTGCAGGTGGCCACCCCTGGGGTAAGTCCGGCCCCCTTTCCTTCTGGGGGGCTGTTGCTGGGGAAAGTGGTGAGCCGAGGCTGCTGAGGGACCCAGACCCATCGGCATCATGGGTCGGCGTCTGCTCGCGAGAGGAAAGATGGCGCAGACTGTCCAGCAGGAAGGGCGCAGCCTCATAGGCGGCTGAGGACCAGTGTGGGCGGGCAACGTGAGGCTTGGGTGTGTTGGGCTCTGCTGAGAGGGCTGGGCTGAGGGACCTTCGTCCCTGAGGGGCTGCCGCTGGTCCGGCTCCTTCCCTGTTTCTGAGCACCAGGGTGAGCCAGCAGGGGCGCCCGCGCTGACCTCTGCCCCGGGGCTCCGCAGGGGAAGACCATGGACTTCGTGGACGTGAATGAGAGCAATGCACGCTGGGTGCAGGACTTCCGCCTCAAGGCCTATGCCAGCCCCGCCAAGCTCGAGTCCATCGACGGTGAGGGCCCGAGACCTTGGAGGGTCGGGCGTGTGGGGTTCCAGGTGGGTTTGTGGCCCACAGCACTCCATCCCTCTGCCCCTGGAGCTCCCGGGCTTGCTGCCAGGCGCTGTGACTGTGGCTGCCCCCTCCTGCATCTTGGGCCCAGAGTTCCCAGCTGCCTCTGCGGGGAGAGGTGGCGGGCACGTGGAGATGGGGAGGCAGGAAGGGTCCGTGGCTGTGGGAGCCAGAGCCCATGTGGGGACAGGGACAGAGGATGGTGACTGGCGGCAGGAGCAAGGGGACTGACTGGCCTGTGGTCTCCCCCAGGTGCCCGGTACCATGCCCTCCTGATTCCCAGCTGCCCCGGGGCCCTGGCGGACCTGGCCAACAGTGGGTCTCTGGCCCGAATCCTGCAGCACTTCCACTCCGAGAGCAGTAGGTGACCTCTGACCCATGGGGGGCTCCACAAACAGGGAGGGGAGGCGGAAGTGCCTGTGCTGGGTGTGGGCACGGCAGCCGTGGATTGCAGGGTCAGGTCTTAGGGCTGGAGATGTCAGATCACTCAGTGTAGAGCTGTGATCTGGCCAGTGAGGGTCAGGTTGACTCAGTGTCCCACACATGAGCGTGGGCATTCCTGCCTTTTGGCCAGCACCCCTGTGGGCCTCTGGCTGGCCCCCTGGCCCCTCCGAGGGGGAGGGCAGGATGTGGCTTTGTTCCTGGTGGGAAAGCACCGGGTCCAGGCTGGGGCTGAGGCCAGCAGGCTGGGAGAAAGGCCGCTCTGGAGACCTGGCCCGCTGCCCTGGCTGCCTTGGCCTCAGATGCGCCCGTCTGGTCGCTAGGGGCCAGCCCACAAAACCGGGCTCCACAGTGCCCTTTGTCGCCGCACCAGCCCCGGCACAGGCAGCCGTTGTTCCCGGCCACCTCAGCCGTGGGAACGCACTGGTGCCAGGGGGCCCCTGGGTGGCAGGCCCGGAGCCAAGGCCCGGAGGCCCTGGGAGTTGGAAGTCAGGAGGGGCGTTTCCCGGTGGCTGCCCCTCGCGGCGGTGACAGCGGTGATGGTGATGGTGGTGCCACGAGACCTTTGCCATCAGAGGGCCTGGAGGGTGCAGGCTGTTGGCTCTGAGAGGCCGGGCAGTGAGTGTGGATGCCGCTGGGCCGGCAAATAGACCTGCTGCCCTGGAGACGCCCCTTGTCCTTGTTTCTCAGTCGCCGGGACTTGAGATTTGAGCCGGAAGCAGCAGCTCCTGTGTTGCCTGGGAAGGGGTGGGGCGGGGGCAGGGGCCTCCAGGAGTCCGCTGTGGGGGGGGGTGCGGGGGCAGGGGCCTCCAGGAGTCCGCTGGGGGCGGGGAGAAGGGGCCTCCAGGAGTCCGCGGTTGGGGGGGGGGCATTGGGAGAGGCCAGACCGGCCTCAGGCTCACCCGCCCTGCCGCCGCTTTCAGAGCCCATCTGTGCCGTTGGCCACGGGGTCGCCGCCCTGTGCTGTGCCACCAACGAGGACCGGTCCTGGGTGTTCCAGGGCTACAGCGTGACCGGGGTGAGTGCCGCCCCCGCGTGGTCAGCCCGAAGCACGGGCGGCGGGCACCGGCCGTGGTCCCTCTGGCCGTGTGACCGCCGCCTGTCCGCGCGGCACCGGGCTAGCGTTGTCGTCGTCCGCTCACATCCTGGGAGGCCTGTTCGGGCCGCGGGTGAGGACAGACCCCGCCTCCCCCGACCCTGCAGCCGGTTTGCCTTGCTGGCTGTGGGTGGGAGAGTGGGTGGGTTGAGTTGCTTTGGCCTGACGAGAGGCAGGGCTCCATTTGGCTGGAGGGGCAGGGAGCAGGCCAGGCGGGAGGGTCTGTGTGGTGAGGCCTGAGGCCTGGCTGCTGGAGGCTGCACACAGCTGATGTGGTCCCAGGTTCAGGTCCAGGTGAGGCCGGGACCGGAGAGGAGCTGGGCCACTCCTCAGTGCTCCCGTGGCCCCGCCCCACCCACAGGCCGTGGCTGTTCCGCCTCCGGGCCTTTCACTCCTCGCGGGGCCCCGCTGGCCTTCCCTGTGCCTCCACTCTGGGGGAGGGGTGTGTGTGCCCTGGAAGCCCACAGCCGGAGGGCCGCACCGGGGCTCGGTCTTAGGGCAGGGCTGTGCTCCCGCCCCACCTGGAGGGAGGCAGGCCCTGCTGGCTTGGACCTGCCTGAGCCCGGCGCCCTCCCGCAGCCCTCCGTGTACGAGCTGGTCAGGGCCCCCGGCTTCGCCCGCCTGCCCCTCATCGTGGAGGACTTCGTGAAGGACGCCGGCGCCGGCTTCAGTGGTGAGCTGGGCGGCGCTGCAGGCACCGGGGGGTGGGGGCGGGGGTCAGGGGAGCACACTGGCCAGGCCAGCCTCCTGGGGCTGGGCACCCAGTCGACCTCGGTGGCCGGTGGCTCTGAAACCCGCAGGCTGACCTGGAGCTCACGGCCCCACGAGGATGGGGGGGCCGGGCCTGGGCGGTGCCCACATGGAGCTGCGCCTGAGGCCTGTGCCCTCGGGTCTCCTGCAGCCAGCGAGCCTGACGCGGTGCACGTGGTCCTGGACCGCCACCTCGTCACGGGCCAGAACGCGGGTTCCACTGTGCCCGCCGTGCAGAACCTGCTCTTCCTCTGTGGCAGCCGGTGAGCAGCTGGGTGATGGGCGGGCTGCTGGGCCATGGTCCCTGTGATGGCTACTGCTGGCTTCCGAGCCCTGACCTGGTGTCCGTCCTGCAGGAAGTGATGCAGTCCTTGCTGAGCCAGCCTGGCTGCCAGTGGATGCCACCACCTCCAGAGGGCCCAGGTGCCCAGGCCACGGGACTCCCGCCTCAGGACCCGAGCCTCCGACAGCCCCTGAGGCTGACTTCACCTGGCCGACCGGGCCTGTGGGCCTGCGGGGCCTCCAGGAGTCAGCCTGAGGGTGTCAGGTCTTGGGGTGCGAGGCCCAGGTGCTGCCCTGGCACCAGGTGGGGCTCGGGTGCCATGTGGAGTGGTCCCCAGGGAGTTGTACCCAGAGAATCAGCGGGGGCGTTGCAGGGTGGGGCAGTGGCCCCTCTGGTCTTCCTGCACCAGCACTGGGTGCCCCCTCTGCCTGTCCCTGGCGCCCAGGTCGGGAGCAGAGGTCGACCCCCCTGGGAGCAGGATGACCACGCTGGCCCAGCAGTGACAGGCAGGGGTCCCAGAGTCGGTGCCTGTGGGGCGGGCCGTGCCCTGGCCGTCTCTGTCCCCCAGCCCTGCGGGTGCTGCTGAGTGTGGAGGAGCCAGCTGGCTGGAGCTTGGTCAGCACTTTTGAGTTGGGTCAAAGGCGAAGGGGAACTAATGTGGTCCCGGCGCAGGGCCCCCGACTCGCCCTGATTTCAGCCGTTGCCGTGTGTGGGCTCAGGGCAGCGGGGGCCATGTCAGGCCAGGGCGGACCTCAGGGCGGACGGCACTGCATCCGCAGCCCTGACATTGAAACGGTGGACCTTTGACCTTCGAACTCGGCCCAGGGGCTCCTGCGACAGCGCTGCACATCCCCATCCTGCGGCTGCTCCAAGGGTGTCAGGGTGGACACAGAAGCAGCTCCGCTTGGAGGGAGGCCCTGACAGGCTCCCCGGGTGCCGGGCTGGGCTGGGGGGGTCCCCTCTGGAGCTGGGCTTGCTGCGTCGCTGCTTCCAGCCCCTGGGAACCAGCAGGGGAGCCCCCGGGCCCGGTGCTTCCTCCGGGCCCTGGACCAGCTCATACTCGGCATCCTGTCGGCATTTCCCGGAAGGCGAATCGGCCTGGCCGTCAGCCCCATGTGCCCAGGTGACGGGTGGCTGTCTGCTCAAACCCTGACAGACACACCTCCAGGGCATGGTCTGTATCACCCGTAAAATCAGTCACTCCTGCTGAGGTTTCTGACCGGCCACGCCTACTCTGCTCCCTGCAGCTCGGTCCTGAGTGAGGGTGGGAGGAGGAACCGGAAAGCCCTGGCAGGGCAGGGGCGGGATGGAGCCTCGGATTCCCCCAGGCGCCCAGGAGCTCTGCAGCAGCGCGCTCAGGAAGGAACAGACAGGCTGGCCCGAGAATGGATCTTGTTAAAGGGCAGCGTTATCGCCATGTGGTGAGGCGTTTGCCGTGAAAGAATGAAGTCCTGCCCAGCCCATATGGCTCAGTGGGTTCAATTTCCAGTCGGAGCACACGCATGGGTGGTGGGCTCAGTCCCGTGTGGTGTGTGCAGGAGGCAGCTAATCAGTGATTCTGTCATCAGTGATGTTTCTGTTTCCCTCTCCTTTCTCTATGAAACCAATAAAAATACATTAAAAGCTGAAACCGGTTTGGCTCAGTGGATAGAGCGTCAGCCTGCGGACTGAAAGGTCCCAGGTTCGATTCCGGTCAAGGGCATGTACCTTCGTTGCGGGCACATCCCCAGGAGGGGGTGTGCAGGAGGAAGTTGATGGATTATTCTCTCTCAGTGATGTTCCTGACTCTCTGTCCTTCTCTCTTCCTCTGTGAAAAATCAATAAAATATATATATTTTTAAAATACATTAAAAAACAAAGAGAACCAAAGCCGGTATGGCTCAGTGGATGGAGCATCGGTCTGCAGACTGAGGGGTCCCGGGTTCGATTCCGGTCGGGGGCATGTGCATTGGTTGCGGGTATGTCTCCAGTGGGGGAGGGGGGTGCGGGAGGCAGCTGGTCGATGTTTCTCTCTCATCGATGTTTCTGGCTTTCTGTCCCTCTTTCTCTCTTCCTCTCTGTAAAAAATCAATAAAATATATTTTAAGAAATTAGAAAGTAAAATAAAAAACAGAATGAGGTCCTGACGACACCCTACCCCGTGGACGTGAGGGATGGTTTGTGTGGACCATCCCGATGCTCCCGTGGCTCGCGGTGGGAGTGGGCACGTGGACATGCTCTCTTGGGGGGGCTCCTGAGCTGAATGCGGATAGTCACACCAAGTGCCACAACCACCTGTCCGGTGTCCATGCAGACCCCGGGGCTGGTGGGCACCCAAGAGAAGGGGTCCGGGTGGGTGCAATGCCCCTGCCCACCACTGCTGGACGCCCACCCAACAGGCCCCCTTAGCACCCAGGGCGGCTGAGCTCATCCAGGGCCGGTCGGGCACCCATAGCGCCTGTCCCTGGGCCCCCTGGGAACTGCAGCCATGGGCCCCGCTGTTCTGGAGCACACGGGGACTGGGCCTCATCAGGTCCCCGTGGAAGGCTGAGGGGGAAGGTGGCCGTCCGGTTCCGGAATAGAAAGCCCAGGTGGGGGAGGGCAGGGCGGCTCTGCTGACCCTTTGGTGTAGCCAGGTCAGTCCGACACGTTTCTGCTCATGCCAACGTGGACGGCCAGACGGAGACACGCCTCCTTATCCTCTGCCTGGGCACTGGCTCCTGGACCGAGTCCTCGCCCAGCCCTGCCCTGCCCGGCTCCCTCCAGGAACAGAGGCTGGTCCGTCCTCCCTCCACCCATCACCGCCCAGGCCCTTCCCAGTACAGCCGTGGTGCCCAAAGTCCAAACAGCGTCCTAGTGTGTTCTTAGCCGCACCACCCCCTCCAGGTTTAGGGACCAGCCAGGACACCCCGGGTTAGATGAACCAGTGCAGCTGTGCTGAGCTGCCCCACCAGGTGGTGCCACTGGCCTGCCCGCTGGTCAGGGCCTCGGGTCACAAGAGACCCACACAAGAGACGGCAGGTTCCGATGAGGACAGCCCCAGGGCCCAGTACAGCCCTTGCCCCACCAAGGGATCTGGGCACAGGAAGGGCTCCGGTGGATGCCCACCCAGCAGCAGGTGGGCAGGCAATGCTGCCCGTCTCGGCAGGGCCCTGGCTGTAGCTGGTGGCTGGGCAGCTGGTGCCAAGAGGCACAGGCCGTCAGGAAATGAAGCAAGCTTCAGAAAACAACTGCTTTAATGATTAGGCAGAATTTCACAAAATCAGAAACCCATGATCCGTCCCTACTCCCATAGAAAATGGCAGATTGGTCACCGGACTTGTGCAATCAGATGCACATCCACAGCCAGAGTGGTCTGCTGCCTGCAAGGCTACTTCCCGTTCTCTGCGCTGAACATGCGGTCCTGCAGGAGAGAGGAGGGGCCGGGTGGGCGCGTCAGGCTCCCTCTGTGGTCCGCACCGCCCATGGGGTCCGGCAGCACACAGAATGCCAGCCCTGCCAGCTCGCCCGGCACTCACCGCCAGCACCCGCTCCAGCTTCACGGCGTCGGCAGCAAACTTGCGGATGCCGTCCGAGAGCTTCTCCACGGCCATCTGGTCCTCATTGTGCAGCCAGCGGAAGGCCTTCTCGTCCAGGTGCACCTTCTCCAGCGCGCTGGCCTGGGCTGGGACAGGCAGCAGACCTTCCACACCCGCCGAGCCGCCCTCCCGCCTGGCCCGGCCGCCCTGTGCCCTCCCAGCCCTGCCCACCCCACCCCACCCCTCAGGGAACTGGGTGCAGGCAGCCCCCCGCAGGGGCTGGGCCTCACCCGCCTTGGCCGACAGCGCGGGCGCCAGCTTGCTGCTGTCCTTGAGCAGCTCGCCCAGCAGCTTGGGCGAGATGGTGAGGAAGTCGCAGCCGGCCAGCGCCTTGATCTCGCCCGTGTTGCGGAAGGAGGCGCCCATGACGATGGTCTTGTAGCCGAACTTCTTGTAGTAGTTGTAGATCTTGGTGACGCTCTTCACTCCTAGAGGAGACCAGCGTCACCACGGCGCCCGCCGCCCGCCCCCTCGCACCTGCCCGGGGCCAGGCCGCTCACCAGGGTCCTCCTGGGGCTCGTAGGTCTTCTTGTCCGTGTTGGCCACGTGCCAGTCGAGGATGCGCCCCACGAAGGGGGAGATGAGCGTGACGCCCGCCTCGGCGCAGGCCACGGCCTGGGCGAAGGAGAAGAGCAGCGTCATGTTGCAGTGGATGCCGTGCCGCTCCTCCAGCTCCCTGCGGGACGCACACGTCACCCCGGCTCTCCGGCTCCCCGCTCACTTCCCCTCAAACCCAGTTACAGACGGACAGGCCGCGGTCCCCCCTCAGCCAGAACCGCCTGGGGCTGGACACCGGCCGTCATCTCAGGCCGCAGTGCTGCCTGCCTCTCCCCGGAGCCACGGCCTCCTTTGCCCACTCTCACCCTTCCCAGCCTGCCCTGCGGCGGCCTGTCAGTCCACCGTGACATCTCACTCTGCCGTGTGGGCGGGGCAAGGGCTGTGACAGCTGGACCTCTTCTCAGGCTCCTCTGGCCACAAACTGCCACCGCGGGCCAGCTGAGAAGGGCTCCACCGTGTGGCCATAGTGAGGAAGAGCCCACACAAGAAGCAGTGCCTCCTCCAACGGGCACCGCGGCCGGCCAGATGACCGGTGTGTGTCCGGGAGCGATGACACAACCATGTGGCCACAGAGGACGGACGGACACAGAAAAGGCAGCGTGCACACAGCGGGACATTCAACTTGAAAGGGACGCAGTCCTGACTGCCACAGGGTGAGCCCTGGAAACGTGCCACGGGGAGGCCACGTGTCATGAGTCACCGTGTGAGATGCCCAGAACAGGCAGCAGAGTGGAGCGCCGTGCAGGGGGGCGCAGCGGACACAAGGCCCGGCACGGCTGTTCCCGCGGATGAGACCAGAGGGCCGGCCTCCGAGCCTCACCCGGCCTAAGAGGCTCTGCCGGCGACTGTGCGCGCCGTGTGAGGACTCGGGTGTCACAGCACTTGTTCCTGAGGGTCACCCAGCAGGTCCTTGGGGCCTGTCCCTGGACCCGCCTGCTCGGTCAGCTGGGGGCGGGGGGGGGGACACTTACTTTCCAGCCTGAATCCCTTCCCAGGTGGACGACAGCTTGATCAGGATGCGGTCCTTGCTGACCCCGGCGTCCTTGTAGAGCTCGATGAGGCGCAGGGCTCGGGCCACCATGGCGTCCTTGTCAAAGGAGAGCCTGGAAGAGCCAGGGCCGCGGTGAGGGGCGTTGAGGGCGAGCGGGCAGCAGCAGTGCTGGCTCCCGACCGCCTGCCCTCCTGTGACGCCAGGGCGGCTGCAGGCGGGGGGGCAGGGAGCCAGGCTGGCGGGTCTCGGACCAAGAAGCTGCTGCCCCGCCCGCCCGCACCCTTACCTGGCATCCACTTCCGTGGACACGCGGCCTGGAATCTTCTTCAGTATTTCCGCTCCAAACAGCACGTACAGCTTATCGGTGGCGTTTTGAATCTGTTCTTCCTGGGACCTGAAACCCAGGGGCCGGGCCGGAGATGGTCAGTCAGTGCCCAGGGTTCAGGGCAAGCCGCTCCCGGAGACCCTGCACCACAGCTTCCTCCGTTTCTTTTCCTCAACGTCTTTCTATTGGTGAGAACCACTGACCGCGGCCCCTGCAGCCCCCACTGGGGATCGAACCTGCAACCCAGCCTGTGCCCCGACTGGGAATCGAATCATGACCTCTTGGTCCATAGTCCTACACTCAGCCCCTGAGCCAGGCCGGCCGGGCTGCCCCTTCTTTCTTCAAAACGCATTTATCACCAAAACTGGTTTGGCCCAGTGGATAGAGCGTCGGCCTGAGGACTGAAAAGTCCCGGGTTCGATTCCGGTCAAGGGCACGTACCTTGGTTGCAGCACATTCCCAGTGGTGGGTGTGCAGGAGGCAGCTGATGGTTGTTTCTCTCTCATCGATGTTTCTGACTCTCTATCCCTCTCCCTTCCTCTCTGTAAAAAATTAATAAAATATATTTTTTAAAAACCCACGTTTATCCCTGGAAAATACCCACAGTGGGAAGTCACCACCTTAACCTAGGAGCGCACAGCTAGGGCACGAGGCATTTACTGTGGTGTGGCCGTCACCCGGCCACCTCCACCTCCACATCCCGCTGAGCGCCTCCGGCTCTGAGCTCGTGAAAAAGCATCTCTTTGGAGTCGTCTAGGCAGACCAGTCAAGTGCACGCGGAGCGTCTCAGCCAGCGTGTCAGCCAGGACCTGGGCCTGTGAGTGACGAAGGCACGGAAGCACCCAGGCCTGGCTGGTACACACAACAGACCAGCCACGAGGGAAGGGAAAGTGAAGCCGGCTAAGGCAGGGCACGTGCAGCCTGCACACTGCATGCCACCGGGCATCCCAGCCAGCGGCCACTGCTCCCGAGCTCACCCCAGTGAGCATGTAACGCGACGCCTGATTGTGCCTGGAGGGGGGCAGGACCGGCCACAGCGGCAGGGAGCGGCTGGGACCAGACTGGTGACGGCTGCATCGCGGCAAAAAGCACCCCAAGAAGCCGGACCGTGTCCCTAAGAGGGAACTTTACTCTGAGCAGCTGTTAAAGACATGGACAAAAGAGCCATCACACACTGGAGCTCAGCGTGAGGGAGAGAGTGGGCCTGCCTGGGGCCCGCACACTCGCCCTGGGACCCCGCACTCACCCGCCCAGCTTCTTGCCGTAGGCGATGGCCTCCTCCACCAGCTCCTGGTAGGCGGGCATCTGCGCTGCAGCCAGGATCAGGGACGGGTTGGTGGTGGCATCCTGGGGCTTGTACTGGTCGATGGCTAGAGAGTTTTAGAAAGAAAGGAAGTGCGGCATGCTTGAGTCTGTGACCGTCCCTGAGCCCTAGACACACGCAGCCACGAGTGTTTCCGCCCCGGCCGGTGTGGCCCAGTGGATAGAGCGTTGGCCTGAAGACTGAAGGGTCTCTGGTCTGATTCCAGTCAAGGGCATGTACCGGGATTGCAGGTTCGATCCCCGGTTCGGGACGCGTGCAGAGGCAACACATTGATTAATGTGTCCCACATTGATGTATCTGTCTGTCTTTTCCCCTCCCTTTCACTCTCTAAAAACCAATGGAAAATACCCTTGGGTAAAGGCTAACAAAACTAAACTGTTTCCCAAGCTGGGGTACAGCCACACTTCACACCCATGTCCCCCCACCCTGAGGCTGGCAGGAGGCAGCTGCTTGCACAGGGACAGCCAAGGGCTGACTTCACTGCTGGGTGGGGAGGGAGGCCCTGGGATGTTCGGACAGCAGAGGGCGCCCTGCTTCCCCGCAGCGCCAGCGATTGTGAGGAACCTGGGTCCATGGATCAACATGGATCAAGGACTGCTTGCTTTCTCCTTTAAACCCCTCTCTCCTAATTCCCAGGTAACCAGGCCGGGGTTCCAGGCCATGGGGCCACTCTGGGGTCTCCTGACCAGCTGTCAGGGGGAGAGGGGCGTGCAGAGCGGCCAGAGGGCTCGCTGCTTCTGTAAGTTCCTTGAGCAAGAGTATTTTCTAAGTGCCCTCTGACGACCCCACATAGGAGGCAGATCAGGCCGGCAGAACAGGTGGCTCTCAGGAGTCCCAGCTCACAGGGTCCCTGGCCCGGCACCCGCCATGGGGACACCTGTGTGCCGAGGTATGGTGTCAGGACTCGGGAGATGGTCCTGCCGTGGCCCGCTGTGTCCTAACTGTCCCGGTGCCCACAAAACCTACAGCTGTCCTCAACCCCATCAAGGGCCACCCTGTGGTGGGATCTGGTGCACACGGTGAATCCTGTGAACAGGACGGTGCAGGCGCACAGGTGTCCCTGAGGCGGGCGCCGGGCCAGGGACTCTGTGGGCTGATTCTGCAACATCTAGACGTCTCTGTTTCTAAACAATGCGTTAGGAAATCGGGCTCAGGAGTGGCGCTTGCACGGGTGTGCGAACCCCCAGGAGGTGGCTGAAGGCAGCGCCTCTGCTTGTATTATAGAGAAGGACGCCTTGACAGGGCTGACCTTTAACCACATTAAAGACCCATCAGGGTCAAAACTGGTTTGGCTCAGTGGATAGAGCGTCGGCCTGCGGACTGAAGGGTCCAGGGTTCGATTCCGGTCGGGGGCATGTATCTTGGTTGCGGGTACAACCCCAGTAGGAGGTGTGCAGGAGGCAGCTGATTGATGTTTCTCTCTCATCGATGTTTCTAACTCTCCCTCTCCCTTCCTCTCTTTAAAAAAAAAAAAAAAAATCAATTAAAAAAAATATATATATATTTTAAAAAGACCCATCAGGGATTCAACAGATGAGGTCCCTGGGCTGTAAAGCAGATGCAGGAGGGCATTGGTCCAGGCAGGGGCCTCTCCCCCCACCCCGGGCAAAGGTGAGAACCTTCACTTCTTAACACGCCCACAAAACCAAGGCCCTCAGCTGCCTTGCACACTCATGGATGCACAGTATCAATAACTTTATAAAGTGAATATCGGAAAATGTCAAGTCACTGGGTTTAGTTGTTTTTAAAAAGAAAACCAGCAAGCACTCTCCAGAAGGTGTGACAGGCTGAGCGCAGGGAGCAGACCCAGGGCCGCCTGGCCGGAGTCCCAAACTCCGGGGGAAGCACCGCGTCCGGCCCCCCCTCTGGCCGGACCGCCCTAACCTGCCGCCGGCCAAGCCGCAGGTGCTCCTCCCGGAGGCTCTGCTAGATCAACAACCCTCTTAGCTCCGTCTTACGGTCACCAGAGGAGCGGCTTCCCCAGTCACCATGAGAAAGCAGAAACGGGCGGCCACACCCACCCCGCGCCCCGGGAGGAGGGAGGTCCTGCCCGGACCGACTGAGCCCGGCCCGGCCCGCTCTCCCAGCCCGGCTCCAGCCCCCGCTCCCGCCCCACGGCCCGCGTCCCGGGGGCCGAGGCTGCAGCAGGCGCAGGGGCGGCCGCCCGGGCCCCGCGCTCGGTCTGTCCCGCCGAGCGGTCACCACGCGCGGACAAGGCCGCCCGGACCCTCCCCAACCCGGAGCCTTGGCAGCCCGACCCCCGCGGACTCCGGCCTCCGCGCCCGGGGCGGGGGCGCCGGCAGGGCGGGGCTCAGACTGCGCGCTCCGCGCCGGGCCCGGCCTCCCGCTCCGGCCGCTCCGGCCGCTCCGGCCGCTCCTGCCGCGGCGCCCCGTGTCCTGCGCCCCCGGAGCCGCCTGGCGCGGGGCTGGGCCCGGAGCGGGGCTGGGCCCGGGGCGGCCGCCCCGGCGCCCCCGCCCCCCACGCCCGCTCGGGCCGCGCCGCGCCGCACCGTGGAAGTCGCCCGTGTCGGCCACCACGGTGGTGAACTGCTTGAGCTGGTCCAGGGCGCTCTCCATCCTCTGCCGCTTCACCGGGGAGCCGGACATGGCGAGACGCGGCGGCAGCGGGCGGCCCACAATGCCCCGCGGCCCGCCCCGGCCGCCGGCCAATCGGGAGCCGCCGGGAAGCGGGAGGCCCCGCCCCGGGTTGGCCCCGCCCCCTGGCCCGAAACCCCGCCCCCGGCGGCTGTGGGCGGCGGGGGTCGCGGCCCCTCAAGGTCCGGGTGAAAGGCGGGCGGGCGGGCAACGTGGGCCGCACGTCCTGGGCGCACGCAGCCTGCAGCCTGGGTGGGACACCCTGGAGCGGTGTCCCCCTCAGCGGTGCCCCCCCTCAGCGGTGCCCCCCCTCAGCGGTGCCCCCCCTCAGCGGTGCCCCCCCTCAGCGGTGTCCCCCCTCAGCGGTGTTCCTCCCTCAGCGGTGTCCCCCTCAGCGGTGCCCCCCTCAGCGGTGCCCCCCTCAGCGGTGTCCCCCTCAGCGGTATCCCCCTCAGCGGTGTCCCCCTCAGCGGTGTCCCCCCTCAGCGGTGTCCCCCTCAGCGGTGTCCCCCTCAGCGGTGCCCCCCCTCAGCGGTGCCCCCCTCAGCGGTGTTCCCCTCAGCGGTATCCCCCTCAGCGGTGTCCCCCCTCAGCGGTATCCCCCTCAGCGGTGTCCCCCTCAGCGGTATCCCCCTCAGCGGTGTCCCCCTCAGCGGTGTCCCCCCTCAGCGGTGTCCCCCTCAGCGGTGTCCCCCTCAGCGGTGTCCCCCCCTCAGTGGTGTCCCCCTCAGCGGTGTCCCCCCCTCAGCGGTGTCCCCCTCAGCGGTGCCCCCCCTCAGCGGTGCTCCCCTCAGTGGTGTCCCCCTCAGCGATGCACCCCCCTCAGCGATGCACCCCCCTCAGCGGTGTCCCCCCCTCAGCGGTGCCCCCCCTCAGCGGTGTTCCCCCCTCAGCGGTGTCCCCCCTCAGCGGTGTCCCCCCTCAGCGGTGCCCCCCCTCAGCAGTGTCCCCCTCAGCGATGTCCCCCCCTCAGCGGTGCCCCCCCTCAGCGGTGTCCCCCCTCAGCGGTGTCCCCCCTCAGCGGTGCCCCCCCTCAGCAGTGTCCCCCTCAGCGATGTCCCCCCCTCAGCGGTGCCCCCCCTCAGCGGTGCCCCCCCTCAGCAGTGTCCCCCTCAGCGATGTCCCCCCCTCAGCGGTGCACCCCCACCCAACAGCGTCTCAGAGGGCGCCCCGCTGGACCTCCATGGGGCAGTGGCTTGACCACAGCCCTCGCTGCGGACCGTGATCAGGCCTCTGTCCGCTGATCCTGACCCTGCGCTGGGGCCTGGGCTTAGCCTCTGCTGCCCCTTCTGGGGCACCTGCTCCCTCGGCCTGGCGCCCTCCCGGGTCAGGGTATTTGGTGCGAGGAAGGGACCCGAGGGCTGAGGGCGGGAGACCAGGCTGCGGGGTCAGCGCCTCGGCAGGTGGGGAGCCCCAGGCTGCGCCAGGCCTTCCTGCCTGGGTTCAGGATGGGCAGCTGCTGGGCAGCACCAGGCCCACAGGTGCCCGAGGCCTCAGGCTCCGAAACACTCCATGGGACTGTTCTTCGCACTCCCTGGGGCAGAGCTCTGTGGGGGGCAGGGGCCCAGGGGAGAGGCCAGGGCGGAGCGTCCAGTGGAGAACCGGGCCCCAGCGGGGAGGGGGCTCAGGGCTGGCCAGGCCAGGGCAGCGCAGGGAGGCGGCCGGGAGAAGGAGGAGACACACTTCCCACACTTCCTCCCGCAGGTTCGCTGCGGAGGGAGCAGGCGGTGGCGTGGAGGGAAATGACTGCGAGTTGGGGGGGGGGGGGGCAGGAGAGGAGAGGGGTTCAGCAGGTCCCTGGAGGGCCGTGGCTGGGGTCCAGGGCACTGGTGCAACAGAGGCCTTCGTCACCCTCCAGGATGTCGGGGTGACGGGGGAGGTCGGGGGGGGGGGCAGGGGCAGGAGCAGACCTGGGCACAGGTGGACAGGTGCGCAGGCCGCTGAGGGCGCAGGCGCAGGCGCAGGTCGGAGCGTGGAGGGAGGGGCCGTGGGCAGAGGCAGGGTGCTGGGCCCGCTCGGGAGCTGCACCGACCTGGGTGTGGCTGTGGTTCAGCCTCTGCCCTTCCTGGTCTCTGGGTGGGTGAGGGGGTGGGGTAACCCCGGAATGTGGCGGCGCCTGACGAGGCAGGGAGCGGAGCGGGGCCTGGGCAGAGACCTGGGGCGGGGGCTGAGTCAGGTGAACGGGACAAAGGGCGGGAGAGGCTGAGGATCGCCCGTCACGGTCAGTTCCTGGTCAAGGCACACACCCAGGTTTCTGTTTGGTTCCTGGTGGGAAGGCAGCCGATGTTCTCTCCCTCCCTCCCCCCCCCCCTAAAAACAACAAAAGCGTGTTTTAAGGTAAATAAAAGCCTCTGTCAGTGTGGATCATTCCCTCTGGGCAGAGACCTTTCCCCAGAGCAGCGCTGACCCGCCCAGCCCCTTGCCAGGGGCTGTCACTCACAGAAAAGGCACAGCTGGGGTCCGGGCTCAGGGGCCGCAGGTGCAGAGCTTAGTAACAAGAAGAAGAAGAAAAAAAACAAAACAATGCAATCAACAGGGCGGCCTCATCCACAGGATGAATTTAAGGCTCGAACCCGCAGACAACGCAGCAAAGGCCACTCTCCCTGGAGAGACTCACATTCTTAAACACATAGGCATCTTCAGGGGTTTTTACAGAGAGGAAGGGCGAGAGGGAGAGAAACATCAATCGGCTGCCTCCTGCACTCCCGCCCCCTCCTGAGAATGGAGTCTGCAGCCTGGCACAGGCCCTGACCAGGAATCGAACCTGTGACCTCTTGGATCGTGGGAGGATGCTCAACCACTGCGCAACACCGGCTGGGCCAGAGTCAGGGTCTTGATGGCTGATTCAACCACCAAATGCCCCTGTTTTCAAGTAGAGCAGAACACAAACACGGACACGCGCCTTCTAGGCCCTGGGTCCAGGGAGGGGGAAGAGTGGAGTAAGATGGGGTAAGAGTGCATAGCCGAGAGAAGGCCACTCAGGCCCGCGCTGGGCACAGTGGGAAGGGACACTCCGTCCGCAGAGAGCTGTGGGCTCAGGCCGCCGGCCGCTGCAGCTCGCTGTGCTTTGCCGCCTGCGTGGGGGGAACACGGGTGTTCAGGAGCCCCTCTCCCCCCCTTCCCAGTGCAGAGCCCCCCGCCCCTACAGTCCCTTCCATCGCAGGAGTCTATGCAGGCCTTCTGGGGAGCAGTCACAGCCAGAGGCCTGGCAAAGGAACCGGGAGGCGTCCTGGGAGCCTCAGGGTCCCAGCGGGCTGTGGTTGGCATCTGGGGTGCAGTCTTTCGGGACTGAGCCCCTAGCCTGTGGGATCTGAGGGCTTCGGGGTCCACAGTGTCGGTGGAGTTGAATGTAGGGCGCCAGCTCAATGTGGGGGAGACCTCACATGGGAATGGGGTGCTGGCTGTGTTCCACACAATGGGATCTCACTGCCTTAAAGGGAAAGGGACCTGCCGCGGCCCCAGACGGGCATAAGGATGCTGTGCCTAGGGAATAAGCCAGCCCCAGGGGAACCCAGGGGGACGGACCCTGTGGGACCCGCTCAGAGGAGGCCCCCGGGTCAGACCCACGGACAGGAAAGGGAGGGGGGTGTTTAATGGGGACAGAGTTTTGTTTGGAAAGTTCTGGAGATGGTGGTGGTTTGCAGACTGGGAGGGGACGTGAGACTTGCTTCATCTTCCTGTCACAGGTCAAACGTCCGGTGAAGACATACACGGGGCCGGGGCACCCGGAGGCAGCAGGCGGGGAGGGGGAGGGGGAGCCCCCCATTAGCAGCGTTGCTGTGGGGGCAGGGAGATGTGAGTGGCAGGGCCCAGGACTGGGCTCCATAGGCCCGAGGGGGCGTGTTTACTGTTCCCAGACCTGGGGGCACCCCTTTTCTGTCCTCATGGGGTGTTCTCTGCAAAGGCCACCCCCCCAGCGGCTCTCCCCACACCCCCATCTGCAGGCGTCCCCAGGGGCGTGGCTTCTTGTGTCTGGTTCCCCTCCTGTCTGCACTTGCTTTATTGTTGTTGTTATTATTATTTTGTCAATCCACATCCGAGGGTGTCTTTCCCTTTGCTTTTCAAAAAGTAGGAGGGAGGGAGTCAGGGAGGGAGGGAGAGAGAGAAACTCTGATGTGAGAGTAGCCATCGACTGGTTGCCTCCCCCACATGCCTGACCAGGGGGAGGGAGTGACTCCCCCCACCCTCCGCACAGGGCCTGCAACGCCCAGGAAGAAGGGGTGCAATACCTCGGTCTCAGGACCTTCCTCAACGGGGCCCCACAGCCCTCGGGGGACAGTGCAAGGGCCCAGCAACGCTAATCTCACTTCTCACCCAGAGGCGCCATTTCCTGAACCCAAAGTGTCTCCGGGGGCCCATCCCCCTCAAGCCTCAGAGGCCTTCCTCCCTCTGCCATCCCCCCACCCCCCACACAGGCCCTGGGGGAGCCCACGCAGCCGCCAGCATTCAACATGCAAAGTGTATTTCCTAGGAAAAGAAATTATTATTTAATATATTTGTATTGACTTTAGAGAGGAAGAGAGAAACATCCATGATGAGAGAGAATCGTCAACCGGTTGCCTCCTGCACGCCCCACATGGGGGATCGGACCTGCAACCCTGGCATGTGTCCCCACTGGGAATCGAACCCTGACCTCCGGTTCCTAAGTGGACACTCCACCCCTGAGCTGGGCGGAGAGTTCTTGGAAGAAAGAACGCTCCCCACAGCCCTGTGCCCTCTTGCCTCCGGGCCAGCTGGGGTGGGTGTGGGGCCAAGGCCACTGTGGGGGGAGGCGGGGGGTTGGGGGGCACAAAGACAGGCCTGTCCCCGAGACAGACAGCAGACAGCGGGCCTTGTTCCTCAGCATTTGCTGAGCACAGAGAGGGCACTGGGCAGGCAGCTCCGCCCTCACCCGGTTCTGGCCCTCCTTTGCCCAGTTGTCCCCTCTGCAGCCCCACCCCTGGGCAGCACCACCAGATCTCTGCCCGCGCAGTCTGCACGGGGGCGAAGGGGGGGAGTGGTTAGGAACTTGAAACGGGCCCACCTGCACCTGAACCCAGGAAGCAGATTCGGTTCTGGGGCTCAGAGATCAGCACCCTAGCCCAGAGGCAGTGGCCCCAAGCCCAGGCTGTGCTGGCGACCGGGAGCCCTGCTGAGTCCAGTCTGCACCTGCTTCTGGCCACCAGGGAGCAGAGCACAGGGTGGGCGCTGGATGGCTGGGTGCTGAGTGGCTTATTTATTTATATTTTTTTAGAAATATATTCTTATCGATTTCAGAGAAGAAGGGAGAAGAAGGGAGAGATAGAAATATCCATGATGAGAAAGAATCATGGATTAGCTGCCTCCTGTACACCCCTCACTGGCACCCCTGGGCCAGCAGGGGCAGTGGAGCCGGGATGTCCCTCCCGCTCTGAGGGAGGGGCTCAGCCTAGCAGGGCAGTGGGGGTAGCCTTGCCTGTACCTCCTGGTGGTTCCCGATGGGTGGGACATTGCCCCATGCCCTCCTCTTATCCCCTGGGGGCCACCTCCCTGTCCACAGGGGCCTGCCCAGGCTCGGAGGCCAGAACTTCTTTAACTTATTTATTTTTTTTAGAAATATATTCTTATCGATTTCAGAGAAGAAGGGAGAAGAAGGGAGAGATAGAAATATCCATGATGAGAAAGAATCATGGATCAGCTGCCTCCTGTACACCCCTCACTGGCGATGGAGCCCACAGCCCGGGGCATGGGCTCTTGACGAATCGAACCTGGGACCCTTCAGTCCAAAGGCCAACACTCTATCCACTGAGCCAAACCGGTTAGGGCTAGAGCTTCTTTCCTGGCCTGGAGGGGGTCCTTCCTTCCTGGGGGGATGGGCTGTGATGGCCCAGATGGCCCAGACACTCCAGTCCCGAGGAGCCGCTGCAGACTGGCCCGGGGTGGCCTGTCCCGGCCACACAGAGCTTTCCAGACGTGGAGACTGGTCCCGTCCTGACGGCCCAGCAGCAGGGGTCGCCCTCCCGTCAGCCCTGCCCGGCCCCAGCTGCCCTCTGCATCCGAGCTCCCCGTGGCGCCCGCCCGGCCCAGACCCCTCTGGAGACCCTGCCCCGGGCTGCTCCCCCGGCTCCCTGCAGGTCAGGACGCCCCCAGGCAGACAGGCGCTAGGGCGCCCCTGGACGCGCGCTGCAGCACGCAGAGTGGCCAGCAGAGGGTGCGGTGGCCTCCTCCCAGGGTGGGGCGCTGGCTCCCCCCGGTGGTCGGGTGCTTGGCGGAGTGCAGCCCTCTGTGCCTCTGGCTCCTGCAATGACGCTATCCCAGCTGACCCAGCTTCAGCCCCTCCCCCCCGTCCCCCTCCGCTTAGCTTCTCGCTCCTCTGACGCACGCCCTGTGCTCCCCACCCAGCTGAGCTCAGGCAGATCTGGCTCCCACCGCTCCCACGGCCTGGGTGCCCGTCTTTGGCCTCTGGGCAGGGGCCCCCTCAGCCTCTCCCCTCCCAGGCATGTCCCCTGGCCCCTCTGGGATCCTGTGAAGGGGAGGGGCTCCCAACAGGGTCAGGGTGAGCGGCGGATTGGGGCCTCCACCGCCCGCCTGGCCCGGCCTGCCCCTGCCCCAGCTCTCACACAGCTGCAACTTCCCAACCTTGGCCCACAGTGGCCCCCACTCTAGGAGACAGATGCGGGGGTGCGAGGAGAAAACTGGTTTAATGTCAGCGCCTCGGAGTGTGGCTCTCAGTTCTGGGGTGCGGTCTGAGTCCAGGGCTCCAGGCCTCCCAGGCCCCGGCTCAGCACACAGGGCCAGGCTGGCCTGAGGCTGGCCAGACAGTCCATTCTTGGGCTCTGCTTCAGGGATGGGCGGGGGTGTGGGCAGGGGGGTGTGGGCAGGGGGGTGTGGGCAGGGGGATGCAGGCAGTGGGGGTGCAGGCAGGGGTGTGTGGGCAATGGGGGTGCGGGCAGTGGGGGTGGGTGGGATGACCAGGCCAGTGCTTGGGTGAGTCCAGTCTGCATCTGCTTCTGGCCACTGGGGAGCAGAGCACAGGGTGGGCGCTGGATGGCTGGGTGCTGAGTGGCTGAGGTGTGCTGCCCTCGGGCCCACGGCCAGCCGGGGGGGAGTGCAGGGAGTACCAGTGGATGGGGGCAGTCATGTAAGTGGGACAGGGGCAGAGGCCCAGGGACCCCTTGTGGGTAGAGGTGGCCAGAGGTGGTGAGAGCAGGGAGGGGCTGGCACCTCCAGGCGGCAAGTTTGGCTGAGGTGGGCCGTGGGCAGGCGGTGAGGTGGGCCGTGGGCAGGAGGCAGGTGAACTGCCCCCAGGTGAGCTGCCCCGTGTCCGGTACAAATGCACACGCATACAAACACTACTCCACGCGGTGGGCCGGCGCGGGTCTCCAGCCGGGCCTAGCTGTCCCCCTCCAGCCTCTTGGAATGGAACTTGCTCATGAGTTCCTCCAGCTCCGACCCTCCGTGCTGCTTCTGGGGCGGGAGAGGCGGCCTCAGCCCGGGCGCCCGGCGGGACCGCCATCAGGCCGGGAGATCAGGCGGGGAGGTGGTGCGGGGCGGGCACGGGAGGCGGGGCGGGGGAGGGGCACGGGGTGCGCAGGGGGCGGGGCTGGGCGGGAGGGTGGGGGTGCGCGGGGCTCACCTCCAGCACCGCCTTCTGCACGGTGAGCTGGCTGTACACGCGGATGCCCTCCTCCCCGCACACCTTCTTCAGCTCGTCCTTGTTGAGCGAGAAGAGCTGGGGCCCCGTCAGGATGCCCAGGTTGTCCACGATCCTGCGGGGCGGGCGGGGCGGGCGGAGTGAAGGCGGGCCCTGCGGGCGTGGCGGCCTCGCCCACCCGCACCCCGCACCCCGGGCACCTGCCCGCGCCGCCCACGCACCTGGCGCTGAAGGCCTTGGCTTCCAGCCAGGCGCGCACCTGGTCCGGGCCGGACTCGTAGGTGAGCGGCAGGTGCACGGGCTGGCTGCGCTCCACGCGGAAGTGCCGCTGCGGCTGCGCCTTGATGTGGCTGATCTTCTTGACCAGCTCGTCGTTGACCTCGTCCATGTGGTGGATGAGCTCTGGGGGGGAGGGGCGGGTCAGGCTCTTCACCCTCCCCCAGGGCTCCCCTTCTCCCGGGCTCCCCTCCCCCTGTGCTCCCCTCCCCCTGTGCTCCCCTCCCCCGGGGGTCCCCTCCCCCTGGGACAGCCAGAGCCCTCACCCATCACCCTCACCTCGTGGGGGGCGCCGGCCTCCTCCGCCCGGACCTCATCCAGGGTCCCCTCCCCTCCCCCCTGGGCTCCCCTCCCTCCAGGGCTTCCCCTTCCCCTCCCGCCCCAGGTGGCTCTGCCCCGCCCCGCCCCCCTCACCGTCTTTGTTTCCGGTGAAGCTAGAGGGCAGCTTGTGGGTGGGGCTGACAGGACCCCAGTACTTCAGACCCGCCTGGAAGTGGGGGGGGGGGACAGGGGCGGAGCCCACCCGTCACTCATCTCCCTCCCAGCAGGAGCCCCGCCCCCTTCCCTCCGGAGCCTGCCCAGCCCCCAACTGGCCTGGGCCACACCTGGAGCCCCTGTAGAGGGGTCTCCCTGAGACCCATGCACCGCCCCTACCCCCCACCCCTCCACCCCCCACCCCTGCCCAGTGGTGCTGGGACAGCCAGAGCCCTCACCCATCACCCTCACCTCGTGGGGGGCGCCGGCCTCCTCCGCCCGGACCTCATCCAGGATGTTTCGGGGCACGTAGCCAGCCTGGCCGCTGCGACTGCGCAGCTTCCACCACTGGTGCCCGTCCTCCAGCACCTGCGGGTGCCCCCATCACCCGCTGGCACCCCCAGCAGCCCCCCCCCGCCCTCGGCCACGGGCCGGGAGCACGGGGTCTGTGCAGATGGTCCATGGGGCCCTAGCGTCTCCCCTGAGCCCCCCAGTCCTAAGGGGACAGTCACCTTCTCCAGGTGCTGGGCCTCCCCATGGCCCCCCAGCTGCGCGCTGAGCGGGGTGCCCCGGGCTAGCTGCGGATGTAGATCACCCTCAGCTCACCCCTCTTCCCTCCCCTGACGGGTGACCCAGATTTAGGGCTGGCACCAAACCCAGGTGGTGCCCAGGGGGGACCAGAGGTGGGCATGGACAAGGCCCTGCTGGGTCGGGGCTCCCCCAGTCGGCACAGGGAGCGCCCACCCTCTGTCCTGAACCCAGCACAGGCGCCCGTGCCCCTCGGAGGCCTGGGGGGGGGGGGTTGTCCCTCATCCAGTGTCTGCTTGGACCCAGGCCGGAGCCCAGGGGTAGGAGGGGGGTGCCTGGGGGAAAGGGGGGCAGCCAAGCCGGTCCCAGAGTCATGGATCTGCCCTCCCCCGCCCCCCCTACAGCCCCACGCACCTCCAGGACCTCGTCCCTGAGCACCGACAGCTCGTTGGCGTTGCGGGCGGTGAAGTCGTAGAGAACCTTGACGTACTTGGCCATGGCCGGCGTGGCTTCGTAGCCCCTGCGAGGAGCAGAGGGCTGAGGCGGGGGCCGGGGCCCAGGGTCTCCTGGCTGGGCTGGGGCAGGGGCAGCTCTGGGCGTGCGGTGCCTCCCGCGCTCGCTCAGGCTGCAGTGAGAGCTGAGCCACTCGCAGCCGGGAATGGAAACTGTGACAGCCCAGAGCATCGCGGTGGGGGGCCCTGTGGGAGGCGGGGGTGCGATGGCGGGCGGAGGCCGGCGGGCCCCGGGTGCCTTGGGCATAGCAAGGCCAGCCCCAACCCAAGCCACCTCAGGGGTCCCCAGGCCCGGCCCCCTGGGCACACCAGGGCCAGGCGGGTACCCCAGAAATGACAAGGTCGCTGCCGCCTCGGGAAAGCAGCCCACCAGGAGGGAGGGACAGTCCTGAGCTCCCCGGGAGGACGCCCGTGGGCTGAGGGGTACAGGGGGGGGGGGGCGGCTCTGGGCGGGTCCTGACCTCAGCACGGAGCCAGGCTGCCGCCCAGCGCCCCCTCCTGGTCCACCCTGGCCCCCCATCAGGTGCCTCCCTCGTCCAGGTGGGGCCCGAGACACTCAGGAGGGAGGGGTCTGAGGCTGGAGCGCACCCCAGAGCCCCGGCGGGTGGACGGGCTGTCAGGGTTGGGGGGGCAGTCCGGTCAAAGGGTGGACATGTTTTTCATGGGCGGCCCAGGCCGGGGTGGCTGGTGCGGGCGGAGGGAAGCTCACGGGGAACACGTGGCTTTGGGGTCGCCCCTCCTGAAGCGGAACCTGGGGTCCGGCAGGGTACGCACTCCGGGCAGATCCTGGGCCTGAGGGGAGTGGTCTTTCCAGGTGTGTGTGTGGGTGTGTGAAGATGTGTATATGTGCGTGTATGTATGTGTATGTGTGTATAGATGTGTGTGTATGTGCGTGTATGCATGTATATGTGTATAGATGTGTGTACGTGTGAAAATGTGTGTATGTGTGTTTATGTGTATGTGTACGTGCGTGTATATATATGTGTGTATAGATGTGTGTGTATGTGTGAAGATGTGTGTGTATGTATGTGTGTGTGTGTAGGGGGAGGGGCAGGGGCAGGGGCTGGTCAGACCCTGAGGTCACACATGTCTAACCGCGTCTACAGCACAAAGCGCGGAGCCAGGCGGGAGCAGGAGGCGGTGGGTTGTGGGCGGCGCTGGACAGGCCTGAGGTTCACGGCCTCCGGTTGGAGGGAAGCCCGGCTCCAGCGGGAAGAGCTGTCTGAGCCCCTGAGCTCTGCTGCCCCCCCCCCCGTGGCCTCCGTGTGAGGGGTGACGGTCCCCCTCACCTACCTGTGCGCGTGCGGGGAGGGGAGCGCATCCCCGGGGGACACGGGCTCGGGCACCAGGCTCTGCTTCACGGAGTTCCGGAAGGACCGGCGGCCGGGGGAGGGCGGGGAGGGCTGCGGGAGAGGCGCGGGCCGGTGTGGGTGGGTGAGGCCGGAGGGGGGTGTGGGGAGGAGAGGGGGTGGAGGCGGGCGGCCGAGGGGGCCGGGGGCGGGGGTGCTCTGACCTCGGCGCGGGGCGCGGCCGGCCCCTCCACCTCCCAGGGCGCCTCCCGCAGCACGTCCAGCGGCGGCTCCCAGCCGCTGTGGAACTTGGGCACGTAGAGCAGCTGCTGCGGCTCCCGGGGCCACTCGGAGCTGGGGGGGGGCTGGGTGAGTCACGCCCCCCCAGCCCGCCCGCCCCAAACACCCTGAGCTTGGGGGCCCCCCCGCCGCCGTACCGGGGGCGCGTCCACGCCTCCCCCAGCGAGTCCCACAGCGCCATCTCCTTGGGGACCAGGTGGCCCCGCAGGAAGCCCACGGCGTCCCGGGAGAGCAGGGGGCTGTGCACGGAGCGCGCGATGTCCGGGCCGCCGCAGGTGCTGACGATCTGGGGCACAGGGGGTTCAGAGGGGTCACGGGGGTGGGGCCCGCCCGCCCGTCCGTCCCGCCCTCAGTCCCCGCCCGCCCCAGGCACCAGGTCCAGCGGCCCGAAGAGGAAGTGGACCAGCTCGGCGGCGCTCGGGTTCTGGATGTGCTTCTGCAGCTTGGCCTGCGGGCGGCAGGGGGCGCTGGTGAGCAAGGGGCGGCCGCGCCGGCTGAGGGAGGACCCTAACCCTCCGCCCCGCTCTCCCGGGCCCAGGGCGGCAGGCGCCGGCCTCACCAGCAGGTTGATAGCCAGCTTGGTTTTCTGGAAACAGTCCACGAACTCGGCCTCGGAGGGCGGCCGCGCCCGCAGCGTGAGGACCCCCTCTGCGCGGAGGGAGGATGTGTGCATGTGTGAGCCCGGCCGCCGGGATAGGGTGGCCTCCCGCACCCCCCGCCCCCGCGCTCCCCTTCCCCCCTCCCGCGCCTGCTGGGCCCGCACCCCCTCCGCCCCGCCCCGCACCTGCCGGGCCCCGCTTGCCCTTCCTCTTGCCCTTCTTGCGCTGGTTGAGCTGCTTGAAGGCCTCGGCCGCCTTCTGCAGACGGGCCACGAACCACTCGATGTCATCCAGCGCGCAGTTGAGGATTTGCTGCGGGCAGAGCGGTGGCGTCGGCCAGGCTCCCCCTCCCCCCGCTCTGGGCGCATGGGCTGCCTCTAGGCCTCTGCCCGGAGAGGGTGGGTGCAGGGGGAGGGGTGGTGCAGGGAGAGGGTGGTGCAGGGAGAGGGTGGGTGCAGGGGGAGGGTGGGTGCAGGGGGAGGGTGGGTTCAGGGGATGGATGGTCAGGGGAGAGGGTGGTGCAGCAGGAGGGTGGGTGCAGGGGGAGGGTAGTGCAGGGGGGAGGGTGGTGCAGGAGGAGGGTGGGTGCAGGGGGTGGATGGTGCAGGGGGGAGGGTGGTGCAGGAGGAGGGTGGGTGCAGGGGGAGGGTGGTACAGGGAGAGGGTTGGTGCAGGGGGTGGATGGTACAGGAGGAGGGTGGGTGCAGGGGGTGGATGGTGCAGGGAGAGGGTGGGTGCAGGGGGTGGATGGTGCAGGGAGAGGGTGGGTGCAGGGGGAGGGTGGTGCAGGGGAGAAGGTGGTGCAGGGAGAGGGTGGTGCAGGAGGAGGGTGGGTGCAGGGAGAGGGTAGTGCAGGGGAGAGGGTGGTGCAGGGGGAGGGTGGGTGCAGGGGGGAGGGTGGTGCAGGAGGAGGGTGGGTGCAGGGGGAGGGGTGGGTGCAGGGGGAGGGTGGTGCAGGGGGGAGGGTGGGTGCAGGAGGAGGGTGGGTGCAGGGGGAGGGTGGTGCAGGGAGAGGGTAGTGCAGGGGAGAGGGTGGTGCAGGGGGAGGGTGGGTGCAGGGGGGAGGGTGGTGCAGGAGGAGGGTGGGTGCAGGGAGAGGGTGGGTGCAGGGGGAGGGTGGTGCAGGGGAGAAGGTGGTGCAGGGAGAGGGTGGTGCAGGGGGAGGCGTGGGTGCAGGGGAGAGGGTGGGTGCAGGGGGGAGGGTGGTGCAGGGAGAGGGTGGGTGCAGGGGGAGGGTGGTGCAGGGGAGAGGGTGGTGCAGGGGGGAGGGTGGTGCAGGGAGAGGGTGGGTGCAGGGGGAGGGTGGTGCAGGGGAGAGGTGGGTGCAGGGGGAGGGCGCCCTCAGGCTGGGACCTACCGTCTCCTTCTCTATCCTCTGGGCCAGCACGGCTCGCGGGGGCTCCTCATCGGCAGCCTCCTGGGCGCGGTAGCCTGGAGGGGGGGGGGGCAGAGCTGCCGCTGACTGAGCCCCAGACGGAGGACTGGGCCCCAGACCAGCCCCCGCGCACCTGGCTCGCTGGGCGGCACGGGCAGGCCCACGCGGTTCTTCGAGGGCGAGCTCTGGGCGAAGGGCTGGAAGGGCACGGGCGCGGGGCCCTGGCGCGGGGGCAGCACCGACAGCCGCTGCCGGATCTTCTCCTGGTGGCCCCTGGGCAGAGGGCCTGTCGCTCACAGCCGGCCCTGGGGGCCCTCCCCGCACCCCTCCCCCATCCCCCCCCCCCCGGGCCAGGCCTACTTGAGGGTCTGGGGCCGCATCTTCTTCCCCAGCCGGCAGTCGGCCAGCGCGCTCTCGATGTCCTCGTGCACCAGCTCCGCCTGTGGGCACCTCAGCTGGCTCCCGGTGCCCACCTCCCCATGGCCCACCTCCCCCCAGCACTCCCCCCATGGCCCGGCTCACCCCCCCCAGCCGCTCACTCCCCACCAGCACTCCCCCCCATGGCCCACCTCCCCCCCAGCACTCCCCACCATGACCTGGCTCCCCCCCCAGCCGCTCACTCCCCCCCAGCACTCCCCCCCATGGCCCACCTCCCCCCATGGCCCACCTCCTCCCAGCATTCCCCCCATGGCCCGGCTCCCCCCAGCATTCCCCCCCATGGCCCACCTCCCCTCAGCATTCCCCCCCATGACCTGGCTCCCCCCCCAGCCGCTCATTCACCACCAGCACTCCCCCCCATGGCCCACCTCCCCCCCAGCACTCCCCCCATGGCCCAGCTCCCCCCCACGGCCCACCTTCCCCCCCAAGGCCCGGCTCCCCCCCCCAGCAGTCCCCCCCATGGCCCAGCTCCCCCCCAGCACTCCCCCCCATGACCTGGCTCCCCCCCCAGCCGCTCACTCCCCCCCAGCACTCCCCCCATGGCCCAGCTCCCCCCCACGGCTCACCTTCCCCCCCATGGCCCAGCTCCCCCCCATGGCCCACCTCTCGCGCACCCCCCCAGCGCGCACCTCCACCTCGTCGCAGTGGAAGAAGTGGATGTCGGGCTTGCTCTGCTCCGAGTCCTGGCACACGAGCAGCAGCACGGACGGGTAGCGCAGCTGGTTGAGCACCGTCTGGCTGTGCCGCACGGTGGGCAGCGGGAAGTTCTCCAGCTCCTCCTGGGGGACAGGCGGCTCGTCCAGGCGCCCCGGGCCACAGCCGTGAGCCCCAGACGCAGCTCAAACACGGGCTGGGCCCAGGACACAGTGCCGGGGCGTGGGCATGGAGCCTGTGCCAGGGGCACCCCCGCCCCCGTGACTCCAGGCCCCGCACGGACGCGGCCCAGTAACGGCTCCCCGGAGCGGTGGCCACAGATGCACACAGACCGGACCCAGCGCCCAGGCGGGCACAGCCCGGGAACAGGCTCTTTAAAAAAGCGGTGTTTTTATCGGTTTAGAGAAGAAGGGCGGAGGGAGAGAAACATCCATCCGCTGCCTCCTACACACCCCACCTGGGATGGAGCCCACGACCCGGGCCTGTGTCCCTGCCCGGAGTGAACCAGCGACCCCTGGGTTCTTGGAAGCAGCTCAACCCCGGAGCCTCGCCGGCCGAGGTGGAGGCAGCCTGGGAGGTGGCTGCTGGGCCCCCGCAGTCCTCCCTGCCAGCCTGCCCTTCACACACACACACACAGCCTCCCCTTCACACACTCACACCCCCACACACACCCCACACAAACACACACCACACACACACACTCACCCCCCCTACACACACACACACACACACTCATACCCCCACACACCCCACACATACACACACCACACACACAGCCTCCCCTTCACACACTCACACCCCCACACACACCCCACACAAACACACTCACCCCCCCTACACACACACACACACTCATACCCCCACACACACCCCACACAAACACACACACACCCCCCACACACACACTCACCCCCCCTACACACACACACACACTCATACCCCTATACACACCCCACACATATACACACACACACCCCACACACATACATCCACACACACCCCACACACACTCACCCCCCCACACCACACACACTCACACCCCCACACACTCTCACACACACACCACACACACAGCCTCCCCTTCACACACTCACACCCCCACACACACCCCACACAAACACACACACACCCCACACACACACACTCACCCCCCCTACACACACACACACACACACACACTCATACCCCCATACACACCCCACACATACACACACCACACACACAGCCTCCCCTTCACACACTCACACCCCCACACACCCCACACATACACACACCACACACACAGCCTCCCCTTCACACACACACTCACCCCCCTACACACACACACACACACACACACACACACACTCACACCCCCCCACACACCCCACACATACCCTTCACATACACACACACACCCCCACACACACTTACCCCCACTACACACACACACACACCCCACACACTCTCACACACACACCCCACACACTCTCACACACACACACACACCCCACACACTCACACACACACCACACACACACACACTCACACACACCACACACACACTCACACCCCCACACACTCTCACACACACACACACTCACACACACACACACACACACACCACACACACTCACTCACACACACACACACCACACACACACACTCTCACACACACACTCACACACACACACTCTCACACACACACACACTCACTCACACACACACTCACACACACACACACACACACACACACACTCTCACACACACTCACACACACACACACACTCACACACACACTCACTCACACACACACACCTGGGTCTCCATGTCGAGCAGCCGCAGAGCCTGGTCATTGACCTGCAGCAGCATCTCCTGCGCCCAGATCTTCTCCTTGGCGCTCAGCTGCACCAGCTTCCGCACGGCGTCCTCCACGGACACGATGGCCTCGCTCTTGTCCATGATGAAGGTGGCCAGGTGCTGGGGGGCAGCGGTCACTCGGACAGAGCCCTCGGGGCCACGCCCGGCTGGAGAGGGACTCTGCCTGGGGTCCGACAGGCACGGCCGCCCCAGGCGTCCGGCGGCTCCCTGCGGGTGTCTGAACCTGGCCGCAGGACTGAGCCTCACCCTCTCTCCCCCACCTCTGCCTGGGGGGCTCCCCACAGCCCCCGTGCTGACTGCCGCCCTCCCACCTTCCCGGCCAGAGACTGGCCCCCAGTCACACCTCCTGCCTTCCCAGCTCCAAGACAGACCCCCAGCTGCACTCCCACCTCCCAGCTCGGAGACGGGCCCCAGCTGTGGCATCACGGGCACCCTCCCCTGACCGGCCTGGGGTTTTGTTTTTAGTATATGTGCTGCCGAAGCGAGCACGTGGGGTTTTGTTTTTAAATGTTTTTATTGATGTCAGAGAGGACAAGAAGGTAGAGAGAGAAACATCAATGATGAGAGGATCATGGGTCGGCTGCCTCCTGCACACCCCACACGAGATGGAGCCTGTACCCCGGGTTTGTGCCCTGACCGGGAATCGAACCCTGGCCTCCTGGTTCATAGGTCACAGCCTGACCACTGAGCACACGGGAGCTGACGTCATCTCAGGTGACGTCCGTTGTGCTCCTGCTCCCCTCTGTGTCCCAGGCTGGGGCAGCGCCCACACACAGCAGGCCTTGGCGCCAGGAACCAGTAAGCGTCCAGATGCCCAGCCCAGCCCTCCCTTTACCCCCCCCTTCCTGGGACAGCTGGATGGACAGGGACACTGACTCCAGACCGTCAAGACTTAACCAGAACAGGGCCCTGCGAGGCGCCGGAGAAAGCGCTGGACAGCTCCCGACCCTCTCAGAAAGGCCTTCCCAGCGGCCCCCAGGCCGGGAAGGAAGTCCAGGGGCTCCAAAGGAAGCACCGCTCTGGACGTAGCACAAACACGAAGCACCTCTTTCCGGGAAGAAAGCCGCACGCAAAGTGGAAAGTAAAGGGAAGCAGCGACCGCAGACCCGGCGAGCTGGCTGGCTGGTGAGGAAAGGCAGTTTCCAGTGGCTTTCAGCCGAGTGGGAGGGGAGGGGAGAGACGGAGAGACACATCAATGGCTGCCTCCTGCACTGCCCGACCCGGAGCCAGTGGTCAGGCCTACAACTGAGGAGCGTGCCCGTGACCAGAATGACCGGAATCGAACCCGAGACCCCGCAGTCCGTGGGCCGAGCACTCCCACTGCACAGGGCCTGACCTTGAAGCAGCCCCGCTTTGTCCTGTGATAAGAAAGACACCGAGAATAGGTCCACCGGCAGATAAACAAGAAGACCCCTCCGCAGCCTCCAGCAGAAGGGTCAGAGCGCCGACGGGACTTCCTTACAGACACCTGTCGCTCTCCCACAGGATGGACTATGTGCCGGGACCTTAGGAGTCAGTCCCGGTTGAACACTTTAACCTCGACTGTGGGCCAGGACTGACGAGCCTTGTGGGAGGCATGTGCCCTGTGCGGGGAGCCAGGTGCGGGGAGAGCGCTGCCCAGGCTGGACCCGACTGCTGTGTCCACCAGCTGGTTAAAGAGGTAAGTGGGCACAAGGGGCTGTAAGGCAGCCTGTCTGTGAGCAAAACCCAGCCGAACCAAACCGAACCAAACTAAACCAAACCGAACCAAACTGAACCAAACCCAGCCGAACCAAACCGAACCAAACTAAACTGGACCGAACCAAACTGAACCAAACCAAACCGAACTGAACCAAACTGAACCAAAATGGACCGAACCAAACCAAACCGAACCCAGCCTCACCAAACTGAACCAAACTAAACCGGACCGAACCAAACTGAGCCAAATCCAGCCGAACCAAACGGAACCAAACCAAAGGCGCCGTGGGGCCCAAAAAGTCAGTAAACTTCAGATGAGTCAAAGCATACGAGTATGCTCTCGGACCATAACAGAATTAAATTAGACACGAATAACAAAAAAATGATTGGAAAACCCCAAATAACTGGAATTAAGGAACATGCTTCGGAACAACCCGGGGCCAGAGAAGCAACAGGGAAACCAGAAAGTAGAGGTGACCCTGGAGCAACCTGCGGCATCAAAACATCTGCGGAGAAAAGAAACAGCCGAAACCGGTGTGGCTCAGTGGATAGAGCGCCGGCCTGCGGACTGAAAGGTCCTAGGTTCGATTCCGGTCAGAGGCATGTACGTTGGTTGCGGGCACATCCCCAGTAAGGGGTGTGCAAGAGGCAGCTGATTGGTGATTCTCTCTCATCGATGTTTCTAACTCTCTATCCCTCTCTCTTCCTCTCTGTAAAAAATCAATAAAATATATATTAAAAAAAAAAAAAAAACCACCAAAAAACAACCAAATAAAAAAGTGAGGCTAAAAGTGACATTAGCCCAGACAGAGCCTGGCGGGCGTGGCTCGGGTGGGTGAGGTCCTCCGAGGAGCAGAAAGCACAGGTTCAGTTCCCGTAAGACACTCCATCGGACTCTGTCCCCAGAAGGGGGCGTGCGGGAGGCCGCCGATGGCCAATTCCCACATTCCTGTTTCTCTCTCTCCCTCTCTCTCTCTCCCCCCCTTCTCCTCTCTCTCTAAAACAACACCAATAAAAAACATATTTTAAAGAATGATTTTTTTGCCCTAGTTCGTTTGACTCAGTGGATAGAGCATAAGACTGAAGGGTCCCAGGTTTGAGTCCAGACAAGGGCACATGCCCAGGTTTTGGGCTCCATCCCCAGTGTGGGGCCTGCAGGAGGCAGCCGATCCATGACTCTCTCTCATCATTAATGTTTTGCTCTCTCTCCCTCTCACTTTCTTTCTTTTCTTTTTTTTTTTTTTTAAATATATTTTATTGATTTTTCACAGAGAGGAAGGGAGAGAGATAGTTAGAAACATCGATGAGAGAGAGTCATGGATCAGCTGCCTCTTGCACACCCCCTACTAGGGATACGCCGGCAACCAAGGTACATGCCCTTGACCAGAATCGAACCCGGGACCCTTCAATCCCCAAGCGCATGCTCTATCCATTGAGCCAAACCGGTCCCGGCATCCCTCTCCCTTTCTGAAATAAAAAAATATATATATTTAAAAATGATTTTTCTAAGAGAGAAATCGTTACAGATGAAAAAGTTAAAGTTAAAAACGGAAATGGCTTCTAGACCGAAATGTAAAAGCCTGAAGTGAAGCACCCAGCAAACCCAGGAGGACCCTTCAGTGCTCGGGCGGAGCCGTGCCACTGACTACACAGCCTCGAGCTCAACAGAAGAGGTGGCCGCGCCCGGTGCCATCTCCCTAAGCGTCTCCTCCCAGGGAGCGGGCTGGCCAGCCGCGGGGAGGGTGTCTTCGCCGGGCAGTGCCATTCAGTGGGCAGCTCCGGCCGTAGGAGGCTTACCCTCCCCCTTCCCATTTTCTCCAAACGCTGCGAGCAAAATCAGGCAGTTACGAGCTGTGTGACCTCATTTGTGGGGGACTCCCAGAAAGACAAACCGGTGGTGACGGGGGTCGGGGGAGGACGGGGGGAGGACAGCACAGCGCAAGGCCGTGGGGGATGGAGCCGTTCCGTGGTGGCCCCACAGTCTGTAACAGAGCTGCAACCCCCTCAACACCAATGTCTGGCACGCATTCTGAAAAGTCAACCAACAAAATCACCCGCTGCAGGGCCTCTCAGGGCCCAGCCCCTGCCTCTCACCCTTTCTGGATGCCTCAGTTTCCTCATCTGGGAGGAGCAGGCAAATCCTGCCCACGCCCAGCCGTGCAGGCTGCAGGGAGGGCAGACGAGGCGCCCTGGTTTGGTCCCTCACAGGCCGGGACAGGACCAAAGTCCAGGAGCCGAGCTGGAAGGCCCGGTGGCAGAGCTGACCTGCTCGCCCTCCCTGCCCTGACCTTGGGCACTGAGTCAGCAGCAGTCACCAGCCCGGCAGCACGGAATGGCCCCAGCCCAGTTCACCAGCCAGAGGAACTCCCAGTGACACTGTGGGCCCATTGTATGGATGAGGAGACTGAGGCTCGGGAAGCAGTGACTTGTCTGACCTCTGTGGGTGGGGAGGGTGCGATGGGGAGGGAAGTACATGCCTTCCTGGTCTAGGGCCCCCTCATCCTGGTCCGGGTCCCCCCTCTCCCTCCTCAGCCGCCCCTGGCCCTGCTGTCTGCGGGCGTGGACGGTGACCGGGAGGCAGGAATGTGGCCGGCAGGAAGGTCACGCAGGGAACATGCAGCCTGAGGTCTGGGTGGGAGTGAGATGGGCCCCGGAGCTGGCCCTCCTGGGGGCCGCGGCCGAGGGGAGCTCAGGGCCAGGCCGCCGTGGGCTCCCACCGCGCCCGCCAGCTCCCCCTCCGTCTGCTGCCTTGCTTTGGGGCGACAGTTCCCCTCCCGCTGGGTCTTCCCGCCTGAGGCTTGCCCGGCGGCCCCAGGCCTTGGCCCCACCTGTGCTGAGTTGGCCGCCAGTACCCTCTTCCCCCCACACTGACTCAGGGCGCCCTGCGACCCCCGGACTGTGAGCTCCCCGAACTGGAGGGAGGCCCCCGCTGTGGCGGAGCCGGACCGGTGTGGGCGTCCCTGGCTCTGGCCCCTGGCACGGTGTCAGGAGCTGGGCCGACACTTCTCCCGGGCCTCGGTTTCCCCGCGGGGCCCCTGGGGCCGGAGGGCCGCTCACCTGCACGTGATACTGCGAGGTCTCGTGCATGATGATGTTGGAGTTGGAGTACTTCTTCCTCTGCTCTGCACGGGGACACGCCAGTCACTCCCCCGAGGCGGCCCGGCCCCGGCCAGGGGCTGGACCCGCCGGCTGGGCCACGGGGGTGGGGTGGGGTGAAGTCGCAGAGTGGAGGTGGTAGCCAGCGGGGAGGACAGTGCTCGGAGGGCTCCTCGTGGCCACCAGGAAAGACTGGGTCCTGGCAAAAGGTGGCCCCTCCATCCTGGGCTGGCCGGCTCGGGCCCTGGTGGTGCCTGGGACTGGGGTCTGCCCCGGGGTGGGGGTGCAGGAGGCTGCCCCCCACCTGCTGCCACCTAACATCTCCCTGCCCACCCAGGGCCCCTGGCTCTCCAGACTGGGCACCTGTCCACACCCACAGACGAGCCCATGGCCTGGGGCAGGGCCGGGGGAGGGGCAGGCCGGGGGTGGCCAGGCCCTCCCGCAGCAGACACCTGGCACCCAGGCCCCTCCGATCGGGTTGCAGCAGCTCAGCCGGATCAATATTGATGGCCCTGAATTATTAGTGAAGGCTCTCCCCTTACCTGGCGGGGGGGGACCAGCCCGGAGCTGTGCGGAGGGGCCGAGGGGCTGCTTGATTGGGGTCCCGGAGCCTCCCGGGTGCCCAGCACTGACTGCACCTCCCCTGGTGGGGGCGCAGCACTGCCCGAAGGGGGAGACCCTCCCGTCCTCAACCCTCACTCACCGAACAGGTCCTTGGCACTCATCTTGGCGGCGCTGTCAGACCGGCCCAGGCTGCCGCTGCGGGGAGGGGCTGTGAGGGTGGGGCCGCGGCACCCCTTCCCGGGATGCTTGTGGTGGGCGGGGTGGGGGGCCTGGCGGCAGGAGGGATGACGGGGAAGGTGGGGGGCAGGCAGATGATGGGAGGGGGTGTGAGGTGGGGACTCACTTGGCGGCGCCTGGGCAGCAGCTCAGAGACCCCGACTGGCTCATGGTGTCCTCCGCGGCCAGTGGCGGCTGGCAGGTCCCAGCGCGGGCCAGGCCCAGAGCGCTCACCCCTGGGCGGAGGGAGAGCAGGCTGACACCTCCCAGCCTCACAGGCTCTCCTCGTCCCCCGCCCAGATCCAGGCCGGAGCCCTGACCGCCACCCAGGATCCAGATGCCCAGGGCCACCTCCCGACCATGTCCCAGCAGCCGTCACCGAGGCCCCTCCCTCCCCAGACCCTGGGCCCTCCACAGGGACCCCCGGACAGGCCACAGAGGGTTCCGCTCCCAGCGGCTGTCTGGGGGGGCTGGAGCAGGCGGTCCTGGGAGCTCGGAGGGGGCTGGGAGGAAGCACCTTAAACAGGGAATGGCATCTGAGGCCCCGAGACGGGACGGGGCAGGCCCGATGAGCTGGAGCCAGGGGACCCCCAGGGGCAGGAGCAGAGCCTGGCACCCCTGGGTGTGCCCCCCGTGGGAACGCTGGGCCCACATCCTCCTCCTGTCAAAGGTCTCCAGCAAGTGGCTTCAGTGTCAGGGTCGGCCCGGCCAGTGGCCACAAACCAGGGGTGCTGGCATCCAGGGCGGGGAGCATCCCGGGGAGTGCCGGTCTGACCGGGTTCTGTCTGCGGGGAGGCCCACCAGGAAGTGTGCGGCCGGGGGGCCTCTAGCCACAGCCCCTGCCTGCCCGCCTGCACAGCGTCCGGGCTCCGGGGAGGGGGCCCCGCTCCCTCCATCCATCAGTGCCCCGAGAATGCCCGGAATGCTCATGACCTCAGTGGGTGAGCCGAATATTTGCTTAATGGGATTCCTGGCGGGCTGGGCCAAGGGCACGGGCACATGTGTGAGGCACACACCCCTCGGTGAAACAGGGCCTGCGGGCACACTCAGCCCCACCGGCTGCGCACTCCCCTCGGAAGCCCGGCTGGGAACCCGTGCCTTCAGCCCTGGGGCAGGTGGGTGGGTGGGGAGCATCAGGACCAGAGGGAGGGGCCCTGCCGCTGGCATCTGGGTCCCTGGGTGACAGGAGGGCGCCTCCCTCCCCCCCAGGGCCCTAGGCCCAGGCTGCACTTTGGTTTTACTGCGGTCATTTTCCGGCAGGGGAGGGGGCCCCAGCAGGGCAGGGAGGGCGGAGGGACCGGATCCAGGTTCAAATTCCAGCCTGTAGCCTGTGACCTTGGGGAGGAGTCCGCTGAGCCAGGTGGGGCCCTGGCTGGAGCTGCGGGTGAGGAAGGGGCCTGGCGGCCAGAGGGATGATGGGGAAGGTGGGGAGCAGGCAGGTGCTGAGCACACTGGGGGGGCAGGCCTGCGGGCGCTCTGGGGCACCAGGCGGTGCACCAGGCAGGACCTGGCGAGGCCTGGGCAGGACCAGGGTGTGAGTGAGTGTTAGTGTGTGAGAGTGTGTGTGTGTGTGTGTGTGTGTGTGTGTGAGTGTGAGTGTGTGTGTGTGTGAGAGTGTGAGTGTGTGTGTGTGTGTGTGTGTGTGCAGGGCTGGGGGAGGGCCGCCAGCTGGGCCTGGCCTGGGCCAGACTCCACCCGGGGAGGGCAGGGGCCTGTGACGAGGCCTCCCCAGGCACACCCTCGCCGGGGCTGCCCCGGAGGAAGAATGTGGGAGAGCGGGAGGCGGCCAGTCCACTCCCCGGCCCTGCCCGCCGCCCTGAAACTCCCACACCCGGGCCGTGACCCTGGGCCTGCCCCGTCCCAGCTCCCGGCCCGACTTCCTCGCTGCCGCCCAGGAAGTGCCTCCTGCCGTCTGACCACCTGGAGCCCGCACCTCCAGGTCGGCTCCCCCGGGGAGGCCCAGCGCCCCGGAATGGGGGTGCGGCCTGCGAGGACGGGAGCCCCCTCCCCAACCTTTCGGCAGAGGACGGGGTGCCGCACCGCGCCCCGGCTGGCTGGCGCCCTGGCTACCCCGGCCCCGCGAACCCGCCGACAGGCAGGCCGGGCCGCAGCGGGACAGACTCCGGCCACGAGCTCCAGCCCCTCGCGCCCCGACCGCCCGCCCGCCGCCTCCCGCCCAGACTCGGCCGCCGCCCCGCCGCCTGGGGAAACTGAGGCCGGGCGGGGCGGGGCGGGGCCGGGGGGCGCGCTGGTCCCGGATCCCCGGGCGCTCACCTGCTGCTCGCCGCCTGCGGGCCCCCTCGCCCCGCGCGTCCGTCCGCCCGTCTGTCCACACGGGCTCCTGCGCACGGAGGACGCGGCAGGGCTGGGCCCGGACAGGGGCGGAGCCGCCACCAGGAACCTGAGCGGCAGGTTAGAACCGGGACAACACCGAGGGGCGGGGCGGGACGGCTCCGGCGCCGCCCCAGCCCCGCCCCCAGGGCTCCCCGCGGGGGATCCCTGCCCAACAGCCACTGGCCGCCCCGCCAGACCTCGCCCCTAGAGCTGGGCGCTCGGGGACCTGCAGGGCGAAGCTGTGACACCTTCCCCGGGCCCCTGGTTGGCCCCAGCTTAGGGGCAGGCCGCTCCTGTGGGTGTCTCAGGGGGAAGGGGTCCTTCTCAGCAGGAACTCCGAAGCCCCTATTCTCCGCACCCAGCAGGGGCCAGCCCCGAGGGGTGGTGACTGGTGGACGCTGGGAAGCCCGGGGCCTGGCTGTCCCGGGGCAGGAACCATGGGGCGGGAGTGCTCCGGGCCGTGCCTCCCTCCTCAGCCCAGGCCCAGCCTCTGCCGCGTGGGGCAGGGTCCTTCCTCCTGCACCCTCTCCAGGCCTCTGCCATGCAGTGGAGCGAGGGCTGAGCGCAGAGGGCAGGCCAGGGCGGAGGTGCAGCCCGGGTCCTGGTCCAGCTCCTCTCCTGGCTGTGGGAGCTGAAGAGGTTGCACAAAGGGTCTCGGGCCTGAGCCCAGGAGGCGGCAGTTGCCTCTGTTCCCAGCTGGCACAGAGGGCTTCTTGGGGGAACCCCGGGGGCAGGAAGGCACCCACACTGCACTTTCCTGGTGCCAGGACCCCAGGGACAGGTCTGGAGGCATTGCAGGGGTGTGTGTGGGGTGCCTGTGGGGGGTGTTTGCAGAGGGGGTGCCTATAGGGGGAAGAGGAAGTGGCCTTTGCCCTCAGAGCACTGGCTTCCTGGTTGAGTGCTGAGCACCCAGCAGGGAAGGCACCCCTGCCCTCCTCCCCTGTTGGCCAAGTGGCGTCTGAACGCCATGGCCTGGATCACATGAGCAGCACTGACGGCGGGCAGGTCGTGGCCACCTGGAGCCCCGGCGTCCCCCCCTCTCCGTGGCCCGGGGCCTGCGGGGAGGTTAGGTCTGGGTCCTGGGCCCAGGGCGGGCCCAGCGCAGCGGCGGAGCTGGAGCCTGGAGGAGGGGCGGCCAGTCAGGAAGATGCAGGGAGGAGCGGAAACGCATCTTTATTGAACACCGCGGGGAGGACCCAGCCCGCTTGGACATGTTGTTGCGCACAGAACACGCTCCGGAGGAGCACGCGGACGGCGATGCGGAAGGATCCGCTTACAGCAGGCCCGGGTCCGGCCGGCGCTCCGGGCCAACGGGCCGGGCATTCTAATGGCTGAGCAGGACACCTGAGCCCTGAAGTGGCCGCACCAACCCGCCGGGAGAGGTGTGCGGCCCGGGGTCGGCTGACCCAGAGCCCCGGGAAGGAGCGGAGAGGCCACCCGGGCACCTTCCACTCTGAGATCTCCACCGGGACTCGGCCGGAGCGGCTGAGGGTCCGGGGCTCCCTGCCACCCAGGAATGCTGCCACGGTGGGAAAATGTGCGTGGCCCGGCACACCCTCGAGGGAGGGGCCAGGCTCCTAGGCGGTGCCCGGTGAAGCCCACTGCCCCTGCTGCCTTGGGGGGGGTACCCCGAGGGTTGTCCAAGGCAGCCCCTGACTCAGCCTGCATCTTTCCCCATCACCAACACTTGGTTCTGCCTGGTCCTGCCCCCAACACTCTAACCCGCCCAAACCACCTGGGAGCATGCCCTCCCTTGCCGCGGGCTCCCAGCAGGCCAGGGCTGCCCGGGCCTCAGGCGCCCAGCTAGCTGATGAGGGCAGCGATGGCCGCCACCTGCAGGACGGCCTCCAGGCCATGGAGCGCCAGGAGCGTGGCACTGAGGACTGAGTCCGCCCACAGCACCAGAGTCTGCCAGAGCAGGAAGTAGACGGACAGCAGGGAGCTGGCCACGGTGAGCACCAGGCTGGCAGCCAGCGGCAGCTCTGTCTCTGTCAGGTTGCCCTTGGTGCCTGTGGAGCAGAACAGACATGGTGAGTGCCAGGCTGCGGGCACCTGGTAGGGACCCACCACCGCGTGCACCGGTGGGCGTCAGTGCGGGACCACCTACCACCCGGGGCTCGGTGTTGGAAAGCAAAATATAAGGAGCATCGTCCTCAGGAGGGTGAGCACCAGCCACAGCTGACCTCACCTGCCTCTGGGCGGCTGAGTGGGTGGGAAAACCATCCCAAGCACAATCTCACGCCTTTTCCTAAGGTATTTTACTCTGGAGTAAGGCCCAGAAAAACTAATGTGTAGTTAGGAAAGACAAAACTGGATTTCACAAACGGGGCAATCGTGGAAAATGCGATGCCCACATGCCCAGGGCACCCAGAGCCCACAGTGGGGGGAGCTTGGGTGGGCAGGCAGTTCTATGCCACTCGCCACCCGCCCACGGCAGGAGGCTGGCCTGTGACAGTGGACACGAAGGCCCAGCGCACTCAGCAGGATGGCCGAGCAGTCCTTCCGTCTCCCCTGAGCCCCACCCCCCCAGGCCAGTCGGGGTGTGGCAGGTGGGACACATCAGGCCCTGAGGTACTAGGGAGCGCATGCCTGTGAGTGCGGGAGGCAGACAGGGCAGGAATCCGGGCCCTCGGGGTGAGTGAGGGGCAGAGGGCAGAGGGCACACAGTGCTTCTGTAGAAGCTCTGCAAGGCCTCCACCTCCGGCCTGCAGCCAGCGGTCCTGGTGGGGACGGACAGACCGCTGCGGCTTCGGGGAGCAGGGGGAGCAGAGCGTTCGGCTGCGGGGCAGTGCTGCTACCCTGCGGCTGTCCCCCAGGAGCCTCTGGCCAGGCTTCCCAATGAATGGATGATACTTCATTCACCGTACGGCCGTGGCGAGCCTGCAGGCAGCTGGAGGAGCACTTGAGCGCGTTCAAGCGTCTCCTAGAGCGTGCTGCAACGAGGCTGCTCAGAGGTCACGGGAAGCCAGCCGTCTGCCTCACAGTGCCCGAACTCCCTGCGGCCGGTCAGTCCCCAGCAGCCAGCCTGCCCCCTACCTCCAAGCTGGTCCGCTACCCCCAGCCTGCCCCCCCACCCACTGGCCCGCTCCCCGCAGTGCGGCCCGCTCCCCCTAATCTGCCCCCCAACCGCTGGCCCGCTCCCGGCAGTCTGGCCCCCCCCCACCCGCTGGTCTGCTCCCCCCAGTCTGCCCCCCCCCCCGCTGGCCCGCTCCCCGCAGTGCAGGCCGCTCCCCCCGTGCGGCCCGCTCCCCCCGTGCAGCCCGCTCCCCCCGTGCGGCCCGCTCCCCCCGTGCAGCCCGCTCCCCCCGTGCGGCCCGCTCCCCCCGTGCAGCCCGCTCCCCCCGTGCAGCCCGCTCCCCCCGTGCGGCCCGCTCCCCCCGTGCAGCCCGCTCCCCCCGTGCAGCCTGCTCCCCAGTGCAGCCCGCTCCCCCCGTGCAGCCCGCTCCCCCCGTGCGGCCCGCTCCCCCCGTGCAGCCCGCTCCCCGCAGTGCAGCCCGCTCCCCCAGTGCAGCCCGCTCCCCGCAGTGCAGCCCGCTCCCCAGTGCAGCCCGCTCCCCCAGTGCAGCCCGCTCCCCCAGTGCAGCCCGCTCCCCGCAGTGCAGCCCGCTCCCCCAGTGCGGCCCGCTCCCCAGTGCAGCCCGCTCCCCAGTGCGGCCCGCTCCCCAGTGCAGCCCGCTCCCGCAGTGCGGCCCGCTCCCCCAGTGCGGCCCGCTCCCCAGTGCAGCCCGCTCCCCGCAGTGCAGCCCGCTCCCCAGTGCAGCCCGCTCCCGCAGTGCGGCCCGCTCCCCGCAGTGCAGCCCGCTCCCCAGTGCAGCCCGCTCCCCCAGTGCAGCCCGCTCCCCGCAGTGCAGCCCGCTCCCCAGTGCAGCCCGCTCACCGCAGTGCCAGCGGGCTGCTTCCAGGGGCCCGGCCAGGAGCAGCAGCGTCAGGTCGAGCACCAGGCGGTCCTGAGGGTAACTGAACGTCTGGCCTGCAGGGGTGGGTACCGACCTGAGCTCAGGGTCCAGCGGCAGCACCCAAGCCCCCCACCCCCACCCTCACCCGCCCCTGCGCTCAGGACCCACTTTTGTAGGCGATCAGCAGGAGCGTGGCCAGGAGGTAGAGGGCGGAATACACCCCGCTGAGGCAGAGCACCATCTGCAGGAGGACCGAGGAGAGCTGGCCAGCCGTTAAGGACTCCGTCCAGCAGCCGTGCTGCCCCGGGCGCCCACCCAGCACCGGGCAAGAGGGGCTGCCAGGCCGCCACAAACACGGTGCCCAGCTTAGGCACCCGTGGTGCCATGGAGTCCTGCCTGCCAGGCACCCATCAATACTGCCCCTGGAGCCCCGGGAGCGGGGGGGGGGGCACCCCTCGCAGGGACATCCTGGCCTAGAGCCGGGGACTGACTGGGCGCAGCAGGCAGGAGCCTCAGTGCGCTGGGCATCACCCTGACCGCGGCCCCGCTACAAGGCCGGGAGAAAGGGGCTTTGTTTTCCTGGAATAAAGCCTACTCCCCTCACTTGGGGGGCAGTTAAGTCCCCGCCACCAACTTTCGGGGGCTCCGCGCATCGGGGGCCTGGCTCCCAGCCCCGGCGGGCCCGCCCCACTCCGGGCGCGGCGGAGCGGCGGTGCCGGGCCAGCGTCCCCTTCGGGAGTCACCTCGACCCGCAGAACCGGGCCGAGCGCACCGCCTCCCGACAGCCGTCGCCGGGCTCGGAGGACGGGGCGCGGCGGCAGGATACGGCCGCGGGGGACGCGCTCCCTGCGGGAGAGAGGGCGGTCAGGGGCCGGGCCCGGGGACGCGCACACGGGCCCCGGCCTCCCTGGGCCCCGCGCCCGCCCGCCTCGCGCCCCCGGGACCCCGAGCGCCGCCGCCCAGGGACGCCGGGCCCCACGGCCGCGCCGGGCCCCGCCGGGAGGGCTCCGCGCGCGGCCGGTCCACGCAGCCGGCTGAGGGCTGAGGGCGGCGCGGGCCCCGGCGGACAGGGCCCCGCGGAGCCGCCCAGGAGGCCCGCCCCGGGGTGGGCGCCCGTCCAGCCCCGCGGAGCACCGGCCCCCGCCCCCGGCCCCGCCCGGCCCCGGGCCCAGCGCCCTCACCGCGCCGCGCGGCCGCCATCTTGCCGCGCGGCCCCGCCCCCGGTCCGCCGCGATCCCGGCGTCCCCCGCGCCGCGCGCTCGCGCGCCTTCGGCGGCGCTCGGTTCCGGACTCCCGGCGTCGGCTCGGCTCGCCGGGCCCCTTCGTGCCGGTTCGGCCGCCCTCGGGCGTCCTCGGCTCGGCTCGCCGCGCGGCCGGGCGGGCTCGGCGGAGTCCGGATGGAGGACTCGGACGCGGCCGCCAAGCAGCTGGGCCTGGCCGAGGCGGCGGCGGTGGCGGCCGCGGCCGCTGTGGCGGCGGCGGCCGCGGCCGCGGCGGGGAGCGAGGCGGACGAGCCGGTGCTCCGCAGGGACGAGGACTCGGAGGAGGACGGGGACGCGCAGGCGGAGCGCGAGACGCGGCGGGTGACGGCCGTGGCGGTGATGGCCGCCGAGCCCCGGCACATGGACATGGGCGCCGAGGCCCTGCCCGGCCCCGACGAGGCTGCTGCGGCCGCCGCCTTCGCAGGCAAGTGCTGCCGGCCCGCGCCGCCCGCCCGCGCGCGCCCCTGCACGCCCCGCCCCAGCCCACGCCTGCACGGCGTGCACCTGCTCCGCACGTAACCTGACCGCATGCACCCTCACCTGCTGGCCCGCACTCTCACCCCGCAGAGCCTGCACTCCAGCTCCCACCGGCCCACCCGTCCGCCCTGCACCTGCCCCTCCGGACCAGGCCCTGTCTGCCCCGCGCACCGCCCGCACACACACACCCGCACCTGCCCGCGCACACCTGGACCACAGGCCTGCCCGAAGCACCTGCCCCCACATGCACCTCCCCTGCAAAGCCCCCCACATACACCCCCTGCAAAGCCCCCCAATCACCTCCCCTGCAAAACCCCCCCAATCACCTCCCCTGCAAAGCCCCCCATCACCTCCCCTGCAAAGCCCCCCCACATGCACCTCCCCTGCAAAGTCCCCCCACACACATCACTTCCCCTGCAAAGACCCCCCCACATACACCCCCTGCAAAGCCCCCCCACATACACCCCCTGCAAAGCCCCCCCCACATACACCCCCTGCAAAGCCCCCCCACATACACCCCCTGCAAAGCCCCATAGCCGGCCCACCTCCCCGGCACCTGCCTCACACCTGTCCTGTGCCCGGTGGTTCCTGCACACCTGGCCCTGCAGGCACATCTGCTCCCTGAACCCCCTTTCCTTGTCCAGCCCACCCCCTCCTGTTCAGCACTCCGTGCTCTTTCCCCTTGCCCAGCCAGCCTTGTCTGTCTGTCTGTTCCTGGTGTGTGCGTGCGGGTGAACCAGCTGTGTGTGGGGTGCCCCAGCGCTGGTGCCTGTGTGGTCTGTGCCGGGTCCTCGGAGGCATTGTGGCTCTTAGTTTTGTTTTTGTTGCTAAACTTTGGATTAACGTTGGGACTTTGCACCGTGAGGTTTCCTTCGGGTTTTTGTCCCTTTTGCGCATAGATTTCACAGTGCAGAAGCGTGATTTTTTTCCCTGCAAATTTTTAGGGTTGTGTTTTTTGTTTGTTTTAAATGTATTTTTGTTGATCACAAAGAAGGGAGAGGGAGAGAGAGAGAGAAACATCAATGATGAGAATCACGGACCCGCTGTCTCCTGCACGCCTCCCACTGGGGATGGAGCCCACAACCCAGCCTGTGCCCTGCCCGGGAACGGAACCGTGGCCTCCTGCTTCCTAGGTTGATGCTCAGCCCTGAGCCGCGCCGGCCGGCCGGGCTGTGGTTGTGTTTTGCGGGTTGAAGCGGTAACACTGACATAGGTTAGGGGGTTCTAGGGGCCCTCGGAGGCTCCCTGTTGGGCAGAGGCCTGCTGTGTGCGTTCAGACAGGGTTCCCTCCCCACGCAGGGCGGGCTCCGTGGAAGGAAAGGGGGAGGCGGGGCAGGAGCCCCGGGAGGGCAGAGCCAGCAGGAGCTGCTGCAGGCGGCCGCCGTCTGGGGGTCCCTCCGGGGCAGGCGTGTTTCTCCTCGAAGGGGACGGGAGCCAGGGCGTCTGGGGGCGCCGGGGCGCCGGGGGCCCATCGCGGCGGGAAGGCTCTCCCGGTGGCTTCTCCCGGCAGCCGCAGGCGCCCCCATAGCCAGGGCCTCCGTGCGGCCGGCGTTGGGGAGCAGCCCGGCGTCGGGCGCTGCGAGGCCGGGCTCCGGTGGCGCTGAGCCGGCTCCTGTGTTGCAGAGGTGACCACCGTGACGGTGGCCAATGTGGGCGCCTCGGCGGACAACGTCTTCACCACCTCAGTGGCCAACGCCGCCTCGCTCTCCGGCCACGTGCTGGTAAGCTGCCCTGAGTCGTCCGGGGCTTCCCCGGCCCGGCTCCTGCTCTGGGGGGGCCGCTGCCGGGGAGGGGGTTCGGGGGGGCCGCTGCCGGGGAGGGGGTTCGGGGGGGCCGCTGCCGAGGAGGGGGATCGGGGGGGCCGCTACCGAGGAGGGGGTTCGGGGGAGCCGCTGCCGAGGAGGGGGTTCGGGGGGGCCGCTGCCGGGGAGGGGGTTCTGGGGGGCCGCTGCCGGGGAGGGGGTTTGAGGGGGGGCTGCTGCCGGGGAGGGGGTTCGGGGGGGCTGCTGTTGGGGAAGGGGTTTGGGGAGGGCCACTGCCGGGGAGGGGGTTCGGGGGGGCTGCTGCTGAGGAGGGGGTTCGGGGGGGGCTGCTGTTGGGGAAGGGGTTTGGGGAGGGCCACTGCCGAGGAGGGGGTTCGGGGGGGGCTGCTGTTGGGGAACGGGTTTGGGGAGGGCCACTGCCGGGGAGGGGGTTCGGGGGGGCTGCTGCCGAGGAGGGGGTTCGGGGGGGCTGCTGTTGGGGAAGGGGTTTGGGGAGGGCCACTGCCGGGGAGGGGGTTCGGGGGGGCTGCTGTTGGGAAAGGGGTTTGGGGGGGGCTGCTGCCGGGGAAGGGGGGTTGGGGAGGGCCATTGCCGGGGAGGGGGGTTCGGGGGCTTTGGGGTAGAGCTGAAGGGGGACCAGTCGTGAAATGTGGGCCCAGCCCCGGGGTCAGGGCACAGCGCTCCCGCCCCCTCGCGGGTGGCCGAGCAGGGCCCTAGGATGGGAGTGCCCACCGGCCACCGGCCGGCTTCCCCGGGCCGGTCTGAGGGGAAGTGCCCGGCTTCCCCGGCCCAGCCTCCCTCCCGGCGGCCCTGCGGCCGGGCCTGTTTCAGGCTTCTCTGGAGCAGCCGGTGCTGCGCTCCGGCAGGGGTCTCCGGTGAGCTCGGTCGGGGCCACACAGCTGCCGGGGTGACACCGTCCCCGCGGTGACGGTTGGGAGAGCCTCGCGGCAGGGGCAGTCGTCCCCAGACGATCGGGTGCCCTCCCCTCTAGTCCGGCAGGACCGCCCTGCAGATCGGTGACAGCCTGAACCCCGAAAAGGCCACGCTGATCGTGGTGCACACGGACGGGAGCATCGTGGAGACTGCGGGGCTGAAGGGGCCGGCCGCCCCGCTCACCCCAGGTACGGGCTGCCCCCCACAGCCGGGGGGTTCTGGGGGCCCTTGCTTATTTCTGCGGTCAGTTTGGAATAGCAATTACTGTTAACTTTTTTTTTTAAATATATTTTTATTGATTTTGTACAGAGAGGAAGGGAGAGAGATAGAGTTAGAAACATCATTGAGAGTCATCGATCAGCTGCCTCTTGCACACCCCCTACTGGGGATATGCCCGAAACCAAGGTACATGCCCCTGACCGGAATCGAACCCAGAACCCTCAGTCCCCAAGCCGATGCTGTATCCATTGAGCCAAACCGGTCTCGGCTGCTGTTAACTTTTTAAGACATGTTTTTATTGGTTTCAGAGAGGGAGAGAGAGGGAGAGAGAAACATCAGTGATGAGAGAATCACTGATTGGCTGCCTCCTGCATGCCCACCCCACACTGGGGATCAAGCCCACAACCCAGGCCTGTGCCCCGACCAGAATCAAACCCAGGACCCAAATCCGGGTCCTTTCTGTCTGCAGGGCGACACTCTGTCCACTGAGCCACACCGGCCAGGGCTGGAATAGCAGCTATTACTAAGTGGGGTTTTCCAGCTGAGGAAGGCTTGCCCGCGGGGCCCCATCTGGAGTGGAGGGCGGTGCTGGGGGGGTCACCGGGGGACACCGAGACTGCCGTGGGGACTGACCGGCCCCGTTCCTCCCGGCTTGTCCGGGTCTCACCGCCAGACGCTCTCTGTGCCCAGGTCCGCAGTCGCCTCCCACGCCCCTGGCGCCCGGGCAGGAGAAGGGGGGCAGCAAGTACAACTGGGACCCGTCGGTGTACGACAGCGAGCTGCCTGTGCGCTGCCGTAACATCAGCGGCACGCTCTACAAGAACCGGCTGGGCTCAGGTGGGCGCCCGCCCGCCGGACCGGCTGGCAGCCCGCGGCGCCCAGGAGGTCCCGGTGGTGCGGGGTGGGGTGTGGGTGGGGGGAGGAGACCTGGTCAACCAGGAAGCGCGGTGACCCAGCGCGGGAGAGGCGGCCGAGCGTCTGTTCCTGGCTCAGATGGGGCCGGGGCAGCGGGCTCCGGCTGGGCAGCTGCCTGGGGCTCGGCGTGGCTGGGTGGGCAGCGGCTGCAGATCCAGGACGCGGGCAGCCCTGCCCCTCGGCCGGGGCCCACGCAGGAGCGGGTGAGGTCCAGGCCCGGACCAGCCGGGCAGGAGGCGGGAACCGGCCGTCCTGTGTTCCAGGCGGCCGGGGCCGGTGCATCAAGCAGGGGGAGAACTGGTACAGCCCCACGGAGTTCGAGGCCATGGCCGGGAGGGCCAGCAGCAAGGACTGGAAGCGGAGCATCCGCTACGCAGGCCGGCCGCTGCAGTGCCTGATCCAGGTGCGCCCGCGCCCCCGCGCCCCCGCCCGCCCGCCCGCCCGCCTCGGGGCGGCTCCCGGCCCCGGCTGGATTGCACCGCAGCCGGGCCCTGGGCGCCACGTGGCCGCCTGTGTCTCCTCTCCCGACGCTCCGATGGGCCGATGGCGTCGCCTGCCCATGGAGTGCGGGAGGCCTGGGCGCAGCTGGTGTGTTCTGTCCCAGCCGGGCTTCCTGGGAGTAGATATGGGGGGGAGGGAGATCAACATCCTGGAGGGAGGGAAGGTTCTGGAAAGTGCAGGATCTCTCTTTAGGGACTGCTCACGTTCAGGCAGACTGACGGGTGGCGGCACCTTCTCGTTCCAGGACGGGATCCTGAACCCCCACGCGGCCTCCTGCACCTGCGCCGCCTGCTGCGACGACATGACCTTGGTGAGTGTGGACTCACCGCCGGCAGCCCTGGCGCCTGCACCTCCTCTTACTCCCCCCGCGTCCCCGGTGCCCCTTCGGACAGTTTCCGCTCAAACCCCGTTTTCACACTTCCCTCTGGGGACCAGGCCTCGGCTGTTAGGGGAACGTCAGCGAAGCGTCCTGAGATAGTGGAGAGCTGAGCCCCAAACCAGACACTTTTAACTAGATTCTTTTTTATCGATTTCAGAGGGAGAGGGGGAGAGAGATCGCGGCATCCGTGACGAGAGAGAATCGCTGACTGGCTGCCTCCGGCACGGCCCCTCCACTGGGGATGGAGCCCACAACCTGGGCACATGCCCTTAACCCGGAACTTCCTGGTTCATAGGTCAACGCTCAACCACTGAGCTATTCTGGCCAGGCCCAGACACTTAAAAACAAAAACTTTATTACTTTCCAGGGAGAAGGGGGGAGGGAGAGAGAGAGAAAGAGGGAGAGAGAGACCGGTTGTCTCTCACGTGCCCTCATGGTAATCACTCTGAAACCGTGATGTACGGATGACGGAAGCTCAGCCAGCCGAGCACGGGCCAGGCGCCCTGCAATGGCTGTGTCTGGCCGGGGGCGCAGTAAGAGGTGGAAAGTGCCGAGGGGACCAGAGAGACGCTCCAGACTCTACGCCAGGCTCCCCAGCGGGGGGCCGGGCAGGCGGGGTTCCTCCTGGAGCTCGGGGCCGCGAGACAGCGTCCCTGAGGCTGGGGCCTCCCCGCTCCTGTGTCCCTGGTCCCGTCCCTAGCGGTCACCGCAGCGCCTCTTCCCGGTGGGGCCAGCGCCTGCGGTCTCTCCTTCGCGTGGCCCCTCGTCTCCTCGGGCTCCTGGGTGTCCGGTGCGTTGCCCACACTCCCCTGGTCACCCCTGTCGTTCCTGTGCCCCTTCCGGAAGCACCTGCCCTGTCCTGAAGGACAGGGGGCCTCAGAGGGGTTCTCCCTATGGACGGGGCCCTGGGCCCCGCTTAGTCCGTGGGTGGGAGCCGCGCCCACCAGCGCCCTCGCCGTGCTCCCCGCAGAGCGGCCCCGTCCGGCTCTTCGTCCCCTACAAGCGGCGCAAGAAGGAGAACGAGCTGCCCGCCGCCCCGGGCAAGAAGGAGGCCCCCAAGAACATCACGCTGCTCCCCGCCACGGCCGCCACCGCCTGTGAGTCCCCCCTCCCAGCCCCCGTTCCTCCCGGGCCGGCCGCAGAGGAGTCTGCAGCTGCGAGGGTCCCCGCGGCCCCGCCCGCAGTAAGAGCCGCCTCTGCCCCCGCAGTCACTGTGACCCCCTCAGGACAGATCACTACCTCTGGCGCGCTGACCTTCGACCGGGCGTCCACTGTGGAGGCCACGGCCGTCATCTCCGAGAGCCCGGCCCAGGGGGACGTGTTCGCGGGAGCCACAGGCAAGTGGCCTCAGCGCCGCTGACCCGCACCCCGCACCCACCTCGCCCGCCTCATCGGGCGCAGCGAGGGCGCCTCGGGGGCAGTTCCGCTGGCCGGCAGCCCCGTGGCACCGGGAGGCGTGAGCTGGGGCGTGGGGAGCTCGGGGCAGCGAGGGGGGTGGTGCGGGGGGTGAGGAGGGGGGTGGGGAGCAGGGCAGGACCAGGCCACCTGAAAAGCCCAGCTGCCCAGCCCACTCTAGGCCAGCGTGGCCCGTGGGGACACGCGTGAGCACGTGTGCAGTGTGTGTGCTCGCAGCCGTGCTGGGGAGGGCCGTGGGGACCGATGTTTCCTGTGTTTTGCTTCACCCGGTTCTGTTGCTGGCTCAGCTCAGACCCCCGTCTCGGCCACTGCCACGCGTGGCGGGAACTGCGGGGGGTGGCGCCACGGGGCCGTGTCTGCGCGGCCTGGCACCAGCACCCCTTTCTCGCTGCAGTGCAAGAGGCCAGCGTGCAGCCCCCGTGCCGGGTGGGCCATGCGGAGCCCCACTACCCCGGCTACCAGGACAGCTGCCAGGTGGCACCCTTCCCGGAAGCCGCGTTGCCGACCGCGCACCCCAAAATAGGTCAGTCCGGGGGCTGGCAGGGACCCTGCGTGAGGAGCGTGTGCTTGGCTTTGTCTGCTGGGGCCCCGGGTCGGGGGTTTGTCATGGGTTTGTCATGGGTTTATGAGGACCCGGGCACGCGTGTGTACAGAGACCGTGTGACCGGAGAAGCCGGTCACCTTCCCCTCGAGGACCGGCTCGCTCTGTACCGGGAAGGGGCTCGCCCAGAGAGGCCGCAGTTCTGTGAGCCGCGGCGCAGTCTCCCGTGCGTGTTCCATCCCCTTTTCCCGTGTAAGCACCCCCACATCACGCTGCCTCTGCCCTCCCTGCCGTCACCTCTAGCCCCCGGGCCGGGGCGCGCCTGGGCTGGGCCTAGGTGGCGAGCTGCACCTTCCCCGGGTCAGCGTGTGCCCTCGGTGGGCGCCCTCGGCAGGAGACCGGGACCTGTGCCGTGGCTGCTCCCGCGCTGCCCCAGTCTGCCTGCTGGCCGAGCACCCTGCCTCTGGCACCGCAGGCACCGGGGCTCGGATCGGGGCTGGTCCTGGCCCTCGCCCGGGGAGGGCCGGCCCGGTCCGTGGGCTGGAGCTGCTGGTCGGTCCGGCACCCTCGCCCAGTGACCCAGGAGAGGGGCTGTGCTCCTGAGAGCTGGGTGTGGCCTCCAGCAGCCCCTGGGCCCTGTGCTGGGTGTGGGTCTCTGTGCGCTGCCCCCCTCCCCCGCTGTGGCTGAGTCTCCCCTTCGCCCAAAGCACAGAGGCCACAGGGTCCCGGTTCCCTTCTTCCGTCTCCATAACTGTCTCCTCGGGACCGAGAGGCTCAGTTCTCTCGTCCTCCATCGATGGGCGCGACCGCAGCCGCCCGGCTCCCGCAGCCAGGGCCGCCGCCACGGGCTCCTCCCGGACACAGGGGCTCTGCCTGGCTGCTGTGGCGCCGTGGTTGGACCGTCAGCCGCCGGGCGAGGGTTTGATTTCTGGTCCAGGGCAGGTTCCCCAGCCCGGTCGGGGCGGGTGCAGGAGGCAACCTGTCCATGCATCTCACATCCATGTTTCTTTCTCTGTCTCGGCCTCCCTTCCACTCTCTCTAAAAGCCAATGGAAAAATGCCCTCGGTGAGGGTTATACAATAATAACAAAAACAAAGTAAAAGTGAGGGCTTGTATTTTTGTTTTTATCCTTACCAGGGGCATGTTCATTGGTTTTCAGAGAGAGAGGAAGGGAGAGCGAGGAACATCCAGTAGTTCTCTCTCCGGGTGTCGAACCCACAGCCTCGGAACGAGCCATGACCGGTGCGGGTGCCGCCCCCTCCAGCGGAGCCACACCGGCCAGGGCTGCCCTCGCCTCTGAGCCGAGGGGCTGAGCTCACGGAGTCCCAGCTGCCCCCCCCCCCCAGTGACGTGCGTTTCCGTCACCGCTCCCAGCAGAGGCCCCGCCTCCGTCACCTGCCCTTCCCGGCCCGGCCCCGCCCTCGGTCCTGAGGTTCCTGTTGGGAGGCCACCCTGAGCCCCTCCCGCCCGGCCGGGAAGCTCGTGGCCTGTGTCCCCGGACTGCCTCCCGCCCCCCGTCCGGGCCGTGGAGCGAGGAGACCGAGCGGCCTCAGGCCGAGCGTGTAGGCGCAGGCCGGGAGCGGGGAGCTGCCCTGACGCTGGTTTTGTCCTGTTTTCCTAACGCCCAGTGCTGACCTCCCTGCCGGCCCTGGCCGTGCCGCCCTCCCACCCCGCCAAGGCCGTCTCGCCCGCCATGGTCAACGGGCTGGAGCTGTCGGAGCCGCGGAGCTGGCTGTACCTGGAGGAGATGGTCAACTCCCTGCTCAGCACGGCCCAGCAGCTGAAGGCGCTGTTTGAGCAAGCCAAGCAGGCCAGCTCCTACCGCGAGGCCGCGGCCGCCCAGGCCCGGGCGCAGGACGCCGAGCGCAAGGAGGTAGCGTGAGTGCGGAGCGGGCCGCCTGGGGGCACAGGTGTGGATGGACAAGGGATCGGGCACGTGGTCCCGCCCTCCTCACGCCCAGCTGGGGGAGGTGGGGGAGGCTGGGAGTGCGTGGGGGGAGGGGGAGTACTTGCTGGGTGCCATGCGTGCTGGGGGGACTGGCGTGATGTTAGCTGAGCTTCCGAACTCAGCAAGTGTGCGTGGGGTGCGCAAGCAAATTCAGATTGACTTGCCTCACCACGTCTGCCCAAGAAAGAAAGCCTGTGCTAGAAAACGCTTCCACTTACGTCTGCCTCTCGGGTCAAAGGATAGACGAGCTTTCACGGTTAATTCCCTAAATGAGTTCCCAACGTGTGGTTAGCTGATTTCCTTTAGAAGTGTTTTACTCTCGATGGCAGTTGACAGGTGACCTTCCGCTGGTTCCAGGGGTAGCTCAGTGGTCAGACGATTCTGTACCTCATCAGTGCCCGCCAGACGCCATGGTGATGGATTTGTTTTCAGGGAAGAAAGATGTTGCTTCTACCGCGAAGAGGGAGATAATTTAAACAGTGCAATTCCAGCCCTGGCGGGCAGGGGCCAGGCGTCGGCCTGTGCGTGGCGGCACGGTTCTCTCCCGCTCCGGCTGCACAGCAAGGGAAGCGCCGGTGCGGACAGCAGTACTGCCAGCCCACGCCTGCCCAGTGCCCGGGGCCCCGGGCGGTGGGTTTTAAAGGCGAAGCCCCGTCGTGGCCGCCTGCAGTGAGCGCTCGCCCTCCACCTCCCCGCAGCGTGGGCCCCGTGGGGAAACCGGGAGCCACCGAGCTCCCGGCGGAGAAATGAAACCCAGTGCCCGCGGCTGGGGGAGCAGCAGCACCTGCTCCTCTGGAGAAGTGAAAGCCGTGCCCCGGAACCAGCTGGTTCTCCCACTGCCGCCGCCTGGCAGCCGAGGTGCTGGTGGAGGACGCGCCAGACTCGGCCGTGTGACCCGGCCTGTACCGGGGGCTGCGTCGCCCTCCTCCGGCCCCCTCCCCCGTTGCCCCCTCCCCCGTCGCCCCCTCCTCTGTGTCGCCCCCTAGTCGCCCTCTGGGAGGGCTTGCCGGCCCGGCTTGTCTCCAGGGCGGACGCGGGGGTCTGCCTGGCGGAGGCAGCAGTGCCCCCTGCAGGCTGTCCCGCGTGGTCCGGTCGCTGCCCGTGTCCCAGCTGCCACCGCGGCCCCTGGGCCTCCGTGCCTGAGCACATTCCGCCCTCCTGGCTGCCCGCCCGCCGCGGGCTGGGTCTGCCGGTGCCTCCGCTGCGGGTGGTCTTCCTGCCCGGCCCGCCGGCGGCTCCGGCGCCGTGGCACGTTCACGGTGGAGGCGGCGGCCTTTCCTCCCCCAGCACCGGCGGCCGGGCCTCTCCCCTTCCTGCGGGGCTGTGCCGGCCCTCCGCCGGCCTCCCTGTGTGAGGGGAACCCCTCTGGCCGCGCCCTGCACCCCCACCTGCTGCCGGGCGTGGCCCTTCGCGCCTGTGCGTGGCCCTTCGCGCCTGTGTCCGGGCTGAGACAGGGGTGAGGGGGGTAACCAATCGTGTGCCCCTTGACTCATACACGTTAGGGGCTCCTAAGGTCTGTCCTAGCCCTAATTTTTAAAATGTGCCCTTATTGATGTTTAGAGAGAGGGGAAGGGAGAGAGAGAGAGGAATGTCCATCAGCTGCCTCCTGCACACCCCGCACTGGGGCCCGGGCACACGCCCGGGCACACGCCCTGACTGGGAATTGCACTGTGACTCCTGGTTCGTGGACCCACGCTCTAGCCCCTGAGACGTGGGCCAGGGCTTGGGGGTTGTGATTCGCTTTAAGGTGGAACGCTTTTCGAATCTGCGTGTCGTCCTGGCGCAGGGCCGTGCTGGGTCGGTCAGTTTAGTACACGAGTTGCCGAGGTGAGCGCGGTGTGTGTGTGTGTGTGTGTGTGTGTGTCGGTGTCTTAAAAGGCGGCCACGAGGGGCCCTGGGCAGCGCCCCCTCTGCCTGCATCGGGCTGCCCGCCCGCCCGCGGGGTTCCCCGGCCCGGGCGCCAGAGGCAGGAGGCCCAGCCTGTCTCTGGCCCTGGGTGCGGGGGAGCACGGGGTGGGAACAGACACGGGTTATTACTTAGAATGACCCGAATCCTCCCCAGCCCCCTCGCCAGGCAGCTGGGACGGGAGTGAGGGGACCCGTTCCGCCGGGACGCAGGACGGACGGACGGACGGACAGACGGGCAGGTGGAGCTTGGGTTGGGGCCGCCCGCTGCTCAGGGATCAGACGGGGGGCCAGCGAGGAAGCGAAAGGGGAACGCTCTCCACTTGGTTCCACATCTTCCTTCCTGCGTCACCCCCCCACCCCGCCCTGAGCTCGCTCCCTGAGCGGACAGGCTGCAGCCGTGTGTGTGTGTGTGTGTGTGTGTGTGTGTGTGTGTGTGTGTGTGCGTGTGTGTGTGTCCGGGGTGGGTGGGAGCCGCTGTCAGGTGCCGTTCCCACAAGGGAGCAGCCCGGCGCGGCCGCCATGTTTCTCCGAGGCCCTCTCCTGAGGGGGCTCGGCCTGTGAGGGGGGAGGGGGGCTCGACCTGTGAGGGGGCTGGGCTGTGAGGGGGCTGGGCTGTCAGACACACCGGACCTTTCTCTTGGGCTGTAGATACAATGTGTCATCTTCTTTATCTACATATCTATATTCTTATTGATTTCATAGAGGGAGGGGGAGGAAGGGGGAGAGAGAAACATCAGCGAGGAGAGAGAATCATGGGTCGGCTGCCTCCTGCATGCCCTGACTGGGAATCAAACTATGACCTCCTGGGTCTTAGGTCGAGGGTCAACCCCTGAGCCACACTGGCCGAGGTGAGACGTGTCATTCTTGGACAATGTGTGGCCTCCCGGGCACAGACAACATGGTGACGGGGCTGAGAGGCTGAGGGGGTACTGGGGGTGCCGGGATGGAGGGGGCGGGTAGACTCGGGTAAAGGGGCCACGGTAAATGGTGAGGGAAGGAGCTGTGACCTGGGTGGTGAACACAGCACAGTGACAGGTGACAGAGTGTAGATGGTACCCTTGAGCCCAAAGTCACCCCAGGAAATTCAATAAAAAAGAACAGTTTTTTGTTGAAAACTGAGCACAGAGGCCCGAGATGGGAGGTCCTCACCCTGCCAGGCTGGGCCACCCCTGCCCGCCTGGGGCCCCGCCAGTCAATGCCCATTGGTGAGCACGGCCACCCTCAGCAAGCAGCCCTGTGGAATGAAGGCTCAGGGAGACCACCCTCCGAGGCTCCCCCAGCCGCTCAGGGCCCTCGAGCTGTCGTCCGGGAACCTGTGGTTGTCGGACATTGGACTGGCAAGCCCTGGTAACGGGAGGGAAGCTTGTGAGGACCTGCCACGCTGCCTCCGGAAGACAGAGGCCGCAGGGTCAGAGGGCGAGACCTGCCCCCAGCCCCGTGACCGAGAGCGCACACAGGGGCGTGGCGGCCCACTCCCCGCGGACTGGGATTTAAAAGGCCGGTGTTGCTCAGTGGATAGAGCGTCGGCCTGCGGACTGAAAGGTCCCGAGTTCGATTCTGGTCAAGGGCATGTACCTTGGTTGCGGGCACATCCCCAGTAGGGGGTGTGCCGGAGGCAGCTGGTCGATGTTTCTCATCTGGCTCTTTGTCTCTCTTCCTCTCTAAAAAATCAATAAAATACATTTTTTAAAAGAATAAATAAATAAAAGGCCGAGCTTAGCGCTGCCGGACCCTCAGGGTTGTCCCGTCCTGATGCGGGCGCAGCCTCCTGGGCCGGTGCCTCCACCCTGCTCCCCTCAGCAGACTGATCTCCCTGGGGAGCCCTCCCTCCTGCAGGCGCCTTCACCCCCCCCCCCCCGCCCCCCTCTCGGTTTCGTCACGAGCAGTCCAGCCGGGGACACGGGACCCGGGTGACGCAAGTGCCCACACGGTGGCTGCTGAGTGGCAGTGCGTGTTAAATATAGCCTTCTGCGAAGACGGAACTGGAGTTCAGAACAGAAACCGGGCTGGCTGGGGCTGGTGGGCACCGGCAGGTCCTGAGCACGTCACACCCTCAGGCCACACGGGCCACAAGCAGGTGCTTGCTCGTGTGGCCGCAGAAACCAAAGCTCCCTTTTCACAGAAACGGTTCGTCCGACAGACGGGGGGACACAGAGACTGGAACTAACAGCCACTGTTAGCACAGAGCACAGACACCGAAGAGCCACACACATGGATAAGTGGCGCAGTAAACCTGTTTTCCTCGTCCTGCTGCTGCACACACCGAACACGCCGGTCCAAGGCTAATGCGGGGCCACCGGCTGCTAGATATTCTTCGCCCCCATCGGTGGGGAGAGAGAGTCGCCTGTGCGTGAGGCGCGCGGGAAATGAATGCAACACAACTGTAGTCATCAGTCGTTAGCCAACGTTGTAGTTCGTTATTCACTACGTAGGACAGGATATTGTCAGCATTAAGTTACAACATTTTTATTAAAACGTGCTTTCTTTAATCCTCACCCGAGGGTATTTTCCCATTGATCTTTAGAGAGAGAGGAAGAGGAAAAGACAGAAACACCGATGTGAGAGAAGCACATCCATGGGTTGCCTCCCGCACGCGCCCCAGCAGGGCCCAGGCCAGGGAGGAGCCTGCAACTGAGGTGCATGCCCTTGACCTGAATCGAACCCAGGACCCTTCGGTCCGCAGGCTGATGCTCTATCCACTGAGCACACCGGCCAGAGGTTAACATGTTTCTTACATACTGTCACGTTGGCTGGGTCGCAAAAATATTTATTATGGGCCACATGCGGCCGGCACGTTTGACACGCGTGTGCTGGCGTGCACCGTCTGCTGCCTGTTGCTGTGCTCCGTGCTTGGAGCTGACCTCAGGGCGTGTCTGCCGTGTCACCCACCGTGCCATTGCGGTCCGCCGGGGCCAGGCTGGCATCCCTGTGTGTGGCCCTCAGCTGGTCAGAGAGGAAGCTCCCAGCCCGCAGTTTACACACGATGCACACAATGACCCAGGAGCCTCGTGGCTGGAGGGCCGGCACAGCGCCGGACGGGGTGGGCGCTCGGTACCCGCTGGCCGGAGCCGAGGCCTATCACCGCCCGCGGGGAATTCTGCCCCAGCCTGGGCCCTGGGTCCTCTGCCCCGGAGCGGGCGGGCGAGGGCGCGGGGTGGCCCAGCCCTCCCCGGTGCCGCTCTGACCGGCTCTGTCCCTGCAGCAGTCCTGTGTCAACTGCGGCCGGGAGGCCCTGAGCGAGTGCACCGGCTGCCACAAGGTCAACTACTGCTCCACCTTCTGCCAGCGCAAGGTAGGCTGCCTGTCCGGCGAAGCTGCTCACCGTGGCCTTGGCCTTGGCCTGTGGTCTGCGGTCCGCGCCCAGCGGAACCCCTGTGTCTGTTGCCACCGTTCGGCCTTCCCCGGAGGAGGTTAAACGGTGTTTGCCAGGGCCTCGAGGCCGCCTCGCTGGGCCCCGCCTGCTTACCCCTCAGCCTGCAGGGGATTCCTGCGTGAGGGAGGATGGCGGTGGGGAGGACGCCTGTCCCCGGGCAGGGCCCTGAGCACCGGCCCTTCTCCGCGAGGTCCCCGAGAGGATGACCAAGCAGGGCCGTGAGCCGTGGGGTGTGGGGTGTGGCACGGGCGTGGCAAGGGCTTCCCAGACACAGGGAGGGGTCGTTGGGGCGGGGAGGCCGGGACCTGCTCACTGCACTCTAGGAAGAGCGGGCAGGACAGCGGAGAGCTGTCCACCTCCACCGGCGGCCCGTACGGCGGCAGGCACTGGCCCTGTTCCTCCGAGGTGCGTGTCCACCCGCCTTCCCGTCACGCCACGGGCACACACCCTTCCCTGTGTCCAGCCTCCTGCAAGCCCTGGTCCAGGCTCCATGCCCACCTCGGTCAGCGCCCGCCCCGTCCTCCCGGGAAACCGCGTGTGGCAGCAGCGCAGATACAGTGTTCTTCCAAGGACGTTATTTTATTTTTTAAATGTCTTTCTATTGCTTTCAGAGAGGAAGGGGGAGGGAGAGAGAGAAACATCAGTGGTGAGAGAATCATCCATCGGCTGCCTCCTGCACGCCCCCCCGCGGGGGATCCAGCCCGCATCCCAGCATGTGCCCGGCCGAGAATCGCCAGCGGCACAGACTCGCCGTGTGCAGGTCCCTGGACGCCTTCAGGGCCTCGGGTTTGAGGCTCCTCCCGGTTGCCAGCCCCTCAGACGCCGTGGGCCAGGCTGGGCCTCGGCGGGGGCTCCCAGCGGCTCTGGGGCCGCTCTGTCACGGTGCCTCTCCCCGCAGGACTGGAAGGACCACCAGCACATGTGCGGGCAGGCGGCGTCAGTCACCGTGCAGGGGGACGACGTGCAGGTCGCCGAGGGCGTGATGGAGAAGGTCGCCGTGTGAGGGTGACCCGCGTCCCCCGTGAACCGGCTGCCGGGGCCGGGCCCCCTCCAGGACTCCGCCGGGGGGCGGGGTGTGGAGAAGGAAAAAAACTTGCTGGACAAGTTACGGACAGAGCGGGGTGCCCCTGGGACGTGAGCCCCCACCGCCCCGGAAGGCCAGGCCGCGGCGGCTCACGGTGCTTTTATTCTTGGATCACGAGGGTCCGGTCTTACCCACGGGTGTGTTGTGTGTGTAACACGCGTGTATATATATGTGTCTCATTAAAGTCGATCCCTAACGCAATCCCAGCTCTCACCTTCCAGACGCTGGGAGGCGGGTCGGCCTGCCTCAGTTTCTCCTGATCTTGTGGTGAGAAAGCCTTGACGGAAGTGCACCAGCCTCAGGACAGCAGGCCCTGCAGCCATCTGCCCGCCCGTCACCCAGGGACTGGGGCAGCGGCCGGAGCTGCCTATCCAGTTTGGAAGTCACAGCCTGCGTGCAGCCTCATCCCTTCAGCTCAGCCACACGGAGACTGCCCATGCCTGCCCCTCCCAGCACTGACCACTGAGCCCCACGGTGCTGGTCCCTGAGGCAGGGCGGGCACTCCTGGACAGCTGGCGGGGGGAGAAGAGGGGCGGCTCAGCAGCAGGGGCGCAGGGCCTTGCGGAAGGCAGAGCGGAACCCGGCGTGGAAGAGCGAGTAGAGCAGCGGGTTGAGGGCGCTGTTGAGGTAGCCCAGCCAGGTGACGGCGCTCACCAGCCGCGGGGGCACCGCGCAGGCGGCGCACAGCGCGCGCGTGACGTGCACCACGAAGAAGGGCGTCCAGCAAACCAGGAAGGCCCCTGGCGAGGGGTGCGGGCGGGGGTGAGCCGGGCCCTGCAGAGCCCGGGGCCCGGGCCGCCACCCCGCGCCGCGCCCTCCGGCACCCACCGACCACCACGGGCAGGACCCTCATGGCCTTGCGCTCCCGGCCGGCGATCTGGGCGCGTCGGCGGCGGGCTGGCGGCGGGGCCGGGGGCGGCGGGGGCGGGCCGGCCGCGGGGGGCGCGGCGGCGGCGGGGGGCGGCGGGCCGGGGCCGCTGGGCCGGCGGGGCGCGCGGGCGAGCAGCTTGGCGCGGCGCGCGGCCCCCCAGCGCCGCAGGCCCCGGAAGGTGGCGGCGGACAGCAGCAGCAGCAGCGGGCAGGGCAGCAGGAAGGAGCACACGGACGAGTAGACCACGTAGTCGCGATCCTCCAGGCGGCACGCCGTGGGGTCGCGGCCGCGCGTGTCGTTGAGGCCGCACAGCACGGGCGCCGCCACCGCCGCCGCCAGCAGCCACGTGGCTCCGATGAGCAGCAGCTGCCGGCCGCCGCGGCCCGGGCGGTTGTAGCGCAGCGGCAGGGCCACGGCCACGAACCTGCGGGAGCACCGACCGGAGGGGCGGCGGGACTTGGGGGAGCTGGGGCGGGGCCATCAGAGGGGCGGGGCCTGGTGGGTGGGGAATTTGGAGGCGGGGCCAGGGAGGCGGGGCGGGGTCAGAGAAGCGGGACAGGGAGTGGGCGGGGCCATCTCAGAGGGGACGGGGCGGGGTTATCTCAGAGGGGCGGGGTCTGGTGGGTGGGGAATTTGGAGGCGGGGCCAGGGAGGCTGGGCGGGGTCAGAGAAGCGGGACAGGAGTGGGCGGGGCCATCTCAGAGGGGATGGGGCGGGGGCGGGGCGTTGGGAGGCGGGACGGGCCGGGGGAGCGGAACAGGGGCGGGGGCGGGGCTATCTTAGAGGGGCGGGGCCTGAGTGTGGGGCTGGGGGTTTGGAGGCGGGGCCAGAGAGGCTGGGCGGGGTCAGAAGCAGGAGAGGGAGTGGGCAGGGCCATCTCAGAGGGGACGAGGGCGGGGCGTTGGAGGGCGGGGCCGGGCCATCTCGGAGGGGACGGGAGCTGGGGGCAGGGCCAGAGGAGAGGGCTGGCGAGGGGCGGGGCCATCTAGGAGGGGTTGCGGAGTGGGCGTGGCCAGAGAGGCCGCGGGGCGGGGCCAGGGGAGATGGGGCGGGCCAGGGGGTCTGGGGTCGCGGCGAGTGGTGCAGCGGGGGCGGCGGGCCGGGGCGGGCCGCCCACCTGTCCACGCTGATGGCGCACAGGTTGAAGATGGAAGCGGTGCACAGCATGACGTCCATGGCCATGAGCGCGTCGCAGAGGCGGGGGCCCAGCAGCCACACGCCGCCCTGGGCCTGGGCGAGAGGAGGGGGCGTGGCGGCAACCAGGGACCCAGGCCCAGCCCTCGCCGGTCCCCCCACCGCGCCTCCTCTGTTAGAACTGGGCAGGCCCGGGGGGTCGGGGCGGGGGACAGGGGAAGCGGACCCCGGTCTCTGATGACCGGGGCTCGGGGGTCCCCACCCGCCCGCCGCTCATGCTCTCCCCAGACCACGGCTGGCAGGCCGTCTGTCAGGCTAAGCTGTCCCTGCCCCGGGGTTTGGACAAACGGCTCACTCTGCCCTCACCAGTGAAAGGTCGGAGAGCAAACGAATTAAAAATATGAAGCCTCCTCACTGCCCAGCGCCCCCCAAGGGCAGCGGAGCAGACAGCTCCCCCTAAATCCCGTCCTGCCGACTCGGGACGATTAGGAGCCTAAGACCTTCGCGGTGACATCTGCTCGGGGCTCTCAGGGCACCGCGTCCTGCGGCCTCGACCCAGCGCTGCCCCCTCTCCGTCTCCCTTAGGAACCCGCCTCCCCGCCCGCGCCAGGTCAGGTGCCCCGCACGGCCCTCTGGACCCCACAGCCCCCCTCAGTCCTGCTGTCCCCCACCTCCTCCTGCCCTCCCTGCCCTCCCCCTGGGGCTGCTCCGTGCAGGGAGGGGCGCCTTCCAGGGCTGCAGTGTGTGGCTCCCGGTCCCGCGGCTGGGCCCGTGCGGTGATGTCTGTGCTCCGGGGAGCTGGCTCCCCGGGCGGTGGGCCCCGCTGAGGGCGGGGGCCTCTGGACTCCCCAGTTCTGCTGCTGGGGCCCGGCTGGAAGGACAGAGGCCTGCCGGGCAGTAACGAGGTTCCCAGGAGGCACGGGGCGGGGTCCCGGCAGCGGGCCGGGCTCGGAGGCGCGGGGGGCGGCGGGCCGGGCAGGCGGGGGGGCACCCACCTCCGAGTACACGAACAGCGGCAGCACCAGCAGCGCCAGCAGCAGGTCGGCGGCCGCCAGGCTCAGCACGAAGTAGTTGGCGGGCGTCCGCAGGGCGCGCTCGGCGGCCACGCTCACGCACACGAGCGAGTTCCCCGCGAGCACCGCGCCGATGAGCAGCACGCCGCCCGCCAGCGCCGCCGCCCCCGCGCCGCCGCCCCGCAGCCCCGGCAGCGCGGCCCCCGCGGCCCCCGCGGCGCTGCGGTTCCCCATGGCGCCCGCCGGCCCGGCCAGCACCGCGGACAGCGCCGCCCCGCCCCGCCCCGCCCGCAGGGCCTGCGTCTGCCCACCCGCGACTGTCCACTCGGGGGCGGGCGGCGGCCGGGTGGGATGGGCGCGGCGGGCCCAGGTCGGGGTGTGGCGCGGGTCTGAGCTCCGGGAAACCCACAGGATGGAAGGCGGCCGAACCGCACCCCGAGGCGCAAAGCACCCAGGCCCGCGCCGCCCCGGCCGCGGGGATCCCCGGGTCCCCACGGTGCCCAAGCTGGGCCCACCTGCAGGGCCGGTTCTCACTCCCCCTGTCCACGAGGCGTGGGCGGACACACTTCTCAGGGCCCCCGGGGAGACGCCACCCGCAGGCTTGGGGCGCTCAGGCTCCGCCCCCTTGGGTTCTAGAGGATTGGGGTCTGGGTGCTTGAGGCCCGAAGCCTACCCGCACCCTCCCTCTGCACCCCTCCACCCCCACCCCACAATAACTGCCTCCCGCCAGCGCCCTGCACCCACCGCAGGACGCAGCTTTTCATCCCGAACCCGGGACCCTCCAGCCTCCAGGCGGCAGCTACGTGGTCAGCCTCAAAGCCGCTCTGTCACCTGGGGCCTGTGACCTTGAGCCCGTGGGGGCCCTCTCAGCCCGGGAGCTGGGAGCTGGGAGCTGGCCTGACCTTGGCCTTAGGTGAGGGGGGGAGGGGATAAGCCCTCGGGGAGCTTAGCGATGCCTGTGGCCGAGGAAAGACAAGCCTGGTGAGCCCCTCTCACCCTGCACCCCCAGGCCTCCATCACCCCAAGTGCCAACCCCACCCGGAGCCGGGAGGGCGGGGCCTGGTGCCCGCAGGGGAGACGGCCCTGCCCGGTCAGTCGGACTGTCTGCCCTCCGATAGAGCCGGCACAGACAGGGCCGCAGGGCGTGTCCAGGAGAAGGCTCGCTGTTCATCCCGGCATCGCGGACACCTGGCACGGGCCCTGCCCTCAGGCGGGGAAGCAGGCCTCTGGGTGGGGTCCTGCAGGAATGCCGGCTGCATAGGACCCGGCGGGAGGGCTCCCCTCCCCTCACGTTGTGCGAGAGACTGACACTGACCCTTCCCACTGAAGGCCTGGAGTTCTCTTTTCTTTTTAAAATGTATTTTATTGATTTCTCACAGAGAGGAAGGGAGAGGGATAGAGTTAGAAACATCAATGAGAGAGAAACATCCATCAGCTGCCTCCTGCACACCCCCCCCTTCCCCACTGGGGATGTGCTTGCAACCAAGGTGCCCACAGGCCGACGCTCTAACCAATGAGCCAAACCGGCTAGGGCTTTATTGCTCTTTTCAAAGAAACAGCCTTTGGTTTCATTGATTTTTTTTATGAGTTTGTTTTCCGTTTCATTGATTTCTACTCTCATCTTTGTCATTTCCCTTCTCCTGCTGGTTTATCCTCAGCGTCCCTTTTCCCAGTTCCTTAAAAGGCCGCTGTTTTTCTCACCTGAGCGTGTAACGCGTAGTCCCTCGGAGATGCGCCCACCTGTGTCTGCTTTCAATTATGTCCAAGTCCTCCGCCACCCCTCCCCCGGAACTTCTCCCGTGGCCCGTGGGTTCCTTAGGATGAGGGTGTTTAGCTTCCCGTTGCAATAAAAAACCCACGGCAACAGCAAAACAAACCCTGATCCCAACCTCATCCTTTCCTTAAGGACGACCTCAAGATGAACCAGAGACGTAAATACAAACCTGACCCTGGACCAGCGTTTGGAAGAAAGGGGGAGGCGGGGGAATCTTTGTGACCCGGGCGGAGGCAGATTTTAGGTGTGCCATCCAAAGCATGACCTAAACATGAACAAAAACAGGCAAACTGGACTTCATTAAAATTAAACCTCCCAGCCCTGGCCAATTCGGCTCAGTGGATAGAGCATCGGCCTGCAGACTGAAGGGCCCAGGTTCGATTCCGGCCAGCGGCACATGTCCAGGTTGCAGGCTCCATTTCCAGTGTGGGGTGGGCAGAAGGCAGCCAATCAATGGTTCTCTCTCATTATTGATGTTTCTATCTCTCTCTCCCTCTCCCTTCCTCTTTGAAATCAATAAATATATATATTTTTAAAAATTAAACCTTCCAGGTTAGGGAGAGGTGGGGGAGATAAGGACTTGAATGCATGCACATAAGAATAACCAACAGATGCAAAACTCTGGGGGGTGAGGGCACGTATGGGAGTGGGGTGGGGGGGATGGTAAGGTATGTACACATATAATATCTTAATAAAAAAAATTAATGCTTCCAGCCACAGAACAGGAGGAAATATTATCAAACGACTTGTCCATGAAACTCTCAGAACTCGAGAGAGAGGGCATCGCAGGAAAGAACCCACATCAGTATTGCTCCCGGACCCACACAAAGCCCCGAGCAGTCCGAGCCACCGAACCGCAGCCCGTCCGACAGGACGCGCCCCGGAGAGCCACTGCGGGCCCAGGGAGCCGGCAGACCGCACCCACGGGCGTCCACGTGAGAAGCCCACACTGTGGTCCCAACTCCGTGACCCCCGGGCCGGGATGGCGGGGGTGTGGACAGGTGCAGCAGGGGAGCCAGAGGGCGGGAAACTGCTCCCGGTGAGACTGGGCGGTGGACACAGCCCCTCACACGTCCAGGAGAAAGTCACGAATCCGCGTGGGCTCCTCCGGCACCAGGCGGCCGAGGGCCGGGGCTGGGGCCGGAGCTCCGGGGATCTGCGCCTTATCCACCCGTGTTCGGCCCAGATCAGTTTATGGCCTCGTTTCCCAGATGAGGTGGACGGGGAAGGGTTTCCTACGTCCTGCCTGCTGTCAAAAGCCCCACTTAATCCCCTTCCATCCCAGCTGCCTCCCCCGCCCCCCACCCCCCACCTCCTGCGCTTCACCCTCTGCTGCCTGGAAAAATACAGAGCATTGGGGAGGCACCCAGGCCCTGATCCGCACCCCTGTGACCCCACCGCTCCGCCCGCCCCTGCCCCGAGCGAGTGCCAGTGAGGGCACAGGTGCCCCCCAAACCGTCCGGCCTGCTCTCGGCCGCCCCCCTCCAGGGGCCTCGCGACCAGGATCGCCCGCCTTTCGGCCCAGCCCAGACCCTCCCAAGGCCCTCTCCCAGGCCCGGCGCCCAGGGGCCCATGCTTAGCCCGTCACCCCCCCTGTCCCCCGGGCCGGTCCGCTCCGCTGCCCCCCACCCCGAGCCGCCCAGGGGCGCCGGCGCGGCGGGACTCGGGGCGGGCGGCCAGCCGGCGACAGCTGGGGGGGCGGCCCTGACCTTCCCGCCGATCGATGGGCGCGCCCGGGCCGCGCGGAGCCGGGGCGGCGCTGAGCCCCGCCGCCCGCCCTCGGGGGCGGCTATAAGGGCGGCGCGGGCCGGGCCGGCAGCCGAGCTCACCACCCGCCGCCCACCATGGCCCCGCGGGCCCTGCTGCTGCTGCTGCTGCCGCTGCTGCCGCTGCTCGGGGGCTCCGCCGCGCGCCCCGCGCCCGCCCGGTGAGCCCGCGCCCCTCGGACCCCCACCACCACGCGGTGCCCGCCCCGCCCCGCGTCCACAGGGCCCCCCGCCTTTACCCTCCGCGCCCCGCGCCGCCCGGTGAGCCCGCGCCCCTCGGACCCCCACCACCACCCGGTGCCCGCCCCGCCCCGCGTCCGCCCGCACGCCCGGCCCTCACCCCCGCCCCGCGCCCGCAGGGCCCCCGGCCTCACCCTCCCGCCCTCACCCCCCCGGCCTCACCCCGCCCGCGCTCGCAGGGCCCCCCGGCCTCACCCTCCCGGCCTCACCCCCCCCCCCCCCCGGCCTCACCCGCCCGCGCCCGCAGGGCCCCCCGGCCTCACCCTCCCGGCCTCACCCTCTCGCCCTCACCCCCCCCCCCCCCCCCCCGGTCTCACCCGCCCACGCCCGCAGGGCCCCCCGGCACTCGGACGGGACGTTCACCAGCGAGCTCAGCCGCCTGCGGGAGAGCGCGCGGCTGCAGCGGCTGCTCCAGGGCCTGGTCGGGAAGCGCAGGTGAGGGGTGCGCGGGGCGGGGCCTCGGGGAGGCCGCCCGGCTCCAGGACTAACTCTGGTTTGGGGTTGGGGCAGCGAGCAGGACCCCCAGAACAGCACGTCCTGGACCAAGTCTGCCGAGGGGCCCTTCTGCCTGCTGTGGTCCAACGCGCCCGCCCTGCAGGCCTGGTGAGCCGCGCCGCCGGCCCCTGGGCCCCGGTCAGGGCGGCCCCGGGTCAGGGCGGCCCCCCCATCCCGGGTCAGGGCGCCTCCCCCCCCCCCCCCCGTCAGGGCGCCCCCGGGTCAGGGCGGGCACCGGCCAGGGGCGGAGCGGGAGACTGAGTCAGTTCCCGAGGTGGGCGGGGTCTCCAGCTCCAAGCCCCGCCCCTAACCGGACTGTGGCCGCAGGACGCCCCTGAGGGCCCCCCTGGATCAGGCCTGGTCCCCCAGGCTGCCTCCCAGACCGAGGTCCGCAGTCCTGGCTTCCCGCCCGGGGGTCCCTGCGGAGACCCAGATGCGGCTGTGACGACGGAGGACCCTTCCCCCTCCCGCCTCGGACCCGGGAGCCTGGACCGGCGGGGAGGGGTGCAGGGGCGGGCCGGCTTGCCTTGGCACCAATAAAGCGTTCAGATCCTGCCTGTGAGCCCGTGTGTATTACACCGACACCATGGAGCGGAGGCTGGCAGGGCTGCGGGAGGGGGTCCACTCTGGAGGCCAGCGCTGACCACGCCCCCAGCCCTTTACACCGGGAGCCTCCCGGGCCCTCCTTCCGTCCTTATCTCTGGCATCGGGGCACCTCCTGTCCCACTGCCTGAGGCCCCCCCCACACACACCTTGTCATCCATTCAGCAACATCAGGGACATCAGGGCTGAGACGGGGCGGCTCAGGGTGGCCCGAGAGGTGACAGCCGGGGAGGGAGTCACAAGAGGCCAGGAGTCGGCTCCTGTCCGTGTGTGGCCTTGGGAGCAGGGACAGCGCTGACACCCAAGGGGGCTGGGTGCAGGAGCTGCGGTCACCGCCGAGCCAGCAGGACCCCTCCCGCCTCCTGAGCCCCGAGGCCTCTCCCCGGATGTGGGTTGGGGTCCAGGGAAAGGCGAGGGCAGGGCAGCTGGGGGCCTGGGCCAAGGAGCCTCTCCAGAGCCGCCTGCTGGCGGACACCGTGGGGACCGGCTTCCCCGGATGGTGGCCCCCGGCCCCGGCGGCTCGGTCCCCAGCACCTGCAGCCTTCTCCTCCCAGACCGAGGTGGGGGTGCGGGAGGGGTGGGCCCAGAGGAGAAGCCGGGATCGGGGCCCTCACCTTGAGGGGCTCCCTTAGGGATTGGCCCCAACATGATTCTGGCAGAAGAGCCCAGCAAAGGGGCAGCAGGAGGGGGCGGGTACAGCGAACTCAGAAGCCAAGGCCAGCCCCTTCCCAGTCCTGCCCCCCTCCCCCGTGACCACCCTCTCCACGCCCCGCCCGGTGCCCGGCGCAGCCCCCGCCTCCTTTCCGCCTCACACCTGTGGGCTGAGCCCCGGCATGCGACCTGGCTCCTGCCCAGCGGCCTCCGGGCCTGGCGCTCGGCCGGCGGGAGCCCCCTTGGTGGAGGCCGGTCCGGGAAGGCCATAAAGCGGGGCGGTGCCCGCAGGGGCGAAGGTCGCGGGCAGAGACTCACCGGCTCCGGCACCGGCACAGCTCGGGGGCCCTGGACGCCGGGCTCTGACCCGCCCCGCCGCTGCCCGAGATGGGGGCTTGGGCCCTGCTGCTGCCTCTGCTCCTGGCCGCGGCCGGGGCTCAGGGTGGGCTTGGTGGCCGGTGGGCTGGGGGGGGGCCGGGCGGGCGGCGGGCTGGGGGGGGCCGGGCGGGCGCCGGGCAGGCGGCGGGCGGGCGGTGGCGGCGGGAAGGCCCTGACCCCCGCTCCCACTTCCCAGGCTGCTCCGTGAACCAGACCTACTTCGAAATCAAGGAGAACACAAAGCCCAGTGGGTCCCTGGTGGACATCCAGGTCCCTGAAGGCCAGCAGGTGACCCTCGGGCCTCAGTCCACCCCCGAGGCCTTTCGGATCGAGGGGAACCAGCTGTTTCTCAATGTGGAGCCGGACTACGAGGTGCGCCCCACGGCCCAGGGGAGGGCTCTGCCCACAGCCAGGGTCTGGCCCCTGCGGGAGGCAGGGGCCCGGGGCCCTCGGGGGACAAAGCTGCCTGGGCCCCCGGCTCTCACTGAGGACGGGTTGGGGTCGGAGCTGCGGGGCCCGGCGGGGCAGGGCTCCTGACACACCTCCGCCCACAGAACACGACGATGCTGCTGGCAAACCTGCAGTGCCGGAGAGGGGACACTGTGGTGAGTGCCCTCCCCTGGGACACCAGCCCCCCCCCCCGCCGCTTGGGGCCTCTCCAGGGACCTCACCCAGTGGCCTGTTGTCAAGCGTCACCTGTGCTGGCAACGCCCACACTTCCTCCAGCCAGACTGCCCCTGAGCTGCAGACTGGCAAACCCCACCTGCCCGGCCCCTCGCCCCACGCCCTCAGCTCCTGACCCTCCAGTGGAGGGAAATGCCAAACACGCAGACCCGGTGGGGACGGCCAGGGAGCCCACGCTCCTGCAGCTTGGCTGCCAGCTGCCCCCCGCTCCCCCTCCTCCCAGCGCCCACCTGTGCAGAACTCGGGGTGTCTCCTCTGATACGCAGGCCGGAGACACTGGCTGCCGGGGCCTCAGGGCGCCTCTCGGCCAGGGCCCGGCAGGGGGCCCGGTGAGCTGTTGAGGCCCCCCTTCAAGCCGGCCCCCCGCTCCGCTCTGGTGCCCGCTGGAACAAACGCCGCCCTGTCCTCGCGGGATTTGGCTGGCTGCGCCCCCCTTCCCCCAAGTTATTTCTCCCCAGGTTCTCACAAGTTGGGGGGTCTGGGCCCTGCCCGGCAGAGCTGTCCCGTGACACCTGCACGCCCTCCGGGGGGGCGCTGACCGCCGCCTGCCCCCCAGGTGTCCCAGCTGAACGTGTTTGTGACCGTGCTGGATGTCAACGACAACCCTCCCGTGTTCCCCTTCGAGGTCAAACGAAAGGAGGTGCCCGAGGTGAGCGAGGGGGGGTGGGGCAGTGGGGACCCTGGCCTGGGGTGGGTCCCGGGGTCAAAGGCGTGGCCAGACCAACCCTCTGTCCCCAGGACACCAAAGTGAGAAGCATCGTCATGACCCAGGAGGAGCTGGCGGCCACCGACGGTGACCAGAACGACGTGCTGTTCTACACCCTCCAGGAGGTGACACCGGTCAGCGCCCCTCCCTCCCTCCCTCCCCAGCCCTCCCCCTCCGGGCGCCCTCCCCCCACAGCCTCCCGGGGTCTCAGCTGCGCCCCCCTCAGGGAGCCGGGAGCGTCTTCTCCCTGGTGGGCACCAACTCCCCTGCCCTGCGGCTGGACCGGGCCCTGGACTTCGACAGGAACCAGAGCATGACCCTCCTGCTGCGCGTGCGGGTGAGCGGCCTGCGGGTTCCTCCGCCCCCGCCCCCCGCCCCCGCCCCCCCAGCCCGGCTCCAGGCTCACCGTGGGGCTCGGGCCACAGGACACGGCGAAGGAGAACGACGAGCCCAGCCACAGCGCCACGGCCACCCTGGTCCTGGAGGTGCAGCCGGTGGACCGGAGGCCGCCCTGGTTCCTGCCCTGCCTCTACTCAGACGGGAACATCTGCGTGGAGCCCCAGTACCAGGGTGCCATCCCCACCGGCCACAAACTGGTACAGGGGGTTGGGGGGGTGCCCTGGGGCCAAATTGAGTCGTGATTTTTTAAAAAAATATATATTTTATTGATTTTTGTACCAAGAGGAAGGGAGAGAGATAGAAAGTCAGAAACATCGATGAGAGAGTTATCGATCAGCTGCCTCTTGCACACCCCCTACTGGAAATGTGCCCGCAACCAAGGTACATGCCCTTGACCGGAATCGAACCCGGACCTTTCAGACCCCAAGCCGACGCTCTATCCATTGAGCCAAACCGGTTTTGGCGAGTCATGATTTTTAAACCGCGTGAGCATCGCTTTGTAAACCTGCCCCCCCCCCCAATGCCTCTGAAATGAGAAGAGGCGGACAGGCCGGCCGTCCCGGGCAGAGCCAGACCCAATGTGGGGCCGGGGCCCGGTGGGCCCTGTGGGGCTGCCTGTCCCTGCTCCTGGCCCGAGGGGTGCACAGAGGCACGGACGGTGTCCAGACTCCCCTCAAGTTGCCCGTCCCCAGGGGTGCCACCTTCTGAGACACCCATTGCTCAGGCCAATCCCATGTCTTTGGGCGAAATGACTCATTAATGGCCCGTAAGGGTGCCATGGGTCACCCTGCCAGGGCAGGCCGGGCGTGGAGTGTCCCAGGTGCTGAGGGGAGTGGGAGGGGCCCCGCCGGAGCGGGCACCCCAGCCCACGGCCTGCCTCCCTCCCTCCCCGCCCCTCCCTCCGCGGCACAGCCAGCTCCGCTCACCCTGCGACCGGGGCCCATCTATGCCGTGGACGGGGACCGGGGCATTGGCCAGCGGATTGTCTACAGCATCCTGCAGGGTGAGCGAGCCAGGCCCCCCCGCCCCCGGGCAGAGCCCGCTGGGACCCTGGACCGAGGCCTCTGCAGCAGCTGGCCTAACCCTCCTGTCCCCCCCCCCCCCAGGAAACGAAGGTGGCACGTTTGTCATCAACGCCGACTCGGGCAACCTCACCATGGCCCGGAGCGTCCCCAGCCCCAAAACCTTCCGTTTGCTGGTCAAGGTGGGTGCCCGGCCGGGCCCCCAGCACCCGCCCTGAGCCCCAGGGCGCGGGCTCGCTCTGCAGGGACCCACGGTCGCTGCTGCCTCCCCGCAGGGTGAGCAGGAGGACCGGGCCCGGTACTCGGTGGCCCAGGTCACGGTGGAGGCCCGGGTGGCCGCGGGGAGCTCGCTGCGGTTCCCCCAGAGCCTGTACCAGGGCGCCGTGCTCCTGGGCTCCGGGGTGGGCGTGGTCGTCAGCGATGCCGCCGACCCCTCCCAGCCGCTGAGGATCCAGGCCCAGGACCCCGAGTTCCCGGTAGGTGCCGCCCGGTCCCCGGGGGGCCTGGCCACCCCTCCGGCTCTGGGGGTGGGGGGCGGCCACGGGGCAGCCTGGGCCCAGGGCTCACTGGGGCCACGTCCAGGACCTCAACTCGGCCATCACTTACCGCATCACCAACAACTCCGACTTCGGGATGGACGGGGAGACGGTGCGGGCGGCCGCCCCGCTGCTGCAGGCTGGCGTCTTCTATGCGGAGGTGAGAGCCGGCGGCCCCTGCGGGCGGGGTGCCAGGGGACCAGAGGGACGAACCCTTCCCTCCCCAGGTGCAGGCCAACAACACGGTGACAGGGGGCACGGCCACCACCGCCCTGGAGATCCGGGTCTCCGAGCAGATGCCGCCCCCCACAGGTGGGTACCAGCCTGGGAGCCTGGGGTGGGGTCTGCCTCGGGCATGCTGGGGACAGAGGCGAGCGGAGCTGTGTTCCCGGCCCCCAGGCCTCCCAACACCCCCCGAGACTGGAACAACGGCCCGGCCCTCAAGCAGCTCCACTTCGGAAGCCCCCAGGCCCGCCACGACCAGCTCTGGGGGGAGCACCCCGCATCCCCCTTCAAGCAGCTCCACCTCTCAGAAACCCGCCACGACCCTGCACCCCCCTTCAAGCAGCTTCACTCCTTCTGAGAAACCCGCCACGACCCTGCACCCCCCTTCAAGCAGCTTCACTCCTTCTGAGAAACCCGCCACGACCCTGCACCCCCCTTCAAGCAGCTCCACCTCTCAGAAACCCGCCACGACCCTGCACCCCCCTTCAAGCAGCTTCACTCCTTCTGAGAAACCCGCCACGACCCTGCACCCCCCTTCAAGCAGCTCCATCTCTCAGAAACCCGCCACGACCCTGCACCCCCCTTCAAGCAGCTTCACTCCTTCTGAGAAACCCGCCACGACCCTGCACCCCCCTTCAAGCAGCTTCACTCCTCAGAAACCCCCCACGACCCTGCACCCCCCTTCAAGCAGCTCCACCTCTCAGAAACCCGCCACGACCAGCTCTGGGGCGAGCTCGGGCCCGCACCCCACCTCAGGCACGACTCTGAATCAACCTACCTTGTCCATGTCTGGGGGCCCCTCGAGTGTTGGAACCAGCACCTCCCCCTCGTCAGCCTCATCTGGTGCGGGCTCACAACAGACCTCCATGCCAGGTACTCCCACCGTGCCCAGGGCCCAGCAGAACCCCTCACCCTCCTTGGCACCCCCTGGCCCTGGAGTCACCCTGTTCCCTGACCCGAAGACTGGGGACACCACAGGGCCTGCCCCGCCGCCCCAGGTGGGACCAGCAGGGCCATGCAGCCTGAAACCCAAAGGGGAGGGCGTGGGGTGTGTGTGTGTGGGGGGCAGGCCAGAAACCAATTTGGGACACGGTGCAGCCACAGTCCCCCGGCCACCCACCCCACTGGCCCAGCACTGTCCTCGTCTCCCACCTGCACCCCCCTTCCTCCCTTCAGCAGCCTGGGAACACAGCTCCTGGGGCAGGGGAGCTGGGGGGCAGGGGAGCTGGGGAGCCGGGGAGCTGGGGGGCGGGGGAGCTGGGGGGCGGGAGAGCTGGGGTGCGAGGGAGCTGGGGTGCGGGGGAGCTGGGGGGCGGGGGAGCTGGGGGGCGAGGGAGCTGGGTGGCGGGGGAGCTGGGTGGGGGGAGGGCGGGGGAGCAGGGCGCTGACCTGGCCTGGCCCAGGGTTCTGGCTACCGTTGGTAGCGAAGTGCTGGGCTGCACTGACGGAGGGGCATGGTGTGGTCTGCAGGCTCGCCCGGCGCTGGGGACGGTGGCCGCGGGGAGGACCAGCGCTTCTCGGCGGCGGAGATGGGGGCCCTGGGCGGGGTGCTGGGCTCGCTGCTGGTCCTGGCGCTCCTGGCCCTGGCCATCCTGGTGCACAAACACTACGGGGCCCGGCTCCGGTGCTGCGCCCGCAAAGCCCTGGTGAGCAGTGCAGCGGCGGCGGGAGGGGGGGCGGGAGAGCGGGCCCTGGGGCGGGGTCTGCCCAGGCCCGGTCCCCGCTGATGCTGGCTCCGCCTGCTCCCCAGGAGCCCCAGCCCTACGGCTTCGACAACAAGGCCTTCCTCTCCGACAACCACGAGCCCAGCTGGTCTCCGGCTCCGAGCCCCGGCCCCGACCCCGGCCCCGACCCTGGCCCCGACCCCGGCCCCGACCCCGGCCCCGACCCTGGCCCCGACCCCGGCCCCAGCGGCGCCCCAGCCGAGGTCCCGCCCGCGCCCGCGGTGCCCTCTCCGCCCCCGTCCCCGCCGCCCGCGCTGCCCGCGCCCCGCTCCCCGCGCCCCGGCCAGGCCCCCGGCCAGGCCCCCGGCCAGGCCCCCGAGGCCTCGGCGGGCGTGAGGTCCATCCTGACCAAGGAGCGGCGGCCCGAGGGCGGCTACAAGGCCGTGTGGTTCGGCGGCAGCGACGGGGCGGACGCCGACGTGGTGGTGCTCAACGCGCCCGTCCCGGACGCGGACGGCGCCGGCGACTCCGGCGGCGACTTCGGCGGCGACTCCGGCAGCGACTCCGGCGGCGACGGCAGCGGCGACGAGGGCGCGGACGCAGCACCGGGCTGGGGGCCCCGCGCCGACGCGCCGGGCATCGACTCCACCTACATCTAGATCCCCGTCCCCCAACCGCCCCCCCGAGCCCCGACCGCCCCCCGCGCCCCCCACCGGCCTCTGGCGCCCCCCACCGGCCCCCGCGCCCCCACACCGCCCCCCGCGCCCCCACACCGGCCTCTGGCGCCCCCCACCGGCCCCCGCGCCCCCACCCGCCCCCCGCGCCCCCCGCGCCCCCACACCGCCCCCCGCGCCCCCACACTGGCCCCCGCGCCCCCACACCGCCCCCCGCGTCCCCCCGACCGCCCCCCGCGCCCCCACCTGCCCCCCGCGCCCCCACACTGGCCCCCGCGCCTGGAATAAAGTGTCACCTCCAGCCCGGCAGCGCGTCCGTGGTGCGACCGGTTGGCACGTGGGGGGTGGTCGGGGGGGGGCGCGGGGGGCGGTGTGGGGACGCGGGGGCGGGTGGGGGTGCGGGGGGTGGGGGAGGGCGCGGGGGGCGGTGTGGGGGCGCGGGGGGCGGTGTGGGGGGGCGCGGGGGGCGGTGTGGGGGAGCGGGAGGCGGTCGGGGGGGCGCGGGGGGCGGTGTCGGGGGGCGCGGGGGGCGGTGTGGGGACGCGGGGCCGGTGTGGGGACGCGGGGGCGGTCGGGGGGGCGCGGGGGGCGGTGTGGGGGCGCGGGGGCGGGTGGAGGTGCGGGGGGTGGGGGAGGGCGCGGGGGGCGGTGTGGGGGGGCGCGGGGGGCGGTGTGGGGGAGCGGGAGGCGGTCAGGGGGGCGCGGGGGGCGGTGTCGGGGGGCGCGGGGGCGGTGTGGGGGGGCGCGGGGGGCGGTCGGGGGGACGCGGGGCCGGTGTGGGGACGCGGGGGCGGTCGGGGGGACGCGGGGCCGGTGTGGGGGCGCGGGGGGCGGTGTGGGGGGTCGCGGGGGGCGGTGTGGGGGGGCGCGGGGGAGCGGGAGGCGGTCGGGGGGGCGCGGGGGGCGGTGTGGGGGCGCGGGGGGCGGTGTGGGGGGGCGCGGGGGGCGGTGTGGGGGAGCGGGAGGCGGTCGGGGGGGCGCGGGGGGCGGTGTGGGGGGGCGCGGGGGCCGGTGTGGGGACGCGGGGGCGGTCGGGGGGACGCGGGGGGCGGTCGGGGGACGCGGGGGGCGCGGACTGGGGCGCGGGGCGGGGCAGGCGCGGGCGCGGGGCGTTCCCTCCCGCAGCTCGGGGCGCCCCCGGTCCGGGCCCCGGCGGGCCGTCAGGCGGAGAGGGCTCTGCCCTGGGCCCTCTCCCCTCGGCCTGCGGGAGGCTCAGGAGGCCCCGCGGTGGGTCGGGCTGGGCAGACCGGGTTGGGGCTGCCCGCGGGGCAGGAGCCGGGAGCAGGGGCCCGGCCGGGGCGGGAGGCGGGGAGGGGGACCCCTGCCGCCCTCCGCACCCCCGCGGCTCGGCGCGGACGCCCCGCCCTCCCGCCCACGGGACCGGCCCGGCACGTGACGCCGCCCCGCCCCGCCCCCCGCCCCCGGCATAAAAGCGCGGGTCCCCGGCGCCCGGTTGAGACGAAATTTCCGCCCCGGCGGCTCGGGTTCCTGGACGGAGGGTCCCTCCGCGGGAGCCGAAGGGCAGCTCCTGGCGGGGGCGGCGGCGGGGCCGCGGGCGGGCGGGGCGGCGGCGGCGGCGGGCGGTTCGGTTTCGTTTCCCGGCGGCCGGGCTTCGCGGTTTCGCTTTCCCGGCGGCGCCGGGCCCTCCAGCGGCGGCTCCCGGTCTCCGCAGGGTCCAGCCTGCGCCCCCGGGCCCCGGCGCTGGCTCAACACCGCGACCCCGGGGTGCGCGCCGCCACACCTGTCCTCGCCGCCCCGTGCCCGGCCCGCGCCGCCCGTGCCCGCGCCGCCCGGCCCGCACCGCCCGGCCCGCACCGCCCGGCCCGCGCACCTGGCCACACCCGGGCCCCGGCCGGGTCCCGCCGCCACGAGCAGCCCCGCTGCGGGGACCCCGCGCGCCGCCGGACCGCGGACCCGCAGCGCCATGGCCGCAGACCCCGAGAGGTGAGAGCCCGCCCGCCTCCCGGCGCCGCCCCGCGCCCAGCCGCGCCCTGACCCGCTCCGCCCACAGGGGGGCGCCGCGCGTGCTGTTCGCCGAGTGGCTGCTGGGCGAGGTGGGCAGCGGCCGCTACGAGGGGCTGCGCTGGCTGGACGCGGCCCGCACGCGCTTCCGCGTGCCCTGGAAGCACTTCGCGCGCAAGGACCTGGGCGAGGCGGACGCCGGCATCTTCAAGGTGGGACGCGCGGCGGCCGGCCCCGCGGCGCCCGGGCGGAGGGCTGGCCGGCCCCCGGCGCCCGCCCAACCCTGCGCCTCCCTCCCCAGGCCTGGGCCCTGGCGCGCGGCAGGTGGCCGCCCAGCAGAAGCGCAGGCCTGCCGGCCCCCGACGGCCAGCTGCTGGCGTGCTGGAAAACCAACTTCCGCTGTGCCCTGCGCAGCACCAAGCGCTTCGTGATGCTGCAAGACAACTCGGCAGACCCCAGCGACCCGCACAAAGTGTTCACACTCAGCTCCGAGGAGGGGTGCGGAGGTGGGCGTGGGAAGCTGCGGAGGGCGGGCTCTCGCGGGGGTGCTGGGACTCTGTTCTGCCCCGGGGCAGCCACGGAGGTCAGATCTGCGGTTTTGGAAATCGGTCTGGGAGAGGATGGTGCCAGGTTGGAGGGTGCCCGGGAGGGGGGGGGACTGAGACTTAGGGAAGGGGGGCATGGACCAGCTTCGTGTCTCAGGTCCCAGTGCTGCCCCCCACACCCCCCAACTCTCCCTCAGGAAGTCCAGGCATTGGCCAGGGCGACCACAAGGCTTATGAAGACGCCCCACCCACCAGGGTAAGGCTGCTCTGTCCTGGCACCGGGTGGGGTGTGCCGCCTCCTCGGCTGTAGGCTGCTACGCCACCATCTTCCCCTGCAGGGGGCGCTCCCTGGGCCATGCCTGGCAGATGCCGGTGAGAGTCCTGGGCCTGGACCAGCCAGGTGGAGCCCCGTGCCCGGCGCCCCCAGCCCTCTGGTGAGCCTGGCGGCCTGCGCCGGGGACCTCCTGCTGGAAGCCATGGAGCAGAGCCACCTGGAGCACCTGCTGGAGGCCCCTCCCGAGACCTGTGGTGAGGGGCTGCTGAACAGTGGTGCTGTGCCAGGGGAGGGCGGTCCGACAGGGATGGTGCCACCCGTGAGCTCCTACAGCTGCCTCTGCCGCCCGCAGGCCCAGAGCTGCCAGCCGGGGAGCTGGAGCGGGCCCCCAGCCCCAGGTCACTGCCCCTGGGCCCGGTGACAGGTGAGGAGCCAGGGGACGAGTGGGAGAGGGAGAGGCTGGAGGGGCAGGTGCCAACAGGTCTTTCCCCCCAGACGCAGGTCCAGCCCCTGGGATCTGGCAGTCCCCCCCTGAGGCGGAGCCCTGCACCCCACTGGTGGGCCCCCCCTGGCCACAGCTCGGCCCGCACGCAGAGCCCAGCCTGGGACCCCTGCTCGTGACCATCATGTACAAGGGCCGCACGGTGCTGCAGGAGACCGTGGGGCGCCCCAGCTGCGTGCTCCTGTACGGGCCCCCCGGCTGTGCCACGCAGGCCCCAGAGCCCCAGCTGGTGGCCTTCCCCTGCCCCACCCAGCTCGCCGACCAGAAGCAGCTCTACTACACAGAGAAGCTGCTCCAGCATGTGGCGCCCGGCCTGCGGCTCCAGCTCCGGGGGACGGGGCTGTGGGCCCAGCGCCTGGGCAAGTGTAAGGTCTACTGGGAGGTGGGCAGCCCCCTGGGCTCCGACAGCCCCTCCGCCCCCGCGTGCCTGCTGGAGAGGAACTGCGACACCCGCATATTCGACTTTGGCACCTTCTTCCGAGGTCAGTGGCACTGGCCCTGGGACCAAAGTCCTTCCCGCCCTCCTGCCCCGGGCCCTGCACTCACCAGGCTCCATCCTGCAGAGCTGGTGGAATTCCAGTCTCGCAAGCGCAGGGACTCCCCGCACTACACCGTCTACCTGGGCTTTGGGCAGGACCTGTCAGCCGGGAGGCCCAAGGAGAGGAACCTGGTGCTGGTGAAGGTGAGGGCACGGTTCCCGTGGGGAGGCTGCCCCTGCCCCTGCCCCAGCCCTGACCTGGCTGATTGCACCCTCCCTGCAGCTGGAGCCGTGGCTGTGCCAGGCGTACCTGGAGAGGGTGCAGAGGGAGGGTGTGTCCTCCCTGGACAGCGGCAGCCTGGGCCTCTGCCTGTCCAGCTTCAACAGCCTGTACGAGGAGCTGGAGCACTACCTGGAGCACCTCATGGAGGTGGAGCAGCCAGCCTAGGCCCCAAGGCCGCCCTGACCAATAAAAGTGTTACAAGCCGGAGCTGGTGTTGTGTGTGGCCAGTCAGGGAGGGGTGGTCCCCCGAATGCACACTCTTCAGAGACATTACACGGGACACGGAGCTCCTTGGGCACCGGGCGCTGCTCCTGCCACGTGCTGGGACCTGGCACCTGGGCTTCCTCCACGGCCAGCAGCCGCCCTGTGCTGTGTCCAAGGCCCATCGCGGCCCCTACACCCGCCCCACCGCCTCTGCCATGTTTGTATTACGTTACCAGCAGCCCCCTCCCATCCAAGGTCCCCGTTTTCAAGTACTGAGTCGAGAAGTTTCTAAAGAGAATCATTTCTGATAAATTAGAACACAATGAGGTGTATCTACAATGTACACGTAACGTCCAGTTTAAACCGCACGGGGCGGGCACAGACCACAAGTGATCTCTGGGACCTGGACACAGTGCTCTGCCGAGGCCCTCCCAACACACGCGGGCCCGGGGGACTCAGCCCTCGGCAGCGGGCTCCCCGGCCTCGGGCCTGCGGTGCCTGCGCATGTGCCTGTACTTGTCCACGTAGGCCTTCACCAGGTTGCCCACCTTCACTGGGTTGATCTCCCCGCTCTTGCTGTGGCAGATCTGGGGGAGGGGAGGCACAATTACCCAGAGGTCCTTGCATCCCAGACCCGTTCAGTAGCTGCGATGACTGGCCCTGGGGCCGCTGTACCACCTCCCAGGCCACTGAGGCCCCACCATGTCGGCCAGAGCCCGCAGGGCGGCGGGCTGACTGAGCATCTTCAGCAAGGAGGCCGCGCCCCGGCACCGCACCCTCCCGCCCTGCCCCGCCCCGCCCGCGCCCACCTTCTGCACCGCCTTGCGGAGAATGTCCTTGTACTCCTCCTTGGTGACCTCGCGCTTCTGGTAGAAGGGCTTGATGGCCAGCTTCACCTCCTCCACCGCCCGCTCCTGCATGTGCAGCTTCTTCAGGTACTGGGGGGAGGGGGGAGTGAGTGCCGGCCCGGCCGGGGCCCCGGGGGCAGGCGCGCCGCCGTGCTGTGCTGGAGGACGGAGCGGGGTCTCACCTCCTCGTTCTTGGCTTTTTCTGGGGCCGGCCGGGGAGTGGCCGTCCTCTCCTCGGAGTTGTTGGTGGCGGTGGCGTGGCCAGCCGGCTCGGAGGCTGTGGTCAGGACGGTGGGCACGGGTGCCAGGCTGGGGGCCGCCCCGCAGCCCGCCAGGGGGAGGCTGCCCTGCAGGATAAACTGCACCATGGGCTGGCTGACTGGAGCGTAGGGCGGAACACTGGAGGGCAGAGCCAGGGCAGGAGGCAGGCTGGAGCCATAAACCTGGGCGAGAACAGTCGGCTGAGCGGAGCTTCGATGCGGACAGCACCCTCACCCCTCTCCCGAAGGACAGACCTTGGCCAGAGGGGCAGAGCCGAGGCCAGTGCCCACGTGCAAGGTCACCGCCTCCTCGCAGCCCGGCACCCACCTGAGCAGGGTCCGCAAGGGGAAAGCCGGGCTCTGGACGCGTGTAAGCAGGAGGGGGCTCGGGGCAGGGTGCCTGCTGGGAGTCCACCACAAGGCCCCCGTCTCCGGGCTCCCAGGCCTCTTCCTGGGGCTGCTGGGGCCTGTGAAGTGGGGTCCCTGAGGGCCAACATAGGGGAGGTGGGCGTTCCGTGGCCACCCAGGACGGAAGGCTACTTCCCGGCTGGAAAGCTCAAGAGAAGCCCCAGCAGCAAGGACACAGGCTGGCTGCAGCCACCTCCGATCCCACGTGCCCCCACGCTGCCCCAGCCCACCCGTGCGTGCCGCCGAACCCCTACTCACGCAGGGCCCTGTCCTCAGCCGGAGCGCCGCCGGCCGCCTCCTGCAGGTTCCAGGTGACCCTCTTCACAGGGGCTTTAGCCCGAAGCGCGGCGGTCGGGCAGGGGCTTCCCTCCTTCCCCAGCTGCGCGCCACCCCCGGCCGGGCCTCCCGGGGCACCTGGCCCCGCGGCCTGGGCCGGGGCCTGCTGGCACGGGGCCTTCTCGTGGGGACTCTTGGTCCAGGGCAGGGGCTGCTCGGCGTCCTCGCTGTGGATCAGCGACACCTCCCTCCTGATGGCAGCCAGGCTGCGGTCCGGCTGCGGGTGGGCCGGGGGGACCGGGGGGGCCTGGCGCTCAGGCGAGGAGGAGTCTGTGCTCTCCGGGGAGGGCGGCGAGCTCATGTCGTCGAGCTGCGTGAAGAGGCCTTCGCTGGCGAAGTCGTCAAAGACGTGCCCCGCCTCCACGGAGTCCACGTAGTCCAGGTCCTCGGGGGCACCTTCCGCTAGCGCCTCTGGGGCGGGGGGCGCCGCCGGGGGGGCCTGTTCGGCCTCAGCCCCTCCCGGCCACGTGCCCGCTCCTGCTGCGGCCTGCAGCCCCGCTGCGGCCTGCAGCCCCGTTGCCCGGCCCGGCCCCGACTCCTCCTGGGGAGGGGGCACGTGGGAAGCCTCCGTCACAGGCAGCTTCCTCCCGGGGGAGCGGGAGCGGGAGCGGGAGCGGGGCCGGGGCCGCTTCTCCCGGGAACGAGGCCTCCGGTGCTCCCGGGACCGGTGCTCCGGGCTGGGCGACCGCGACTGGTGCCACCGCCTCTCCCGGGAGCCCCTCCGGTCCCGGGGCCGCTCGCGGCTCCTCTCCCTGGGCCGGCGGGGCCGCCGGGCCCTCTCCAGGCTGCTGGGGGGAGAGCACCCCCTGCCCTGAGACCGGGACCCCGACCGCCTCTTCCTCCTGCTGCTCTGGCGGTGCTCGTGCGAGGAGCTCCCAGGGCTGCCGGAGCGCCGCCGGCCCCGGCCCTCCCTCGGCCTCTCCCGGCTCCTGTCCTTGGCCTTCCTCCGCTTGGCCCGCTCGTGGCTGCTGGAGCGGTCGCTGGAGGACCCCCGGGCCCGGGCCCGGGGGGGCCTCCTGGCCTGGTCCTCCCCCCCCGGCGGTGACAGCGACCGGGAGCTCCCGTCCCCGGAGCGGGCGGGCCCGGGGGCCTGCTTCTGCGGGTCTGTGTCTCTGCCGCGGGAGCTGGAGCGGGAGCGGGACGGGGACCGCAGCTCCACGATGCGGTGGGTGGTGGGCGGCGGCGTGGCCGGCTCCTCCACAGGCACGCAGGTCACCCTCCGCGCCTCAGAGCCGAGGAAGGCGGTGCGTGGCGGCCGGTCCTCGTCCTCCCAGGGTTCCCGTGAGTCCAGGCCCCCGGCGGGCTCCTCGCCCCGCAGCGGGAGCGGGCCGGAGGGCCCCGGAGCGGCCTCGGGCTCCCCGAAGACCGCCTTCACCGTGTAGGAGGTGACGCAGCGCACGGTCTGCGAGGGCGGGGCGCGGGGGCTGCCGATGGAGATGGTGCGGGTGATCTCCGAGGGCAGGAGGCCGGGGCCCAGGCGCTCGGGGCTGCTGCCGGCGGAGCTGGAGTCGGAGCCTGTGGGGTTGAAGGGGTCGTAGATCTCGCTCTTGAGCTGCTTGGTCTTCCGGAGGGAGAAGAGGGGGGCGGCGCTCTCTTTCCGCTGCGCCTTGCTGTCCACGGGCCGGAACGTGTTGCAGAAGCCGGGGCCGGAGAGCCTGCCGGAGTGCGCCGCGTTCCCAGGGATATTGATCCGGAAGCTCTCGAAGGTCGAACTGCTGCCCTTCCCCCTCGAGGGTCCCAGCGGGGCAGGGGTCTGAGCGCTGCCCCCCGAGTGAACGCTGGGCTCCTGGGGGCCCCTGCCACGGGGAGAGCCCTCCGCCCGGGCCCCGAGGCCAGGCTGCCCCGGGCCCTCCCTGCCTGTGAGCCGGCTGATGCAGGCGCTGGGGAGCTCCCCTCGCTGCCCGCCGGCGGGGGCGGGGGCGGGGGCTGCGTCCGCCCATCCACTGCCGCCGTCCCTCCGCATCTTGGGTATCCGGGGGAGCTGGGAGATGTCTGCTCTCCGCGGCGCTGGCCGCGGGGCCTGGCCCAGCACCGCGCAGGTGGCCAGCAGGTCAGGGCCGCCGTCTGAGATCCTAGATGTGAATCCCGGAGCCCTGGCACCCTCACTGTCGCCTCTGAGGTGTGGGCCCTCCCGCCGTCTGACGCCAGAAATGCTCACGTTGGGCGAGCTCTGGGCCTGGCCTGGCCGAGGGGTCGCTGAGGAGTCCAGTCTCTCGGAGCCTGACGGGAGCACAGGGACGTGGGGCGGGGCGGACCTGCCCAGGCTTCCCGGGTTCCCTGAGCTCGGGGCTGGGGGCTGGGGGCCGTCCCGGGGCCCAGGGCCTTCTCCCCCTCGGGACAGACCGACTGAGTGCCGCTGAGAAGAAACAGGTGCTAAAAGACAAAAAGGCAAACGGCCATCAGATGCCCCCTCCTTTCCAAAGCCCCAGACTTGCTCAGCCTTCACCACGTGGCTTTCTCATGTACATCTCCAGTTCCTCCTCCGTGTTGCTGGTGGGGACAGCCCTGTGTGCGTGTGTGTCTTGTGGGGGGGGGGCAGCCTTGGGGGGAACAGCCCTGTGTGTGGGGGAACTGCCATGTGTGTGGGGCAGCCCTGAGGAGGGGAAACCCTGGGGGGCCTAGGGACCACTGGGCACCCTGGGCAGCTGGACGCTTGCTGTGGGATCATGACATGCCCAAGCCAGTGACAGCGGTGGCAGGAGGTAGGACAGAGGGCTGCCTGCCTCCGCAGCGCTGCCATCACTGGCTGCCCAGTCCCCACGCTGGACCCCACCACCAAGCTAGACCCAAGGCAGAGGGAGGGCCCGGCATGCAGGCCCCGGGGCGGCCTCGGGCCTGCCACTGTCTCCACCCAAGTGATCTGTTCGTGAGGCTGTTGAGAGCAGAGGGAAGACGGGAGGAGCCTCCCCCCTGGCGTCTGCTGCGTGGGAAACGCACCCGGCCGCGCAGAGCGTGCCTCCGTTCCCGCGGAGGCGGCCTCACCTGCCCTCTTAGCGCTGAGGGAGCCGTCGCGGTGGATGGTGATGTCCGCGCTGTCCATCAGGAGGAGGCTCTGGCCCGACAGGATGCTCCCCAGCAGGTCGGGGACAGGGGCCTCGTCCACGTCTGGCTCGGGTGCCGGGGCGGGAATGCTCCTCCTACAGGTGAGACCAGGCCCTGCCATCACTCCCCCGCCCGGCCCGCCCTGCCTGGCCCCCCAGGAGGGGGACCCTCTCGGGCGCTCCCCTGCAAGCGGGGCCAGAGGACATCAGTGGGGCATTCAGGCCAGCGCGTAGGGGAGCAGCTCTGCCATCGTGGGGTTTGGTTGGGGCAGTGGTCGGCAAACTGCGGCTCGGAGCCACATGCGGCTCTTTGGCCCCTTGAATGTGATTGAAACGTCGTGGCCCATGCGCAGAAGTCGGTTTTTGGCTCTCAAAAGAAATGTCAATTGTTGCACTGTGGACACTTGGCTCTGTTGACTAATGAGTTTGCCGACCACTGGGTTAGGGTGCTTCTTCCCCCAAAAGGGTCCCAGGTTAGAACAGGTCCAGCCCAGGGCACAACCCAGCACCCCGCTGATGGGCCTGCCCCGTGGCCTCGTGCCCTCGCTCCCCAACAGGAAGCCGAGGGGAGTCTGCGGGCTAGAGACCCGCTGCCCGGCCTCAGACCCACCTGGAGAGCCCCATGGAGACGGGCCGGGCCACGGGCTGGTGAGACCGCAGGGCTGAGCGGGACAGGACCCTCCTCTTGGCGCTCAGGGGGGAGGCGGGGCTGGCAGAAGGCTCTTCACTGCTGGAAGGACACCAGCGAGGGGATGGTGACCCATGCCCGAGGCCCACGGCCCCAGCCCTACCCCGTGCCCAGCAGGTGGCCTGAGCGGGAGACTCCTCCCTCCTTCAGCAGTGGCCGCTGAGGCTCCACCTGCCCCCACAGGGTGGGCACCCAGTCCCCTGGGAGGGAGGGAGGGCGGAAGGGAGGGGGCAGCTTGCTCCTCCCTCGCAGAGGTGCCGCGGCACCGCCCCCAGTCACCTGTCGAAAGGGTCCAGCTCGTAAGGGTCTCCAAAGACGGAGAGAGAGGCAGCGCCGATGTCCGCACGCATCAGCCCCAGGGAGGGGTCCACAGGCCGGCACACGGATGGGATGCAGGCCCCGTGGGTCGGCCGCCGGAGGCCCAGTGTCCGTGCGATGCGCCCACGAGCTGTGACTTCGCTCTGAGCGGCCTCGGAGGGAAAGAACCACCCACGTGAGATGCGTGGATCTGGTGCGAGCGGACAACAGCGGCGGCCGAGTCCACGCCAGACCAGAGCAGCCGGCCCACCCCCACGCCCACGGGCCCCTGCAGGTCCCGGCCGTGAGTGTGGACCGGGCCTCGGCCAGGACGGGACAGCCTGCGCCGCGGGCCCCTGAAGCCAGCCATCGCCAGGGAGCCTCCTGCCCCGCAGGCCCAGGCCCCGGGTCCCAGGGCTGCCACAGCCCGCAGGACGCCCGCCGGCTGCACTCGGTGCTGGGGCGACGGGCCCGCCGCCGCGTGGCTCAGCCGGAAGGCCGTCCGGGACACCACACGCTCCTCGGAGGGCCGGGCCCTACCTTCAGCTTCTGTCCTTTCCTCTTCTTCCCGCGGCCCTGGCGCCTCTTGGGCCTCGTCCCCGAGCTCCTGCCCCTGGCGGCCCCGGGCGGGGCCTTCTTCCTGCCCTGCACTTTCCTCCGGCGTCCTGCAGAGACACCCGCTCTGTGCTCAGGCCCCGGCGTCCCCGAGGGAACCGCCCGCTGGCGCTTGGGCCTTCAGTGGGAAAACGAACTGCAGTGCAGAGGCCCTGTGCCCACCGGGCGGGCGCCGTGCACAGGAGGCCCCGGCAGAGAGAACCGCCGCTAGCCTCCGAGTGCATCCGGGGAACAAGCTGACGGCGAGAGCCGAGCGAGGACCTGGCTCCGCACGGCCGGGGGCTGACCAGAGACCAGAGAGCACCGCCCACTTTACGGCCCCCCCACCCCGTGAGCCCGCGCTCGGTGCTGCCAGGGCTGCTCAGTGGGAGGAGCGGCAGCCCAGCACCGAGGGCACAGGAGCCCCGGAGGGCAGCAGGGGCGGCAGGAAGGCGGTGGGACCGACCCCGGCACATGCTCTCACCACCCGCACGCAGGGCCCATGAGCTCACAATGGTGCTGACCCCGGAGTGACCCAGCGGCTGAGGCCTGCGCACGGAGGCCCAGCCCGGCGGGGAGACCCTGAAACTGTGTGGCTGGTGCGCATGAGCCCCCGCACGGCCCAGTGCCCGGGCCCGGAGCTCTGACACCTCCCCCTGCCCCCGCGGGCCCACAGAACCAGCCCGAGCACGGCCAGGGACGGCCACGCGCGCAGGCAGCGCTGACCAGAACGGCCACACGGCAGACGCCCGCACACCAGCAGCCCTGCCCGGCCGCGGGCCCCCACAGCCTGCGCTCTAGAACCGCAGCCTCTGTGACACGCCAGCCCCGCCCTGGAAGGGCAGCGCCGCCCGCCCTGGCTTACTTGCTTTCCTCCTCCGCTTGGCGGGGGCCCGCGACGCTGTGGGGCGCTGATACACGGCTGTACTCAGACCAGAGGCAACGGCTTCGATGGTCTCGTCAAGCAGGGAGGACACCAGGTACCTGGGAACGTGCTGCACGCCCGCAGGGGGATTGGTGGGCACAGGCCACCGTGGGGACACGCACGGCCTGGGCCACCCCTCCAGCTGGCGTCACCCTCTGGATTCCGGACAGCGGGTGCTCCCACCAACCGGGACCAGGGCGGCCGCCCGGGGAGGGCAGGCTCAGGGTGAGGTGGGGTAGGAGGGCAGTCTCAAGCGCCCACCCCCCAGGACACGGGGGCCAGAGGGACTGCAGGCGGCCCCCCGGGAGCCGCGGTGGCAGCGGCGTGTGCTGAGAGCACCACTCCCTGCCCAGCAATGCTCCCACAGGAGGGCACAACTGCAGGGCAGCCTGCCCTGAGGCCGGCGGTGCCCGCCCCGGGGAGAGCACCCACCTGGATGCTCCTGGCAGTGGACATGCGGTTCCGGTTCACAGTGGCTCGGACACGCTCGCTCTGCCGCGTCCTGGCGATGGCCCGGGTCCGCCCCTCGCGAGGCCGCAGCCGGCTGGCGGTGGGCACCACGTCGACCAAGAGCAGAGAGACCTCCTCCTCGGACACGGGGTCCGCGACTGCGAAGAACAGAGCTGCTGGGCCGCTGGTGCAGCCGCCCCGGACTGGCAGCGCCGAGGCCGGGCCCGCTCCCACCGAGCCCACCCGGCTGCCCGGCCGGACCGCCCCGCTCCGGGCCCCGCGGCCGCGGAGGCGGCGGCACTACCTGCAGGGAGGCCGGCAGCTCCGGGGCTGGCACATCCCGGACAGAACCACTCGTCCACGGGCACCTCCTGGAGAGGGGGGTCCAGGCACTCCATGTGGTACCTACGGGGTGAAGGGCCCGTCAGACGCGGCCGGCCGCACGGGGCGCCGGGAGCCAGCGGCCCCGCCGGGCAGGGAGAGCCCGCTCACCCGGCATCGCAGCCGTCGCAGAGCAGCAGGCGGTCCTCGCGGTCGCTGCGGCCGCACACCTCACAGAAGGTGGGGTCGTCCTCCTCCTCTCCGGCCCGGGCGCCCTCCACTGGCACCTGGAGGCGGAAGGGCTGCTGCTCACGGGCGCGGCGCCCGCCCTCTCCCCAGGCGCTTGGTCGTTGGAGCCGCCCCTCGGCTTCCGAAGGCGTCTCCGTGCCCCCGGCTCACCAGAGGCTCGGGAGGGACACCCGCACACGGGGGTCTGTGTTCGGGGACCACCTCAAGGTTGTTTATCAAGAAGAAAAAGCAATTCAACCGAAAACCAAGCGGTGGCACGGGGGCCCACCACCGAGCCGGCATGGGGAGCCCCACCCCGGGCAACTGTGAGAGCAGGAAAGCAGCTCAGGCAGCAGGCACTACCACTACCGCTCGGAAAGGTCACGGAGACGAGGGAACCTAGCTGCTGTCATTCAAGACCCGTCCGCTGCGATGCTGTGGACACGCCCCTGCCTCCCCAGCACCCTCCCCCAGCTGTCAGCTCCCCCTGCACCCCGTCACACCAGGCAGACCCCCCAGGGGATGAAGGTGCTGCAGGGAAAGGCCCACAGCAGGGCCACACGACAGACTCGGGCCAAGGCCGCCGCCTCAGCAGACCCAGAGCGCAGGAAAGGACGTGGTCTCCGCAGAAACGTGCACCCCACGCGCCCGCCCTGCGGTTCGGTGCCTTTCGCGAGAGCTGCGGGCCGTCCTGGTGCTCAGTCTCAGGCGCCTCTGGAAGCCTCTCCTGCTGGCCCTGGGCCCAGGGGCGTGGGCCCTCCAGGCTCTGCAGAGCAGCCAGCTGGACCCGGCCCCACCCTGAGACCCGGCCTCCTCCAGACCGGGCTGCGCCCCGCTCCCCTCCCCGTGGCTGCGGGCCAAGGGCAACGGAGACGTGGGAGGTGCGCGCCGTTGAGCAGAGGGCACTGGGAACCGCCCCTCCCCTGCAGTGCTCTTTCCCCAAGAACCCACATGGCCGACAGACCGGGCAGCACCCTCACCCACGGGCTTGCCGGCACGGCTGCGAATGGCAATCTGGTGGGTTTCTAAACAGCGGGGGCCAGTCCGCATCATCCCAGGAAAACAATGTGAATGCGTGCTTTCCCACCGACAGAGACCACGCCACGGACAAGATGGGGGGGCTCCACAGCGCGGACACTCACCTTCCTCAGGACTTTCCCACCAAACTGGGCTCGAATACAAATGTACTTAAACAGAGTCCGGTCGACGGGACAGGAGTTGGCATTCTGTGAGAACAGGAACGGGATCAGGACCCTGCGGGTCACCTGCACTAACGCCCCTCAAACAAGCAGGCGCCCTCGCACCCCGCCAGACGCGTCTCCGTCTCCACGTGGAGCTGCCGCCTGGAGGAAGAGGCGGGCAGGGAGCCGGGAGTGTGCTCACGGCGCTCCCAGGCGTGAAGGGAGCACAGGGGACAGGGGACACCACGGGGGCCCCTTCTCTGCGCCCACGCTCCATGGCTGCTCCCTCAGTGCGCAGAGCGTCCCCGCAGCAGGTACGCTGCAGAGATCAATCTTGCCTCAACAGCGTCTCCCATGTAAGCGCTACGGAACGCCTCCGGCAGGTGCACCGTATACAGCGCATGCGCTTGTCACCGTGAACCGCCACGCGCCCGCTGGGGTCTGGGCTGCACGCGGCCTCGCACAGGCAGCCGCAGCGCCTCCCCCTGCTGGCTCTCTGCGGTGGGAAAGCGGAGCCGCTGCACACACCCCCGGACGCGTCTGCTGGACGCAGCTGGCCCTCAGGCTCCACGGGTCCAGTGCCCTCACTGTGGGAGGCCATGGCACAGCACTGGGCTCTGCCCACCCCACACCCGGCGGCTCCGCCTCCCCGGTGGGCCCCCTGCCTTGTGGTGCGCACAGCGGTGTCCGCCAGCTCCTGTGCTCACCGTCCACTTGTAAGTCCCACCCAGGCCGTCCGGGAGCCTCACCGGGTCCTCCCCTGTGGCACTGAGCTGCCCAGCCGCATACTCGCTCACAGGAGGCGCCGCTATGTCCACCGGGTACTTGTCCCCTGGCCCACCCAAGCTCCACGGCCCGGGCCCGTTCCCAGACCACGTCCAGCGTAGCCATCACCGACGACAAAGCGCCGCGCCCAGGAGCGGCTCTCGCTTGGCGTTCCTCCATGGAGCGCCGGACTCGGGAACTGCGCCTCTGCCCTCCGGGTGAGGCCTCCGCGCAGAACGGGCCACCCCGCCTGCCGCTCCAGCCCCTTCTCTGCCGGCCGGCCAAGTGCGCTCCCCGCGGGGGGGGGGGGACCCCTGCAGCCAGCAGCCCTGGCCGTGCCCGTGCTGGCGCGGGGTCACGGGTGGGGAATGAGCACGGACTGAGACAGAGGGAAACGGGCCCGGGACGGTCAGCAGGCCACACCTCCCATCGCTGCACCGTCCAGTCTGTCAGCCCCCATGTGGAGGGAAAGAGCAGGAGCAGGCTGTGACGTCCGCAGGAGACACGGGCTCCGGGGCTCTCTGGCAGCCGCGGGCCTCAGCACCTGCGCCCCCGCCCCCCTGCGGCACTGCGCACCGGAGCCCCCCACAGCCCCAGTCCTGCCGGGACCCGCGCCAGGGAGAGCAGCCCCCGAGCGGGCCGGGCGGGCCTCCGACAGGAGGCGGGAGCGGCCCTCACCTTGGCCCACTCCAGGATGCAGTCCAGGCAGAAGTAATGGGCGCAGCCCTCGGGCGTCCCCACAGCCTGGTCCCTGAACGTGTTGAGACAAATGGGGCAGCTCTCCGCGTCGTCGTCAGAATCGCCCACGCCATTGGCCACCAGCTCCCCCTGCGGGTCGGCCGCCACCAGCACCTGCCCGTCATCGTCACTGTCGTCGTCCTCGGACTCTTCGGAACCTCGAGAGAGAGGGGACAACGTGAGCGACCGCCGTGCCGGACCGAGACGCCGAGGAGCACAGCACCGGCCAAGCACCCAGCTCCAGCCCCGAGCAGTCAGACCCTCCGGGCCAGGCATGACGAGGCCAACTCCCAGGCCAGCGCCCCCGACAGCGCACACTCCCACCCCCTCCTCGTGGCAAGTGTGAAAGAGCCGCCCGCCGCCTTCCGACAACACTGCCCTCCGGCCCATTTCCTCTGGGCGGACCACGAGGCGCCCAGGTCGGAAGCAGAGATGTGAGGGGACGCTCGGTTGCACACGGTCACTGTGGTCAGTTTTCTGTCCTCCCCAAGCGCCTCTAGAACAAGACCCAGTGCACACAGAGGACAGAGCAGTGGGGTGGCCGCCTCGCTGGTCCCAGGACTCCACCAGGTCACCCTCTGCGTGTGGCAGTACCTGTGCCCACCATGTTACCGCCCTGTCAGAGCAGTTCCCGGGTCGGGTCAACTGCCTCAGGCGAGCCCTCCAAGCGCGGTTCTCGCTGGCGGGCTGCAGAGGTCTGAGCCCTCCTGCTGGGCGGCTGAGGATGCCGCCAGGAGCGATGACAGTGCCCAACAGCCGGCCAGAAACCGGACCACAGCCCTGCACGGCACCGGGCTTCGGCCAACAAGCAGTGACCCTGGAGGAGGGCGTCATCCCATGCACCAAAAGGTCACTAGTTCGATTCCCGATCAGGGCATAGGCCCCAGTAGGGAGAATGCAGGAAGCAGCTGCCAAACATAGGTTTTTTCTCTCTCCCCTCTACCCCCCACTGGGGGTGGGGGTGGGGAAATATATATACATAAGTATATCTCAATAAAAAGTATTAAAAAAAAAAAAAAAACGAGTGAGCACAGGCAGGAGCCCCTAGCAGCGAGGACCTGGTCAGAAGCCTGGGCCAGGGCGTGCTCCGTCCACCGAGACCCAGGGCCTGAAGGGGGCATTGCACTCCCATTCTGGCAGGAGGCACGGAAGGTGGTCTCCCTGATAAATGCCTTTCCTGCTGCTCCGTGCTCTTTTTTCGTTTGTTTTTTAATATTTTCCTTTTTATTTTTTTTCGTATTTTAGATAAGAGTCAGAAACATTGATCAGCCGCCTCCTGCACAGCCCTCACCGGGGATGTGCCTGCAACCAAGGTACATGCCCTTGACCGGAATCGAACCTGGGGCCCTTAAGTCTGCAGACCGACGCTCTATCCACTGAGCCACACCGGTTAGGGCTGCTCCGTGCTCTTGCACATTGTAATCTCTGGTCCTAGCAAATCGCTTCACCCAACGAAATAAAGTGTCACACCGAAGGGAGCTGTCACCCGTGGGCATGGAGGACACCCCACAGGGGACTGCCCCTCAGCGGCCAGCGCCGTCAAGCGCAATGGCCCCGGGGCCGTGTGGAACCAGCCGCCCTCACAGCGAGGAGACCGGCAGCCGCTCCGAGGCAGCGCTCACCAGATCCGTCCTCCGGGTCCCCCTCCTCTTCGCCGTCGGAGCCGTCGCCGAGCTCACTGTCCGTGTCCTCGGAGCCCCCACTGGCACCGTCACTGCTTTCCTCTAGAGCGAGACAGACAAACGGGCCCAGTCACGCAGAGGCAGGAAGGGGCACAGGCACAGTCGGGGCATCAGCTGCTGGCAGGGTGGGGACGTGGGGCTGGGAAGACAGGAGTAGGAAAAGCAAAGCCCCTTTGCTCTATCACATCTGTATTGCTTACGTTAGAAATAGACGAGACAGCTGTAATACCCAACAATAAAGGTTATTTTAAAACATTTAAAAAAATGAAAATAAGACAAAAGAATGTACCACTTCTGGAATTTAAAAACAGTCCTGCAGACACCATTCAGACAATGGCTGAAAGGGACTCAGCTTTTCTGTCTAATCATTTTAAAGAGGGAGGAGTAGGGGAGGGAGGGGGGAGATAGAGAGGGGGGAGGAAAACATCCCAGGGAGATGGAACTGAACCTTGGCCTAGGGATAAGGCTCCAACTGAGCCAGGGGCCGAGTGGGCGGAGGGGCGCTCAGCTCTCCTGGAGCCCATGTCCTGGTGAAGGTGCCGGCCCTGAGCCTGCCCTGGGCTCTGGCAGGAGGGGGTGGGGGTGGGGGTGGGGGGCTCACCCGCATCACTGGCCTCGGGGGCAGCGCTGAGCCCCAGGCTGCGGTCCACCAGCTCATCCAGGCGGTCCTCATCCATCGCGGGTCATGGGGTTCGGCCTGAAGGGAGAGACCAGAGCCGTGAACCTCGGCCGAGCCTGCGCCCTTGGTGACGTGGCCCCTCAGGACAGGCCAAGCGGGCGAGAACGGCTGTGTGTGAGGGAAGGCAGCTTCTGTACGCGCTCAGGCGGATCTTCCAACAAACCCCTCGGCAGCAGGTGTCATTGGAAGTGGCCTGTCAGGAGCTGAGGCAAAGCGGCTTTCCAAAGGCCCGGTGGCAAGCAGGGCACCCCCAGGCAGGTCCCGCTCGGCCAAGGGCTGCCAGCGGCCTCTGCTCCGCCCCCAACCGTGAGCTTTAGCTCACCCAGAACATTCCGGGGGCAGCAGGGGCCATGGAAGCCAGGCTCCGCCCCTCAGCCACCGTGTCCACCCCCTCGGGCTCCTGACCTCCAAGGGGGACACCTGTGGGACCTCTCTGCAGGCCTCTGCACGGACAACACAGACCTAGACAGAGGGCCCGAGTGCATCAAGACACTCCCTCCCACACCACAGCCTCCAACGCTGGTCCCCAAAGGAGGTTCCTTCTCAGAGGGAGCCACTCAGCGCCAGGAGTGAGCTTCCTCCCGGGCAGCCTCCTGCCCTTCTCCAGAGGCAGCACCAAGCAGAGTGCCCAGCCAGGAGCCAAAGGCCCTCGTGCTCAGAAGACAAGGCGGCCATGATGGGTGCAGGCGGCAGGGCACAGGCGGGGGGGGGGGGCTACCACCACACAGAGCTCCCAGGGACAAGCCCGGTGGGGCCATGGCCAGTTCACACAGCAGCCCACTCCCCACACCAAGCTCCCGACTCCAGGACGGCAGTGAGGCGCTGAATGTGGCGAAACTGCCACGGCCAAATGGTGTGGGTTCCTGGGACCAGCCACCTCAGAGGGTTCGGTGGACCTGTCAGCCCCTAAGTCCTCCAGTGGCCCCACGTTAAGAAACCCAGCCCCGCCCCGCCGAGTGCATGGTGCCCGGCAGTGCGGCAGGACCTTGCGTCCTGTGCCCACGTCCTGGCCACGACCTGTGCTGAAGACCACGGCCCCGAAGGTGGCAGGGCCCCGGCCCATCAGGAGTGCGCACTGGCCACAGGCGCCAGGACTAACCTGCGGGCACGGAGCCCAGAGCAGGGCAGGTCCTCACCGCCGCCGTGCTTCAGTCACCAAGGCGAAGCATGGCGGAGAGCACCTGGCTTCTCCCCTGGCAGGGGCCCTGGCAAGGAGGCCATGACGGATTTGGCACACAGGGCTTGCCAGAAACGCCAGGGGAGGCGTCTGACCTCGGGGAGGGCCTAGCTGTCCCTCCAAAGGCCTCCGCACACCCCTGCACCCGGGCAGGGGGGCCCGGCCCTGAGGTTGCACCCCAGCCTGCATCATCACACAACAGTGCACGCTGGCTGCACCCCGAGAAAGGACCCTGGGGAGCCTCCAAAGGAACTTCCCCGAGCAGCACCTACACCAGTGCCAAGGAAGACCCCAGCCAGGGACCCCACAGCGGCCCAGCTCCCACAGGCCAGAGCACGGCCAGAGGCCATTTCTGCGGGGAGCCCCTGGCCCTCCAGGGTTCTGGCCACCTTTGCCTTTTGGGTGCTGGCAGCATTCTGTGGTTCTCCTGCTCAGCCTCCAGCTCTGGGGTACAGGGGGGCAGGAGTTAAAGCAGGAAATTTCCCCGCTCTTCAAATCCAGGGACCAAGCGCCCTGCCGTTCTGACCATGGCTAGGGAACGGACAGCCTCCGGCGGTGGTGACTGAACGGGCCCAGGCCTGGGCTTGGCGGGCCATTCTTTACTCAGCGGCTGTGAGACCGGGAAACGACCTGCCCTGAACCCCAGAAAGCTAAGATGCCACCGAGGGGCCACACGGGCTCACCCGGTGCAGGGAACAGGCCAGGAGGGGCAGCCCCGACTCAACATTCCTGCAGGCCCAGAGAGAGGGGAGACGTGCTGAACCCCACGTCAAGCCTCCCCCGAGCCTCAGGTTCTGTGGGTCACCGGGCAGGTCCCCCTTCGGCTGCTGGACGGGCCAGCAGAGTCTGAACTCCCGGCTGCGGGGGGCACCGGGGGCTCCCCAACCTCTCCGGGCTCAGGGCGATCCCACCTCCTCCCGGAAGACTGTCGCCAACTACGACTTCAGGACGAGACCGTCCCCGGGCCGCACCGGCCGGCCGGACGCAGGCGCGGCCACGCAGCGACGTGGGCCGGGAGCTGGAAACGATTGGCGGCGGGTCACGACCCGCTCCGACGGGACGGCGAGTGGGAGTCGGGGGCGGGAGTCACAGGAAGGGGCGGGGGCGGGTAGGCTCCCCGCGGCCCGGGCAGGAAGGCGGAACCCGAAAACCCGCCCGCAGGCCGCGGGGCGCCCAGCCCCGGCGCGAGGCCTCCCCGCCGCCCGCCCGCCCGGGCCGCAGGCCCCGCTCCGGCCGGCAGGCCGCAGACAAAGCGCGCGGCGCCCGGGAACCACGGCGCGGCCGGGACGCGGCAAGGCCCCTGGGGCCGGCGCCGCCCCCGCACGTACCCGGGAACCTCGAGCCCTGCCGGCCGCTCCCGGGCGCTCGCCGCCACCAGACCGAGAGCCTCGACTAGGCCCGGCCGCCGCCGCCGCAGCCGCCGCCGCTGCCGCGCGCCCCTCGACCCGGAAGGGCACGAGCCGACTTCCGGGTCCCTCCCGCCCCGCCCGTTGGCGGGAACCACAGACAAGGGAGCGCAGGAGAGGCCTGAAGCGGAGGATGAGGCCGCTCCTCGCGGTCGCGGGCCGCGGGGCGCTGGAAACACTGTGTAGCTGAGGACGCACGCCCGGAGGCCCGGGTCCGGGGAGAGCTTGGGGTGTCCGCGCCCCCGCCGCTGGGTCGTCCCGGGCCGCCCCCCCACTGGGAGATGGTACAGTCCGACCCGCGCCCGCCGCCCAGAGCGAATGGGAGCGGCCGTCCGCTCACCTGGGCCCCGCCCCCGCCAGGGCCCCGCCCCCGCCGGGAGGCCCCGCCCCCGCCAGCGGCCGCGGCGGCCCGCAGCTTCGCGCCTGGTTCCCTCGCGGACGGGGCGGGACGAGCCCTCGGTGCGCGGCTCTGGCGAGGACACGCCGCCGCGGGCCCGGCCCTGTGCACACCAGCGCTGCGGGCGCTTGCCTGTGCCCCGCGTGCTGTGGGACCAACGGGCTCGCGCTGTGGCCGAGAAGCAGGTGGCCCCGGCGCAGCGAGGGGATGAGGCTGGACTTGCCCACGGCGGAGGACTGCGCGTGCGGACCGGGCCGGCCGGGCGGCCGGCTGCGGGGCTGGGCCGGTGGCGGAGAGGCCGGCCTGCAGGGCCAGGGGCTCTGGGGAGCTGGGGGGGTCCCAGCAGGACATGCATTGGCTTATAGGAACCCCGAGGGAGAGGCTGGAGCGGTGAGAGCGGGCCACTTCTGTGGCCCAGGTCAAGATGGGAGCCATGCTCAGGGCAGGCGCTGGGGGAACCCGAGGACATGCTGGGGACATCCCAGAAGAGGCTTTCTTTCAGGGGCTGGGGCTTGGGAAGCCAGCCAGAGAAGCACAGCCAGGACTGGGCCTGGTGGAGCCAGGTGGCGGCCACTGGTGACCCTCTGGACAGCAGCCCTGGGGGTGGGGAGCTGGAGGGAGTTAAAGAGAATGGGCCCTAGCCAGATTGGCTGGCTCAGTGGTTAGAGCCTCCTGGCTGAAGGGTCATGGGTTTTATTTCAGTTAAGGACAGGTACCTCAGTGCAGGCTTAGTCCCAGTGGATGTGTGTCTCTCTCTGTGCTTCCCCCTTCCCTTCCACTCTCAAAACCCGTGGGGAAAATCTCCCTGGGTGAGGCTGACCACAACAAAAAGCGTGAGAGGCGAGAAACGGAGGAACGGGACAGCCTGCACCAAGTCTGCCGTGGTTTTGCCAGGGGAGGTAGCCGAGAAGTGGCCACCAGAGGGCTGAGTTACATTTTGTTAGGAGAGAGAAGAGCATCCTTACGGGGTCTGGAGAGGACGTTGCAGAAAGGAAGAGTGGACGATGCCAGAGGCGGGGACCCCCGCAGTGACCCCTCTCTGGGCCCCAGGGGAAGGGTCCGGAGAGGATGGCCAGCACGGCACAGTGCCTCTCAACTGGCATCAAGGCTGGCAGCGCCTGCTCCTCCCACATCTGTAAGTAAGGAGAACCCCACCTGTCCTTTTGGTGTGGGTGCCCCAGGCTCTGCCTCTGCCTTCACCGGCCTCTGCCTGGGTGTCTGCCTCACCCGCCAGAGGACAGGACTTAGGCCTGCCTGCCAGGCCCTTGGGGTGACCTCACCTCAAAACCCCGGGCTGAATGGAGAGACCCCTCCCAGTTGGCCACACTCACAGGGTCTAGGCATTAGCACGGGACGTGTCTTTCTGAAAATACTCTCTCCCCCCTGGTTGGTTTGGCCCCATGGATAGAGCGACGGCCTGTGGATTGGGTTTGATTCTGGCCGAGGGCACCTGCCCGGGTTGCAGGCTTGATCCCCAGAGTGGAGGCTGCCAATCAGTGATTCTCATCATTGATGTGTCTGCCTCCCTCTCCCTTTCTCTCTGAAATCAATAAAAGAACATATATATATATGTACTTTCATATATTTTTAGAGAGGAGAAGGGAGAAGGAGAGATAGAAACACGGATGATGATAGAGAAATATCAATCAGCTGTGAGTCCACTCATCGCCCTGCGCTCCTCCCCCACCCACAGTTGGCCACACCCCACAGCACCCTGCACCTGCCCCCCCCTCCTGAGGTCCCAAGCCTGAGCCACCAGGCGCCAGTCTCGAGGGGAGAATTAAAGTGACTGTGGCCCCGGATAGAGTGTCAACCTGCGGATTGAAAGGTCCCGGGTTCGATTCTGGCCAAGGGTACATGCCTGGGTTTCGGGCTGGATCCCCAGTAGGGGGCATGCAAGAGGCAGCCAATCAATGATTCTCTCTCATCAGCGATGTTTCTCTCTCCCTCTCCCTCTCTGAAATCAATAAAATAAATATTTAATAAAATAAAACAAATTTTTTTAAAAAGTGTCTGTGAAGGTGGAAGGGGCAGCAGGGGCCTTGCTGGGTTTCTGCAGCTGAGCCCAGACTGACGGGGGATGCAGACTAGTCCCCCAGGGCAGGGAGGCCCAGGAGGGGGCTGTCCGTTGGAGGCCGGAGGGCAGAAGGAGGGCAGCCAGACGGCCGGGGTGGCTGGGGCCCTCGCCCTGGGCCAAGGACCGCAGTGCCAATGGAGAGCCAGCCGGGGGGACTTGGAGCTACCTGGAGCCAGGAGAGGGGGGCTCCAGGGAGGGCCAGGCTCTGGTTGGTTTGAGGGAGGTGGGGGAACTCTTGCTGACAGTGGAGGGGCACCCAAAGCTTACGGGACGCCCTGTACCAGGAAGGAAAGGGGAGCAGGCGCCTCTGCCCAGCAAGGGTCTGGCTGGCCTGGTTCTGCCTCGGGGCCACGGGCGCATGCGGGAGTGGGAAGAGAAGGGGCGAGGGCCCACTGTCCCTTGGCGGCCCCCTTGGGGGCCCCTGGAGGAGTCACCACTCCCCTGATTACTCCTCTCCATGGCCGGCCCGGACCCTGGGCCCGCGCTCCGGACTCCCAGCCTTCCCACCGGACCCCACCGGAGGGGCCCCGGGCCGGCCGCGGGGTGTGCGGACACACCGGGCGGAGGCAGAGTGGGGGCCTCTGCAACCAATGACCACAGACTGAGGGACCCCTCCCGCCAGCCAGACCCCGAGATGGGCGCGGGCGACGCGGCCAGAACGTGTGTCCCGAAGCCGAGGCCCCTCCTGGGCCCCGGCCCCGGCCGCTACGTGCGCGGAGCCCCGCGGGTGCCGGGCGGGGGCCCTGCGCGGCGGCGGCCGCGGGGAGGGGCCGGCCCAGGCCACGCCCGGCAGGTGGCGCCCCGCCCCGAGGCCGACGTGCGGAAAGGAACGCGCCGGCCGCGCCCGCGAGGGGCCGCGCGGCGGTGGGCGTGGCGTCCGCGCCCGCCTCGCTCCCACTGGCTGCGGCGCGGCAGGACGGGCCCGGCCCGGCCGGCCATTGGCTGCGGGGCTCCCTCATTTGCATACGGGCCGGCGCGGGGCGCGGGCGCGGGGCTGGGGGGCGCAGAGGGGCCGCGGCCGCAGGCGAAGTTGGGCGGAGAGCCGCCCCCGCCCGCCCCGCCCGGGGTGCGGGGGACGCGCCGGGGTCCCGGGCCGGCGCGCGGGGCGCATCCCACCAGCCGCCCGCCATGGCGAGCGGCCGGGGCTCGGACGCCCAGGTGGGAGGGGAAGGAGGGCTGGGGTGCGGGACGGCTCCTCCGCCCGCCCGGCGTCCCTCCGGGCGTCCCTCCGGGCGCAGGGCAGCCACTGCCCACCGCACACTGCGCTGCTCCGGACCCACTGTGCGTGTGACAGCGGCTGATCTGCTCCTGGGCAGCGCGACCGCCGGCCCCTCCGGCCCCTGCGCCGTCGGGCAGGGGAGGCCACGCCGGGCGGGGACGGGCCACAGCGGGTCGGAGGGCGCGCGGCCAGGGGAGGGGAGGGGGCAGGGGCCCCTAGGGAAGGGTCTGCCATCTGCGTCCAGCAGACACCCAGGGGGTGGGAGAGAGGGGAGGGCATTGAGCGGGCTCAGGCGGGAGCAGGGCTCTCTTGGAGGAAACTTCCTCCCCGTGTGTGCCAGGGGCCAGCTGTGCGCGCTCCCGGGATGGTCTTCGGGCTGCCGCGCCGACCGGAGCTCCAGGACCCGTCTGAGGGCCCCGCTGGGAACTTGAAGGAAGACAGTGACGGACGTGGCTTTTCTGCGCATTTCGACCACTTCAGCGAGGCCACGGAGGACCGCAAGGCCCCATGTGTGGTGCCCAGCGGGTACCCGTCCCCCTTCCGGAGGCGGGGCCCTGGGCCTGAGCGGGGCCTGCCTCCCCTGCGGGGTGCGCTCAGGTGCACGGAGGACGCGTTGAGCCGCCCGGGCTGCAGGCCCTGTGCCGCTCGGGGCCCTCTCCGGGCAGCGGGGTGAGGGCTGGCGCCGGGCCTGCTGTTGTCCGAGGCCTGAAGGACTGGGTGGGCGTGGACTTCACTTCGGAAGGACCCATGCTGATGGTCGCTGTGGTGTCACGCGGCAGGCTTGGTGGGGCCGGACTCTGCAGGTGGCAGGGAGGCTGTGGCTGCCGTGGGCCTGGAACCCGTGGAGCCTTTTTACAGCCCCGGCGCAGTGCCCTCCTGTGGTGGCCCTCGGGGAGCCTGGTGTGGTCCCAGCCCGAGGGGGAACAGGCGTTGTGAGGTCAGCGGGGGCCTGACCCCAAGGAGGAGGAGCAGCAGCGACCAGGGATGCGGGCTGTCCATCCTCACGGCGGGCCCTGCCTCACCTCCCGGGAGCTGGCCTGGCCTGGCCCGGCCCTGCTATTCACTGGGCACGAGGGAGGAGCTGGGCTTCGCCTCACCTCAGCACGGCTTGCATCACTGTTTTCAGCGGAGTTAAAACTCAGAAGTAAATTATCAGCCAAAGGCGTGCGGCGTGACCGGAAGCACTCTGACATTGGGTGGGTGGGTTTCGTGCATCCAGAATAGCCCCCCACCCCGCCCTCTCTGCCTGTGGGGGCCTGAGCCGGACAGCCAGGAGCAGACACCTGTCTGCTCAGGAGACCAGGGGTGCGTGAGCTCGGCCCGCTCCCTCCCTTTGGGGCTGGGAGTCTTGGTGAGGAAGCTCACCGTACCCGGGAGGGCAAGGGCTAGTCCTGCCCGTCCCGTGCCTGTGCGTGTGCGTGTGTAGGATGGTCCCTGCTGGCACCTGGCCTTGCCGCTGCTCCCAGTGTGCTCAGCATGCGAGGTGAGCCATGAAAGCTCAGGGCTGGGGCCCAGGTCTGTCCCACCTCCTGAGGGTGGGGGGCTGTGGGTGAGGGAGCAGGCTGAGAGCTGCCAACCCTTCCACCAGGACCTGGCCCATCAGCCTTTCCAGAAGGCTTCCCCATGTGACCCTGTGCGCGGATCTGTCTGGGCTGCAGAGGCTGCTGAGCTGGGCAGTGCGGACGGGAGTGTGGCTGGGCTGGGTGCTTCGCAGGGGATTCCTCCTGCCGCGTGGAGCAGCCGGCCACTCCCCACCTGTGCTGACTCGGCAGGAAGCCTCCCATCCTCACCACCCCCGTCATGGCTCCCCCACGCTGGGCTCTGGCGCCCTTGCTCCTGACGCTTAGGGCGTCACAGCCCCTATAGTCTGCTCCAGAGAAGTGGGGAGCACCAGGCCTGACCCGGCCACCCCAGGAGAAGGCTGACTCCATCCCAATGTGGCCAACCCCAAAACTCAGCCCAAACCCCATGACCTAGGATAGTGGTCGGCAAACTCATTAGTCCACAGAGTCAAATACCAACAGCACAGCGATTGACATTTCTTTGGAGAGCCACATTTTTTAAACTTCTCCTAACGCCACTTCTCCAACACAGACTCGCCCAGGCCGTGGTGTTTTGTGGAAGAGCCACCCTCAAGGGGCCAAAGAGCCGCATGTGGCTTGCGAGCTGCCGTTTGCCGACCACTGACCTCGGATGTCACCATCCTGGTCCCCGTTCCTGTGGCTGCACCTGAGGCAGAGCCCCCATCTTGGCCGTCACCAAGGCCTCTGGCCTCCGCAGCCCTCGGAGCCGGCCCAGCCCAGGGAAGGACTGCGAGCTGGCTGTCAGCCTGACTTCGGGCTGCGGGCTCCCCAGAGGCCCGCCCACCTGGGGAGTGAGGGGGTGTTGGCAGGCAGGCAGGCGGCCACACCCTCACGGGCCTCAAATGCTCCTCTGGGCAAAGCTCCCTGGGAGTCCTGGGACCCACCCACAAGCTCTCCGCCTTAGTCAACCTGACAGGCAGGTCTGGCGTGTCCCGAGTCCTCCTCTCCGGGGGCACCCGGCGTGGGTGCAGCTCCTGCTGGGGAGGAGCAGGCCCGGGGGGAGCGTGTCCGATAAAACCAAGCCCTGGCTCCAGCCTGACCAACTCCAACACCAGGCTCGGGAGCAGGGGGGACCTCCAAGGGGGGCGGCCCTTGCAGGGGGCGTATGGCAGGCTTACGGCAGCCTGAAATGGAAGGCCGAGGAGCCCCAGCCTTGGAGCCAAGGGACCACTGACCCTGGGAGCCCCCTTCTCAGGAACCCTGGCTGTGGCCGGCCCCGGCGGCTGGGGTACGCCCCAGGAACCCTGGGTGGGGTCCCCAGTGTCAGACCTCCTAGACCTGCCTAGGGCCGTTCAGGACACACTCCAGCCGCTTCCGGCAGTTTATTGAGGTTTCTGCGTCGTGGTAGGGAGGCAGCACTCACACACTCGTGTACACACGCACCTAAACATGCACACGCACCTGAACACGCACACGCACGGAAGGATGCCTCCCACACGCAAGCACAGACCCGCAGACTAAAAACAGCATCCAGGCGTCTCCTGGCCCCACGGAGAGCTGTGGCCTTTGGGGCGTAGCAAGTTCTGAGTGGCCATGCCCCAAGCTTCTCCAGGGGGCTCGCAGGCTTGGCAAGTACCAGGTGAGAGTCCTCAGCCTCCTCCTGACCCAGGTCCGGGTGTTCTGTCTCAGGATAGGGCCCGAGGGCTTCCGGCTGCATGGGCCAGGAGTCCTCCATGGCCACTGATCTTTTTTCGGCTGGCCCTGGCTGCCCTTACTCGTGTCACCAGAGCCCAGGGCTGGGCTGGCAGTGGACGTTCATTCCGGGCAGGGGCAGGTGCTGCTACCTCCAGTTCTGCCTCCTGGGGGACACTGTGGAGAGGACACAGGCTAAGGGGGCTGGGGGGCCACAGGAGGACCCCATCCCACCCAGAGTGGGATAGACAGACTTACCCTCAGGGCTCAGACTGGACACTAGGGCAGGACTCCGGGGGGCTCCTGGGAGGGGCTGTCCTCTGGCTGGAGACATGAGATCCTGTGGGGAAAGCAGGTCAGCTGGGAGCTGGGCGGAGCCCCCCAGCCCGGCCGCCCCAGCCTGGCCTTCCTTGGGAACCACAGACCTGCGTGCCGGGCGCGGCCCCCGTCTGCTGGATGAACTGCTGCAGGTTACACTGACGTAACTCCCGGTTCAGCTCCTCAAGCTCCTGGGCCTGGGCCTGGGCACACGGGACCCTCAGTGGGCGCAGCCGTGAGCCTGGCCGGAGCCCGGGACCGCCCCCAAGTCCACCCGTGTCCAGTGCGGGCGCCGGTCCAGGAGCTCACCTGCAGGGCGTGCTCTGCGGCCTCCAGGGCCCTGCTCACCAGGGCCAGGCTGCCCTGCACCTCGGCACTCTGCTGCTCCTGGGCGGCCAGGTCCTGGCGCAGCCGCTCGGTAGTGGACGCAGTGGGCGAAGGGGACCCGGGGGCCTCGGCAGCCAGGCGGAGCTTGTCCTCCAGGGCACGGGCCTGGGCGTCCAGGGCCTGCAGCCGGGCGGCGTGCTCCGCCGTGGCCTCGCTCAGCGCCTGCAGCCGGGCCCGGGCCTCCCGCTCCCGCGCCTGCTCCCGCCGCAGCTCCTGCTCCCAGAAGGCCTCCTGGCCCAGCTCCGCGGCGTTCCTCCGCAGCCTGCGCTCCAGGTCCTGCAGGTCCCCGCCGAGGCCGGGCAGCGGCGCCACGGCGGCCACCGGCTCAGGTGGCGCCGGCCCGGAGGCCAGCCTGGGGTGCCCCGGGCCGAAGGCCGGTGCTTTCTGGGGCTCACGGTCCAGTGCGGGTCGGGGCTTTGGGGGAAGGCTGGCGCGGACCGGGCAGCGCTCAGGAGGCGGGCAGCTGTCCGAGGAGGGCCTCCCCGCGAGGCTGGGCCCTGTCCGGCGCAGGACAAACTGGACATCACTGGCGAACTGCCCACAGGTGGCCTGGGCGCCCACGGGGCACTCCTGGGGCAGCAGCTGCCGTTCCTTCTCCCGGAGGCGCTGCACGAGCACAAAACGGCCCGTCTGGCCTGGGGAGGGGGGGCGGGGTCAGCCTCCATCCCCCACCCGTGTCCCCTAGATGGAGAAGCAAGGGGAGGGCGAGGGGGATCGGCCCCACCCTCCTCGGGGGAAGATGGGACCCGAGGGCCGAGCCCGCCCCAGGTCCACCTGTTGGGCCAGTCTGTCCCTGAGGGGACTCACCTATGGCTTGAGCTAGTGCGACCACCACTTCCTGGCAGGTGGTCTGCTCCGAGACGCCGCAGACCACTCGCTGGATGCCGTCCACCCACACCTTCAGCTCCATGGCGGCGGGCCCACAGGGCATGCCCCTGTCCTGCAGGGGAGGGCCACCATGCCAAGCCCTGCCTGGCCCTCCCTTCTTGCTCCCCTGGCCTGTCCCTCACCCACAGAGCTGGCTCCGAGCTGCCGCCCTGCTATCCTGTGCCCAGCCCTACCCACAGGCCACACATTCCTGGGGTGGGGGTAAGTCAGGACCAGCCCCCCAAAGCGGGAACCAGTCGGCCCTCCAGGAGCACTCCAGGCTTCCCCACTTGCCAGCCTCTGGCCCCGCCCCACTCCCGGAACAAGGAGAATCATTAACCAGATGCAGGACTTCCTGCACCCCCCCCCCAGTCACCTGGCGCGGAGGGCACTGCCCCTCCCGCGGGGCGCCGTCCCGGCTCCCAGGGGCGCCCGTACGCCGACTCTGCACCCCGCTGCCATGGGAACGCACCCGCCCCGGGACTGACCTCGGCGCTCCGGGCCCACCGAGCCGGGAGCAGGCAGCCCCGCCCGCTCCCGCCGATCGCGGCGCTCGCTGGAGAGGCCGGCGTCCCGCCGCGGGGCGGGCGCAGGTGTGGCCCCCACGCGCGGCCCGGCTCCTGAGCCTCTCTCGGAGCTGCCGCCGGACTCGGGAGGCTCCGGGACTCGGCGCGGCTCCCCCGGGCGCCCGCCGGCCTCCGGGACCCGAACTCCAACTGACTCCTTCCCCGCACCCGGCGCCGCGGCAACCTGCCGCCTCCGGCGCCGCGGAGCGTCCCTGTCCGCCTCCCATTGGCCCGCAGCCCGCCCGCCCGGCCCCGCCCCGCGCGCTCGCATTGGTTTCTTGGCGCGCCCGCCCACCCCTCCCACACGCCCATTGGCCACCTTCGTTGGGCTCCGCCTCTCTCCATTGGCTCCCCGCCCGCCCCGCCCCCTTCGGCGCCCAGGTGTGGGCGGGGCTTGGCGGCGTGGAGTGGCCGGTGGAGCTCGGGTCCACTCACACCCGAAGCCCGCGAGCTACGCGGAAGCGCGAGCCTGCAGCCCGAGGCGCGTGGGGCAGGTGTCTGGCCCCATTCCCGGGCCCACGGCCTCCGAGGCCGCCCAACCTGACCCATCTAGGGCGGGGCCCGGGACCCCGAAGCCCGCCAGCGCCCACAGCGAACCCGGCCCCCATGTCCTGCTCCCACGGCGGCAGTCATGGGATACGTGGGGCCGGGGGGCTGGGGAGCCACCGGTCCCCTCTCGCTGCAGCCGGGCTGGCCGTCCTGGTGGGGGAAGGGGCCCGCCCTCGGAGGTGCTGGTGACAAAGGCCTTGGGCTCTTTGTCTGAGCCCAATTCTCTCCACCCCTCCTGTCCCTAGTGGGGCCCAGCGCCCTCCTGCGCTGTGGACACGCTCCTCTGCCTGACCAGTCCTGCTGTCCCGCGGGAGAGCCCAAGCCAGCTCTTCGGCCAGGGTCCCTGCCCTAGCCGGTTTGGCTCAGTGGGTAGAACGTGGACCTGCAGACCGGAGAGTCCCAGGATGGAATCCGGTCCAGGGCACCAATCGCGCTTGCAGGTTCCAGGTCCCTCCCTGGTGGGGGGCCCAGATCGATGGGGATGCATGCAGGAAGCAACCAATCCATGTGTTCCGCTCACAATGATATTTCTATCTTTTCCTCTCTCCCTCTAAAAGTCAGTTCTGCCCTAATCGGACTGGTCCCCGGGCGGTCCTCCGCCTGCCCATGTCCTGTCCACCACAGGAGGTCCCCATGAACAAAAGCTGAAGATCTGAATACACGATGTTGAGTGGGTGAAGGTGGGGTGCTGTGGGGTGGGGGGTCCCCCGTGGGTGCCCCCAGCTCCGAGCGAGGGGAGGGCCGCATGCCTGTTGCTTCGTGGGCAGGGCTTCCAGATGAAGGACGTGGACTGGAACGCCATCGCCCATCGATACCCCAACCTCCTGGCCAGCATTCATTCGAGCTCGGAATTCAAGTGACTGTGCTGGGCAGGGAGGGATGCCCCCAGGGCCTGGGGAGGGAGGGCTGGCCGGGCCGGGCAGCGGGGAGGGCCAGAGTCCAAGCGCCACCCTCAGTGCCCCGGACACGTTCCCTGGAGCAGCTGGAGGCCATTTGCCTTGTGGGTCAGGTCTGGGCAGAGGGGACACTTGTCATGACTATGGGGATGTCTCCGGGCGTCCCTCAGTGACGAGGTGGTGGAGACGGAGGGGAAAGTGAGGCTTCTGGCGGTGGGTCAGGTGGGTGGGCATTGGGCACTCCGCAAGCCCCTCCCCCAGCTCCTGGGACCACCCACTGCTTCCGCTGCCCCTCCTGCGGGTTCGGCCCAGTGCGGTCCAAATTCTCAGGAGTGCGGTCCTGCTGTGTGCGGACACACCCCCAGGACAGCAGTCCCCCCAGTACTCCCTGATGGACTCCATGGGCTGGCTGGGCAGGGCCTGTGGGCCTCCCGCAGGCGGGCTGGGGGTGTGGGGCTGAAGGTGGCCACGGCAAGCCTGCTGGGCACTCGTGTGCCCTGGGCCTTCCAAAGTTACCTTGGGCTTCTCCTTCAGGCTGGGCCAGCCCTCCAGAAAGAGAAGGTGGGGGGGCTGGGGCTCACTCAGGGCCATGGTCTGGGGTCACCCTGGAGGCTCCTGGTAACAAACAGCCCCTCCCTTTCTGGTGCTGGTATCCATGGCAATGCTACAGAGCCTTTCTCCCCAGGTCTGCTTGGGTCTCAGGCCTCAGGTGAGTGTCAGAGGTAGGGCCCTGGGTCTTGGGGGGGGGCGGGGAGGAAGGGACATGGCATCATGGGTAAAGGACCAGAACCTCTGGGACCCTTGCTGTAGGCTGAAGGCTGGGGTGGGTACCTCAGAGCCTGGAGGGCAAAGCTGATAGCGAGGAGGCCCCAGAGAATGTACGGAAACGCAGGTGACATGTTGCCTAGCGGTGTGACCTGCTGCCCTGGCCTGTCAGGAACACACAGGCGTGGACACCCACGTGACCCACAGCCTGGTGTCCGCTGGAACAGAGACACAAGCACGGGGACTCCCCAGAGAGCCCCCCAGGGGTGCTGCCTGGGGCTGTCAGCCGCATCCATGCACGAGGCTAAGGAGAGCCCCACGGGAATGCGTGCCCGCGGCATTCAGGACACACAGCCCCCCACCCCTCAGCTTCTCCAAGAACATCCAAAATGGCCCCCAAGTCTTTCTCGGAGGCTGGAGAAGCCAAGGAAGAGGCTCTCCCGTCGCTGGCGGACGGAGAGCCAGTCAACGGCCCCCTGGAGCCTCCGGCGGACACACCTGCAGGCCCGGTGGCTCCCGCCCCCCAGAGGGACACCAAGCCCAGGCCCACACACGTGGCCTCCACCAAGCTGCCGTAAGGAGGGCAGGGGGAGGTGGCCGGCCACCAGAAACCAGGCCAGCCGGGGCCTGAGAGGCAGCTGGGGTGCTGGCTTTGCAGACTGGCCCCCGAGTCCCTGGATCCCCACACACTGCGGCTGGTGTGGAGGCAGCGGGAACTGGAGATCCAGGCCCTGCGGTCCCTCCAGAGCCAGCGGGATGCCCGGCGCTCCCGAATCCTGCGTGAGGTGGCGAGGCTGCCAGTGAAGAGGGAGAGGTAGCAGCGACAAGCTAGGCCCCCGCCCAACCCAGCCACGGCTGGCCTCTGCCTGACCCCACCCCACCCCTGAGGCTGACCGAGAACCCAACCTGACCCCCGCCCTGACCCTTACCTAACCCTACCTCTTGCCTAGCCCTAATCCTGAAAGACTTGATATACTGTCCACCTGCCTAGACCCTGAGCTTGAACATGTCAGGGGGTGTTGAGCCCAACCAGGACCGGCCTCCAACCCCGACCTCTCAGACTTGGCTGGCCCGGGGCCCCTCCCGCTCCCCTCCTTGAGGGCCAACCCAGTATGCGGGGGGGGGGGGGGGGGGGCACTGAACGCCCCTTCTCCCAGCTCCCGCAGTCAGGAGAAGCTCCTGCACACCCAGGTCCAGAAGCTGACTCTGGAGTTAAAAAAGCAAAAGGAACAGGCCCAGCTGGTGAGAGGGCCGGGGCGTTGGGCAGGGGCTGGCTTTGGAGAGAGGGGAGAGTCAGAGAAGGCCCCATCCCACCGGCCGGCTCTCCTGGTGCAGGAGAAGCAGCAGCTGGAGGAGCAGCTGGAGCAGACCAAGACCGCGATGCACCAGCTCGAGGAGGAGCTGGAAGGCTTGCACAAGTCCTGCCTGGTGCAGCTGGCCAGCTCCTCCTGGGTGGGCCGTGTGCTGAGGTCCTCCACGGGCAGCGTGGAGGTGAGCCAGGGCCCGTCCACCCTCCTGCCTCCCGATTCAGCGACCAGATTTGCGCTCTTGCTGGGGGGGCTCTGGCTTGCTGGGGAAGCCTGCCCCCCACCCCCATCAGGACTGTGGCCCGAGGCAGGGAAGAACCACAAGCCCCGGCCCGCCTGGCAGTCAGCATGTGTCTGGCTCGGGTGCTGGTGAGGCCGAAGGGGAGAGATGTCTTGGGGGAACAGGTGCCCCCCAGCCCCGCCCACTGACCTCTAGTCCCGCCTGCAGGTGGTGACTGCGGAGACCCTGCTGGACCTCAGCGACACCTCTGACCAAGAAGAGGGCTCCTCCCGTCACGAGGTGAGCAAGGTCCCCCGTGGGTGCCCCCAGCTCCGAGCGAGGGGAGGGCCGCATGCCTGTTGCTTTGTGGGCAGGGCTTCCAGATGAAGGACGTGGACTGGAACGCCATCGCCCATCGATACCCCAACCTCCTGGCCAGCATTCATTCGAGCTCGGAATTCAAGTGACTGTGCTGGGCAGGGAGGGATGCCCCCAGGGCCTGGGGAGGGAGGGCTGGCCGGGCCGGGCAGCGGGGAGGGCCAGAGTCCAAGCGCCACCCTCAGTGCCCCGGACACGTTCCCTGATCGCTGGAACAGGGTTGGGGATGGAGGGAAGGGCTCCGGGCCATCTCTGTCCTGCCAAGTGCCCCTTTCCCAGGCTGAGTCCTGGGGCCCTGGACCCACTTGAGGTGCCCCGCTGACCGTGGGAGGCTCGTTGGGGGTTGGGCTGGGTCCGGGGGCAGCAGCCCCCCAGCTCATGAGCAGTCTGTGGCCTGCAGGCGCACCTCCCACCGGCAGATCCCGCAGCTCCCGCTGGCCTCGCCGACGGAAACTCCTGGCTCCGGGGAGGGCAAGCCGGAAAAGCAGGCCTCCAGGTTGGGCAAACAGCATTCCCAACGCAAGAGCGTGGAGTGGAGCTCCCTGCCCGTCGTGGGCAGCAGCAGCAGCAGCAACTCGGGGACCTCCTCCACGTCCCGCCGCCGCCGCCGCTTCCGCAAGGCGCCCGGGCGCCCGACCCCGGCGCCAGGCCACGTGCTGGCCGAGCGGATGCCCGCTCGGACCCGCAGCTCCCTGAGCTCCCAGGACCATCGGCCCCGCATCGTCCTGCCGGAGGAGTCGCAGGACTCCGGGGGCTGGAGGTTCACCGGGGACTCCGGGGGCTGGAGCTCCACCTGGTGCGCCCAGGAGTTCCGCCCCGGCAGCTTCATCAGGGTGATCCACGGCGCGCCGCCCAGGAGCTCCCTCCGCAGCTCCACCAAGGACTCCAAGGCCGGGTCTGAAGGTGGCTGGGCGGGCCCCCTGCGCACTCCCACTGCCCTGCAGGCCTGGCGACCTCCTGCCAGGGCCTGGGCCAGGCCCCCCAGCCGCCTGCTGAGCGGCTCCGTCCGCCTCTCTGGAGAGATTAGAGGGTCTGGCAGGCCTTGAGCTCCAGCTCGGGCCACTCCTCCTCTGCCCCCCTCAGCCCTTAGGGCCCAGCCCCCCTTCCTGCGCCGGACTCCTGCCGCTGCAGGCCAGCTGGCTGCACAGGACATGCCCCAGAAAATGCTCCAGGTGGGGTCTGGCTCCCAAACAGACCTCCCGAACTCAGTCCCTCTCTCTCTCTCTCTCTCTCTCTCTCTCTCTCTCTCTCAGACCAGATCGGCCCGGTGCGCAAGGCCCGCAAGGTTTCGGCCCACTGGCCGCTGATGCTGACGGACCCCTGGAGGTGAGGGGGAGGCGGGAAGGGGGGGACACGGGGGAGGGCGGGGAGCAGGAGGGCCCTGACCAGCCACCGCCGCCCCAGCCGGAAGGGCTCCTGCCTGAAGATCGTGGCCGTGAACCTTCACGAGCAGTTCATCCGAGTCCTCAACCAGTCCACGGAGGAGACGGTGGACCTGGGGGGCTACACGCTGCAGCAGCTGGACCATGACTTCCCGGTGTACCTGTACCGCTTCCCGCCGCACACGCTGCTGGAGCCCCGGCACCACGTCACCGTGTGCCCCGCGGCCCCCGCGCCCACGCGCGTCCAGCGCGGGCCCCGGGGCCAGGGCAAGGGGCCTGGCGGCGCCAAGCAGCCGCCCTCGTCCGTGGGCCGGGGGCCCCGCCACTTCCACGCCAGCGGGAGCTTCGTGACTTTGCTCCTGAGCCCCAAGGGCGAGGTGGGTGCGGGTCCCCGCAGGGATGCTGGGGGGAGGGCAGTCTCGAGGCCGAGGGTGACCAGGCCCTGCCCCGCCGCCTGCAGCTCCTCAGCCAGTTCCAGGCTCCGCACAGCGTGACGCCCGCCCCGAGGACCTTCGAGGACACCACCACCGTGTCCATCGACCGCTTCCCGCTCCCGGACTCCGAGCCTGCGGCCGACACTCCGGAGAAGGGGCGCCCGCCCCGACCCCCGCGCAGCCATCGGGTGCCCAGGGCTCGGGGCCGCCGGAGGCCGAGGTGGGGACCGTGGGTCCCTGGACCTCCGCCTCTTCCCCAGGCTCTGCCCCCGCAAACGCCCCCCAGGCCATGCAACACCCCTCCTCACCCCACCAGGTCACGGACCCTGCTGCCGGGCCTGACCCCCAGCAAGCGCTCCAGCCCCGGGGAGGTGCCTGCAGCCCCCGAGCGCGCCGAGACCGACGCGTGGAAGCCTCTGCCCGCCCTGCCCCGTGAGCGTGCGTGCGCGGGGGGCCGGGGGCCGGTTGGCCCGGCTGGATGGGCGAGGCCGGCCCGACGCCCCCTTCACCGTTGTCGCCCGCAGCGCACGGGCCGGGCCTCGCAGACTACCAGGCAGGGAAGGAGCACAAGGAGCAGAGGATCCGGGTGAGTGTGCGCGCGTGTGGGGCTTCGCCAGTGGAACGCCCCGCCCTTTCCAATGCAGCCCCGCCCCGCCCCTCCCCTTCCGCTCTAGCCCCGCCCTTCTCCGCGAAGCCCCGCCCCTTCCACTGGTCCCGCCCCCTTACCGCCCCTTCCGCTCCGACCCGGCCCTTCTCTGCGCAGCCCCGCCCCTTCCTCCGGGCCCCGCCCCTGCACCTCCCCTCCGGCCCCGCCCCTTCTCCGGCCCCGCCCCTCACGCCCGCCCCCCCAGGTGAGCCGGAAGGCCGTGGACCGGGACTGCCCCATCGTGGCGCTGTCGGTGCAGAGCATGAGGGAGAAGAGGTTCGGCTTCCGCCTCCTTAGCTGCCCGCCCATCCCCGTCTACGCGAGCCGGCCGGTGTAGAGCCGGGCGGGCCGGGCGCCGGGGGCCACGGAGACAGCCGTGGGAGGCAGGCAGTGCCAGCTGCATAATTTATTGAACCAGCGTCACTACGAAGTAAACTGCATTCTGTACACTTGAGAGTCGGAAGGATTCTCTTGGTTTCCCGGTGGCCCCGCCCCGTCCCGCAGGTCCGTCTGGGATGGGGGGCCTGGCCGCACGCTTTAACGCCCAGGGCAGGCGCTGGGCCCCGGCCGCAGCTCCAGGGGGGGCTGGAGGGAAGTGGGGGGCCGTTGAGCCCGGGCCCCATCCGGTCTCTTCCAGGCCTGGGAAGGTTTGCCCCACAGAAGTGGGGGCTGGGCAGTCCGTGCTCTCTCCTGCGCCTCCTCCCTGGTGGTCCCAGCTCCCCACTTCTCTCCAGCAAGAGGGGCCTCTCCTGTGCCAGGCCCACTTCCTCCTCCCTCCCCTCAGATGCTCTGGGTTCTGTGAGGCCCTGCCCCAGCCAGCCCGGCAGTGGGCGGGGCTTACACTAGGGGTGCGACTGGGTTGGGGTGAGGGGCTTCAGGGGTGGCAGACACCACAGGGCTGGCGGGCTGGCTGCTGCCTCTGGTGCTGGCCTGGGGCCTGGACATCCTTGGGCTGGAGAGCTCGGGCCTGTGGCCACCTCCAGGGCTGATCTCAGAGCAGCCACGGCAGCCAGCCCCGGACCCAGGCCAGGCCCCGAGCGCCCCAGGGCTCTGAGCCGACGCCCCCGGCAGTGCAGGTCTTTAGACGCCCAGGAGCTGCCGCTGGAATCAGGTGGCATGGGGACCCTGGGGGGCGAGGGCAGCAGGGGACAGCCCGAGGTCCTGGAAGGCCCTGGAAACCAAGAAAAGAGCCTGTCAGACCGGGGCCCCAAGGGATCACGGGGTGGGGGCATCCCCTGGGGCTCCTCCCCTAACCCTTCACTCCCCAAGGCAGTGCCCCCTGCCCTCCTCCTGCTCCCCGGGTCACCTCTGACCCTAGCCTGAGCGGAAACCCCCTCCTGGGCTCTGGCTTTGCGTCACCAGGTCCTGTCCCCAAGGGCCTGCTCACAGGCTGGCGGGCGGCCCTTGGCCAGTTCCTAAACCCCAAAGCCTGCACCCACCTTTGCGGACGGGGCAGTTGTCTGGGGTCACCCAGTGCCCACCTGGACCCAGCCTGGAATGGGGGGGCTCTGATACCCCCCCCTCCCCCCGGTGTCTGCCACCACTCTGGCCACTCCTCTGGTCTTCTCTGGTCACTTCTCACCTCCACTAGGCAGCTGGCCTTTGACCCCTCCTGATTAGCTGATCTCAGGGTCCACCCTCTTCTGCCCCTCCCCCAGGCCGGCAAGTGGACAGGTGGAGGCTTGGCCCTGTACTCTTGATGAGGGGGGACGGGGGAGGTCAGGAGACCCATTCAGCCAGCTTCCAGCCTGTGCTCCTGCTCACCACGGCCCTGGCTAGGCTGCCCTCCTGCTGTCGCCGCCGGCTCAGACCTTCCTCCAGGAAGCCTCCCCCGGCCGCCCCAGGGGAGGCCGCTCTGTGCCCGTCACTGGAAGCCAGTGTCTCTCGGGAGGAACTCACCTGTCCGAAGGTGGAGGGAGGCACCCTCCCAGGCCGGTCTCCTGCCCGCCCGCTGGGCCTTGTCCCTCTGGCAGAGCCGGCCTGCTCCCTGAGAGCTGCCCGGCCGTCCTGCCCATCGGCATGGCCCCTCCTGCCCCGCCCCGGCCCTTTTCGGGGTGCCTCTGTTTCCCGTGCAGCCCTGGTGGCCTGTGGTGCCTTGGCTCAGGGGAGGGGCTGTGCGGATTGTCCCCTCAGTGGTGCGCCCCCGCCCCCGCCAGGAAAGGACCTCTGGGGTCACAGCCTGCTCAGAGCCCAGGGCGGGGGGAAGGGGCTCTCCCGCCGAGGCTGTGGCCCTCAGTACCTGGGACCGGGCTTGGGGAGCTGGGCTCAGCCTTGTCCTCATGTTCTTCAGGGCCCCGCCGTGGGCCGGGGAGAGCTGCAGCCCCTGCCGCTGCCCCTGCCGGCCCAGAATCCAGGCGCCTGCAGGGGAGAGGGCCGGCGTGGGGCAGGGGCAGGGGCTGCAGCCCTGCCCGCCTTGGAGCCATTCCCAAGCCAGTGGGGCCATGATGGCACCCAGCCTCAGGCTCCAGTTACCAGCTCCTCCGGCCGTCCTGGGACCAGCAGCTGCTCAGCCACATGGCCCCGGCCCGGACCCCCCACCACACAGGACACACGTGGCGGGGCTCGTGCAGGGACAGGCACCCACCGCAGTTCCCTCCACGCCCGAAGTCCGGCCAGTGCCAGGAGGTCCCGGCTGTCTGCAGGGTCAGGCCCTGGGGTGGAGGCCCTGGTGGCCAGGTCTTCAGGCCTGTGTGGGGGCAGCTGCTCTGGGGGCACCCAGGTCTGAGAAGGGAAAGGGCTGGTTTGGGGGCATGGAGGGGACTGGGCGGGCTGCAGGCTGGGGGAGAAGGACTTGTCCGGCTGTGGAGGGCATGGGAGAGCCGGGGCCTGGCCCCGCAGTGGCTATAGCTGGGGGCCCTGGCAGGCCGGGGTGCTGTCCGCTCGTAGGACAGCCCAGGACGCCGGGCTGTTCTGGGGAGCGGAGCCCAGGACACGGGTGCCCTGTGTGTGCTGGGTCGCGGCTCCTGGGGGACAGGGCGTACCTGGCAGCGGTGCTGATGTTCCCGAAGGGCCTTGGTGGGGTTTCCGCAGAGGACCTGGCTGGAGCCTGCGGAAGGAGGAGTGGCTGGGCCTGGGTTGGGTGGAGGGGCTGCAGGGTCAAGGTCCTGCGGAGGGGGCGGGCCAGTTACCGTGGGTGAGGTTGCTGGTGTCGTCCTCTGGGGCTGTGTCCTTGGGAAGCAGAGTTTCGGGCACGGGACCCCCAGGGCCCAGGAGGGAGAGGGGCCAAGGCCGGGCCGCCCGGGGCTGGGGCTCGGGCTGGGATCGCTCGGGGCCGAATCTTCCAATGGGTTCTCCGTGCGGACGAACTGCCCCAAGGTCAAAATCAGAGGTCACCAACGACCCCGCCCACTGGCCAGCCCAAGAGCCCCCCAGGCTCTGTCCACAGACCAGGGACCCCGCCACCCAACATCGGTGTGTCCCGGGCCCAGGTTTGGACCTCCTTTTCCTCTCCTGATGGGTGTGGGGGCCCCAGCCAGGCGCTGCTCTCGGGGAGTGTCCTGGGTGGGGTGGGTGGGGGCAGGTGTGCAGGGCTCTGGGGTGCCTGGTTAAGGCCGAGAAGAGATGGCACCTGAGAGGCCTGGGACGTGGGGGCCGGCGGCGAGAGCTTTTGTCTCGGGGAGGCCCGGGCAGAGACCACAGCAGTGCAGGCCAGCGGGAAGGGGGGAGGGCTGCGTACCCAGCCTGGGCAGCAGGCTGTCCAGGACCCTGCCCTCCTTGATGGCCTCCTTTACCAGGAGCCAGTCCTGGTCCAGCTTCCGGGCGGCGGGCAGGCCGGTCTGCGCGGCAGGCATCTCGTCCAGGACCTGCAGCTGGGGGACGAGCTTCCTCACCTGTGCCCTATAGTTGTAGCCCGGAGGCACCTGCGGGCAGAGAGGGTGGCAGGCCGGGGGCCAGCTGGCCAGCTGAGTCCTGGGGCCACTTGCCCTAGACCCACTGTGGGTGGGGTGGGGTTGGTGCCTGGGCCATTCTCGGGCACCAGGGACTTGGGGGGCCTGGGTTCTCACCCAGGTGCTCTCACGGTCCAGGTTCGAGGCCAGGATCCAGGGGTGCCCTCTGGCCCACGGGGCTGTGAGCTGCAGTGTGCACAGCAGTGCGGAGCGTGTGCTGCTGTGAGTGTGCAGGCTGTGTGTGTGTGTACACAATTCTATGTGGAAAAGGCACTGAGCATGCGTGGTTCCATGTGGCCTGTGCACGTGGCCCTAGGGAGTATGTCCAGCCCTGGCAGCTGCCGGGCCTCTGGCTCACAGTGAAGGAGACTCGGGGTGCGGGCGGCCCCCAGGCCACGGGAGGGGCTACGGACCTGAGCCACAGGGCGCCCCCTCCCTCGCACACGGCTGCTGGCCCGCACGCACCTGGCTGGAGGGGCTGGGCTGCAGGCACACCAGGTTGCCCTCCAGGGTGAGCATGGCCAGCCGCGGGCACAGCTGCAGGTAGCGCACCTGCCCCAGGTCCTCCACGTTGTTGCCCTCCAGGTCCAGCACCTCCAGCTGCTCAAGCAGGCACAGCGGGCTGAGGTCCGAGACGTTGTTGTAGGAGACGTACAGCTCCTGGGCGGCACGGGGACTTCAGCGGGGCCCGGCGGGGCGCCCTCCCCGCCCGGGGCGCCCCACGCCCACCTTCAGGGCCAGGAAGGAGCCGATGCCGTCCAGGTCAGTCAGGCCACAGCGCGCCAGCCACAGCACCTGCAGGCGGCCCAGGGAGGTGCCCAGGTCTCTGCAGGGGGCAGGGTTGGGTGGTCAGTGCTTCCTAGGGTGGCGGGCCATGCCTGGTGCCCAGCCACACCCACACCTGCTGTCCCCGGGTCCACGCAGGTGTGAGCGTGGCTCGTGGCAGCCTCCAGGCTGACGAAGGGCTCCCTGCCTTCCCTCGGGCACACCCCTGGCCTCAGGCAGGCAAAACGGAGGGCCTGGGCCTGCTGCTGGGCAGCTCAGCCAGCCTCCCAGCCGGCACGGCAGTCCACCGCGGCCGCCCGTGGCCCCAGGAGGGCGCTCACCTCACGGAGCCCAGGCGGCTGTCATTCAGCTTCAGCTGGCTGAGGTTGGGCAGGTGCACCCCTGTGGGCCACGGGGAGGTCAGAGGCCGCCGGCCTGCTCCCCAGCCCCGCCTCTGCACCCTCCCGGCCCCTCTGCCCCCGCTGCCGGGGCTTCTCTGAGGCGGGTGCAAGGCTCAAACGAGGGGTGCAGCGTGGGGCGCAGGAGGCGTGCCTGAACCAACGGGCCCACGTGGCCCCCGGGAGCTGGGCTGGAGGAGGGGAGCCGGCGGGCATGGGCGGGGCCCCCCAAGTTTGGGTCCCACCCCCAGCCACCTTCCAAGGCCTGCCCAGGGGCACCCCCAGCCCTGTCCCTGAGCACCCCAAAGTCCCGGGGAAGGGTTCTGAGCTACTGACTCCTACCGGGGCCCGGGCACTGGCCCTGAGACAGAGTCCCCAACCCTTGGGAAGAGGGATGCGGGGCGGGCCCGTGGGGTGCAGTGGTCCTGGCGGCAGGGCCCAGCGAGCGGGCTCCAAAGAGCGGCCCGGCCGGGCCCGTGGCGGCGGACAGCGAGGGCTCTTACCGAAGTTGCCCAGGCTGTGTTCTCGGGTGTCCACGCACATCTCCAGCGTGCTCACCAGCCGCAGGTCGTCCACCTGGGCCAGGGCCTGCTGCAGGACCATGGGGGGAGGGGGCTCAGCCCTGGGGCTGGACAGCCGGCACTCCCGCCCGGCACCCCCCGCCGTGGGGCCCTCCTGGCCTGTCCCAGCCTGGCCTGTGAGAGGCTCCTGGGTGTGGTGCTGGGCAGGTGACCAGGCCAGGTGCACCCCAGGCCCAGCCAAGGTGCCTTGGGTGTCACTGCCCGGCCGGACCCTGCCCCTGGCACTCGCTGGGCAAGGCCAGGCCAGACCCAGTCCCACCCTGTCCTCTGTCCGGGAGCTGGTGGTGGACTCCTTCAGACCTGACAGCTGCCTGCGGGACAGGGGCACGGGAGGCGTGGGCAGCGGAGGCACGGGGACCGGGTCTGGTGGGAGTGTCCCGTCCACCTGCAGTGACTGGACAACTAGGACCCTTCTCCACGCTGCTCAGGAGGCAGGACCTCAGGCAGCCAGGCTGCGGGTTGGCAGGTGCATCACCCCAGTGGGGGGGGTCCAAGGAACCCTCCAGATGAATGTGGGTGCGGCGATGGAGGGCTTGGCACCGCAGCGGCCGCCCCTCACCGCGGCCAATGGCCGGCAAACAAGGCCGGAAAGGGAGGGGTGTGGGGCGGTGCAGGGCTGCCCAGGAGGCCACCCCACCACGGAGACCTGTCGCCAGAGGGCTCAGTAGAACCTGCAGGCCTGAGGGCGGGCGATGGCAGGGACACCCCTTCCCGCGCCCCATTTGGGACAAAGCCTTCATCAGCTGCCCCAGCGAGGACCCCACCAGTTCTCGGCTCCTTTACTGCCTGCACTGGGCACCTCGGGCCCAGCCCCCGTCCTGAGAGCCCAGGCACAGCGGCGCTCAGCACACACGGGGAGGGGAGCTCCTGCCTCGCTCAGCCCCCGCTGGGGCCTGGAAGTCTGTCGCCAAGCAGCGGGGCTCAGCCCCAGGGGCGCAGCAGGCACCGGGACACACCCTCCGCCAGGCCAGGCCGGCAGGCGGGACACCAGCCCGGAGCGTGGCTCTTGCAGGCTCTGCGGCCTGAGCCCGGGCCCGTCTCCCCCACTCACCAGCCGGGCCGCTGACAGGCACTCCTCCAGCAGCTGCTGGCCGTGGCCTTGGCCTTGCTCTGCGGCCGGGGCCTTGCTCTGCGGAAGGGGGTTGTAGGGGCCCTGCCAGCTCAGCTCCCGCACAAGCACACGCGCCATGCTGGGCCGAGGCCCGGGGGCCTGCTCCAGGCCTGGTCCATTCACGTCCAACCTGCGGGGCCAAGGCGGCGGGAGGGGGGTTGGCCCTCACAGCCGGCACGCCCCACACGCCGGGTCTGGAAAAGGCCAGTGGGTCCTCACCAGCCCAGCTCCCTGGGCCTTGGCTCACACCCCGCCCGGGCAGGTCACCTCCCTGCGCGCCTCCGGGGCCCATAGAGGTGTCTCGCTCGGGCGCACGTGCTTAGCTGCCCGCTGCGACCAGCAGCAAGACCCTGCCTCAGCCTGTGTGTGGTCTCTGAGCGTGGGGGGCCCAGGACCAGGGTGTCAGGCGTATCCCCCCACCCCGGTGCCCAAGGAGCCCCCTCACCTGGAGGCAGAAGTCTTTTCCCACTGAGGGTCAAACATCGGGGCATGGGGGTGGCATGTGGCCCCAGGCGGCACCTGCGAGAGAGAGGAGTGTGGGCCAGGTCCTGGCACAGGGCATGGCGTCCAGAGGACCCGGACAGGCTGGCAGGGCCACTGGCCAGAGCGAGGAGGAGCAGAAGTGGCAGGGCTCAGCCTGCTCCTTCCCACCACATCGATGGGGGACCGGGCCTGGCCGCTGGGGCAGCCCGCAGGTGGGTGAGAGATGGGGTCCTTCCGGTGCCAACGCCTGGCCCACTTTCTCTACCCTGACCCCCTCTCTCCAAAAGGGGTTCTGGCTCTACTGCCCAGTCCGTCCCCGTGGGCTCGCTCTGCAGCCCCTGCCCCTCCACACGCCCCACGCCGCGGGCGCTGGGGACCCCGCACCTGGCTCCTGGCTTTGCTCCTTAAAGACACAGGGGCCTGTGCTGGGCCCAGACCCTGGACTCACCGCCCGGGCCGGTGCACACTCTGCCTGGAATCCCTGCCGGCCCGGCCGCCCGGGAGCTGCAGGCTGCCAGGCTCAGTACCGGGGTGCTCACAGGGAGCCCCGGGGCGGGCCCAGCACTCTCCTCTCTGTGTGCCAAGCCCCCTGGCTGAGGGCCTGCCTGGAGCAGGACTACAGCGTCCGTCCAGCCTGGCCCAAAGGTCTTGGGGTCCAGCAGGGCCTGGGCTGGAGGCTGTGGCTCCCATCTCAACACTGTCCCCTCACTTTTACGCGCTGGCCCGAATCTGTCCTCACTGCTCACAGCCTGTTCGCACCTGCCCATCAGCTCTGTGGGCCCCCTGACCTCTCCCTCCTTCTCTCCCACCAGGGAGACCCCCACCCGCAGGGTCTGCTCTCGCCTCCGCCCAGCGGCAGGGCCTGGCCCCCATCTCAGTGCCGGGAGCCGCTCAGACACAGCCCGGGATGGGGGGTTCAGGCAGGGTCCCCAGGGCCCAGACTTAACTTCCGGTTTCACCGCTGAGCCCCCCTCTGACTTTGCAGCTTAATCCTCGCCCCCGCCCGTGTCCGGTCCACCGCCGCCGGCTCACCTGAGGGCTCCCCCGTGCCCGGCCCTGCGGGCTCCGCCTGGCACCCTCCGCGCCGGGCGCTCTCTCCGATTCCGGGTTGTTCTTCCGGACGCGGGGTTGCGGGACCTGGGCGCCATAGCAACCGGGGCAAGACCTCATTTGAATAATCAAATATTCATGAGCCTCCGAACCGTCTAAGGCCCCGCGGGGCCGGGACACACCCCTTAGCAACGGTTGCTATGGCAGGTGTCGCGGGGCCGGGAGGGCGAGGTCGGGGCGAGGGCAGCGGCGGGGCTCCGGGCGGAGTCGCCCCGCACGTGCGGGGGCGCCCCTCGGGCGGGGATGCAGGCGTGCCGCCGCCGGGCCCGGGGTCCGCCCGCCACGGCCATCTGGGGGGCGCCTCCGCCTGCAGGTGCGGCGGGCGTCACCCCAAGAGGAAGCGCTGCGGGCAGGACCCCCAGGACCGGGGAAGCGGACTCGGAGGCCTGAGGGGAGGCCGGTCCGCGCCCACGCGGGACGCTCCACCGCCTTTTCTCCGCGTCTGCTCTGCGCGCGGGGCCTGCCGGCGGTGAGCGCGAGGGGCTGGTGGCCGGCGAGGGCGGGTGCTGCTGGGGGGAAGGGGTGTCCGTGCGCTCTGGGACATTTGAGTCCGGTCGGAAACGTCCTGAGAAGAGCCGTGAGCTCGACGGCGGGGGCGCCTCAGTTCCCTGCCCACCGCAACTCTGGGCGGGGTCTGCGGGCGCCGGGGTGAACGGGCCGCACCGCGAGCTTCTGCCGGGCCGGGGCCTGGGTTTGGGGGGCCGGCAGGCCGGCCAAGCTGGGGAGGCGCGGGAGGGGGTGCGGGCTGCGCGCTGCGTGAGGAGCAAGAGCCGGTGCCCGCGGGGCCGAGAGAGCCGGACCGTCCGCTCAGACCAGGCGCTCCTGCACTGCCGCCCCGGTGACGGCCGCGCCCGGCGCCCGGCCCCGGCCCCCGAGCGTCCTGGGGGAGGAAGCGGCCGCCCCAGAGCCGCCTGCGGGGAAGGGGTGCAGGCAGCGGGGCACCGAGGATCCCCGGCTCCGGCCCTGCCCTCCGCCTTCTCGGCAGAACCTGGGGGCTCCCCCCTCCCGGGTGCTGTTGTCGCTCCAGGGCCCTCGGTGGGCTGCGCGGCGCCGAGGAGACCTCGGAGGGCGTGGGCCGGCCGTGCGCGCCGTCGCGGTGCGGAGGAGCCCGGCGCGGGGCCCCCGGAGCGGCTCCCGGGGCGACCCCGCCCCAGGCCACACCCGCCCGCCGCCTGGCTTCCCGGTCCGGCCCTATCTCCCCGGGCGTCCGCCCTGCTTCCGGGAGAGGCCGGGGCTCCGCGAGAGGCTGTCGCCCGAGACCCTCGGCCCCGGCCCCGACGACCTCGCCCCGCGCCGGCGGCGGCGGCCCACGAGGGCCGGCCACCCCGGCACCGCCCTCCGCGCCTTCCGCTCCCGGAAGCCCCGCCCGCCGCCGCCCCTGACGGACGGCCCAGTAGGCCAATCGGAGCGCGGCTGGGCGGGCCTGGAGGCAGGGTCCTGGGCGCACGGCCAATGGCAGGCCGCGCAGGGCTAATGGACGGCTGCGGGGCGGGGCGGGGCGTGCGCGGCCCGGGCGAGTGTCCGCCGCCCGCGCTCGAGTCCTCCGTCCGCAGCCGGAGCCGCACCCGCCGCGGTCGGAGCCCATGCCCCGGGGGAGCCGCGCGCCCCGGCCCCCGCCCCGGCCCCGGCCCCGGCCCCGGCGGCAGTCGCGCCTGTGAGCGGTGAGTGCGGCGGCGGCCGCGGCGGGAGGGGCGTTGGGGTCGGGCGGCGGGGCCGGGCGGCCGGATCCGGAGCCGCCGTCCGGGCTGGGCGCGCGGGGGCGCAGGTGAGCCGCGGGCGGGGCGGGCGCTGCTGCGCGGGGTCGGGGCTGCGGGCGCCGGGGCGCCGGGTGTGCCTCGTCCCGCCGGCTCCTCGGGCTCCGTTCTCCGGGCTCCGTCCTCCTGGGCCCCCACGTGCCCTCCGCCCTGCGCCGAGGCCTCCCGGGCCACCCTCAGGGCGGGTCTCCCGCCCCACGGTCCCGGGGCCCCCCGAAGGGCGTGGGCCCCGGCCGGCCCGAGGCTCGGGCCGCCCGCTGTCCTCACCAGGGCGCCCCCTCATTAGACGTGGGAGTCGGAGGCCCCCTCAGCAGGGCCTCGGCCTCAGGCCCCTTCCATTCCCTCCTGCCTGCCGGCTCCCAGTCCTGCCGGCTCCCTGGCCCCTGGCCGCCTGGTCTTCTCCCAGGTCCCGTGGCAGCAGGACACCCGGGTCCCTGGCCGCACCGCGGTGTCCTCCGCAGCTCCCGCCCGTCGGCGCCGGGGAGCTCGCTCAGTGCGCCCGTGGCCTGGCGGGCCGGGCGGCTAGGGTTGGCATGGCCTGTCCGGGCACGTTGCTGGGCGCCGGCCGGGCAGGACCTGTTCCTGTAGGGAGGGGGCCTGTAACCTCAGCCCGCGGCGCCTCTGGTTCGGCTTTCTGCCTACCCAGCAGCTTCTAATTCGGGGGCATGGTGGGGAGATGCGCCCGCCGTCCGCCCTGCCCCTCACGGGTACTGAGCGCGGCTCCGGGCGCCACAGGTGGGCGGCGGGACCTGGATGTGGGGCCCCGAGCCCCACGGGCCTGCCCACGGGGCCTGGGCGTGGCTGACGGGCTTCCTTGGCAGGTGGGACAGGAGGCCACGGAGCGTGGCGAACCGCGGCCCCCGGGACGATGACCGAGTACAAGCTGGTGGTGGTGGGCGCGGGGGGCGTGGGGAAGAGCGCCCTCACCATCCAGCTCATCCAGAACCACTTCGTGGACGAGTACGACCCCACCATCGAGGTGAGCGCCCGCGCCTCACCCGCACCACACCCTCCGGGGGCCCGCGGGGTCCCCTCGCCGAGGACCTGGGGGCACAGGCGGGGCCCTGAGCGGTGTCCTCCCACAGGACTCCTACCGGAAGCAGGTGGTCATTGACGGGGAGACGTGCCTGCTGGACATCCTGGACACGGCGGGCCAGGAGGAGTACAGCGCCATGCGGGACCAGTACATGCGCACCGGGGAGGGCTTCCTCTGTGTGTTCGCCATCAACAACACCAAGTCCTTCGAGGACATCCACCAGTACCGGTGAGCCGCCGCCCTCCGCGCGCCTGGATGCAGCCGTGCCTGCAGCCCGCCCGCCGGCTCACGCCCTCCTCCTTGCAGCGAGCAGATCAAGCGGGTGAAGGACTCGGACGACGTGCCCATGGTGCTGGTGGGGAACAAGTGTGACCTGGCCGCGCGGACCGTGGAGTCTCGGCAGGCGCAGGACCTCGCCCGCAGCTACGGCATCCCCTACATCGAGACTTCCGCCAAGACGCGCCAGGTGAGCCGGCGCCCCGCCCGCAGCCAGCCAGGGCCCCGCCCCGCCCCGCCCCGCCCCCCAGGGAGCCTTGCTCATTGCCCCTCTCCCTCAACACAGGGCAGCCGCTCTGGCTCTGGCTCCGGACCCCCGGGACCCAGCTGCCCCTCGCGCTGTAAGTCTCTCGGGACAGCAGGGCAGCGAGGGAGGCCAGGCCCGGGTCGGGCTGACACAGCTCTAGGGGAGGGCAGCAGTGGAGGTCCCTGGAGAGCTGTCTTGAGCCAGGCCGGAGCGGTGACCCTGGGGCCCCAGCCCCTCTGCCCCCAGGGTGCCTCAGTCCCTTAGCGGGAGGGCTGTTGGGGACCAGGGCGGTAGCTCAGAGGTGGGCACAGGGCGGTCAGGCTCAGAGCCAGGCCTGGGGCCACCTGCCTGGGGGAGCTGCTGAGGAGCAGGTGTCTGAGGTTGGGGTGAGGCAGTGAGAGCAGCAGCCACGGCTGTTTGTGGGTGCAGGTGGAGAGGGGGGTCCCTCGGTCTCCATGTCTCCTCCCCTGCTGGGCCTCAGGCCGAGGCCCCCTCTGAGCGGCTCCTTCTCCCCAGGGCGTGGAGGACGCCTTTTACACGCTGGTGCGCGAGATCCGGCAGCACAAGGTGCCCAAGCCCAGCCCGCCGGACGAGGGCGGCCCCGGCTGCATGAGCTGCAAGTGCCTGCTCTCCTGACGGCCCCGCGGCCGGTGCACCCACACAGGAGCCCAGAGGGGCCGGCCTGGGAGAGGGGAAGGAAGGAAGGAAGTGCTGCCGGACCTGGCCATCCCGGGCTGGGGACGTGACCGGACCTCCCAGGACGCTTTGCACAGACTGGAGAACTGAGGCTGCCGGCTCCAGCCGTGCCGGCCCGGCCCCTGGGCGCAGGCTCAGTTGCAGTAAATTATTTGATGGTCTTGACCCTGGCGCCTGGCCAGCTATGATGTGTGGTCTCTCATGGGGTGGGGGCGTGGGGGGGCCTCCACCTCAGCCTCCTCTAGCCAGTGGCCTGTCAGCCCTGCTGCCCTCTCTGCTGAGGGCCTGGCCTGCCTGTCCCCTCCCGCCGCCCCCAGTCCTGGGCCTGTCGTTCCAGAGCGGACTCCGGTCACCGCAGGCGGCTGTGTGGGCGCAGGTGGCCACATAGCGCTCCGAGGGCCCGTCCCGCCATCCCGGGGCTTGCTCTTGTTCAGACTGCGTCAGGGTGCCCTGCCCTCCACGCCCAGGGTTCCGCTGGAAGCCAGCAGCTAGGCGTGCCCTGTGGTGTCCTCGTGGCTGCCCTGCTGACACTGGTTACCCCCAGGCTGCTGTCCCCGGGGTCTGTAGGGTTCGCCCGATGCCCAGCCCCAACTGGTTTTCCAAATCAGAGCAGGAGAGGAGGTGCACAGGCCGGGCTCTCCCCATTCCGTGTGACCCTGAGAGGGTGAATCGGGAGGCCGTGTGCTGGGGCCGCGGGGAGGGGGGCACACGGCCGCCCTCGGAGCTCCGCCATCATGGCCTGAGGGGCCTGAGCCAGCACGTGCCCGGGCCCAGGCTGGCCTCTGGGGCAGCTCAGGAGGCCTTCTTGGTGTGGGCACGAGCAGGCTGGGAGGGTCCCCACCTGTCCCCCAAGGTTCCTGGCTGGGAGGGCAGTGAGGGGCACTGGCAGCAGAGGGCCTACCCATGCCTGTGGCCTCAGTGGAGGGGGCCTTGCCCAGCTCCGGCCGGTACCTCCGTGGCCCGGGCCCTCGCCGCACGCACGCACGCACGCACAGTCACTGCGCACTGAGGGCCGTGCTGCCTCCAGGGCGGTGGCCCACAGCGTCGGTGAGTGAGAAGGGCCTGAGGACAGCAGAGCCCGAGGCCTCTGGTCCAGGTGGCCCCCCAGGGGCACTCGGGTTCCGAGGCCAGTTCAGCTCCACTGGTGACCGGGGCAACAGCAACTGCCCCTTCCCCCTGGAAGCCGGGGAGAATGCCCCCAGGATCCAGTCACCTTCCTCCGGGACTACCCTCACCCCACCCCACCCCGCAGTCCCGAGGGCAGGCCCTGGCTGTGAGGGTGGGGGGTGGCCCAGGGACAGCATCCTGTGACGGTCTCTGGGCAGCCCCACCCCCAATGGAGCCCCGAGGAGCTACCTATTGGGGAGCAGAGGGTGTATGGGGGGTGCCTGGGTCAGCCCTGGGGGGGCTGTGCTCACCAGTGGGGCTTCCCCTTTGAGAGAGCTTTCCCACATGAGCTCACAGGGGCCTGGGACCCCTGACTGAAGGAGTCTGAAAGGCCCCCAACAAATGGAGCTGCTCCCAGGTCAGGCGCTGGCAGGTGCCCCAGGAACCAAGGCCGCCTCCCACAGCGCGGCCCCCCCCCGTGCTGACACCCTCCTTCCAGAGGACTGAGGCCCGCATGGGGCACCCTGTGCTGAGGGGCAGGCATCCCAGCCTGGCTCCCCTTCCCACGGTGGCCAGTGGGCATGGGGCCCAGCTCTGCAGGTCAGTGCAGACACCTGTGGGCTCAGGTCAGGCTTGTCCAGCCCCGGCCCAGGCGCTGGGCGCCAGGTGTGAGCAGAGGGCCAGGCCAGGGGATGCGGGAGCCAGAGTGGGGATGGGATGAGGCTCAGCTGTGGCCGCAGAGCCGAGGCCGTGGAGGCAGCACCCCAGCTGATGGAGGCCCAGGCCGGGGGGCTCTGCAGGGCGCCCCCCCACCCCCGCCTGCGCTGGTCTGTTCTCTGCGGCAGCCGCAGCCGCGCTCACCGTGTCACAGGCTGGGAGATGGCGACGCAGCCACGAATGGCGTGTCCAGTGTAACCGAGGACTGTCCATCTTTGAGTGTCCATTCAGAATGTAGGCCCATGTTTGAGTGGATCATTTGTTTTATTGAGTTTTACCAATATTTTGTTCCAGTTCTGTGCGAGTCCTTTATTAGATGTAGGATTTGCAAATATTTTCTCACTCAGTAACTTTCCTTTTTATTAAAAAAAATTTTTTTTTTTTTTTTAGAGAGAAAGGGAGAGGGATAGAGATAGAAACATTGATAAAAGAGAAACATCACTGAGCAACATAAACTGATAAACAAAAATACAACCTGAGTCATAGAAGCACTGCACAGACTGTCCAGCCTATGAGAGAAGGCAGGGATGGAGGGTGGGAGGAGGTGGGAGGGATGAGGGGGGGAGATCAACCCGAGGACATGAGCATAACGAAGGACACAGACAGTGGGGGCTGAGGGCATATGCCAGGGGCTGGGGCACCTGGGAGAGGTCAATGGGGGAAAGAAGACTTACATAACACTTCAAACAATAAAGAATTACAAAAAAAACATCACGGGTCCGCTGCCTCCTGCACGCCCCCTACTGGAGAGATGTGGCCGCAACCCCATGTACGTGCCCCAACGGAATGAACAGGAACCTCTACCACGGCCGACACTCAAACACTGAGCCACACCAGCCTCTGATCTTTCCTTTTCACCCCCCTTTTTTAATAAACCAATATTTTAAATTTGGTTTGAGAGAGAGGAGGGGAGAGAGCGAGATAGCTAGAGAGAGAGGGAGGGAGGGAGGGAGGGAGGAGAGAACAATCTGCTGTGGATGTGTCCACTGGGATGTGTCCACTCTTCGGGCTGACCAGGGATGGAGCCAGATCGGCTGCACTCTGACGGCTGCCTGAGGGGCCTCCTGTCCACTCGGGGGCAGAGTCTCCGCCGCGGGCAGGTCTTGGACATGGACCAGGTCCTGTCCACCTTCTCCCTCATGCACACCTCCTCACTAGGAACCCCTCCTCGGCGCCCGCCCCACACAGAAGCGGGGTCACACCTGCTCCTCAGCCCCTCACCCACTGCCGAGCTTCCCCGGGGCTCAGAGGGCAAACCGAGGACAGGCCATCCTCGCCATCCCTCGGCCCCCTGCACCGCGATTTTCCTGTCAGTCGGAACCCACCTCCCCAAGTACCTCCGTCCCTCACATGAGCACAGACAGCAGCATGAAATGACAGTAAAAAAATTTAAAAGGAAGATAATTCCTGACCTTTACTGTGGTAAATCCTATCCAATAAAAGGGTAATATGTAAATTAACTGTCACATTGCCCATAGCCACACGATGACAGTGCCGTCCCTCAGCCCCACCAGAGTCCACCAGTCCTGCATTTAAATAAATAAAATCATTTATGTAAATGATTTTATTTTATTTTTTTAAAATATATTTTATTGATTTTGTACAGAGGAAGGGAGAGAGTTAGAAACATCAATGAGAGAGTCATCAATCAGCTGCCTCTTGCACACCCCCTACTGGGGATGTGCCCGCAACCAAGGTACATGCCCTTGACCGGAATCGAACCCGGGACCCTTCAGTCCCCAAGATGACGCTCTATCCATTGAGCAAAACCGGTCTCGGCTGTAAATGATTTTAAATAAATCATTAAAAAATTTATTGACTTTAGAGAGGAAGGGGGGAGAGAGACACATCCTTTTGTTGCTCTACTTATTCATTCATTGGTTGATTCTTGTATGTGCCCCCACCAGGGGTCAAACCCACAATCTCTGGCCTATTGGGACCATGTTCTAACCACTGACCTACCTGGCTAGGGTATTATATTATTTTAAAAAATACATATATTGATTTCAGAGAGGAAGGGAGGGGAAGAGAAAGAGAAACATCAGTGATGGGGGAGAATCATGGACCGGCTGCCTCCTGCACACCCCACACTGGGAATCGAGCCTGCAACCTGGGCCTGTGTCCTAAGAATTGAACCTCTTGGTTCTGTGGTCGGCAAACTGCAGCTCTCGAGCCACATGCAGCTCTTTGGCCCCTTGAGTGTGGCTCTTCCACAAAATACCACGGCTTGGGCGGGTCTATTTTTAAGAAGTGGCGTTAGAAGTTTTAAAAAATGTGGCTCTCAAAAGAAATTTCAATCGTTGTACTGTTGATATTTGGCTCTTGTTGACTAATGAGTTTTCCGATCACTGTCCTGGTTCATAGATCGAGCTCAACCATTGAACCACACAGGCTGGACTACTGCATTATTTTCCATAAGAACAACTGTAGCCTTGGCCGGTTTGGCTCAGTGGATAGAGCATCAGACTGCAGACTGAAGGGTCGCAGGCTCAATTCCAGTCAAGGGCATCGGCCCAGGTTTCGGGCTAGATGCCCGGTAGGGGGCCTCCAGGAGGCAGCCAATCAATGATTTTCTCTCATTCTTGGCATTTCATTTCTCTCTCTCCCTCTCCCTTCCCCTCTGAAAGCAATCTTCTAAATAATAAAAGCGTAATATGTTCATTAGATCGGACGTTCTTTTGGAGGACCGCCCGAGGGAAGCCGGGCTGCAAGGGAAGCCGGGTCCCGGATGCCAGAGGGAAGCTGGCGCCGGCAGCTCCTGCACAAATTCCGTGTATCGGGCCTCTAGTAAGAATATAATAACAATAAAGAGCCGAAGCCGGTGTGGCTCAGTGGCTAGAGCGTCGGCCTGCGGAATGAAGGGTCCCAGGTTCGATTCCAGTCAGGGGCATGTACCTTGGTTGCGGGCACATCCCCAGTGGGGGGTGTGCAAGAGGCAGCTGATCAATGATTCTCTCTCATCGATGTTTCTAACTCTCTGTCCCTCTCTCTTCCTCTCTGTAAAAATCAATAAAAAACATACTTAAAATAATAATAATAAAGAACATCTATCTGTAATCCTACGTTTGCCCCACCCTGACAAGAGGAAACCTTCACGGCACCCAGGAAGACATGCC